ACAAGGCGCGTGGACTCGAAGTCGGTAGCCGTTGCCAGCTTAGATAGCGCGTCGGCGTGCGCATTCTCTTCTCTTGGTATCTGCGCATACGTTACTGCCTCGAATGTCGTGGCTTTCAGCTTAACACGCTCCATGTAGTGTGCCAGTGCGTCTTCCTTTGCATCAAACGCTCCGTTCAGCTGATTGACCGCCAGGGAGGAGTCAGAGAGGATCCGTATCGTTCTCGCTCCCAAGTCGTGAGCTGCCGTCATCCCCGCCAAGATGGCCTCATATTCCGCGGCATTGTTTGTTTTCAGCGCCCGGAACCTGATTGCGATTTCGTGCACCGCGCCAGCAGGCGTGCGCACCACAACTCCTGCTCCGGCGCCATGCTTGCTCGCCGCTCCATCAACGTAGACTTCCCACACACCTTCTGGTGTTGTTTCGAGGGTCACCCCTTCTGCGATGAAGTCCGCTAGGATCTGGGCCTTTATTGCCGGTCTTGGCGCGTATTGGATATCGTATTCCGACAGCTCGACCGCCCACTTGACCATGCGTCCTGACACTTCCATCGAAGTTAGTATCTTTTTTAGTGGGAGGTTTGTCAGGACGGTGATTTGATGCGCTTGGAAGTACGGGCGCAGTTTCTGGGAGGCGCTTACTAGTGCCAAAGCGGCCTTTTCGATCGAGGAGTATCTTGTTTCTGCGCTGACTAGAGTGCGCGAGGTGTAATACACCGGTTGCTCGGTTTTGCCATCTCTTCTAGATATCAGTACTGCGCTCACAGCCCTTGTTGACACAGCGAGATACAGAAAAAGTTTTTCATTGAGTTTGGGGGCAGTCAGTACAGGGGGGGATACAAGATACGCCTTTAGCTCTTGGAACGCTGCTTCGCATTCTGTCGTCCATGCAAAGCGTGTCCCGTTCTTGAGCGTTTGGAAGAAAGGCGCACACTTGTCGGCGGATCTTGGTATAAATCTCCCCAGTGCCGCTATTTTGCCATTCAGAGATTGGATTTCCAATGCATTCCGAGGCGCCCGCAGTTGTTGGACCGCGGTGATTTGCTTTGGGTCGACCTCTATGCCGCGCCTGGTTATCATGAACCCAAGAAATTTCCCCGCTTCCGCTCCAAAAACGCACTTGAGTGGGTTGAGGCGGAGGCTGTGCTTGCGGAGGGCTTCGAAAGTCTCGCGCAGGTCCTCCAGGTGTGACCTCCCCGGCTTTGTTTTGACGATGAGGTCGTCCACATACGCCTCGATGTTTCGCCCGATCTGTCGCGAGAAGACAGCATCGATCATTCTCTGGTATGTCGCGCCCGCGTTCTTCAATCCGAATGGCATCCCTACGAAGCAAAAGTTCCCGAATGGTGTCATGAACGCCGTTTTTTCCTCGTCTTCCACGGACATCGCGATTTGGTGGTATCCTGAGAACATGTCTAGGAAAGACAATGTCTCGTGGTCAGCAGTGGCGTCGATCAGCTGGTCGATGCGCGGTAGGGGATAAGGGTCTCCCGGGCATACTTTGTTGATCGTGGTGTAATCGACGCACATCCGCCAAGCTCCTGATGATTTCTTGACTAAGACCACGTTTGCCAGCCACTTTGGGTATTTCACAGGTCGGATCAGTCCGGCAGCCAGTAGGCGCGACACCTCTTCTTCTATCGCCTTCAGTTTATCGCCCGTGAAGGATCTCCGCCCTTGTTGTCTAGGTTCTGCGTTGGCTGGGACGGCCAGGCTGTGCTGGGCTACCTCCCTGGGCACTCCCGGCATGTCTTCTGTGCACCACGCGAACAGCTCCTTGTACTCCCTCAACAGGGTCATGAGTGGGTCGATCGCGTCGCTGTCGACGTGAGTGGAGATGCGTATCTTTCTGGTTGGCTCGGCGGGATCCAGCGCGACCTCGAAATCGGAATCCATGGACTCAGGTCGGGGTTCTTCTGCCCTTGTGTCGACGATGTTAGTTTGTCGCGCCACGACGCGGTCTTCCCAGGTTGTTCCTCGTGCTTCCCCAACCCCCCTTAGCGTTGGGAACTTGAGTTTCTGGTGGCACGTCGATGGGAGGGCCATGAACTTCGCGAGGAAGGGTCGGCCAAGGATGCCATTGTGCGCCGACTCACAATCGACGATTGTGAACTCCACTTGTTTGGAGACGCGTGGTTCCTGATCGCCAATCACCACTGGCAGGGTGACCACTCCGCTCACCGGAACTCTGGTTCCGGAGAAACCAACCAAGTTGCCTTGCGCGCGCCGGATCAGGCGCGGGTCGATACCCATTTTGTTCACGGTACTCTGGAAGAGGATGTCGGCCGCGCTTCCTCCATCTATCAGGAGGCGGTGTGTCTTGCAGGCGGCAATCAACGCGGTGACGATGAGTGGCTCTTCTGACGGAAATCCTTGCGGGAATTCCGTGTCATCAAAGCTCAGCTCGAACTTGGTCGGCGCGTTGACGGCCGCGCACTCTGTCGCGCGCTCGCGCTTGGTTTTCTTCCTGGGACGATCCCCTTCCACTGTCACCACCCCGATCTCTTTGCGCACCACATACGCGCCTGTGTCATCGTCGTAATCGGCTTGTGGCGGGGGTGGCGGCGGGAGCTGTGGAGCCTCAACTTGCTCTTTTTTTACATGGAGAAATTCGGAGAGCAACCCCCGGCGCACGAGTCCCTCTATTTCGTACCTTAGATCGCGGCATTCTTCCGTCTGGTGTCCCGTTGCTCTGTGGAACTCACAATGCTTATTTGGATCGCGCATGTAAGGTTGGGATTTCAACGGAGCAGGCCAATTGAGCTTGTAGCCTTTCTCGCGGAGGACGTGGAACACATTCCTCACGGAATCATTAAGGGGGGTGTAGGCATTGGGCGCGCGTCTGTCTGGTGATCGCCCGCGGTGCGCGTGCTCTGGCGGAGGGGGCGGAGCGCGCTTTGGGCCACTGTGCATCTGTAGCAATTGGTCTCGTGGGATCGGAACTGGGGGCTGACGACGCGCCTGTTCTTCTCGCGGAGCCCTCGCTGGCTCGAAGCGCCTGACGGATCCCGCACCTAGGGTTTCTTCCAAGGTGATTGCCTTTTCGATTTTCATTTCCAACTCCGTGGACAGCGTGACGGGCCTTTTGGCCAGCGCTCGCTTGAGCTCCATATTGTTGGTGGCCTCCATGAGGTGATGGGCGGCCGTTTCGGGGGTAAGGTCGCGGACAGCCATTGCTACCCTGGACCATCTGGCGTAGAAAGCTCTCAGGCTTTCTCCATCCTTCTGCCTGATATCTATCAGGGCCTTGAGGTGAAGGGGGCGCCGTTTCTGGGACGCGAATTTGGTCGTGAACAGGAGTATGAACTCCTCGAATGAGCGGATGATTCCGTTCGGGAGGCGGTTGTACCAATCGAGGCATATGCCGGTGAACGTCGATGGGAAGGTTCTGCACAGCGCGGCATTGGAGTTGGTTTGGAGTTGCATGCGCAAGCAGAAGGTGCTTACGTGGTCTTCTGGGTCGGTTGTGCCGTTGTATGTCGGGAGGGTAGGGGGCGCTCCTGATAGATTTTCCGCCATTATTTGCGTGCTCAGTGGTTGGTGGAGGATCCTTTTGGGGGGGTTGGGTCGATATTGCGGGGACAGGTGTTGCTCTAAGAAGCTGAGGTCCGCCCGCCCTGGTGGATCGATTTCTGGCGCGTCGCACGCGGGGAGTTCCGCTGCAGCGCGTTGGGGTAGTTGGGCTGTCCCCGACGTTTCCCCCAAGGCTTGTTGAGGCGCAACCGCCAAAGCTTGTTGTGGCGCGGCTGTTGTCGCGCTCATCACTGGCGCGCCCTCCCTGCTCATCATGAGCGCGACGACTTGGCTCATTTGTTTCTGCATGTCAGCTATGACGGTGTTTTGCTTTGTCAGCAGCTCCCTCATTTCTTTGGCCGTCAGTTCGGGCTCTTCTTCTTCAATGAGCACAGCGTTGAGGTTGCTGGCTTCCGCGAACGCCCTCGGGTCAGTCATTGCCTTGATCGGCGTCGCTTGGTCAGGTTGGTCGTGGTTGTGCTCTGCCATCGGTGGATTTTCCTCAGCGTTTCTTCTTGGCCCCACGGTGGGCGCCAATTGTTTGAACCTAACTGGGTGTAGGAGTGAGGTTCTGGTAAGAGTTGGGTCAAGAAGAAACACGAGCGTCGGTTCGATTAGAGGGAGAAGAGAGAGTTAAGTGAGAGTGGGTTTGCTAACTCTTAGAGAGAGAAGTAGTTGTTATAGAGCGAGAGTGGCTAAAAATCCCCTCCTCTCTCCCACCCACCGTAGTAAATGCCATATTTATAGGCTACATGGTGGTGGGTGAGTGGTTGACACAAGTGGGGATACAATGATGTGACTATTGGGATACACTGATGTGACCCACGATGTGACTACTAGCATACTAAGGACCTCTAGGCCATCTCTCTACCTAGGATGGGTCAGAGATCCACTCATGACCCTGACGTGACCACTCGCTGAGGAGGAGCGCGCTTCTCCCCTCTTCTGATTTGGTCCACGCTTGTCCTCTCCTAGCGCATGTAGTGGCGCTTAAGCTCTTCGCGCCCAGACGTGGTTAGCCACGATGAGGCGGCACACTCGGGGTCCTCGCGCCGCCGCGTCGGGATCTACTTGGCTGCGCCCTGTTCCTTGGCGTGATTAGGCCCGAGTCTTATCCCCAACAGTTCTTACTGACGACTTTCGGTAAAGCACGTTAATATAAATAGAGGAACACGTTCACTTTGAAACCGAACCAGAGAATGGATTCCAAATCGGCAATTCCCAGAACAAAAATGAACTCGAACAGGCAAATTGATTCAACCAAGAGACCGTAATCAGCATTTTTTTTAGTAAGAAAATTAACCAAATAAAGAACGGACAGCACAACTTTGAGGAAATTCATTCTTCATTGATGAAAGGAAACCCTAATTTCCAACAGTTCATCCCGAGAATATGAACAAATAGGCCATCAAACTAAAATCTGAAAAGAGGCTAAACAAGAAGAGAGAGCCGGAACAGCTGGAGACCTCCAAGAACCCTAAAAAAAAATCAACCGCCGAATCCGTACAAGGTCCTGCCCTGCCTCTTGAGCGCGTAGACGACGTCCATGGCGGTGACGGTCTTCCGGCGAGCGTGCTCGGTGTATGTAACAGCGTCGCGGATCACGTTCTCCAAGAAGATCTTGAGGACGCCGCGGGTCTCCTCGTAGATGAGGCCGCTGATACGCTTGACGCCGCCTCGGCGAGCCAGACGGCGGATGGCCGGCTTGGTGATGCCCTGGATGTTGTCTCTTAGAACCTTCCTGTGCCGCTTAGCTCCGCCCTTGCCCAATCCCTTGCCTCCCTTTCCACGGCCAGACATTTTTGTGCTTTCCTCGAGAAGACGAAGTGGAGAAGATAGATGGATTTGCTGGGTTGAATGTGAATCGGTTGCTTTGAGAATGGAATGTGGGATGAGGTGAAGTTTGAGGATTTATATAATCGCTGCGGAGGCGGAGATGGGCTGATTTGGGCCGTTGATTGAGGGAGGTGATCGACGGTTGGAAATGGCGATCCGCGTGACTCCGGTGACCTGTGCTTCTTTTTAATTTAAGGGAGCTCGGTAAGGCCGAGAAAGAGGCTTGACCGTTGGATTATAATAATCCGACGGCTTGAGTTGTCGATCCGTGTGCTTTGTGAGTATTGATTTGTATCCGTCGATGTGATTTAACGGACGGTGGATATTATTTAAGAAATTGGGTTTGGGATAGTACTCTGGTTTCTCCTAATTTGGGTTTGGATGGGCCCAAACGACTTGATCATCGAGGGCACTTGTTGGCCCAAACTACCGGATCTTTGACCAAAGTGCACTTGCCATTGGTCTTGCCGCATGTTAATCTTGGACCATTTCACACCTTCCATCGTATTCCTTCAGCCATCGGTTCTTTTGCAGCCATGAAACTCCTCCATACATAAATTGGGTTTTACCTACATTTGCCTCCAAATGAGGTTTAGTTCTTTCGAGTTTGAATATGTTCGATTCGTTGCCCTTATAGATGAGACTCCTCTTTTCACCTTATTTCCTTGAACTAAGCTCACCACAATTCCTCGAATTGAGCTCAAAGAGGTTGTGTTCGAACGAAAACCTAACTATCGAAGAAACCATAGTGATGTTTCTTTATGTTCGAGACCCTCTCCAGACGAGAGAATTCTAATGTGAACATACTATGTAGATTTAGGTGCTGATGATTTCGAGAGTCTTCTAAACTTCTTCTCTTATGGAATAAGCAGAGACCCTCGTCGCCTTAATGGATAAAGTTGTAATAACTAGACTCGTATCTTACTTCATGCATCATTATTCATAGTTTAGAATGTCGGGGTTATTTTTATATAATTGTCTACAGTTGTACAGGAGTCAAGAGAATGATGTCTAGTTCAACTATGAAAAGATTTTGTTTAACTCTATAAATTTGAATAGCTCTTGCTAAAGGTCACAGAGCTTAGCGGCAAAGTAGCAGATACCGTGTTAGACCCCCCACTAAGGGTCGTGATGGTGTTCACAAAGTCATTTAATGAGAATTTTAGTGGAGGGCTAGAATGGCTCAAGCATGTGAACGCCCAAATTTGATGTCGTTCCGCAATCACTCAGGCATCACAAAGTCATTTAATGAGAATTTTAGTGGAGGGCTAGAATGGCTCAAGCATGTGAACGCCCAAATTTGATGTCGTTCCGCAATCACTCAGGCAATGTGTGCGTAGTCTTTAAATTACAATTTCAATTGTTAGATGAACCATAAATGATGGAACACAGTATATGAGATTGGAAAAACATTTTTTTCTTCCGAGAAATTACATAAAGATAAGTCGAAAGAACCACTAACGGACCTCCCAAATGCTGCTAATTTCCTTGCACGTTTATTCGGATCCATAAACCTTCATCCAATGAAAGTAATTGACCACAGCAGCATTTGCTCAAAGTTACATATGGTGTTAATTTCAGTTCATCCAGCGAAAGTAATTGGCCGCAGCATGTCATCAAAGTTACATAGGGCGTTGATTTCAGTTGAGAGGCAAGTAAGGCAACGTTAAGAAGCAAATTAAAGAGCAAAACTTAGGAAGCATAAGAAATACCAAAAATGTGTCTACAGAAACAAAATATGAAGACAAGATCACAAGTATTTCCAACTTCATAGCTAATAAACTACATAAATGAGAACACAGGCAAAACTAGAAACTGTTCGAATAACCGACTGGAATAACTAGCAAAACAGTAGCCTAGAGTAAATATAACTCTGTTCTTGAGAAAACTAAGCCTTGAGGCGACCGTAGTGCTTGAGCTTCTCCTGTGTAGTCTGGAACCGTCCATGCCCAAACTTGGAAGAAGTGTCGATGAACTTGAGATTCACCTGCTCCGTTGCAGTTCTGGAAGTCTGCTTCAAAAGAGACTGCCTCAATGTCACCACACGCTTCTTGGGACCGACACAGCAGCCCTTGATCATGATGTAATCCTCCTTCACGATACCATAGTGGGGGAACCCTCCAATAGGTGTGATATCCTTCTCAGTCCTGTTATTCACCAGCAGCAGCAAGACACAAGTCATCATTAGCAAGTGGAAGACAGATTTCGTATCTAACAATTGTTTCTAGAGCTGCATACTAAAGCGAACCTGTCATAATCAGTCATGGCAGAGTGAGAATCCTGGCCAGACTTCCCAAGCTTGTAGATCTTCTTGTTCATCTCAGTACGATGATGGTAACCATTTTGCCCAGCTCTAGCCACAGTGTAGGAGACCCTAGCAGGATGCCATGCTCCAATACAGGCAACCTTGCGAAGACCACGATGGGTCTTTCGGGGGAGACGGGTGACACCCCAACGAGTGACAACACCTTCATAACCCTTACCCTTGGTCACTCCAATGATGTCAATCATCTCATCCTTCTGGAAGACGGAATCAATTGGAATCTGCTTCTCAAAGAAGCTGTAGGCAAAGTCCACCTTCTTGGAAATGTCTCCACCATTGACCTGGATCTCCATCAAATGAGCCTTCTTCTGCTTCAATCCCTTCATCTTCCTAATCTACAGAGTCAAATACACACCACCCATGTTAATAATAGAACAAAATACGAGCTTTGCCTGATAATTGTAAGTAAAATACAAGAAATGTGCGTGTACCTGAGTGTGAGCCAGCACACGAATGGTAGTGGCATACTTCTTCATCTTCTCCAGCTGGGATGTAACATCCTTCTTCCCTTCATCGGACTCGAACTTCTTGGAGTACTTAGTGAAAGCCTTCTTCTTTGACTTGGCCCAGTTCTTGTAGAACCTTCTCTTGACATCCTCACTCAGATGCTGAGCCCAGACAGTGTTCAGAGACCGGAGGCCACTGGGAGTCTTGATGTAGCCCACAACTCCAACGACAACCAAGGGTGGTGTTTCAATTATGGTAACAGCTTCGCAGGTCTCCTTTTTGTGAAGCTCTGAATGCCAAGAAGAAGTTGGAAAACAAACAACAAACGGGTCCTAAAAGAAAGTCAACAACACATCAATACGGAAATACTGAGGAGCAGAAAGCAAGAGAGAACTCACTCGACCCTGGCTTCTCAACCTCTCTGACAATATGGGTCATTCCAGCCTTGTAACCCAAGAAAGCAGTCAGTCTGGGTTCTTTTGATGGGTCATCCTTGGGGAAAGCCTTCACTGTTTGCATCCAACATCGAAAGAAGGATGTCAAACAATTTATCAACCATGAAAAACAAGTTCTCGAAACAGAAGAGAACCTAAATAAAACAAAGACCCCCCACCAAGAACATGCTATCTAAATATCTAAGCTTGCAACATTAATGATAGAGAATTCAACATTTGACACAAAAGAGTATATACTGGCATCCTCATGACTAGCGATATATAATCTTTAGTGATACTATCAGATAGTACTGATAAGAATACTAGCAAAGTTACAAAATTAACAACCTCTTCCGCGGTGCCTTGCAGCTCTCTTCCTGGGAAGGAATCCCAAAGAACCATGCCTTGGATGCTCAAACTTGCGATGGGACATTGTGCAATTTCAGCGGTAATTCACTGTATGAAACAAATAACCATAAGCTCACAATACAAAAACAAATCAACGAAAATATCGATAAAACTACAGACAACTGCAACAATGAAGCATTAAACATAGGAAATTGAACTGTGCCCATCGTTGTATGTAAAGCAGAATTTTGGAAAGCAGTCAAATTTTGGAAAGTAAATTTTGCAAGTGTAATTCTTTGCCAAAAAAGTTCTTGACTTTCACAAAGGATAGGCAGAAAGAGCACCTTTCGGATTTCACATAAGAACCAAAACAATCACATAAAAGATGCAATCCAGCACTGTAAATACGTGATGATATCCACTCAGTCCAACTAAAAGTGAAGAGAAACATTCCCCTCAAAACCAAAGGCCTATGGCACAATCGCTTGTGCCAATTCTCCCAGGCTCGTTATGTATTTCTTCACGAATACCCAATTCAGAGTATTCGATAAAGAGAGCCATTTCCGAGACTCCAGCCTTGATTAGATGTTAACAGAGGGAAATTCATTTCAAATCACAGCAAGGTACTGAGCAGAACAATCACGATATTCACAATAACAAAGACGCAGTGTAAAATACCGATGCTTCAAAACGAAAACGCCGTGAAATCCAAAACTAATGGATGCCAAGTTCATCAAAATTGAAGTTGTATAACGAAGAACAAGAAGGAGAAGAAACCTAAATTCCTAAAACGTATTAACCTAGTGCAGCCAATTATCGAACATATACAAAGCTTTCCACGTTTCACGATTCTCCTTCTCCTACCAAGAGCCAAACGATATTACCTGAACAGAAGCAGAAAGAAAATCGAGTTGAAGGAGAGAACCGTCAGATGTTCCTCGATAACCAGAGCAAAGACGCAGCAGCCACCACACAATACAGAGCTGAGTTAGCAGAGCTCTGGTCGATTTTAAAGTGGTGGAGGACGAGATTCGACGGCCGCGATCAAGATTTGTCTTCGAGGTCGTCTTACGTCGTCCGTTGGATGGACCTTTTCAGATTTAGGGTTAAGTTTTGATTTTGGCCTTACAACTAGTTGACGGCTGGGCTGGGCTGTCCGAGATACTGAGATAGGTTGTGTGAAATGAGGCCCAACGATCTCCAGCCCATTTAACTAAGGAGGCCCAACGATCACCAGCCCATTTAACTAAGGCGGGTGAACAAACTTACAAAAGTAATCATAACCTAACCTACTCCGCTATTCGTCTTTGAAGTTTGAACCCCACACAATTCACCTGTATTTATCGATAAATTTAAAGTTTAAGATTGAGAGAATTTTTTTTATGGAACTCACTTCTTTTGGAGCAGATTAGGGATGGCAATTTCGACTTGACCTGTTTTACCCGACCTGTTTGACCTGTTTTGGGGCGGGTTCGACCCGCCCCGTAGGCGGGGCGGGGCGGGCATGGGTAGTCTGATCGACCCGACCTGCCCTGACCCGCCCCATTCTCGACCCGTTCTTGTCTAAATTACATATAATCTTAGTCAAATTACTTAGAATTTTCCTTTTATTGCATCATATCTTAGCTATAATAAAGTTATAAATTAGTAAAAACTCAATTTCTCCAATAATTTAACTACAATTGTCATAATATTTTTGTTTTCTTAGTCTTATAATAAAAATAACAAATGTTTCTAATGTTTTCATATAAATTGCATACCCATTGGGTCGACCTGCCCCGACCCGCGACCCGTGATCAATTACCCGACCTGGACCTGACCTGCCACGGGGCGGGTTTGGGTACCAAGAAACCCGCCCCGGACCTGCCCCATGGCCATTCCTAGAGCAGATGCTAGTTTTGGGTTACCCAATCCATAAATACTCGGCCCAATAATGTTAAAACTATTGATCTAAAGTGTTCGTATCCAAAATGTATGTATGTCATATACACATATTTGTGATAGAATTATGATTTTGTCATATTTTCTATCGTGGGCTTGCTAACGCCTAACGTAATGCATTATTTACCTAAAAAATTAGACTTACATTTAATATAGGGTATGGTTCAATCTGTTTTTTATTTTATAAATTTTAGAAGAATAATATATTATCGATTCATTTACTTATAATGAATGTCCAGCCAACAATTTCTATGCATTTTGATATTTTTTTATTTGGTTTATTTTCTTGAAATTTTAATTATTTATATAATTATTTTAGTGTTGGATTTTACTTAGTCCTTTTTTTTACAAAAGATAATCATATATTGATTGGAAATAGGTAATTACATCTTAGAATCCAGTCAGGTTTGGATATCAAAGAAACGACTCGCAGTCGGGTACAATAGAAGGGCCTTTCTAGCCACCGAATGGGTACCCTATTGCCACTCCGTCCTACAAATCGAACACTAAAACCACTATGAATTGCAAAAAATTGCACAATTTCCTCTAGAATCTCCCTATCCGCGAATCTCTGGTATCAGCCCGAATAACATTCTCGATACCACTTTAGCATCGCCTTCAAACCTCACCTCCGTAAAGCCATGGGCTAGACACCATAAAATCGCCTCACGGAGCACCAACAATTCGACAACCATATGATCATAAATAAACGGGAACTGGACTCCATTAGCACAGAGGATGTCCATAACCTAGGTCATAATCACCATTCCGCCTTCCGGATGGGACCCACTCCTTATAGCCCCTAACCACATACAAACCACACCGGGAATCCCACAAGGGGTCAAGTAATGTGGCGGGAGAAGGGTTGGTTGGAGTACATGGTCTATCTGCAGACTAACCCATTCATATTGTTGGTTAAATTGTCGCATCAAAACTGGGATCCCAAACTGTTTACCTAAAAAATCACCCAGTTACAAGACCGCTAGATTCTCCAAAGGAGAGCGACAATTGATAGGAAGATGGGGCGTTGGTGAACAAGAGCCAACAACTTTTTTAAAAAAAAGTGGGAATGTGTGACTTGACAATCCTTCCCTAAGATGCTCCATCCCAGAATGGCCCAAAGAGCACGCGCTACAGTGCAATCAAGAAACAAATGCTCCATCCCAGAATGGCCCCAAAGGGCGCGGGCAATCAAGAAACAAATGTTCCATTGTTTCATAGTCAGCCCAACAGAACAGACACCTGGGAAGAACAAGGACATCTTTTTCAATTAGAGCTTATGTTGTTGGCAGGATTCTATTGAATATATGCGAGACAAACACCTTTAATTTGGGTTGGATATCAGCATCAAACAAACGGATTAAGCTAAACCTATCCATCCAACTAGCTATGGATTTACAACGGAAGTCCTTCCGTTTATCCAACATGACAGCAAAGTGATAGGTTGACTTAACAGTGAATACCACATCGTTTGTAGCGTGCCATATTAGTCTATCCTCAATATTCTGGCGAGGAAGAGGAATAGCTTTAGTAGTTTCAAAATGGAAATGTATGCGGGGTTCTTAGTTCTGACCCGGCTTTGCGGTAACTTTTGGTTTGACCTTTCCCTTCCTCTCCCCTCTCACTAGTTTTCAAATACAGATCTGGGATTTGGGGCTGCCGTCGGCAACCATTTTGGACCGGCGGTGGCCCAAACCTCTTTCTTTCTTGCCTCTCTTCTTTCGTTTTTGGTGCTTTGTCTTTCTCTTGTCTTTCTGTCTTTCCTTTTCATGTCGATGGCGCTGCTCTTTTGCTGTTTTTTTTCCATTTCCAGATTTCCTCCATCCTTGTGATGATGATTTTCCGACCTCCCCGAGGAGATGTTTTTGTGCCCCGCCAGATCTCCGATCTGTGTGGATGATTTCTCTGGTAGGTGTTTGAGGGTGCCGAGCTCGTCGGTTCGCTTGCTCCTCTCTGGTCCTCCATCTACCTCCACATGTTTCATCCAAAAATGGGGATGAATCGGAGATGCATGGACCCTAGCTGTCTTGGATGAAGTTTCAGGGGGCTTGTGAGCAGGGATGGCACTATTGAGGATGGGACCAGCTTTGGGCTCAGATCGGAGATGTTTTGGTCGTCTTTCTTCTGTCCAAGACTCGGATTGCTCTTTGTTTTACTTGTTTCGTGCAGGTGGAACTCGGAGCTGGATCGGAGATTGGTTCCCCTCATTGAGGTTTCCGCTCTTCCTTTTTTCCATCACGTCGGGGGGTCTGCTGAAGCCGATGGTGTTTTGGATCCCTTGTCCGCTTTCTCCGTCGTTCACCGGCGATTGGTCACGTGAAGGTTGAAAGGATTTCGGCGGCTGTTTCTCGGTGTTGGGGGATGCTTTCGGCAGCCATCCTTTGTGTGTTTGGGCTAGCGGATTTAGGGTTTTGCTTGGGGTGGGCTGGTCCACGTGTCTGGACATGGGTTTTGGGCTTGCGAGTCTTGGGCCTGGATGTTCCACTTTTGGTTCAATCCTTTTTCCGTTTGGTTCTTTCGTCCTTCCTTTCAGTGATGTTTTTTCCTGTACACCGTGTTTTATTTTTAATGAAACAGCCAACCAACGTTCAAAAAAAAAAAAAAAAGTTCTGACCGATTTTCAGCTACAAACTCAAAGGATGTAGTCTTCCAGTTTGTTTTCATCTGTTCGGAGATCATTTGCCGACTATTGGTAAGTGTTTCTTTATGATAACGTATAAATTAGGTTAGTTTAACTGATGGAGCATCTAGTTTAGATCAAGCAATTTCCTAGCAAATAAGCCATTAAAAGGCGACTTAGGCAACGAAACTTTAACTGCAAACCTTCAACAGCTAATTAAGATGTCCAAACTGTGACTCAAATCCAAAGTCATATCTCAAAATTTATAGCTAAACATCCAGCGACAAAACAGGTGCAAAAACAGAAAGAATTCCAGCAACTGCCAGAGATAACTAGGAAAATAATAGCCATGAAGGGCAAACACGACTCGACTTGTGCAATCTAAGCCTTGAGGCGACCATAGTGCTTGAGCTTCTCCTGAGTGGTCTGGAATCGTCCATGCCCAAACTTGGACGAAGTGTCGATGAACTTGAGGTTCACCTGCTCTGTAGCAGTTCGGGAAGTCTGCTTCAACAGAGACTGCCTCAAGGTCACCACACGCTTCTTGGGACCAACACAGCAACCCTTGATCATAATGTAATCTTCCTTCACAATACCATAGTGAGGGAATCCTCCAATAGGTGTGATGTCCTTCTCGGTCCTGTTAATTCATCATAGGCAAGACAAGAGTCATCATTAGCAAATAGAAGAAACAGAACTAATCTCTCTACTAATAATGATGATTAGTGACCAAGATAAAGGTTACCTGTCATAATCAGTCATGGCGGAGTGAGAATCCTGGCCAGACTTTCCAAGCTTGTAGATCTTCTTGTTCATCTCAGTACGGTGATGATAACCATTCTGTCCAGCCCTGGCCACAGTGTAGGAGACCCTGGCAGGATGCCATGCCCCAATACAAGCGACCTTCCTAAGACCACGATGGGTCTTTCGGGGGAGACGGGTGACACCCCAACGAGTGACAACACCTTCATAACCCTTACCCTTGGTCACACCAATGATGTCGATCATCTCATCCTTCTGGAAGACGGAATCAATTGGAATCTGCTTCTCGAAGAAGCTGTAGGCAAAGTCGACCTTCTTAGCAATGTCTCCTCCATTGACCTGGATCTCCATCAGATGAGCCTTCTTCTGCTTCAGTCCCTTCATTTTCCTTATCTACAGAGCCAAACAAACAGCACCCATGTCAAAAACAATGTAGAACAAGGACGTAGCCTAATAATAATTGAGGTACAAGACCAAGAAATGTGTGTTACCTGAGTGTGAGCCAGGACACGGATGATAGTTGCATACTTCTTCATTTTCTCCAGCTGGGAAGTAACATCCTTCTTCCCTTCATCAGACTCAAACTTCTTGGAGTACTTGGTGAAAGCCTTCTTCTTTGACTTGGCCCAGTTCTTGTAGAACCTTCTCTTCACATCCTCACTCAAATGCTGGGCCCAGACGGTGTTCAAAGAGCGGAGGCCACTAGGTGTCTTGATGTAGCCAACAACTCCAACAACGACCAAGGGTGGTGTTTCAATAATTGTGACGGCTTCGCAGGTCTCCTTCTTGTGAAGCTCTGAATACCACAAAGAATTTCAAAGAACAATGAGCTACATAATTCCAAACCGATCTTGAAAAACACATGAATATGAAGATACCGAGAACCACAAGGACAGAAGAATACTCACTCGACCCTGGCTTCTCGACCTCCCTGACAATATGGGTCATTCCAGCCTTGTAACCCAAGAAAGCAGTCAGTCTGGGTTCCTTTGATGGATCATCCTTGGGGAAAGCCTTCACTGTAAACAACAATCAAAGGCCATAGCAGATCAAACAGCTATTATGCAAGCTCAAACACAAATCATATTAAGGTTTAAACTCGACCACCAAAACCAAATTCCACACTGAACATTTCGAAGTGATACAGCAACCATTAGGCAAGAGACAACAACCAGCAATCAACTTAAGAACCAGCAAATGAAAAAGGAAATCACAAACCTCTTCCCCTATGGCGGGCAGCCCTCTTCCTGGGGAGAAATCCCAAGGAACCATGCCGGGGGTGCTCAAACTTACGGTGAGACATCCTTCAACTCCTCTGCAATGGCAAAAACATCCCAAAAATATCTCAGCGCAACATTCAACTCAGCGAAATCCAAAAAGGGACAATCTAAATCTATCACAAGATTATAAGACATGAAATGATACAGCAGTAAACTAATTAACTGTCCTAATCGCCATGCCAAGAGCCGATATCAATTTTTTCTCCTAACAGCCATTTCAGAATGCCCAAAGCGATCTAACTACAGAGAAGAATTATATATTCATTCCAACAACGCCATTTTGACAAGCTCGAGTTCCACAAATACTACCGCCCAGCTAAGCGGATACCGCGGGAAGCAATGCTCAGCGAAGGCCTCCAATGGAAGATCTAGAAGAGTTCTAACTGAAGTGTGATGAACCGAAGCATCTATGGACGACGAGTTTACCTGGGTACGAAAGGAACCAGCTCCAGAAGCACAGCGGCTATCAGCTACAACAAGAGGGTTTTAAACTAGGGTTCTTACACTGCCTTTATCAAGGAATTTGACGGTTGCGATGTGAGGGAGGGCTTGTATAAGTTGATCGTAGCCGTTCAATTAAACTGGCTTGCGCGTTTAGGGCTTTCGACGCCTTTTTGGCTTTGGGTCATTACTCGGAGCGGCCTGCTAACTTAAAGATATTGGGCCTTGTTGTTGTCTATAACTATGGACCCATCTTTTGCCAAAGGGCTGGCCTTTTTCATCAGCAAACCTATGAATCGATCCCCCCAAAAGATTGTTTACCATTCACATCTATAAGATATATGAAGCCAAAACAAGGGTTAACTTTTCAGGGATTTGAATTTGCAGCCTTTAGAGGGTTTCCCGGAGGGGCAATACTGTCAATTTACTATCAATTAAGTGAAGTTGTGCGTTTAACACAAGTACCTTCCACTGGACCTTACAGGTGGCCGAATGGGCCAGTCCGGCGCCCAGCTATGGGCCCAAACTCCCCCGCAGTAGTCGATTTTAGGTTGCGGTTAAGTGGGAAGAAAAGCAGGCCAGGGTACATAATCGGTTAAAATCCAACGCTGGAAGAATACACCATTTAGGGAGGAGCTGACACTGGACCTTACAAACATCTTTCGCCTCCTCTCCCCAGAAGGGTTCTGTTGCTCTTTCAATCCGGATGGCGGCAACTGAGATAAATACGCGGATTACCGCTTTTGTAATTGTAGCTGTCAACGATGATCGATCAAGACAAGCAGGGTTCACATCTGGAGTAGTCTTTCAATCCGGTAATTGGGCCGTCAGTTCGGCTTGCTATCAAAATTTTCCTTTGAAATGTCGAATGGTTAGGTACATAATTGGTTTTGGACTGTTGTATGGAGTATTGAATTTCCTACTCCCAATACTACAGAAATTACCGTATTTCACTTTTGCGTTCCCCTGTTCTCCATATCCGACCCTATTTCCTTCTCCCCTTTACTTTTTGCTGTAATTCAGTATGCCGGCCAACAGCTAGGTTTATGGTGTGATTGTAGTTAGATTGGAGACAGGCGCTCGGAGGCCCCCAATGTCATACTCAATCTTATTCATTCGAAAACTGAACGCATGCAGGTAAATATCTCTTACTTCCTCTCACGTAACGTACATACTACATTACATACGTTTCAATTGGATTTTGATGGGGCTTAATTGTTTTGTCCACTCTTGGTCTTGGTTCAAGTATGGCCACCCACACTACTCCCATCTGCAAGCCTTTTATGTTTTCTATTTTTGGCTATTTTAACGGGCCCTTGCCACTTTGCAACCAGAACAACATCATCTCTAACATATCAAATCAATTCCTAAACTCCCACGTATTGCCGTCGTCGGAGATAAAGCACAAAGAAGCCGCCGCCAGCATCCGAAATTCCCTCTTCCTGTGTAAGCCTCTGGAATGGGCAGGGTGGTTTCAATCTACCATGGATTTTCATTGTCCATGTAAGTTTGGTTTTCTTTCTTCTTTTGCTGGATAAGATCAATTAATCCATCTGGGTTCTGCCTCTGGTGCTATTTCTGGCATTTAATAAAAGTCTTTCTTATGTTGAAGTTTGGTCCTTTACTCCATCCATTCATAGCCGCGTGAAAGAGTTGGACTGAGATTTGCTGTTATATATGGTGATTCTCTATAAAGATATGCTGTCATCAATTTCCGAATATGCAATTTTAGTGTGTTGGTGGAAATAGTTTATTACTTTGCGCGGACACTTAATCGAAATCCAATTTCATACTAACCTACCACCGGTTATGATTGAGTTGCTTAAGATGTACGATTGTAGTTTAAATACACCTTACTTGCCTAACCTAAAGGAACAAGTTTGTTAGGTACCATGTTTTACTCTTTCTATCTATTTGCGTTGCACAGTATTTATATAAGATATTAAGGATGAGAATGTCATCATTATATATAAAAAAATATTAAGGATGAGAAACCATGTTTTGATGTCATATGTTAGTTCCAGAGCATTTAGATACGGCTGTGTATTTATTAGACTAGATGATGTAGTAAATTGTAGATGATAAAGATATCTACTGAAATCTCAAATATTGCAATGGAGCAACCATGGGTTTAGTGTTTACAGAATGTGGGTCTCATTCTTATTTACTAATTAGTAATTACATTACATTCAAATAAACCACCCTTCTTGGATGTTTCCTCTGTCTTGGCTAATTTTGTTATGGGTTTCATATTTAAGTTGAGTGGATAAGTGAGATATGATTTCCAAGTCAAGCATGATGTTGATTAGCATACCTAGATATACAGTTGCTAATAAAAATTATCGTTTATGGTTTCTTTTCTTATTTATATTTCTGAGCTTCGATTCCATTCTTTCTACAACGTTTGGCTGGGTTCCCATTGGTTTACGTTGGTGTTTTATAGTTTCTCTGTGTTTTAGCAGGGAACAACATATTCAATTGGACTTCAAGTTTGGAGATTCAAGAAGTTTGTAGGATTCAGGGATTTCGTTTATGGAGTGGGGATAGAAAATTGAAAGATTTCAGTTTTTACTGGAATAGAAAGTGATCCTTTTACTTTTGTTTCTATTTTGTTTTGACTTGCAGAACTCTTCACTTTGCTGTAAGGATATCTCAAATGGAGGAGTTGTCAAGTCGACTTACATTAGCCCTCTATCTCTCTCAGTTTAGTGCGTGGAGATTTCCAATTCATACATGATATTTAATGCTTACAACAATTGACTGAAGTTTATTGACGATAAGTCTTTGAATTCCTGGATTTAAGTACCTTGCGTTGAAGTGGTTTGCATTCATTGAGAATTGCTAAAGTTGTTTATTGGGAAGAATATACCATGGACGTTCTAAACTCCAACATTACATGTTATTTATGATGCAGATTTTGATTCTCTTTATCCATCGTTGGTACTCTGAAAACTACCCACAACAGAAGAGCTGTAGTTAGGAGTCGCGAGCGTCGAGAGGGGAAAGCTACCCGCAACAAGTGTTCTTTTACTTTGTCAAAAAAAAAAAAAAAATGTGTTCTTTCAGTGTTACTGCCACTGTTAGCAGTAGTCGGCTTCAGGGACATAATCACCGGATAATTAATTTGACATGTATTTTTTTTTTTTTTGGTTTTCAATTAATTCTACCAACATCTGATCTACTTTTCCACCACTTCCTGTGTCTGATGGTCACCGAATGATTAATGTGGCATGTAATTTTTTTGGTTGTCAATTAATTATACATTTTCATGTGTCTGGATGTTAATGGTGAATGAAACGACGACTATGAGCAAAAAACAACTTCATGTTGGCCCCTCTTCATTGGGATTGAGTGCTCGCCAAATTCGTCAGGGCCTCAGGGGACAATGTAATTTGATCGCTGTGTATTTTTTTATGTCCCATTCTTCCTTACATGTTCAACGTGGGCACAAAATACAACTAATCTCCCAATCCCGTGTTCTTTTTTAGGGTTGATGCGAGCCTTATTCAATCCGACAAAACCTCCATCCAGACAATAAACTGCTGCTGAAAGGGATATTCTTAATCAACGTAGTCAAGCGGCCCATTTTTAATACATCAAACTAAATGCAACCGTGTTTCTTTGACCACAATAATTTTAGATGCATTTTTCAACATGCTACACATGGTCTGTTGGAAATGACGACGAGTGATTTTGAACAGGCGTTTGAGACCTACGGTTCAACAAGCTGCACATGGTAATTTTAGTCATCTTTTATGAGTGTTAATTTATTTTGTAAATCGTAGTATAGAATTTGGTGCATTTTCATTACCCTTAAATATGTGTCATGGTGTATTTCATTTTCCAACCGTATTTCTTATCTTATTTTTATATTTTAAGCATATTATATGTGCATCTTATTTCTTCTGTGACTTGCATGGTCGTGTGTGCTTCATTCTTTCATCTAAAAATCATTAAAACAAAACAATGAATGCAAATTTAGAAATGACTTCTTAGTTATATTCTATTAGTATGTGCCAAAAAATTTAAATTTAAATATAAAATGTTTGTAATGTTTTTCCTATAAATCTGAATCTATATCACCAAAATGATCAATCATCACTTTAATTATTCGCTTAAAGAAAATTTATTCTAAAAGATATTCAGTGTTTGTCTTTCAATTCCCTTCTCATTTTTCCGTCCTTCTCTCACACTTCTAACTACTATTTGAAAAAAAAAAAAATTAAGCAATGTACAATTGAATTTTTTAGATAGAGTAATAATAATAAAATGAAATTTATATTAGTTATAAGTATGTCTACGCTTATGTTTAGTTTACCCGCCCAACGGGCCGGGTCCTGCGCTAGTTGTTGCTTATGGTTGAAACTTGAAATTAGGGCGATTGTGGTTAATCGCACCACATTTTTTTTGTAATTAACGCTAACTGTAAAACTCAAATATGCTAATCACAAATTCCACGGTAGTATTTTATGGTTAATCGCAACTATAGTGATTTGGTTCGATGAACAAAATACAAATTAAAAAAAAAAATTCAATTAACATAACATACATTGAAATCATGATGTGTATTGATCAAAAATTCATATTCTAATGTATAATCGATCACCATCTAAATTCATTCACCATGTGTCCCGATTATAATGGAATATTCATAGACATCAATGATACAACATACTATGAAAAATATAAGTTGGTAATCAATAACTCAACAATAAAAACAACACTATAACCCTTAATTTTACAAACAAATGACAAAGTCAACATTTTTTATTTTATGTATGACAATGTCAACATGCAACTAGCTTATCTATTTTAATTTTACATTAAGGAGGTATTTTAATTTTACAAACAAATGATAATGTCAACATGCAACTAGCTTATCTATTTTACTTTTACATTTAGGAGGTATCTTTAATTTCCACATGTGTAGTTAAAAGAAGGGGCTACAATCACTCTTTAATTATTCTTATCTAAAATTATAATGTATATATTGATATCGAAAGAAAACATTAGCAACAAGTGATAGGACGAAACTAGTAAGCTCCTAATCCAATATTAAGATCCAATTGTGGGGAGTTGTTGCAGTTTGTAATTTTCAAATTTCAACCCCTTAATTAGCATTCCATTAGAGCTAATGGAACAAAAGATCACCTCTTCGTTCCCTGCAAGGCTGCAACAATACACAATGATCACAAATTCACACATCATCTATAAATTTATCTTAGGCGACCTTATTACCCTCGTTCCTTCTTTGCTTTTATTCCATGACAGATTATGCCCTTTAATAGTTTATACTTTACACAACAATTACTAGCACATAAATACACACATTATTTTCTCAGAGTTGGCGGAATGAAGCTGCTACCAAACTTCTTCTTGAGGAACAAAAGAAGGCCAGAACCCACCACTGGCCAAGTTGTCACCATGGCAACGTAAGCAAGAAGCCAGATGAATGTCTTGCTGTGCCGTGCGAGTCGAGTTATGTGTCCCTTCATGGGGGAAACCAGATCATTAAGCTTCTTTTCGTCGGGATTGTCTTCAGCAGGATCCATTTTCTTGGTCTCCACGACGTCGTTGCTGGGTTCTTCTTCCTCGGCGATGGTCTCTCCATTCTCTTTGACAGCAGGATCCATTTTCTTGGTCTCCACGACGTCGTTGCTGGCTTCTTCTTCCTCGGTGATGGTCTCTCCATTCTCTTTGACAGTATGGCCTCTGTTGCTAGTGTCTGCTGCTGCTGCATGATTGTCTTTCTGGATATCGCCAGCTGCAGCTACAGTTCCATCTTCCATTAGGTTGACATAAGGCCCTTGATCGATTTTCGATTCCAATGGAGTGGTCGTGCTACATGTTCCCACCACCTTCAGTGCAAGAAAATGTGCGTTATGCCTTAGAACTCTTAGAAGCACACATCAGTCATCTGCTATACAAACATGAAAAAAATGCTATGGCGGTTTCTACTAAGAAAAGAGATAGCACGTGAAAACAGCAATGTTGAAGACTTCGGATTGTAATACCTGTCTTGGTGTGTTCTTTAACGGACTAGAATGCAGCACCTCGAGGAATTCGCTGACAGCTCTCACCCACCTTGCAATTTCATAAATGCAACAACGGATGAGAAGATGCAACAATGACAGTGGCTTGTCTCCATAACAGACCAACTTTATGTACAGCATCAATGGATGGAAAGGTATAATGGTAAAATGGAAGGATACAGATGAAATAAAAATTACCACATGGTACCGGCAGCAATTCCTTCAAAATAACCCAGGTGCCCTCCATGCTTCGTGGCAGCCAAGACAATATTTGGATTCATCCTATAAAGACTCAGAGCTCAGATACTGAACAAAATGATTCTGTCAACGTCACAAACATGAAACGAGTAGAAAGCATGCCTGCATTCATCCCATGGAATAGATTCCCTTGTACAAACTGGGTCATCCAACGCACTGATGCACAGAAGAGGTACTGCTACGTTTCCTACAAAGTTAACAGCGCTAGAACGCCTGTAGAAGGTGTCTACAGTCTGCAGAAAAAAACTCAAGTGGTTACTTCTGCTGATAGGAAGAATGGGTATCAGACAGCTCAATCAAGGATGCGAAGACATAACTTGAGATAAGTTTTTACCTCATATTTAGCAAGAATACGGGTGGCACAGTGATCGAATTCCCGAACAGAACGTGACTGTCAAAGTGAATATCAAAACAGAAATCCCACCGCTAGAAATGAGTACATAAGAAATCCACTATTTCTTCACCACCACAGTGATCAGAAACTTCAATCCCGTCATCATTCTTGAATTGTCTCAAGCAAGTGCAAAACTGAAAGAATTGAATCAAGGACAACGAATCTAAAATACCTTGTTGAGTCCATCCCAGTCTATAAGACGAGACAAGATAGTTTGATGCCTGCAGTGAAAGAGTATTAAGTAAGTAGGCAATCTGCATTCACTAATTCTTGGCCTGTCAGGAAAATTCTTACATAAAAGGACCAGACAAAGTAGTGACATACAGTTTGGCATAACCTACAAGGCCAGAGGTGAGAACCTTATCATATAGTTTCTGAACAAATCTGCGTCTGAAAAACCTGTCACACATCTAAAACAAGGTATTAGATAAAAGATAGTGTGGCTGTACAGGGCATGTAAGGTGTAAGATACTGAATCCTACCCAATTTACATTTCAGAGCAGAAATGGAGAAAAAGAACTAACCGCAAGATCCCAAGGTGAGCAGACAGCTGCAGCACCTACGATAGGAACGTTAACTGTGTCTTCTCCTAGATACTTTACCTGTAAGAGACCATCCATCTACTTAAGAGTTCTAAAAGTCCATCATGCAAATTGTTACGAAATAAGCTGCTATTCTATGAAAAAGAAAAAATGACAATGCTACAAGTTGCATCAAGAGTAAACACTGGAAAATGGAAAGGAATAGAGGCATCATCCATTTTACCAGGATATTGGCACCAATACTAGTTCCAACAACATATAGAGGAGTCTCTGGATATTCTTGATGGATATGGTCAATGACTCTCCTAGCATCCTCCGTCCACCCAGCATTGTAGAAGCAGTCAGACTGACCATACACATTTGATAATGAAAGTATATCTAGTTAGGCAACAGTGTAGGACAAGAGTTCCCACAAGTAATGATGACAAGAGAATCTCTTGTACTCACAGTTATGAGATCTTGTACTCACAGTTATTTGTACACCCCCTAGTCCACGGTGATTGCTTACAACAACATTCCAACCCTGGCTTGCCATGTTGAAAACGAGGTGCTTTACGTACTGTTACACAGAAATTTCAATTGTGCATCCAAAACAAACATCAGAAACAAGAATCAAGATGCTGACAGAAGTTCGAGAGCAGATTTATATAGCATTGAGACAAGTATAGACCAGAGAATATAACCAACCAAAAAAAGAAACTTTGAAATGAAATTGAACTTTACAGGAACTCTTAAGAGACCATTTAACATTAAAAGCATCCTTATGTACCACGATGGTACTAAATCAGAATTACCGTTAAGATTCTCGAGAAAGTTTCATCAATGCCTTAGGATCTCTACCCATGTACGTAAAGATCTAAGAAGAATTAAACAAATTGACTATTTTCAAACATTAAACAAAGCCGACATAAGACAATAGCATAATAGTCTATGTATGTACTGATCTCAGCTTAATGTTCAGGATATCATAGTTAACTGAAAGATCACACGTTGAGGACACCAAGTACAACTTGAAGACATTTCAGAGCGAAAACAGTAGGGAAGGAACAGTGCAGAAATTGAAATCCGACAAACAACTATAGTTATGGTATCAAAGACAACTCACAGGAGCAGTGGAATCACTTGTTAAGCCAGGAATAACAATCACAATAGGAGCTTCATCATTTTTCTGCAGGAAAGTACGACTACTCAAGTAGGCACCATCACCCCGATTGACTGTTAAAACAAGCACATCATTTATGAGCCAGGGAAATCATACAAGGGCAAAGAGCAGGGTTTTCATGAGAAACATGCATTCAGATGTCAGAGCAACAATGAAGACTGACCATCCGAATGCAATAACCAGTCCAAAGCAATTGTTCCGCCATCACTTGTATAGAATAGCACCCTGAACACCATCATCAAAAACACGAAACACAAAGCATCAGAAACCTGGCAGCAAAATTAACCTAGAGCTCTATGCATTTTTTACTCGTGAATTTGAATCATTATAGTAACCTTTTATAAGTGAAACGAGGAGGATTGCCAAAGAAACTCAAGAATGCGGTTTGGAGATGAGGACTACTCAACCATGGAGTAGGTAAATACCTGGACAAGCAAAAAAACATCGCACAGATCAATTCAGCTTCAACAAAATCACAAAATTAGGAGCAATCACAAAACATGCAAGAATCGGAAAGCTCAGTCAACCTGCCGCGGAGGACCTGGCACTTGGAAGCAACGGACCGGTAGACCTCCGACGAAGCATTATAAGTCAACTTGACGGGATCTCCTCGGAATCCAGTGACCAAATCGCGGAGGAAATGAATTTCGAGAAAATTGTAGAGGAAGACCAGTCCGAGAGCTAGGAGGAGAGCCGCGTAGTGAGCGGCGGGGATTAGAGACAGAGCTCTGAAGAGGAGCTCGTATGGAGAACCGAAGACGGATTGAGCTGCTGTACAACCATCCATGGCGCGCTTTTCTGCGAAAATGAGAGAGACGGGAGTCCAATCAGAAGTTGGGGAAATAAGTGCGTCGGACTCTGATCCTTGCTGCGTCTGCTTCCATTGCTACCCGGTGGCGTCGTGTCTCCATGGTTGTTCAGAGCTTTGTCCAGTATCTTGGATTTTGCTGCATTTGAGACTACAGAGCGCATAATTCATGCTAAATAGATTACTATTTATCTCTAATTAATAAATAATCCACAATTTGGAGCAAAAAAATTATAATTTGGCGGTGTCATTAAATATATTGAATTTGAAACGATGTCGTTGAAAAAGTTAAGCGCCGTCTGTGGGAATCGAACCCACGACCACGTGGTTAAAAGCCACGCGCTCTACCGGCTGAGCTAAGACGGCTGATGTGCTCTTATTTCATCGTTTCATTTAAAATTTTGAATTTGTAAATCGCCACCATCAATTAGCAATAGTAGCCTGCGAGGGAAAGCGAGAGGGTGCTGCAAATCTGTTACGCACGTTCAATGGCTCTTGGTGTCTGCAACACAGCCAGGCTTCTCAGCGGCATCCGCCACTGTCGCACATTCATCGCCGTAAGGATCAAATGGGTTCCCGACCCATCCCTCGACGCAGCAGTTACCAAGGAGAAGGATTTGAAGCAAGTCATCTCCCTGAAAAACCACATCCTCGCTTCTCCTTCAAAGTCGCTCCCGCTATCCTCTATTTCCCTTCTCAAACCCGAATTCAATCTTCCCATGGCGGCGTTTCGCTTTCTCAAGAGGTACCCTTTCGTTTTCTCCGTCTTCCAGCCTTCTCCCTCGCTTCCGCTCCATGTCAAGCTTACTCGTCTGGCGTTCAAGGTTCACTGCGAAGAGCAGGTGATTCACGATTCCTCCGCTCACCGTGACGACGCCGTGAAGAGGTTGGCGAGGCTTTTGATGCTCTGTAAAAGTATGAGATTGCCACTGCATATTATTGATAGGTTCAAGCATGATTTGGGTTTGCCTCATAATTACGTTTCGCAGCTTCTATCTGATTACCCTGATTACTTCCAAGTTGTTGGCGAGGGTAGGAATGGCGATTCTCGTGATGAAATGTTGTGTTTGGAGCTGGTTTCGTGGAAGGATGAACTGGCTGTGTCTGAGATGGAAAGAAGAATGGCTTTAGGGGATTTGAGGAATGTGAAGAAAGGAGCACGAATTGGTTTCTTGTTGAGTTACCCTAAGGGGTTTGATTTGGTGAATAAGGTGAGAGATTGGGTCTTTGAGTGGCAAAATCTGCCATACGTTTCCCCATATGAAAATGCCTTCCATTTGAATCCTAATGGAGATCAAGCTGAGAAGTGGACCGTGGCAGTGTTGCACGAGCTGCTGTGGTTGTTAGTGTCCAAGAAAACCGAGAGTGAAAATGTGCTGCTTTTGGGAGAGTATTTGGGATTTGGAAGGAGATTTAAGCATGCTTTGGTTCATCATCCTGGTATATTTTATCTTTCACATAAGATTAGGACGCAAACGGTTGTGCTCAGGGAAGCTTATTCGAAGGATTTCCTGGTGGTGAAGCACCCTTTGATGGGTATGAGGTTTAGGTACATTTACCTTATGAATATAGATAAGGAAAGTCAAAGGCGGAGGAAGTTGATGCTGAGTGAAAGTTCGATGATGACGAAAAAGGTGTCTTTTCCTGTTAAAAAATCAGAGGATAAAGGAAAATTTAAAGGTGGTAACAGGGAAGGATTAGTAGGGAAATCAAATTGTTCTTAGGATTCTAACTCCATGCTTCAGATTCTGAATGAGATGCTGGTTCGAAGTCTCCGTGCCTGAGGAGCTGGAAATGTGGTTGATCCAACTTCGCCATACTTATCCATGAAGAGAGAGCAGCAAATAAACCACTGGAGCACTTTTCCTACCTGTAATCATGGTTGAGAAATATTGTTGCATGAATACCCGGCTTATATGGTGGTATATGTCACATGCCTCTTTTCAAGTTCTTCCTGTTGAGTTTCCTTCTGAGATATTACCGGTGGGTACTTGAAGGATTTGATATGAACTGTGCCTCAATACTTCACTACTTGGTTTGGATTGATTATGTTTTTGTTTGAGGTAGCACAAAGATTGCGAATTTGGTGGTTTGGATGCATGCCAGGCACCTAATATGTGTTATAATTAGGCGTCGGACGGATTTTCTTGATCATGTAGTTGATTGAGAGTTCGTGATTCCACTTGAGCTACTGGTTGGATAAGCCTGTTTTTTTTTTTCTTTTTTCCAGTGTGCTGATCCTCATGAATGCATGCATATCATCTTGTCATGGGATTTGACTTGCTTAAGCTAATGGAAGTTCGCCTTCTCATAGTGAGCAAAGATCTTATTCTTACTTATAACACCTTAAAATCACTTGCATTCTTCCAGCTAGCATTCGTCTATAAATTATGGGATCTAAGCTCCTAAAATTGCATTTGAAAGTCCCAGTGGATGCAACTTTGATACTGAGGAAGGCCCTTGCACTTTGTTAATGGATAAGTTTTTCCATCTGATTTGCTGCTTGTACAATTGCTGCTCTGGTGTGAAATAAATGAATAGCACAGTGATTGTACAATTCAGTCTGAAACTTGAGCTGTCTTTGCTTTGAATTTATGTGTCCTGACATAATATCTGATTTCTGATTGCCCTTTGCAACGGTGACTGTAGAGGAGATAGCTAATTTGCAGCTTATGTGTTTGCACCTTCTATACTGGTTACTCCACATGGTGCTCTGAGCATCATCATCAGGAATGATACTCCATATTCTTGTAGATTAAGTTTACATTTCCAGTATTGAGGTCTGAATGTTTTCATGGTTTATTTGCAGTGAAGTTCTTGCCCATGCTGTTTTAAGAGAGGTCTCATGTTGTTGGTGTTCTTGGTTGTGCTCTTTGAGGGTTCTAGGACCCTTGTCCTATATGCTCCCAAAGAACAGTAAGTGGGATCTGTGATAAGAGGTCTGTAATCTTTCTCTGGAGCCTGGCATAAGCCCATCTCAGTTTGTAAATCTGTGCTGCTTTGAGAAGTAGCTGCAGTATTTGTTTCTGTTTTGGATTAATAATACTTTGCTGCAGACAATTTGTACAGTGTATAGATCGAGTTTCATCTGGTAAGAATATGCCTGAGAAGTGAATAATTCTCTAGGAACTGAACATAAACACCATGACATAACAACCTGTTTGTCTACATACACTCGTTGGTTACTGCGAGGAGCATCATTGCTTCTCTGTAGCAGAGAACACTAGATTGACAACCTTCCACTGTTGCTTGTATTCGTCAATTGAGTGAGATGTACCTGCTGAGGAAGGAGATGGTACTTTATACCCAGGTTGTCGAAAATCTTTTTGAGCTCAAAGACGAGTTCTGATCTTCTGCTGCTCTTTTCACCGTAGTTTTGATGGTTCATGGTGTGCTGAACGGCTAGAGTTAGCTTCATCTTATCCACATTCTCAATCTCCTTCACCACAACCGAGTGCTTTGGGTTCCAGTGCTTTGGCTTGCTCTCGATGTATCTGCAGTTTTGTTCAATATTATTATAGTGGCAGCTACAGATAGTAAATCTAATCCAACTCACCCATGCGTTTTATACTGTATACTAAAGTAGAAGAGAGTTGACTTACGTTTGTATGGCTTTCTTCAGGGCATTGAAATCATCAATCGAAGTGGAGACATCAATCGTGAAATCAACCGAATCCCCCATATCCGGGCTTCTCCTGAAGTTGCTGATAGGCTTGGAAATGAGAACAGAGTTGGGGTAGTATATCTTCTCCATGTCATACCTCAGGAACACCGTCGTCAGAATGTTCATCTCCTCCACAATCATCTGCACGCCATCGATGACACATCGATCCCCAACGTCGAAAGGGTGCATGACAAACACAAAGATGATAGACTCGAACATGGTCTTGCAGGTGTTCTGGAACATGAACCCCACAAGCAACAGCTGCGACGTGACGACGAGCAGAACCTTGGTCGTCGCCAGACCCATCACCAGAAGTGACATCACCACTATCACCACCATCGCTACCGCACTCGCCAGCTTGTGCAGCTGGTGGACCGCCGTTTTCGTGTCGTTCAAGGAATGCGCCAGCGCCTTCCTCTCCACGTAAGCACGCACGACCCAGTTCTTGAACGACGATTTCGTGATTCTCCCGGTTTCAAGAGCTCCTTCAAAGAGCGGGAATATGGTGTGCACCTCTTCCGTGGTCAAGAACCTCAACAGATCTTCCTCTTCTATGTACCTATGTACATATTCGAGTTATCAGAACGAACTGATTAGCGACGAAACATGGGGTGATCACTGATTACTGATTAACACTTACTTGGCAGCTGGCTTGGCAACATTGCGGAAGATCCTTCGACCACAGCTTCTAGCCTCCACCTCGCTGTGAATCTCCTCCGACTGGCCGAAACCATCAACCGCCGTGGAAATGGTGGAAAGGCCCGACGACTTGATGTAGTTGACCAGCCTCTTCACACTCAACGCGCTGGCTCTCCTCTCCATACTCAGCTTTTTAAGCCTCTCCATGTCAATCCTCCTCGGCCCTCCGCCGCTGCTAATGCTCCTCCACCTACTCCCCACCTCTGCCGCCGCCTCTGCTGCAGGCCTCGTCTCCTTGATCTCCGGTGGCAGAGACTTCGACGGCCTCAACGACCACCCTCTACGCCGCCGTCCTGCTTCCACAACGGCAACTTCCAGGGGAGGACCGGAGAGGGCGTCGAGGATGTAGTGATGGAACACGCTCTCCTTCATGCGGTCGAAGTATGTCGTCACGTGGAACGAGGAAGCCAGGACCTAATGACAAAGTAAGAGTAACATTTTTTTCATTTTTGTCACATTCATGTGTTACAATCTTTTGTCACCTTAATTGTTCATACAAATTCACTTGTATTCTTAGGAAATGTTATACTAATTGTATCGACTAATTGATGATCAATGTTACCTTGACCAGGAGGATCTTGATGAGCCAGAGCGTGGCGCCGATGAGCACCGCCACCAGCCCGCGGAAGAGCTTCTTCAGAACGGCGGCGTTTTTCTCGTCGTCGGTGTCGCCGAACATGATGACGGTCCAGGCGAGGAGGGCGAGGGCGAGCCAGGCGCAGTTCTGGAAGCTCCTCCTTAGGCCGTAGACGAAGTAGACGACTTTTTCCTTGAGCATGAAGTTGCGTTCAATTAGGAAGACAAGAAACCCGACGGCCCAGCCGGAGACTAGCCGGCCCGAGAAGAGTACCAGCACCATCAGGCACCATTTCCAGATCTCGATGCCGAATTCGGTCTTGTGCTTCAAGGGGGTGAAGGTGAGGGAGTAGATCAGGAAGGAAGCGAGGATGAGGAAGAAGCTGAACTCTGTCCATGCCCTCTTTGTGGCTTTCAGTTTGATGAACCTGGAGTACTTCCTTGAACGGCGTCGTTTTGGGTCTCCGTCGTCGGCTGGATCGAAATCCTCGTCTTCCTCGGATTCGGATTCATCGGAGGAAAGATGGGTAATGTAGGTGCGGGCAGTGGGAGTGTTGGGCTCGGAGAAGCGGGATCTCGGTTTGGAGAAGTTGAGACGGTGGAGGGTTTTCGACGACGGCGAAGGCGGCGGTGGTTGTTTGGTCTTTTTGTTGGTGTGGTTAGGTTGATCGTGGTGGTCGACGTCGACGGTGAGAATGACGTGCTCTGCTACGGCGGCGGCGGTCTCCATAAGTTGCAAGAACAGACAGTAGTGAGTAACTAGTGAGTAGCACCAATCAATCGGTTTAATAATGGCGGAAAAGTGGTCAGTCTCTGAGATTACGAGCTGGTAGATGTGAACGGTGGAAGCAAAGCTACTTTAGTTACCACTAAGCGAGATCGATCAATCGATCCAGAAAAGACAGAGAGGAAGCTGCTTTAGTTAGTGTGGTAGAAGTATATCGTAATCACCATGATTAATCAACTGTCAGCATCAAAGTAACAGGGTAATAATAATCAGAGTGTGAAGGAGAAGGAATGGGAGTAGTAATCTATCAGAACGGACATAATGATCACATTTCCACACAAGATTTAAGTGCGATTAGGTTAGCTGGCTGGCTGGCATTCACTTAGCTAGTAGCTATGTGGGTACTATTGCATACATAGTTAGGAGTGTCCATTCGGGTTCGGTTTTTCGGGTTTACCCGAAACTGACCCGATTATATATATTTTCGGTTTTTTTCGGGTTCGTTTTGGATTTTGGGTTTTTTGGTTTCGGGTTCGATTTTGCTTATCGGTTTTTCGGGTTCCGGCTAAAAACCTCCAATGAATAGAACTCAGTCCATATTTTTAGGCGTTCGGGTTTTCGGGTTTCGATTTTGCTTTAATCGAACCTAATAAAGAATTTTCGGATTTTGGGTAATCGGAACCCGCAAGTCCTTATCAGGTTCGGGTTCGATTTTAATGATTTTTGATTTCGGGTTTTCGTGTTTTTTTGGATTTCATTTTGGACAACCGAACCCGACCCGAACTGACACCCCTATATATAGCTCCCTCTCCACTTCAGTAGATTGGAGCCTAGCGAGGGTTAAAAACGTGCTCTTAAAATAATGGAGTTGTTATTAATCATGCCTAATTTGTTCCTGTGAGAACAAAGGTTTCTTAAATAGTTTCTTTAATCATGCCTAATTTGTTCCTGTGATTGTGGCCTAATCATCATGATGCATGGCTTTATAATTTATTCTTTCCATTTTGTTCCCACTCGCTGACCGGATGTATGTTTTTGTCTCAACGTGTTACTCGTTGTTTATTGCATGACACTGGCTATTCTTCTAAACTTACCTCCAGTAGTTACGGGCGCGTCGAGCGAGTTTTGACATAATTTGAGCTCAGTTTGTTAATAAATGAGTCGAACTCAAGTTTGACTCATTTACTAAAACTTTGGCTCGTATTTGAGTCGAGCTCATTAATGATCTTACGAGCTCTACTCGAGGTTGGCCCATCAATCAGCTTGCTCGACCGGCTCAACGTCGGTATCATATCATTTCTCAATCGCAATCTCGGTCTCCATCTCTTTCGCGGTCTCTTTCCCTCGGCCTCGCTCGCTGCGCGGTCGGAGTCGGCGGAGAATGGCTTCAGGCTGTTCGCTTCGGCGAGAAGCTGTTCCCGGCGCTTCTTCTGCAGCTCGTTTTCCTCTTGTCAGCGCTGGATCGCTAACTTCTCCCTCTCGGCTGCCGATAGGAATACAGGCTTCTTGCCGTTGTCCATGGCCGCGGCTGTGGCCGGAGTTTAGTTGTCTCGAGGAGAAGCTTTCAGAGGATGTGAAGAAGAAAGAGCTTTATGCGAAATTGCAAATTCCAATCCCTCGCGAAATTGGCGCGGATCAAAGTATTTATATTCCCGCAAGACACCGCCATCGTCATCTTACGCTGCCACTATAGAATTGTCCAATATTGTGGGCTTGGGCTTGAGCTGCCGTAAGATGGGCTCTTAGTAGTACGGGACCATACACAATGATACAGCCGCGTTCAACAAAAGAATTGGGGGGGGATCACAACCGGTCCACAAGAGCATTCGACTCGGTTTTGATCCGGTCCAAATATTTTTATTTTCTCAATGTTGTTAGAAGAAAATCGAAAGATAATAGCAAACCGTTTACACTTTAACAGAGTCTATCATTGTTGAGTGTTAAATATTTGTCGATGAACTGATTTCAAGTTGACGTGTAAGGTGATGTGGCTTCAAGTTGTCGTCCGGCCCAGTCGAAACCGGCCGATAAGTTTCAATGATTTGCTCTAATCCGGCGACAATTGAGACGAGTTAAGCCAAGTTTTGACATGGTTTGGCGACGTCAATTTGTTAATAAACGAGTCAAGTTCGAACTCAATCTCGACTTGTTTAATAAAACTTTGGCTCATATTTGATTCGAGCTGAACTCGAGGTCAGCTCATTAATGCGCTCATGAGCGCTACTCGAGCTCGGCGCATCAATCTGCAACAATGTTATGGTCTGATGTCAATAAAAATAGTTAGGAATTGAAATGATTTCTGGATATATATTGATTTATATTCTGATTAGAGAATGATTGAATCATAAATGTGACTGATGAACACTTGTTTGTACCTGGTACTTACATACTTGGCATTAAAAAGTCTAGACTTTAACTTACAGACTCCCTCTTTTGCTAGTGTTAGAACAGGGAGATGACAACAAAGACATACAGCTAAGATGTGAGTGAGCTGACTGGAAATCTGGAATGTTAACCCGTTAGCTGAGAAGTTAAAGAGAGGCATCATGAGGAGGAGGTTGATTTCACGTCGATCCGTCGGAATCTACTTCTATAACGTGGAGCACAAGGCACGAAGGCGTCGTGCTGCAACCACCATCTTCTTCGTCATCATCACCTCTGCTAATGCTAATGCTTGGATCCCAGCATTGTTGGTTCATTCACCCAGGGAGATGACAACAAAGACATCATCGACGGACCACTTCCTTGGCTCTGACTTCCCCTGAGGGTTCATTATGGCGCGCTCAGCCTGAGCCAGCCGATACCCGATCACTATCTCGTTCCTCTGCCGGCCCCTGACCATGATCTCGTAGAAGCAGACCTCCTCCTGGTCGTACAGGTAGAACTCTGCCGGCTTTATGCACATCTCATTCCCCTGCTCATTTCCATATCTTCGCCTTAGAGAAAGAGAAAACATAAAGAGTAACTTTGTGAATAGAAGAGAAAACAGGAGGTTAATTACCTCCTCGGCGAACAGTTCTTCCAGAACACGGTTGATTTGCTTGTCTTCAGCTACCATTGCCAGAGCCATGCTGACAAGCTCATTCGACAGCACGTAGTCGCTGATTCTGGAAACCGACACCAAGTTTCTAGTCCTGGAATCCAGGATTTCGCTTATGATGATGGACTTGTCGGAAGCTTGCTGCATTTCCCGAATCCAAGAGCTGTGAGAGAACCCAGAAAGCCGGAACGATGTTGACTTTCTGTCTTTATATGGAAGACGTTTCGACTGCAAACCAGGCAGGAGACAGGGAGAAGAAGCAACTTTTGTTAGTGTATAAGCAAAGATTAGAGTCCACTAGAGACAATGGCTATATTGGCATTTACCTGTATATCTCGGATTAGGAGAAGGGTAGCAAGAGATCTTGAATCAGACTGAACGATCGAGTCCTCCAATGACTCATCTGCAAGAATTAATATCTGTTTTCTTAGAGTTAGTATATGACTAAAACGGAATTATTGAGTCATGAAACAATCAGAGCAGCCTGCGTTACATGTGAAACACAAAACAGGAAGTAGTTGCAAATGGCAAGGAAATAAAGTGGAGATAATATCTCACTTACAGAATCAAAAGTCTCCAGTGGAAGACTCTCCAGATGCCTCCTAATGACAGCATTCCCTTCACGGTGGACAAGTTTGATGTTCTCTAGTCCAGAAATGTCCAGTCCACCATCAATCAGCTTCTTTTCTCTTTCCTTTTCATGGACCTCGTTGAACATCCACAGTTCTGAACCTGGAGCCAGGAATGCCTCTAGAACCTGAAGCAGCAATGTAAGAGGCAAACGTAACTCTTCCCTATTCAATAGCCGACTCTCTCCTTGAAGGCAACATTAAAGCGTCCACGAGAAGGAAATTTCATTCAATAAAGCACATACCATAATCATATCATCAATGTCACGGCGCCAACCGCAGAACAGTATCTTTTCTGGATATTTTGGAGGGTCAGGTATCTTTGGGAAGGACCCTCTACGTACCTGGATCAAGGAAACTGGCTGAAATAAGATGAGAATGGAAAACCATTGTTGAAACAATCGCATTACCCCTCTAGCAGGCATCATTCCAGCAATAGTAATAAGTGTGGAAAAGAAGAATAACCTCTGGAAGAGGACCTGGAGCATACGTGTCATCATCCTCAGCGATGACTAGGATTTCATCTCCTTCTCGCAACACATAGTTATCATCTGGATTTATGTTTATCTTCCCACCTTCGGCAGCAACCTTAACTCCACAAGGAATTGCATCAGGGAATGAAATAAGGACGTCCTCGAAGGACATACCATCAAGCTGGGGCCACCGTTTGATATAAAATTCTGCATTCTCAAACCCTAAAATATCTTCCCAAATCTGTTACAGGAGAAGGAAAAGCTCAGTTGCTTGATTGATGAGACCAGACTGAGTTAATTGATAGTCAATCTACCATGGAAGTCCACACGATGATGGAAGAGCAGCTTCTCAACTAAAAATTGTGACAAAAATGAAAAACTATTTCACCTGTGCAAGACCAGGTTGCAAAGCACACTGGATCATCAAGCGGCCAATGACATCGTGAGCAACAACTGTTTCTATCAGGTCCCCTCCAACAAGCTTCACTAGTGGTTCATTGTCAAGGTCACTCATCTCTACAACAACATGGCCCCTCAAACCCTCCCTAACTCCTGTCAAGCTGAGCACAACCCTCAATGCACGTGCATCACTCTGGTAAACAGAAGTGTCACTAATATGTGAAAATTCATCCACAGGATGAGTAAATAGAACAATTCATCTGACACAAAGAATAAGAAAGAACCTGATCTGCATTTTCATCCGATGCTAATACAATTATTGCCCGGGCCTTTGACACTGAAACCTGTCAAATCATGAAAAAATGGTACAAAAGTTTAACAACGCAATTCATTGGGGGGAATGAAATACATGATACAAACAATACATACTTTCTTCAAGTCAGCCAGGATAAGAGGACTGCCGCTTCTACATATAACTGATGTGCCCATGAAGTCAAATTCCAGTTTAGCTATATCCATCTCCATTTCTTCCTTGTCCCTTTCAGCTAACACAACTACAACACCTCCCCCAACGCTCTTGTTTGCAATGGCCAGTTGCTTCAGAAGTGAACCCTGTATAAAAGAACACCTTTTTTCAGGGTTTTCCTTAAGGGGCATGAGCAATATGAACTTGTGACATTGCGACTATTTTACAACATCTCAAATCAGCCTCTTAAAATACTAGCTATTTGACTAAATATTAGTTTCCTAATAAAAATATACTAGCTATTTGAATTGAGGCACAGATAATGGAATTGAAGCGCATTTCTGCGTGTATTCGCAGCAGCAAATGCGATATGATCTAATGAACCAGCTATTTGCATTGAGGCACAGATAGGAAAGGAGTAAAGAGAAAATGCAACAGAGAGCCTATGCCCTATGGCAAACCCCCAAGGCCACAACTTAATAGGTATAATGTGAAAGATCTGAAAGTAATCTCTCACTAGAACCTTACAAGGATTGCAAACACAGGGCACTGTACATTTAATGCAGATATAGCACAAGGATGCAGCTGAAATAGGTCTTATAGTTAATTCTACAGCTGGCTTAAAACAGAAAAAAGGCTGTAAATTTGTCAACCAAGAACAGATCTTGTCAAGTTACTTACCAACTTGTCACTCCATCCAAGAACTAATATATGATCTCTTTCGATGACTTCACTTTTCCCTTTCCTAAGAGAATCCACCTTTTCTGAGATAGCATCCGAGACAAGTCCAAGCATCATGGCAAAGATCAGCATGCCCCCAGAGCTTATAGAGACAGAAACAATCCTTGGCCCAGTACCAGTCCTATCAGCATGATTCCCCGAGTCAGCCACAAACGTCCATGATAGCCAAAGAGCTTCGGTCAAGCTACCATCACTGACCGCGTACAATGCCAACCCACCAAAACCTATGAGAAAGATGGTTGCAAATAGGAGAGCAAGCAGCTTTGCATAGGGATAAATAGAGAAACAAACATCCACCCTGTAAGCAATTCTTTTTTTCAAAGGAACCCCTTCCTTGTTACTATTCTCCATTCTTTTAGACAGTGTCTTTATCTGTGGAAGATGATCGATGTATTTGTAGAAAGCAAATGGCATAAGAAGAGTGACTATCACAATGTACAAAGCAAGAGTTCTACTGTCAGCACTTCCGAAACTAAACAAGCTATCTTCAGCCTGCTGCAAAACTTCGACGCCGCCATTACCTACACCACCTTTGTCCCTACACCCTTTCCGGAGGTTAAAATTCTCTGCCTGCAATTAAGCATATACCACGAAGCAGGAATCAGAATGAAAAGCTCGCAGGACCCACATTTTTCTCTCCATATACAACTTAGGGACAGTGTCGAGATTGTTTTCATGCTTCTGAATCACATCAAATTCAACATATATACCTCTATCCTCCCGAGTTCATTCCGCAGGTGAATTGAGTAAGACATTGACAATGTACAAGTGAACAGGAGCTGCAATACAATTAAGAGAAAAAGGGTTAAAGGGTAATAAGAAAGGAGGATTCCACTTTTAAATAAACCCTGCGATGGGCCTTTTTTCCATTCATTTCCAAACACTGATGCTTTTACGAATCTGCAAATTTCCCGTCTTTTTACTTTCTCGTGTCAAGCAAACGGCCGAGAGAAAGTCAGGAGACGAAGAATTGATAAAAATAGGAAGGAGGAAGGGTTTACCAAGTAATAGCTGAACGGATGCTGCTTCGAAACACGAGTCCTCCGCATTTCAGGCAGAGTCGCTGAACTCGGCTGAGCCACCAAAACTCGACTCGCCGCCGCGGCGTTCTTTTTACTTTCTACCTTCAGTTTACTGTTACTCTCTCCTCTGCCCTCCCGCAATCCACTACTACTACTGCTACTACCGGAACGAGCAGCAATTACTTGTTGATCCACCTCCGCCACTTTACTCCCCTGCACCCCGCCGCCGCCGCTGACGCCGCCGCCCCGCCGGCCTTTCACCGTGACGCGATTCCGAGTCACGTGCGGGCCGAGAAACGACGGGTACATCCAATCCCGATCCGCAAAAGCGCTACTGCTACCGAAGCTTCCCGGACCATTCCCGCTACTGCTACCGAAGCTACTGAAAGCAGCTGAAGAAGTGGAAGGCGAATCGGAGTTGCTACTGCCGACGGAGACGCGGAGATCCGCGAGCTGAGGCCGGAGCTGATGAGAGAAAGCAGCAGCAGCAGCAGCAGAAGAAGAATTAGTGGTGGAAGAAGAGCGGCGAACGGCGGGGAAGAGTGGACCGGGGAAATGAGTGTCGTCGGAGATTGAAGTCTTGGATTTCTTGAGGACCGGCGGGAGCTCCTCTGCCTTCTTGGAGCTGTGGATCGAGGAAGCGGCGGTAGCAGTAGGTGAACCATCATCGCTGCTCTTCGGCATGTGAGAGTGGTGGAATTTGGGAGATTGGGAAGAGCTGCTACAGGGGGAAAATGGAGGGAGAGTTTCAGTTGGGGGAATTTCGTTTCTTGAAGCTCTCAAATCGATCAAACGGATTTCCAGTTAGCCGGGAAAAGGTAATAAAGGACGGGGGGCGAAATAATAGGAGAAAGGGGAGAGTGCTCGAAGTTCGATAGATCCGCTTTTTCTTTCTTTGTGGGGCAAATTTCAGGTTCGGTCACTCTGCTGCTCTCTCGATTTTTGTGTTTTTGTTTTCTACCTTTGGAAAGGGAGTTGACTGTCGTGAACTGAAAGTTTAAGTACGATCTATGGAACTAGATTTGGGTCCAGTATAATGGATTTCAATGTGGGCCTGGCCCAAACAGTCCCATTCATCACAAACTCTTTATAGTCGGCACGACTGGATCGGATCAATATTATTTGGTGGGCCACCATCTTGGTGGGTGAACAATCGAAGATTTGGGTGAATTTGGTTTCACAATGATAAAAAGAGTCGACATAAAAATCTAAAATTAAGGCTGCAAATGAGCCGAGTCGAGTCTTATCCCGGTTTGAATTCGACTCGTTTATTAACGAATCGAGTTTAGTCGAGCTCGGGCTAGCTTGTTTATTAAAATCTTGACTTTTATTTAGTACTTCCTTTTGTATATCATGGTACATATGATTTATTTTGTTAGCTAATCTCATATTATACATTGTTGGTATCATATATCATTTAGTTAATAAATTTTAACTACTCCAAATCATGTTATTTCACAGTATCGAAGCAATCTATGATACATAATTTCTTCTTAAAATAGAAAATAAGATATATTTGCTCACATACTCAACGTGTTAAACTTTATATATGGCGAGATATATAATTTAACAACCATATGAATTAAAATCATAAGATATAGATTGATTCATCCATAAGTCGGTAATCGAGTTGGCTCTCTAGCCACATTGTTGAGACTTATCATGAGAGCTCTAAACGAACCAGCTCACGAGTTTAAGCTCAACAAGCCACCGAGTCGAGCTGGCTTGCGAGCTTCACGAGCTGAACAAAAGCTCAGCTCATGTTTGGCTCGTTTATTAACGAACCGACTTTTCAAACGAGCTTTTTATCGAGTCGAACACCCAGCCGCTCCCGAGCAGCTCGGCTCATTCGCAGCCTACTGCTAAAGTCATGGTTGTTATGTATGTTTGGCTATAACAAGGCAATTTATTCTTGTGCTAACTGCCAATTACCAGGCTTAAGCTAAAAGGATTAACAAGGCATTTATCCACGTAGATTTAGTCAGAGAAACATCAATGATCGATATTCATTATCAAAGGTTTTGGTCACCCTCATCTCAATATAATCCCTTTCTACTTCCTCTCAACGCAAAGCTTTGGCTCAGATTGCAAACACTCACTGCTATTTTTCTCAACTTGTTCAACTGTCTGTCTTAGCGCTTGTTTGCCGATGACAAAAAATACCCTGAACGAGCAGGAAACGGCGAAAGTGAAGTCTTATGACGATCTTCATCCGAGCGAATACTATCATCACTCCTCCTATGTTCTTCTTCTTCTTCATGATCTTGAGTACCACTCGTTCTTAAACCGCTTTGGTGCTGCTCTGTGTAGGAAGCAAAATATGGAGACTTGCTCGTTATCCTGCAAAATCAAATGGGCAAGGAAGGTAGCAGAGTGATGAGAACAGAGCATCTATATTTACAGAGCAAAGTTGGGAATTAGTTAAAGCGAACCTGAGGCGTCTCTTCTCCATGAAGTGTTGCAGTGATATCTTCCTGGCAACTGGAAGCTGCTGCAGGTCGGCTTGGAGCTTGCATCCTCCTCCTGCAAATTTCGGCCGAGGAGGAGTAACCTGAGCTTGCATCTTCTTCATCGTGTCTAACTTGGGCAGCACTCCTCTTGCCTTGGACGAGCAGCTCTCCCGAGCTAGCAGAACAATGGCTTCCACCTTCTCCGCCGGAATGTTGTCGAAAACATTCACCATTCCAGCATAGAACATTGTCAGTTGTTTTGGCGCAGGGGATGAAAACTGCCGTTCCCCGCTGGCCGTTGCAGTAGCACTGATTAATTAATACCATCAATCCAAACACACAAACAAAACTGTTAATGATCACATACCATTTACTAACACTCAAACGCGTATTATGTATATGAATTCACGACTGAATCAATTGGTATTAATAATTCGAGTTATTGGAAGAGGTTTAATTATGAATCATATATTGTTTACAGAAAACCCACTCGCGTAAAGGGTTGAAATTTGTACAGGTTCAGATATACTATGTGCTTAACAGATCAACATATATACAGGGTCATCGTGATTCGAATATAAGATTTCTCCATCACAGAAAACTCCTCCTGATAATATGTTAAGAATCAGTTGGTTTCAATAACTCGTGTTATTTGTGAGAGGTTCGATTATGAATCATACACGATTAATACGAAACATTCATCAAAAAGGTATAAACTTCCATTAATTTTTCACCTTACATGGTTAAGTAATAGACATTACCTCATCCCGGGAAGCATCTGGCTTTCAAGAAGGGAAGAGCGCCGCTGCTGGTGGCCGGCGGCGGCGGCGGCGCCACCCAGCCGGAAATGAGTCAAACCTTGATGGTAACTGCTTATCATCCGCATTCCCCCGCCACAACGGCGGCGGGGATCGTCGTCATCATCGTCACCATCACCGGCATCTGCTGCCGGCGTCGGTACCGATGATGGCTCTCTCAACCTTAAACTCGCTGCCCTGTTTCGTCTTACCTCTGTTTCCTCGTTGCTATAATCTTTGGTCATCGCCACTACTCTCTCGCCGAACAACTGAAGACACGGTCGATCATCGCCATCATCATCCTCATCATCAACCTTTTCCCGCTTGATCTCGGATTTCTCCCTAAACAATCTTTGACTGGAAATCGACAACTCCATTAATCTACCCTTTTCCCGGCCGGCTTCTCTGGTGTGATCGGCTCCCGCAGAGGAGGTAATGGAAATGAAATGAAATGTGGGTGGAGATCAAGGAAGGGAATTTATATATATATATGAATGGGCACATTGGTTTTTGGATACAACTGTTAATATGATGATTATTGGTTTTGTATTAGGGTTTGATGGTGAAAGGTGTGGGGAACAGGGGAAGGGCTACAGAACAGGCAAACAGAGGAAAGAGCTGTAATTAAGCTTCAAGACAATCATTAATTAAGTAATTATATGGGTTTGGAAGTGGTTTAATTTATTAGTAATTGTTATAAGATTTTGGTTATCTTCGCCGGCCACTAAATGTTGTTTAAAAGACTTGTTCTTTGTTCTCCTCTGGGTCGATAGACCCAATGTCTTTGTTTCTGTACACAGCTGTGTTGAGAAGACCTGAACTCCAGGATGTAGCTAGCTTGGCTCTGTTATAAGGTTGCTATGTTTATGTTTTTATTAATTGTTAGGTGGTATTGAACGGAATCTGCAACCTTCAGGTTAAAGATCAGTGGTAATCTCATTACCTGTATTGGATCGAACTCAAATGGACTCGTGTTTATTTTTAATGGTTTTGCGTTGAGTTTGGATTGAATCCAATTTAGGTCAACTAATTTGAGTGAAACTCAAACAAGTCTAACTGTGAATTCAGATGATTGCACACGCAAAAAGACAATATTGATTATCTCACGAATTCCTTTCAACCCAATTCACACTTCCAATGTTAGTGTTTCCACAATTGTGTCTGTTTCACAACATAAAGATAGCGAAAACCCATTAAAATTCTGAATATCCAATATCGTGAATCTAATTTAGAGATAAACTAAAAAATTGAAGTAATATTACTCAAAACCTTATTTCACCGTAACAATTTGATTTTAGAAAATATATTTTTTTGCCATGAGAAATAAGTTAGAAGAAGATATAAGAATAGAGACTTTTAGAGAGTGTATTCTTGCACATGTTGCCACAAATGATGATCCCACAGAGAACCGATTTGCAAACACCCAATTTTAGGCACCCAACTATTTGGAGGGACGTACCAAAGGGAATCAACTGACGGCCACGATTATGGATTATCTATTGTTTCCTTTGATAATAAAAATCACGTGTACAAAAAGGGTTTATTAATAATATTATTAGCTTCTTTTGGACCATACGTGAACAACACAAAGAAATATTAGAATACATCGATTGGTTGATAATGATTTTGAACTTGGAGAGAACTACAGACTGGCCGGCCAATGCCATAAATCTTTTTTTAAAGTCTATTACATAAAAAAAAATTAAAGTTTTGTTAGACAATCAAGCAACACTCATTTCACTGGAATCCCTAAAGGGGTACGAGCAAATATTTTACTAGAGAGAAAGTAGGGGATATTTATTTATAATCTGAATTTAATAGTTCAAAGTTTAGCCAAATCATAAAATTAATTGATGTTATTATCTCATTTTATTATATTTTAAAATTTTCGAAACACACCTTATGTTCATAATAGGCCCTCCAGAATTTATTGAAGGATGACGCATAATTAAATGTATGGAAACTTAGACATAAATTTTGCATAAAATTCACACAAGTAAATGAAAAATTATAAACAATTAGAGGTAGAAATTGGTTCGGTATCCCATTATCAAATAGTGAAATTCTGAATACCAAATAATGTCCTATTTCAATATCACTTTCAACCCTAAAACAAATTTGGTATCTCAATCCCTAATATTTTGTTCTGTATCGTTATATATCAAATTAAATCCCTTCAAAGTTACCAACCAAATATTTAGAATGCAAATTCTTATCCTCTGCCAACAGTTCCACAAACCATTCTCGAAAATAAAAGCCAACAATGGCGGTTGAGGGTCTAGTAGAAGTGAGTGAGAGAGCTTAGTTAGAAGGAATGAAACAACCCCAGCTTATATTTCGATATATCACCAATCTCAATCCCGTAATTCTTAATATCAAATAACACTTGAATTTCAATCTCAATCTCAATTCCAAGAATAGTTTTATTCAATTATAGCAAATACCGACTTATATCCTACATACTAATACCAAACTTCCAATCATCAAGTTCCCAAAACCATTGAGATTTTGAGACATTTCAATTATCACACGTTTTCATTCAACCCCCCAGCATAGTAAATTGCGTCGACAAGAAAAATGGGCGAAGAGTTTCCAAAACCATTGAGATTTTGAGGCAGCGGAAAAGGACATCCATGTGGATGTTGCAAACTATGCCACAATATATTAATTTGTGATTAACAATTAATATTTGGTTGTTTGTTTTGATCAACGAGCAAGACGTCTTATTATTATAAACAAGATTCCATCAATGGAATGAAACCCACATTGAAGAATACAAATCAGTAGGTTTAGGTCCAAAGGCATTTCTTAAAGTGGGAAGGACAACGACATGATCCACATTAACCAACAACAATGGAGCTGCAAAAGAACGACATCTAACAAAACAAGGGGAAGACCTAAGCTCATAAACAGAATTCAGGTACACACTTCTGAAACCAAAATAAGATTCATCAAACTTCATATTTGGTACTGTTACCTCGTCATTTTGATACTCTGCCGGTGGTAATGCCACCATTGATGAACTGAAATGAGCTGTGGCTAGGACCACACCTAGGGCAGAACCTGGCATTCCGATCTGCAGGCAAATCGACGGCTAAACTGGTTCATTCTGGAAACAAACTTCCTCAATTTTTCGAATCATCAAGGTCATGATTGCTGATACGTAATATCAATTTCCTGACAGAGAAATTATTAGAGGAGTTCTCTCAATCCATCCCAAACATGGCCTGAATTTGAGTTTCTTTAGCTTACCTCGATTGCCATTGCCCGCCGCCTTTGTTGTTCTTTAAACCCTTCAGTTCAATGGCCGCTGATAAATACCTAGAGAATTTCATCGTTGTTACTCTCTTTACAGAAGAAACTCAAACTTCCCCCTCCAATTCTGGGAACCATTACTCTCTGGTTTCTCTCTTGTCTCTTGTACAGCAGTCGAGGGGAATTTGGCTCACCATTATCAAGAGCAATATGAAACCAGTTCACATCATACATTGTAATGCGAACAAGCTGAAATGAACTAAGAACGCATTTGAATGCTATACGGAAGAGACTATACCAAGTTCATAACACTAGTAAATGTCGTACGTTGAGAAAATTAATATATACAGCCAGCATGTGGCTCCTTACCATCCGCAGCCACATTAGCAGAGTTCAGAAGGTCTATTTGTTTTGTCCCAAAGGTCACCCCCCTTCTCATATCAGTCAGCTTTGGCTTAGGTTTGCAACGGAGATAGATTGTCGAGCTGGCCAAGATTCAATCTTCTGGAAGTACTTCACTGGGACAACACCATCGAAACCTTCAGTCAAGATCACCTTATTCCCCGATATATAAAGCTTCATTCCATCTGAACCACATTAGTTCCAGAGTTGTATCAGTTTCAACCACCATTTAAGAACAAGGAAAACAGATTCCCCTCGTCCAGTTCACACCCAAGTCCTTACCTTCCAGAGCCTTTTCCACATTCAGGAAAATAAGCACATTTACGTTCCTTCTCATCCCTGGGAAACCACAGGTGAAACACGTTCAGCAATTAAATCAGAGGTTTGTTAAGTAGCAACGAACACAGTATTATCAGCCTTACCACTGATCACTTCACCATCTGTTGGCAAGCCGCAAGAGAAGTGAACATGCAATCTCTCCATGCGCTTTAAACCAGACTGCAATATAGATTCCAGATTCTTCCTATATGTTCCATGCACACAGACTGCCATTCCAGAGAAGACGCAGTTACTCCAACCATATGTGGAAAGAAACCCAGGTAAGGTAACATACATGAAAGGAACTGGAATTGACAAGTATCACATTGTCAAATCATCGACTTTACCTGCTACCTCATCAGCTGAAAGGATGGGTTGTAACAAACTTTCTGATTCAACTACCTGCACCGTCATAACAAAACCTATTTCAGGTCAAGTAGAGATGTCAATAGATCCTTCACAGTGATATTCCACAACTTCGACACAGTGAGAAACACTAGAAAACTTCCTTCTGGCCTCTAGAAACGGTTAGTACCCACCAAAGCCAGAATGAAAAAGGCATCAGATTAAGATATCACCTTCACCGTGTGGCCTTGGTTTGCACGAATCAAGAGCTCTCCATTTTCCTCCACGAGCCCGAATCTTTGCTTGTTATCCCTTCTGACTGCCTGCATTTTCACATCATTCAATTACTGAACAACCAAAGAGAAAATAGTGCTTCCTTCATTTTCAAGCATTCATGACCAGGAATTCGAAAAACAGTTTTGCTCTCCAAGGGATTCTAAGAGCTCTTGAAGAAGTCGTAGTTCAGAAACCAACCTCCCTGATATCATCAACCGTGTGTGATATCAACGGAACATTGGCAAAAGTTTTCATGTTCAACTGAAGCAAATCCTCCACTTTCACGAACCCATCACTCCGCATATTCAAACTCAACTCAGAAGCCATATGACGCAAAATGCGTGTCCTGGAAATAGACCAATGTTCATGAATATATTACCTTCACAAATCAGAGATGCAACAGGATAAAAACATATGTAAAATTTTCTTAAAGGAACACTGCAGATAAGAATAGCGAGTCCATGAGCAGTGTTGGGGGAAAAAAATGGAGGAGGATCCTCTTACAATAGTCTTCCAAGAGCATCAATTTTCTCATTCTCGGAACCACCTCCTCTCCCACCGCCACGACCGCGTCCACCCGGTCTTTCCCTATCACTTCTCATCCCCGTACCTCTTCCGCTGCCATTGTTGCACAATCTCATCAAACCAAAAAAGAGCGGAAAAACGAGAGGGGGAATTTTAGGAGGAAGAGAGAAGAAACTATACCCTCTTCTGCCGGAATGTGCACGAGAAGAAGAGCTCATGACTTGTGAGCTTCGATGGAATTCAGCTCGAAACGACCACTTGAGCAGCTGCGGCGAAGAGTCGGCGATATCAGAATTGATTTCTGGACGAGGGGAAAGGAAGATTTGGCAGCAGCGCTGAATCCAAGCAACTGTAGTAAGAGCTGACCTATGCACTTAGGTGACCCAATCGGCCACCAATCTAGCTTCGCCGCTCCCGGCGCGTAAGAACGCAGATTCTCATCGGCAAATTCGTGAATTTAAATAAGGGCGCAAATCTTTCAGTTAGCTTAGCTACGACGATAAGACCTTTTGTTCTTGCTGGTGGATGATGAACCGTTAGAGGAGAAGCAATGGCAGCGGCGACGGATTCAGGGGTCAGCGGCAGTACTGGGGAAGAAGCTTTTCGGCGGAGGAGAAGATCATTGAAAATTTGAAATAGTATCATCAGTCGTCCCCGTATATACATATCCGGTGGTAATTACAGAAATCATCACTGAACTATGTGCTATGTAACAAAATGGTCACTAAACTCAAAACCTAACAAAATGGTGACTTAGATTTGTTGATTCGTTACAAAATGGTCACTCTCTAATTTTGATAATTTTTCCGCTAGTTGTAGCTAGTCAGCATGGCAACTAGATACAACTATATGTGTTAGTCAAGACTCTTTTCTCCGTCGCGATTCACAAAAACTCCAAAAGAACACAACTGCAATCGGAATGTCATGCCATCTGTTGAATAGCACACCCCGTGGTGGATTTGGAGATGAACAAACATAGACTAGTATTTTAGCTAACGAAACATGTGACATACAACGATAACGTCTCACGAGTTTCACGAGTTCATTCGTCGAGACACATCAAGTATACAAATGAGTTGGCATATGGAGAGATCAAATGCTACAGTATGTTATAAAAAAGAGGAATCAGGACAGAGTGCCTAGTTCTTCTTGGCCAAATACAAGAGCTGAGGATATATCTGTTGGCTTCACTACTCAGAAAATTACCCATATGAAGGGGGGGAAACCCACTGGGGATTATGGAAAAGAAGCTTAAAAACCAGAAGAAAGATAGGTACGACTGGAAACCCAGGCGCGGAGCTATGTACAATACACATTACACTCGGCGGATGAGTCTATTCGTAATCACGGCCGAAGCAAAACACAAAGACATCCATCTCCATCGGTTGGCAGGTCGTCTGAAGAAAAAGAAAACCTACCTTTTTGCTTTTGTCTCACGCAACACTAAAGCACGCGGAGCTGTGCAAGGAAAGCTGCACAGAGGTCCAAGAACAGGAACTGCGGTCCCTGTACTCGCTGTAGATCCAGCAAGTACTTCTCCTCCCGTGTTTTGTACAGCTGCGACAATCAGCGACATTGCTTGTTCAACAGGTTTGAAATACGAAAGTCGAGGATTATAGGAAGTGAAGAGAGAGTGGATGGAGAATGGCTACCTGGACTTCGAATTTCACGACGTTTGGTGCTTTGGTTGCTCCGTCGTTCTCAATAATGGAAGAATCATCCCCAAAGAAGTGGTTATTGAGGCCAGAATCATTTAGCATGCCTTCATGGTGTCCGGGGCTACCAGGGAACCACCGGCACTTCATGTTGTAGTGACCAATCTTCTTCCAGCCGACATTCAGTTCTTGCAAAGCTTTGAGGACTTCCGTCATTATTTCACGTGGATGGGCTCGAGACTGTTAAAACACCAAACTGCATAGTTAATTTAGTGTAATAAGGTCAAACCAGAAAACAGGGATTTTGAGACTGCAGATGTCAGCGTAGAAATGGGATGGGAAAAGAAAAGAAACGAGAAGAGGCGACACACAATAGTTTTCAAGCACCCGAGTACATAAGAAATATGTCAACTGGACTGCTGGTTTACCTGAAGTCCGAGTGCCCATTTCCTATCAACAGGATATTGTGATCTCAAGCCCATCCCTTGATACTCCATATACCCAGCGGGGCGATGACCACCAGATGGAGAAACAGGCTCACTAGGATGCATACGGTTGTAACCCAGTTCCTGGAAGGAAATCAATCATCAATGAACAAATTACAGATGAAAGGCAAAAATATTACCTAGATAATAAGATTGGAGATACAAAAACCTAGATATTCTGATAAAGCATCAAACATGCATTTAAAGTTCTCTTTAAAGTCAATCCAGAGTTAGAAGTTCATATTAACGCTTCAGAAACCTCAAAAGGGATCGACCGACCAGTCATCACGTAATTAAAAAGAGCAATTAAAACTATAACCTCGCCCACTGACCCCCTGCCTCCCAAGTCTCAGCCTCAAAAGAAACAGAAAAAAAATATTTCTGAAGAACTTGGCAAAACGAACCATACCATGGTCTCTTGAAACTCTGCTCCAAGATATCCATTAGAAACCCGGAACCTGTTATCCAATAGCAAGTAGTACGCCACAGTACCCTGAAAATGCATTGTTAAGCAATCGCAAATCCCTGAAAATAAATCTAAAATATGTTATCAGAAAAAAGAACTGATACCTCATTCTGAATTCTGTTGCGAAGAGATTCAACAAGTTGGTTCCTGTCAAATCCCATTTTAATCACTTCCTGCAGAATCTCCTCATCAATCTGCATGAGGAAAATGACATTCACAAAGCCTGGATAGCAATATAGCTACGATGCAACAAAAACTCATGTAGCCGGCACATCACATATGTAGGCTGACAACGGAAATAGACAGGTGTAATAACACGCAAACGGTCACCTTTTACATCGTTTCAATATGCAACTTATCCGAACAGAGACGAACAGTCAATTCTAGAAAACATTACGGTCTAATAGCAGGCCCAGTTTGCAAGGATTAGAAGCTAGTCTGTGTGCTTAATATGTAGGGGCCTCATTGTACTAGCACAAGGACATGTCACATACTAATATATGCTAATATGTCAAAAGTTGAAAATGTGGTGTGGAAATATCATTTTCATTGTGGGAAAGATTTCATAAAAAGAAAAAGAAACATAAGCAAACAAGTTCGCTCCATTTTAGACAATAACCTTTTTAGCTTGTTGCATCGTATCTGGTGGAGGGACAGCCAAGTAACGTGGGAGACGAGCTTGGAACCACGGGTGCTGACGAATTTCAGGTATAGTCATTCGCTTCATCGGATCAACCACTAGCATCCTAGGGATAAGATCTCTTGCACCAGGTGATAAATGACTAGGAAGAGTGTATATCCCTCCCTAAAAACAAAAACTCAACTGAATCCATTTGTGCACAAGCAAGACACATAAACCTGCTCTATTAAATTGCTCGTCACAAACATAATACATAAAAGAAACGGAATAATAGTGCATATGAAAATGAAAGACAGACTTGTATAATGATAACAGCATCCATAGGTAAACTGGGTATCAAAAGACTATCTACCACTGAACCCTGAAATCTCCCATTAAAGTCGACACTGTGACCCAAAATAGCAGCAGAGTCAGCCGAACTTTAAGTCGGGGAAATGATGGCTATTATTTAAGAATATGACACATACTAAGAACCAAAACGATCTTGCATTCCCAAAAACCAGAAAGGTTGAAACTATGACATACAATGTTTTCTTCCATTTAAACCACAGAACAATTTGATTACTTCGGAATATCACTGCTACTTAAGGAAAAAGGCTTACTAACAGAGTATAACAGAAGGGTATGAATCTATGCCGGGGGCTTTGAGTTTATATTCTTCTGTCCAACTAACAAAGCAAATCCCTTCCATACAAATGGAGACACTGTACACAGTCCAGTCAGCCTAGATATCCAAAAGACTTACATTGACACAATAAAGACAGATGGTAAAAAGCAAAATCAAGATGAGGGAATTAATCATATAATCATTATCTGAAGAAAGGCTTGTCTTCATGCCAAAAAGAAAAATGACTTTTTAAGAGAAGTACAGTCAAGAATGCTATTACCATATTAAACAGCGAGCATATTTAAATTTATCATACCTTAATTTTCTTAAATAGGTTGGGTATGTTTTCATCATCAAATGGAAGAGTACCACAAAGAAGAGCATACAATATAACACCGCAACTCCACACGTCAACTTCAGGCCCAGCATACAATTTTCCAGAGATAACCTATAAAAGCCACAGAGGGAAAATCTTTAAAATCAGATCCCCGTATGAGAAAAGTGCATTTAATTTCTAATTGAGGGAAGGCAAAGTATTCAGGAGTATGCTTCAATTACGAAGAGCACATGAAACTGTAAGGTATAGTGTAAAGTCATTGCAAGTTTACCTCTGGGGCTGCATAGTTTGGGCTTCCACAACTTGTCTTCAGAAAGTGGCCATCTCTCATTATATTGCTCAACCCAAAATCAGCTATCTTGACATTACATTTAGAATCCAGGAGCAAATTCTCAGGCTTAAGGTCTCTGTGGACAACCATATTCCTGTGGCAGTATTCCACACCAGAAATTATCTGCATTCAATCAACATCTGTAAGCTTATGATGAAAAGAGAACGTGCTACAAAGGAACCAATTACATACTGCAGGCAATCCTACCTGCTGGAAAAAGTTGCGGGCCTCATCTTCCTGTAACCTTCCTTTCTCCACAATATAATCAAACAATTCCCCAGATTTAACATACTCCATCACAACGTATATATCAGTCGGTGTCTCAATAACCTCATATAGACGAATGATATGGGGATGCATAAATAATCTCAAGATTTTGATTTCTCTTCGCACTGGAAGGAAAGGAAACATAAAAACATTAGCCTCACTCCAAAAAAACAAAAAATATAAAACAGGAGAAGGCATACTATGGGCAAATTTTTCACGTCAAACGAAACAACAGACCAAAAGCTACAGAATGCAAAACAAAAAAAAAAGGCCTGAACAGTGTGATAACCATATTAGAAGCTTAAATTACCAACTCATCCTTAAGATTCTATCACAAAGATCATGGAAAGGTGTCAAGTCATGAGGCAAACTATAGAACCCAACTGCAGAGGAAGAAACTTGATCAACAGACAGTTACCCCTTGACCAAACACAATGGCTACATATCCATTAGATGCCACAATTTTTCCACAGGCTATTCATATCGAGTAAGTTCCTTGCAAAAATCATACCTTTCTCTTCCATATCCAAATTTTTAATCTTGCGGCGATTAAGTATCTTGATGGCGACTTTGTGCCCGGTCAATGCATGCTCCGCAATTTTAACCTTACCGAAGGAACCGATTCCAAGAGTTTTACCAAGCTTATAATTGGGTAAGAACATATCCACATTACTACTGCCTCGATGACTAGATCCATCCATGTTCCTGACCAAACATAGGAAAATTAACAATTGAAAGAAAAGGAAAACAATGTTAGAACCAGCAGTAACAATATCAACATCAGCGCCCCCTATATTTGCTAATCCATCGCTGATTCAAGTGATAGTAAACAAAGATTCAAACTAGTGGATTCTACAAGCTTCGACGTCCAAGTTGGGACGAACAAAGCATAACTAGGACAAGATATGCTTCCGATATTAGCTCCTAGTGTAAAGAATAACAGCCCATCGAACAACAACAATCAGGTTCAGCAATTATAACCAAACAGCAGCTCGTTCACAGTTGCACCAATCAGATCAATAATAAACCGCAGCTCATCTCAACTGAACCACAAAGCCTAAGTTACTGTTAAAAGGACATTGTTGCGTTCGGTCGCTCACTCCAATTTATCACAGTCAACCACTCAAAACGGGAATCAACGCCTTTTTTATCCAATCCAGAAAAAGGAAAAGCCACAAGATTCAAGACAATCCCCTGTTCTGAGCAGCAAATCTTCAGGGGAAAGGAAGAAGTACAGAATTATACCTAAGAGTTGAGAGGAAACGGATGTGATGAAAAGATTCAGCTGCTTTGGGAAGCTTCCAACAGCACTACAATTTCCTTTATGACTCTCTCCTTCTCCCTCCCTCAGTCGCAGCCGCTGACGTCGATTAGCGAAAGAAACGATGAATTTGATGATGGCGGCGACGACGAAGCAACAGTGCAGAAATGGCTCTCCCCCCGACTCTCCTACGCTCGATTTCCCGGTTTGAGTGCCGGCGGACGAACACGAAGGCGATTGGGAAAGCAACGGCGGGCGATTAAGGTGTCTGAACGCAAGCGTCCCCGTAGTCGGTAGTCCTGCCTCTCTCTACGCAATCTCTTCTTCTTCTCCCTCAGCCGCGACGCGGCGGTGACAGTCGTTCTCTCCTCCACCCTCTCTCCGATCTCTCTCGGCCGGTATTTTATTTTTTTCCCCCCTTTCCTTTCCCTTTTTTTTTATATCGGTTTTGTTTGTTTCTGTTTTTGAACGAATTTCTTTCAGATGCTCAGGCCTTTCTTTCACCCGCGGCCCCACGGGGTTCTTGCTTCATCAGATCCACGTCGACAAAAACGACAAGGCCTCCGTCAGAAAAAAAACGCCATAGGTCGTACCGAAACGGCGGGGTTTCCTAGCCAATTTCTGTGGATTGTTTATCTCGAGAAGTTTATTCCATTCCACGAGAGATTTTCCAATCTGGCCTTTTATTTTTCCGGTTTACAATGTTTCATCACCCAACAAATATTTTAAGGCAAAATTTTAGCCGTTCAGATTTTACATGTAGGTACTAAATTGTTATTTTCTAAAAATCAACCTATCTCAATAGATTTTGATTTAAACAAATTGGGATACATTGAATTGATGGATTGGATTAAGATTATCACCTAACTAAGTACACTTAGACACAATGGGAGGGACAAAGTAGGTAGTCAAGGTAAGTGTTTTGAGAATTGGTATAAGAACAAGTTCCTTGGGGATGCATAAAGTGCACATCATTTGAAGGAAGTTCAATGACGACACGTCCGTGAAGGCATGTTTCTTAATCGTTCTTTCGTAAGAAGATTTCAGAGTTAAGATGTGTTGCATCTTGTGCACTGAACTAGACTCCTCGCGACATAATTATTTGAGTATCGATTCCCAAGTTATCAAAGTTGAGGTATGCAAATGGTCCTTGATAGTCGGACATAAATCAATCAGCTCCAACACCTCGAATTGTCGGAAGATAGTTATGTATGAATCTTAAATCACTTTCTTACACGCCCCCCTCAAACGAAAGCGAACTCACGAGCTTGAAGTTTGCACAATATCTCTCATACCATGTGCTTCAAGAAAATGATTAATGTTGGCACTCGTGAGAGATTGAAAACATGACTTCAATGACAAACTATCCTTGATATCGTCTCGTAAACCAACTGGTCTGAGCCCTCCTACTGCCCTTATAAAAATCAAGCTCGCATTTGGAAAGGTTAACGCACACTCTTTCATCAAACATTGCCCTCTAGTTCTTTAACTTTCACATAGGTTTGGTCCACTCCCATTCCCATTTCCCATGAACACATACATAACTTGAACGCATCAACAACACACTCCCATCCCCTGTTTCACCTCCTTACAAGCCAAGCAATCTACCCCTCTGCCCTCCTACAACAACAAATTCCATCACTCAAGAACCAATTAAGGACGACGGTTCTGTGTAATTAATTAATTATGCATTCTGCCCACATGATTTGCTGTACAGACGAAAAGTATTCCCACACGTAATAATGTTTCCCCAAACTTTCCCCACGCATATAATAACATCACCACCATCCCCTGAATCTCCCATTCTCCAAAAACACCAAAAAAATGTCATCCACCTTGAGACCAAGATCCACATCCTCCTCCTCCTCCGCCAACCAACGGCAGCAAGATGAACCCACAACCGCCGCCGCTCTGATCCCGCCGGAACCCGCACAGCAGCAGCAAACACTTTCCCAAAGAGCCATCTCCCAGACCCTAACCACGACGGCAAACCTCGCCAACCTCCTCCCCACGGGAACCCTCCTAGCCTTCCAGCTCCTCACTCCGATCTTCACCAACGGCGGCTCCTGCGACGCCGCCACGCGTCCCCTGACCCTCCTCCTCCTCGCCCTCCTCGCCGCCTCCTGCTTCCTCGCCTCCTTCACCGACTCTGTCGCCGTCGAGGCAGGGGAAGAGCAGAGGAAGAAGAAGGCCGTGTACTACGGGCTCGCCACGTGGGAAGGGATTTTCCTGTTCGACTGCCCCGACCCGGTGGGTTGCGGGCTGACCGAGGAGGCGCTGGGCCGGTACCGGATCCGGTTCGTCGACTGGGTCCACGCGGTTCTGTCCGGTTTGGTTTTCGTCTCGGTGGCGATGCGGGATCGGAACGTGGTGGGGTGTTTGTACCCGGTTCCCGGGGATGAGGCGAGGGAGGTTCTGGGTATTGTTCCGGTTGGGATCGGGGTGATCTGTAGCTTGTTGTTCGTCGTTTTCCCCACGCGGCGGCATGGGATTGGCTACCCCGTCACCGCCGCGCCGGCCAAATGAGATGGTGGCCAGACTCCAGAGTCCAGAGTATTATAATCAGAGGATTAGTTTGTTTAATCCGATTTGCTTGATTAATTATTGATTGTGTAATTAAATTATGAGATGGTGGAAGTGTTTGCTGGCACATATATAATTTGACTTGTCAATCTTCTTCATCTTGTTCATCTACCTACTGGGCACTGGCTACTACCTAGAACAATTAGATTCATATCCTCCTCTTCTGCGGTTAATTTATTCTTAAAATTTAATCGATGCATTGTGTCAATGTATAAATTTTGAAAATATACATTATTTGAATGTTGAATGATTTTGATGTTCTCTCATAAAACGAGGAAGAGAAAATGAGGAATTGACAATCTGAGTAAAAACTGAGATTGACAATCATTCATAGTAAATGATTCTGGTGGTACCATATTCTTCTTAAATACAAGGATAGTGTTTTATTTTAAAACGAATAAATAACGAATTCTACTGATTGTTTGTTTTAACTAAATACATTACGTGGAATCTCAACTGCCAAACGAACCCATTCTTCATTTGATTGAAATTTTTAGTTCCAAGTTAAATGGTGGTTGGGTGACTTGCAGAGATTGGTGTTCATTTGGTTCCTTAAAAGAGAAAATGAAAATGCAAGAAGGTTCCTTCTGGTACTTATATGCTTCTTCAAATAGTTTGGATAGGTTATTTAGGTGAGTTATTTCAAACCAAATAATTTATAATAAGTTATTTAGATCGAAATAACTTATTTAGTTTCACAAATGTGGATCAAATTATTTGAATTCAGAGTTAATTACAATTAACGAGCATTTATTTGAAATACCACCACCCCATGTTATTTATAAATAATGAGTTCCAGCCGTACTCAATTACTTTTTATTCCATGACTTTTGCTCATCCTGTTTCCTCCAGTCGATTCATGCATACTGGTCAAAAGTGGAAAAGATTAGTCGTCGGCGGATTGCAACAATAAGAAGATGGCCTGAGGTTGATTGGTTCTCATTTTCTGTATGGGTTGGCAACATTGGTAAATTAGCAAGAATAAAATGATAGATTGGCGAGCTTCGTCAAATTGAGGACCCAAATTGTAAGGATAATAGTATTTTATTCTCTTTTACTATGACAAATTAATAAATATAACTCTTTACTATTTTTTTAACTTTTACAAAGATACTCTTTTGTCAAAATTTCTGTCAAATAATCGTTAAGAGCACGGAGAAAAAATTAATTTACCCTCACTTAACATATAATTATTTTCAAAACCAAAAACAAAAATAAGAGTTATTTAATTATTCTTCTTCCTTTCCCCCTTCATGATCGAGAATAAACTCCGCTTTGGCAGAATCAACCTCTCCGCCGTCATTGGAGTAAGGTCGAGTGTCCCTGTGGGCTTTATGTTGCGGTAGATAAATGATGTTCATCAGTAACTTTTGTGTTTTTTTATTACTTCAAGCACGCACAATTGCGACGGAGACCATGCCTAATGGAGGAGGTTTCTTGATGGTTGCGTAGAGTTGAGAGGTTTTGGAGAAATTAGGAAAAAATGAAAATAGATAAATTCTGAAAATTTAACATTCAAACAATTTTAATTTAGTAAATAACAAGGAGGGCAAATTACATATTTCCCTCCGTACTAACGGTAAGTTAACAGAGAGTTTCTTGAAAGGGTAGAGTTTTATTTTTTTCATAATTGACGGGCATGAAAGTGCAAAAAAAATGATACAAGGGTACATTTGTTGAGTAAAAAATGAAATTAACCCTAATATGTATTCATTGACGGGCCACCCCTTATTCAAAGGCCCAAAGTAGCATAAATCGGAATATGGGTTCGGATCTTGCTATCTCCTAGGTGGGCTGCCCCTTATTCCTTTAGACGAAGTCCACAAGCAAACCCACCGACTCGAAATCCGTTCCGTCTTCATTACGGGAGAGAGAGAAAGGGCGAGAGCGAAAAATCCTCTCAGTGCGATCATTACTGAGCAGAGGAAGAGAGAGAGAAAAGGTGAGAGCGAGAGATCGGAAGAACGACGAAGAGAACAACGGTTCTGCGTGAATGGGATGAAACAGAATCAGCAGCAAGCCCCAACAGCAGAGGCTCAGCCTCCTCCGTCGTTTTCCTGCAACGATTGCGGGAGAACATTTCAGAACCTCAATGGCGTGCAGGCGCACATCAATGATGTTCATTCAACCTCAAGGAGGGCTGTGGCAGGTGTGATCGGGGTTTCTAGACCCGCAGACAGCTTGAGAACCACAAGAAAGAGACTCGTCATTAGGGTGAGGCTGGTACTAGCTAGGGTTCATTTTCTTTGCCTGGGTTGAGTTTAATCTTCTCGTTGATTTTTGTTTTTCTGTCTTCTTCGTCGGGTTCAGATGGATGCAGCCTTTCCTTTCATCAACGCTCCAGCCTCACCCTAACGATAAACAAGTGTTTGCCTTGTGGTTCTGCAGCTGCTTGCGGGTCTTGAAACACCAACACATATGACACAACCCTCCTTAAGTTTAAGGTGGATAGTCTTGATGTGTGCATCAACGGCATTAAGAGTAGTAAACCTTTTGCCAAAATCGTTGCAGAACATAACTTATGGAGGACAAACCATTGTTGCTGAGGCTTGCTGCTCATTGTTTTGTTCCATGCTATCAATAAGAACCATTCTGATCTTCCCTTTTTTTTCTGCATTCCGAGACATGACGGTAAAGATTTCTAGTAGTAGAAAGACGCAACAGATTTCTTTCCCTTGATCTCTCGCTCTCGCCTGTTATCTCTCTTCCTCTTCTTTGTTTTGACTTTTGATTGCACTCAGACGCATCGGTAAGAATTTTCGTTAGTATAAGACGCACACGATTTCGGGTGGGGGCTTTGGGTTTGCTTGTGGGCTCCCAATTAGTAGGGGTCGGCCCACCTAAGAGATAGAAAATCTCAGCCCATATTTCGATTTATACTCCAATAGGTACTTTGGGTCTTAAAGTCCCTTCTAATCTTACAATACAAATTATCATATGCAAAAAGAAATTTTGATAGGATCCTAAGAGAATTTGAGTCTAAATCTATAGATTATAAATAATTCAAAATTTTGAACTTTTTGAATCTTTTAAAAAGATTTTAAAATATTATTTGTTTATTGATTGTGATTTTTAACATTCAACGAAAAGTATCATTTCTTTAACCAACAAAATCTTAATGACTCGAGAAATATTAAAAATTTATTAGTAGGAGATATTTAATGGTATAAATAAATAAAAACAAAAAAGCAGGAAGAAAAAAATCTTAAAATCTAAATTTAAAATCTCTTTGATTATGAGAGATTTTGAAATCTATGAATTTTAGAGAAAATCTCTTAATATAAAATCCTTCATGCAAAAACTAGAAGAAAAAAAATAACAAACTGATGATCTAAGGATTCAATAAATCCACGGTCAAAATCTTTTTTTCCAAACGACACCTAACTCAAACTAAATACCAAGTTGGTGGACTCGCTTAACATTATTATTTAAAGTTAATATGGACTATGAATATTGATATTATCATTTTATAATTATGGATTATAAATGAGAGAAAAGTAAAATAGAAACTAATAATCCGCCATCCAAAATTTCAACTACTTAACTTATTTACTTTACGAAGTGTGACAATAAAAAATAAAAAAGACAGCAGCACAATTATCGAACATTTTCTCAAATTAATGGTCGAAGAGTCAACATTTGCGCAAATACAGATGGCGAGAGAAATATTTAAGTGAGTTTTCGGAACTTTGGAATGGATTGTTGAGAGAAGGTTATACTGGATCTTATACTAAATACTTAACCAATGTATGGATTGTTAGGCGGTTAGTATTGTTGTTGACCTTGAACTCTTTTGATGAACGTGTGTGTGTCTGTATAATTTGTTCTTCCCTGTCCTAATTAGTGCCGGAAACAGACTTGTCTCTCTGTTTTTGTTTCACATCTAGAGTTACGGGGATAACACAACAACAGCAGCTACATCACTATAAATTAGACGTAGTTAACATTCCGCCATGCTGAATTCCTCTATTGGGTCGTCTGAACGAAGGTTTCGGACGCTCAAATCCCTCATCCTGCCGGATTTCATGACTAGCAAGGAAGAAGTCGAAGTAGGAGGAGCAGAACAAGGTGATGGTTGGAATGCGTTACCTGGGGAGCTGCTGTCTCTGATCGACCAAAGGCTAATCAAATTAAAGCACACAATCCGCCTTCGAGCAGTTTGCAGGCCATGGAGGAAAATCCTGACGGAGTTGCAGCCCATAATGTTCCGTCAATCACCATCATTACCACTTCTGATGTTGCCCTGCTGCAACAACGACAGCAGGAAGAACGAGGCTGCAGCTTGTGGTTGCGGCAATCAAGAAGAAGAAGAAGAAGAAGAAGGGTGGCAGTGCCGCCTCTTTTGGGACTTGGCTCACAACCAATACCACCACATCGATTTTGCACAAGGCTTCGAGAAAACCTGCTGCCGCGGATCGGCGTTGGGATGGTTGTTCCTGCTGCAGCTGCCAGTCCCTGTGTTACTGAATCCTCTCACCGGGAAGCAAATCAAACTCCCTCCGATCACTTCTTTCCCGGACGTTTTGCAGTACGACCCGGAGCGAATCGGGGGCGAATACGTCCTGCTGCATCCCGATGGCGACAAGGTAAGAGTAGGGAATAGGAGGCTGGGGAACTACTTCATGAGAGGATTTGCAATGTCAGCTGATCCAGAGGAGGAGGAGGATTGCGTTGTAATGGCGATTCGTTGTAACGAACAATATCGATTGGCATTCTGCAAGCCCGGTTGGGACGGATGGACATTGATTCCCCATCCCGATGGCATCAGGATTGCCTTTGAGAATGTTGTGTTTTGGAGGGATCGATTTTATGTCGTTGATACTCATGGCAATGTTCTGCGCTGTGATCTTGATGATCTTGCTGCTCCTACGTTGTCTTATCTGGTTTCCGGTGTAAGTATTGACCCCGGGGTTCTGTACCTGGTCGCTGGTCCAGACGACGAGCTGATCATGGTTGCCAGAGGCACGGGCTTTGGAGACAAAGATGAGAATGTTGTTGCAGGTGCATATGACAATGATGATGTTGGTGACGACCATGAGGATGAACCTGACAGTGACGATCAGGACAGTGTTATGAACTTTACTGACAGTGAATTAGATGGTGAGGTGGAGTTGCAGAACTATTGGTCGAGAGATTTCAGGGTTTATAGGCTGAATGGAAATACAAACCAGTGGGATAGAGTTCGAAGCATTGGTGATTTTGCGTTGTTCTTGGGCACTAATGCTCCGCTTTGTCTTTCTACCAAAGATTACCCAGAACTGAAATCGAATTGCATCTATTTCACTGATGATGGCTTCGACAAACAAGTACAAGGTCGGCTTGGTGGTCATGATATGGGCATTTGCCACATTAGTGATGGCACAATTGAGTCATTATGTTGTGGCGACTTGTATAAACCTTCTTTGATTTGGCCGCCACCCGTGTGGATTTTGCCATGAAAATATGTGTGCTTGTTGCACTAGGACAAACTTAACGGAGTGTAACGGCCGGTGACCAACCGTGAAACAATTTGTAAAGTTAGTGGCGAATAAGAAAGAAAAGTAATTCGGGTGGCAAACGTGAAAGATTTGTATAATTTGAGTGACCAAACGTGTAATTTAGCCTTATTCTTCTCCTACCAAAATGATCCAGTGTTAGCGATTAAGCAGTGGCTAATATCCTACAGAACTTTTTCTTTAGATTAAACATGGGCATAAGCAAAAATACTTGATGCATCCATTAACAGGGAACCAACCCTATGAACTCAACAACGTTTACATTGTGAGCAAAGAAAAAGGTTTGCATTGTGGTAGCTCATAAAACAACTTAAGAGAAGACTCCAAGGCACATATAAAAGGGTAAGCCAGTTCTCATTAATGGCAGAGTCCTCCTAGCCTTTGAGGCTACATTTTCCAAGGGTTGTAACCCCAAATGGAGGATGGCAACATTCATGCAGTGTCAACTCTAACTTGAAGAGAAAGAACCTTCATTGGTCACGAGGCAGATCGTACTTGACTTGTCCAAGGTAGAGACCATAAGCAGGGGCCATGGGGCTTGCAGCAGTCACAGTTTTCGCCTCCAGTATCCTCCTCACTGTCAACATCAGTTTTGCGTTTTGAACAAAATGAGTCGGTTTTAAACAAGCATCGACACAAAGAGCTATACAAGTACAGATTTTTAAGTGCATGGTAAGTGACCAAAGAACATACCATCGGATACTGTAATTTCTCCTGTGCCCACACATTTGAGAACGCCAACTAGAAGTCTGACCTGAAAGCATTAAACTTAACTTGGTCGCATTCTGAGTTACAAGAGAAACAAACGCTTCAGAGCATGAAAGCACACAATTACATAAGCTAAAATCGGCAACCTGGTGATAAAGAAAAGCTCGACCACGTGCTGTTATGACATAGCAACGATGTCTCCTCCTAATCCCAAATCCCGACCCAGTTTCGTAAACAGGAACCCCAACCTTATGACTGTTCAAAGCATCCTCTACATGTGCATTGGTATGTTCCCTTTCAATGATTGAAGGGAAGTAGGGAGTTGGAGCCACTTCAGTAACACTAAGTTCATCAAGGGTTCTGATTGGCGATTTGGCCTACAAGACACATGATATAAACCCCCAGACATTCAGGGTTGGATAACCAAATAGAAAATAAGATTCTAACTTCTTAGCTTCAGAGCACATGTAGGATTTAAGTTGTTAAGCTTTGAGACACACATTTGGATCAGAAAATAGAAAATAAAATTCTAAGCTTCATAAACCATGAAAATTAATTATTCTTACCACAATTTGGAGAGTACTAGAGCCAAAATATATTCAAGCCAAAAAAACTAGATAAATCCCTTCATGGGAAGAGGCTAAACCTGACAACTAGACGCCCGAAAGGAGCTAAAATCATGATGGCCAACAAGAACATTGCATGCTTCCTGGAAAAAGAAAAAACACCTTTTTAAATAAATTCGACTCCCGATAAAGCCAACCAACCTTAATTTATGTAACTCACCTTCATTGCAAGAAGATTAAGCGGCTCAGGTATATGCCATGCGCGGTCTTTCTCAAAGGAAGACAAAAGATCTGGTCCAGATAGCAAACGGTAGAAGTACCTAAAGAATGTTCATACACAATGTAATTCAGCTCAAGACTATTGAATGAAGCTGCAAGTTTGCAATGACAACAAACTAACTTTAAGTCGCATCATGGAAGCTATGCAATAATTTTTGCAACATATAATTATATTTGTCAACTAAACATAGAGTACAGAAGCATAAACTATCTGAAGCACGACCCTGTTTTTGCAATACCTACGTGCGTTCTTGTGCCTTAAATCTTGCATGAAAATCTGTCGGAACACGTCGAACATCAGTGACCATGATATCTCCTTCTCTCTGACCATAGGATAGGGGGAGAAAAGGAGAGTCAACATACAATTTAACCCAATTCAAGACTAAATAAAACCACCAACTTCCTTTCACATATCCAAATGAAATGATTTAGAAGCCAGACCTGTAAGAAATGGTTCACTGCTCTTCTAACCACTTCCGGTTCATGAGGTGACAACTGCAATTCAATACGAAATCACTGTAGTATTTAATCATCACACACAGTAAGAGAACTTGCAGCCTATTGAGTGCGCAAAGATGTCTAGGTAACGAGCAGAAGGCATACAACTTCACCGGGTTTCCTTTTGCTAATTCGTTCCACATCAACATGGCACACATTAGCCAAGGCATGTACTCCTGCATCCTACAAGTAAACAAATAAAATTAAAATCACAACTAAACTCGCCAAAAGAGTAATTTGATAATACTAAACATGACGCTGATTCCTGAATCTCCATTGAACTTTCTGGATAACTAACAAATTCCAATTCTCATTCATTCTCAATCTCAGTCTTTCACAGAAGCTACGGATGTCAAGTACAACGAGGCAGTAAGGAGAAGCCAGTTTACCGTGCGGCTGGATAGGGAGACTACCACTGGTTGGCCAGTGAATTTGTGAAATGCTTCCTTTCCTCGCATATAAACCCACAAAGAGACAGTCAAAATCTGACCTTTCTGTCAGGTTTACTCAGCAAATCACAAATAAACAAGACATAAGAAGCGCAAGTTGCAAAATCCTCTCTTTTTGGTTTACCTCAAGTACGCCAACTACAGTTCTACCAATGGCCTGCTTCTGGGAACCGGAGAAGCGAGTTCCTATGTACTCGATAGCCAGCAGATAACGTTGAAGCCGAGGGTTTTGACTCATCGACTCCAAAATGCTGCTCCTTTCTAATTGGTCTTCTTCTTCTGCGTCGGCCGGCAAAGTTTTTGGAACCTTCGAAGGCCGTTCCTCTTCAGTAGATTCAGAGTGGAGCAAGCAGTGTTTGGAACTATCAGCGGCCGGCAGTTTTCCGGGAATCAGCTTCAGACCGCCGCCGCCGTCCAATCTCCACGATCCGAGAAGGGAGTTCTGATTCCCGGGGTTCGACTCAAAATTTCACGCAAGGGTTTAAACTTTAAACTCGAGTTTGAAACGCCTAGCTAATTACAATAGTAGCCCCTAAACTTCAGGTTTATTAACAAATCGGTCCCTGAACTATGATAGTTAACGACTTTATCATTGGAATTTTGTCTTTTTTTTTTTTTTTTGGTAGAAAGATTTTGTCTGTCTTTGGCTAAGCTTTAATTGATCATTTTGATAATAGTATTCATAATTTTTTGGTAGAAAGATTTTGTCTGTCTTTGGCTAAGCTTTAATTGATCATTTTGATAATAGTATTCATAAAGATGCAACTATGATCGTTTACAAACTTCGACTTCACAATAATGACAATATATAGACAATACACTCGAAATTTGTAGTGCACTCTACTCGCCACCTTTAATACTAAATAACGTGAAAACTCAGCTCCTCGAAAGCTTTTGTTCCCTCTCTAATTTGTGCTAGCACAAAGATATTCAAGTTCATGCCATCACTCTTACAACTCATTCTAGAATCATTGCAAACGAAATGATCGAAATAACCAACAAACCGATCCAGCTATGCACCATATGATCATCAAGTCACAACTCACAATGGATAAAGAAGAACTCGGTTGCATAACTAGGTCGACTCGAGCGACGGCCTAACTAAAATTGAAGAAAAATTGAGCTCAAAACCGAAGACTGATAAAGAAAAGGATGGAAATTGTAAATGGCCAAAATAGACACCACAAAATCATCTGCTCCCTAACAGAGTCTTAAAACCAAAGCATTTCCGCTAAAATGAAAGCCAAAACACATTACTCATCTAAGGACCAGAAAAAAAACTTTAAAAGCCTATGAAAACTGGCTTACAACATGAAAGAAGAAAAACTGAAACAAAATGAACAGAGGGAATCAGATGACAAAAGAACACATTGGAGGGGGACAGACAAGGAACGCTTCTGGATCGAGCTATAACATTGGCAAAAAACTATAAAAACTACTACTGGTACAGCTTTTTCTAATTCCCCATACGTCAGTCTCCTATGGTGCAGCAGCAGCAACAACGACAACAGCTGGGAGCCCGTTCTCGATAGGCTTCATCACAGAATTCTCCTTTAGATTGCAGCCATTTAGGGAGAGGTTCTTAGTTAGATCAGCAAGACTTGAGGGGCTGTTAGCGCCCTTCCCAGTCTTAACATCATCTTCGGATCTCTCTTCTCCAGTTTTGGCATCCTTCTGTAGAAATCAAAGCAGTAATATTGGTTCTAACAACCACCTTGATAGCAGAAAACAATCAAACATGACAAGATCAAACAGAATGACAAAACACAAGAGAACATGAACTTACTGTGATATCACCATTCTCGAGTGTTTCTGCTTCCCCGGTAGTAGCCTTAACGTTCTTCTTTGCATTGACAGACTTCTCCCTCGTCTCATAGAAGGTGAAGTCATCTAACAACGATGACTTAGGCGAGTAGGTCTTGAAAATACTCAACATTTCTAAACCTTGCTTCATCAAAATCTGATGAAATGAGGACCGATTATTAGTAAAAGGGATATTCACAATATAAACTTCTTTTTCCATTCACAATGTTGGGAGGGCATGAAGTTTTTGGATATGGTATAACACATACCTCCTGGGTGTCCCTGCTAAAAGTTACAGGTCGGTGTTCATTGTTCTCGAGTATGATGTGTCTCAACTGATTGTTAGGAATGTCTTTAACTACATGCCACTTGACTGGAAAGAAGCCATTCCACTTGTTGAGCTGCCAAAAGTCCATGTCCTTGTTGAAGTCCACTTGTCCAATCATTTCAGCTAACCCAACAAACTGACCACTCCCATTTACCTGATAATATATTATATGAAAGCATAGGTAAGTGGCAATTGGAGGTTAGCTGATAGTAATTCAAGATCTATGATAAGAAACTTGGCAAGCAAAAGAAAGCATTCTAAATCAAGAATAGTGAACCTACCGAGAAGAAGAGAAATATTGGGCAATTTGTACCACCAGGCTCACTGGATTTTTCTTGTGCAGTGCGGAATGCCTCATCAAGCTTTCTGTTTCCATTCGGTGTACTAGCCCACACATTGTACTTGATGCTTTTGTGGATGTCATCTTCATTGTATGATTTGATGACATAGAACTTGGCATTTGCATAGTCGATTTCAAAATCCGGAAGGTTGTACTGGTCGCCACATGCTGTTACTTCCAGGTCTTCTTTCTTCGCAGAAGGATCCAATGGGGTACTTCTGTTGGACGCCCTAGGGCCACAAGCTAGTTCAGTAGCATTCTCAAAATCACCATTTTTCGATGTTCTGTCTCTGGGCTTGTTTCTATAGTTACCATTCCACATCCTTCCATTTTGTCTGTAGTTCACGAAACCGTTTGGAGAGAAAGGTACTTGCTTTTGGCCATTAAATGGGGAAAATTTCCCCATAGGTTGATACCCTTTAAAATAGCCAGCTGAAAATTCAGAACCCAGAGGAGGAACCTGCAATAGTGTTTCACATCAGCAACACATAACTGCAACCTGACTCAAACGGAGAATCGAGTAGGACCTCCGAACAATCTACAAAATATTACTTTTGTCAATGGCAATGCTCCATTCACAGACAACATTTACAACAAAACCATCATTCTGAGACCCGTGCTGTTCTATGGCTACAACTCCATACAACAACATTCGTGCACATTGTATGTAATGGAACATGCATTGAAGAACTTACAGAAGTTATTTTCAAACGAATTGGAAGAGGGACTAAACAGTAACTGAAGAAGAAATATGCATATACCTTGTTTAGTGGTCTGGTTGGTTGTGTATTTGTACCCTTAGGAAACTTGCTTCCAAGGTTTCCATTTGGTTGAGTAGTGCTCAAGCCGTTGGACTTACTCAGACCATTAGATCCGGGACCATACTTTCCATTACCGTAGGCACCATTACCATTTGGCATATTTCCCATGTAAGTTGAATCCCAAGGATAATAAGACAACGCTTCAGATCCATATGACATTGGGTTTTGTAGATATCCAGTAGATGAATAATAGGGTTGCTGACCAACAGTTTGCCCATCGACGCCCAAAACTGCCCCAGTAGAATAGGGATCATAGCCAGGATAGAAGTAGACAAGAGAACCATTATCTGACTGCATGCCCTGACGTTACAGAATAAATTGAAAGCAATAGCTAGTTAGGTTAAAGAACATATTTAACAGTCACAAATAATGATTATGACAAACTGAAATTCATAACTTACTGCAATGGAACCATCAGTCTGGAAAAATCCTTGATCATCCAATTGCCCATAGGGTCCTCCATATCCTGCAGAAGGAAAGGCATTTAACAGTAACTAAAGTGTACCATAAAGCCAACAAAATATTCTAACTAGATGGTACAGTAGTAACCATAAGACAAATAACAGAACTAACTCACACCAACTAACCTGGGTAGTAATAACCATAGCCATTTGTTGGTGGATTGTAGACATCAAGCTTCCCATTGGAATCATGGCCATTTTCACCCTTTGTCCCAGAAGTAATAGTTGCTGCATTGGGAACGGAGGCAGGGGAATCAGATGGTTTCCCATCTTTTCCAAAACCCTGAAAACAAAACATTTAGAAAAGGATCAGAATGGAAAAATATATGAAGCTTCCTACCGAACAGTGGTGTCTAATGTCATGACCACCAATCATTCCAAGAAAAACAATAGCAACTTTGATCTGTAATCAAGGGTACTACTCATGCCGGTGCCCATAATATGAAATCAATTGAAGGCCAAAGTTGTTGAGCACAGCTGGACCTAGACTAAACAAAAAATTTAAGATCTGAAGACAAAATATCTTTACAGGGACATTTCCAAATTTACAGTTGCCACAAATTAGGAAGGCCAAACTCAATCTAGTACTTCAGGAGAAATTTTTCCTTCCTTGGCCAATCCATATGCATTTCAGAAAGAAGAAGCAGACACAAGTGATGAAGTGCTACATAGTCAGAAAAAACAACATACCACGTCAAGCTCAGCCAATTTACTTGGAGGTTCGGGCTTCAATCCCGCTTGAATGGGCTCAGCTATACAATATGGTTAGGGATAACAACCTATTTGAAGAAAACAACAATGATCCATTTGGTGGTAAAACAATCGAAGAACAACAAGCAATTCTAGTTATAGCATAATCTGTAACTAATCATCCATTTATTAACCAAAACAGTAAATGACCTTGGTTAAAAGCTGGTACGACAGATGCAATATAAACTACCAACAATACTTTAATGAAATAGTGAGATATCTATAGTTGCTTTCACCATGGATATCAACTCTTCAGCAGAAAAAGAATCAAACAACAATTCAGAAAATTCTATGAAACAAAGGATTCTTAAATCAGAAAACAAATTTGGGGGGAAAACACTTTCCAATATCCAACTTGAGAACATATAATTCCCAAATAGATCCTTTAAGAGAACCCTCGTACCTCCAGGATCTCAAATCCTAAAACAGATCATACAGTTTACCTTCCCCCACCAACCACCAACCAGAGCAAAACCCATGGTTCTTGAAATCATTGTAAGCTGTAAAAACAAAATCACGTCAAATCCAACAGCAGGATACATTTCTCGAGTTTCATTCCCATTCCACTCGCCATAGCTGATCTTAGAGTCCAACAAGCACCTGCAAGATGAAAGAGATGGCAGGAGGAAGAGAAAATAAATAAGAGGGAGGACAATGGTAAAGGTGTTTGTTGAGGTCAAAAGATGAAAGCAAAAGAACACAAGCAAAAACAAGTGTCCTCTTCTAAACTTTGTTGGTTCCCTCACCAACTAGTACTCTCCAATTATCAACATTCTGATTCCCTTTTCACTAATTTAGCAGAACAGTAAAAATCAACATCCAAAAAAAAAAAAAAAAAGAGTGGAGCATTAGATTCTGCATCCCACTGCCCTCAGAAAGTGATATTTCCAACTTCCCAGCAAAAAAATTTAGAAAAAGCGAAATCCCCGGACCAGAGATTGCTAACAGAAATCTCCCACTCAGCAAACCCTCCAAATCCCCTAACGCCGACTACAGCACAGCAGGCAACACACACAAAATCTGCACAAATCCATAACGAAACTTCGACGAATCTACAGCCGAACGCATCCATCGACCAAATCAATCAAAAAAAGCCATTCAAGCTACCGATTCGCCAGCTCCGCTCAAATTTCGAAGCTATTACTGAGCTGAGCGACATGAAAAAAAGGATTGAAGTTGAACTGAACCTGGCAAGAGGATTACAGAGACAGATCGAGATCGGGGACGAAACGACGAGACGCCGATCTGATAACCTCGGAAGACCGCTTCTCAAACGGAGGTAGGGAACGACCGTCGGCCCTCTGAAGAAGCGGCTCCCCCGGAGGAAGAGAAGGAAGTCGAGTGGCGGCGGAGCTGAGTAGAGGGAGCAGGAAAAGAGGGAAAAGGAGAGAAAGAGAAGACTGGTGAAGAGGTTTTTATTATAGGGGATATCGGACGGTCGAGATTAGATCTGGTTTTGGCGGAGAGGTAATATTGGCCGTTGGATGTAGGGGTTTAGAGAGGTCAGAAAGGTTTTGGGAGTTTCCGCTCTTATTCATTTCCCTCTTGTTTTCTTCCTCCAAATTAAATTTCGATTAACATCCACGTATTTTTGTTCCACTAACAAACAAGCCCTCAAACTTTTAATTCTAACTAACTAGCCCTCATACTAACTAACAAAGACAAGTCTTGGAAACTCTTCTTGTTTAGGGGTGGGCCTCAAAGAGTTTGGATGATGAAAACTATGAGTGGGAAATGTAATAATACTACCTCAACTCTTAAACAACTAAAATGTGGATAACAAAAAATAGTTTGACCAAAATTGAGAAGTATCCAACTCCACCCTCAAAAACCATCTAGGGATGGCAAGAGTGACAGCCATCTTGAGCATTCCAATCTTTCTTACTCGAAATCCATGTATTTATCAGGCTACAGAATGAGTTGTGAAAAACTTACAAAGCGAATCGAGTGGCTAGGTGAGATGATTGGCAAATGTTTGAAAACATAGTGAATGAGAACTTATTAATTCTGAACAACTTGATAGGCAAAATGATAGTGTCACCCGGTAGATATTTCCCTTGATAGTGAAACATGGGTTAGAAATGAAGTTTATGACGCACAAATTATCTGAGACAAGGAGCAAAGGTGAAGAGCGACTCGTGTGGCTCATGGAGTACATTGCAAATCTATTAGATCGTAGCACTAGCATGAGAAATAGCTCAACATATTGTTTTAGGACTCGAACAAGCGATGGTATGTTGCGTTTGGAATTTATGGAAGATGAGAGTTTCGCAGAGACATAACAAATAAGTAGATGTGGAGGTTTGATCATCAAGATTCCCAATCAATCTGAATTATCAAAGGCATGCAATTGAAGGAGATTCGTAAATAGGCAAATTTAGAGGTCATGTGAAGTTGTGCCATCCAAGTAACATAACAGTTGCTTGAGACATTACTAGTCAAATATGTGAGTGCATGAATTGCGAGAGCTTATTTGCCACGAATGTGATATCGAGATGTGTTTGTAGGGGATTCTGAAGGAAGTCAATGATCTGACAATTCTTGAAGGCATCAACGACATCACTACTATTAGGTAAGGATAGACACGACAAAAAGGCAAAGTAAGTTGTTGGTTTTTCTCCCGTCATTTGAAATTAATAAAGATGCTAAAGACATAGTTGCGAAAAAAGAACACAGCTGGAGTAGGAAGGAATATACTCTTAAAAATATGTGGCACTAGGTGTTTGAGTGAAAATATGCTCGAAAGTACTTCATAGAAGGTTGTGAGGAACTATTGGTCACTCCCGATAAGCAAGAGATCGTCATCATACACGAGAAAGTAGGCAAGAACTGTTGGAGATGAACAAGGATGCATCATAACAAATTTGCATAACAAATTTTTATGAATCTCTACGCCTTGAAACAAAATTGACTACAAACGTTCCATTACAAACCCCAAAAAGTTATGGTTCGTGTCAACAAACCATATTGAAAGCTAAAAGAGAAAGAAAAAACATATAAGGAATTATGAATAGACAAAACGAACACTTACATTCACACGCACGGGAATAAACCAGAAAAGAAAGAAATTACCTTCCCAAACCACGTGGAAATAATTCGCCCTAGATTCGTAAAAACAAAAATCAAACAAGAGTTACCCTTATGATTTCAATTTTTACAAGAACAACAACAACAAAATAAAAAACATTGCCCCCTTGGTGAAGGTGTGGTATGATGGTTACATTCCGTTTGTTCCTTCGGTTTACATCGAATCTCCATTCATCACGATTAAAACTTGATGTTAACAAAAGAACTTGCGTATTTGATAGAGTAGTCTGGTCTTGGATCAACAAACTCTGCATTCCTTTTCTCCTCATTTGTTGTTTCCACCCTTAGGATCATCACTCTCATTCTGGTTGAACGTTTTTTCATCCTTTCTTTGTACAACGCTCTTCTGTTAATCAATCATATCCTTCGCCTTTATAAAAAAAAAACATTTTTTCTGATCATTGTCCATCTCAATCAAGTCGTCTCGAATCGTTACATCGACAGTGGATGAATTCTCCATTCCACTCTCGATCGAGCATTTGAATTCATTCATCAATTCATCCATCCATCCATCTTTCATGTAATGGAGCAATTCAGGAAGATGGGAGAGGGACTAGGGAGCTTGAAAGCCCTAATGGTATTCCGAGACAACATCGAGATCAACCCGAGGCAATGCGGGTTGTTGTTCGACATCTGCAATTCGGCTTACGAGACCATCGCAGAGGAATTGACGCAGAGCCTGAAATACGAGGAGCGCCATGTGAAATGGAAGGTCATGGAACAGCCATTTCGAGAGATTTGCAGGATCCTGAAAGAAGTCGAAGGTTACATCCGGCTCTGCCTCGAGGCCAAATCCGACGAAGGATTGATGTTGTGGAGCAAAGCTCTGCATCTCCACCACAACAGAGACTGCGTCGAGTTCCACATCCACAACTTGATCTCCGCAATGCCGGCGGCCATCGAGGCAATCGAGATCGCCGGCGAATTCGCCGGCTCCGATCAGGAAGACACCCACCGGAAAAGAAAGCTGGTCACCAGCAAGTACCAAAAGGAATGGACCGACCCGAAGATTTTCCAGCTCAAGTTCGCGAAACAGTACCTGGTTTCCAACGATCTAACCAGCAAGCTCGAATCCGCGTGGAATGAGGATCGGTGGATTCTGCTGAACAAGCTGAAGGGGAAGAATTCGAGTTCCTGGTCGACGAAGCAGGATCGGCAGCTGGCCGATCTGATCGCGAAGAGACTGGAAGGGAACTGGAAGCTCTTCCCGAGCTCGATTCTGGTCGGCTCGAGGGATTACCAGGTGAAGCGGAGGCTCGGTGGAGGAAGCCAGTTCAAGGAAATTCAATGGCTTGGCGGTGAAAGCTTTGCAGTCAGGCATTTCTTCATCGACAATGTCGACCCTCTGGTTCCCGAAATTTCTCGACTTTCGTCGCTCTCCCATCCCAATATTCTGCAATTGCTTTGTGGGTTCGCCGACGCGGACAAGAAAGAGTGTTTCTTGGTGACCGAACTGATGAGCTGCAGAGACATTGGGAGCTACATCAAGGAAATTTGTGGGTCGAGGAACAAAAGACTGCCCTTTTCGCTCCCCGTCGCCATCGATGTAATGCTGCAGATTGCTCGAGGGATGGAGTATCTCCACTCCGAGAGAATTCACCATGGCAATTTGGAACCTTCGAACATTCTCGTCAAGCCAAGAACTTCATCCCCAGCAGCAGGGGAAGGGTACCTTCTCGTCAAATTGACAGGATTCGGGCTTTCATCTGTCAGGAACAACACGAGAAAGAAATCGTCATCGTCGCCGAAATCCGATACCTTGTCGCCATTTATATGGTCGGCGCCAGAGGTTTTGGACGAGCAAGAGCAAAATGATCAGAAGCAAGAACAACAGGTCAGCTTGACAATATCAAGAGAGAAAGCAGACGTCTACAGCTTCGCCATGGTCTGCTTCGAGATCCTGACAGGAAAAGTACCATTCGAAGACAGCCATCTCCAAGGCGAAAGGATGAGCCGCAACATTCGAGCAGGGGAGCGGCCATTGTTCCCATCTCAAACCCCCAAATTCGTCGCTAATTTCACCAAGCGGTGCTGGCACCACGACCCGAATTGCAGGCCCGATTTCTCGTCCATCTGCAGAATCCTTCGCTACACCAAGAAGTTCCTCCTCCTGACGAACACAACAATCAACAACAACCCGCAGCAACAACTAGACGCCGCGGCGCTTTCTACGCCGATTCTCGATTACGTGGAGACCGATTCGAAGCTTGCGCGGAGGTTTCAGAGCAATGTGGACGCTTTGGTGCCTGTATCAGAGGTTCCATTTCAGATGTTTGCTTACAAAGTCGCGGAGATGGAGAAGACGAGGCCTTCCAAGCTCAAGGAGACGACTTCTGAATCATCGGGGAGCGACAGGGCATCCATGAGTGGAGATGAAGCCACCTTTGTCGAAGTCGAATCGTTTCCTTCGCCGATACCCAGTCCTGACAGGAATAATAGCAGTAGTTGTAGCAGTAGCCGTAGGATCCTGTCTTCGTCCCCTGAAGCAGCAGGTTATAAGAGATCCCCTGTTTCATCCAAGAGAGCATCTTCCGATCCGTGGAAGACATCGCCTAAACACACAGGTATGTAAAGAGGAAAATGTTTGAACATTCTGATTATCTTGAACAACATGTGAAAATGCGACGACGAAAAAATTCGATGCTGAAAATCGATTTCCCCCCTACTAACTTATGGGTTGTCGTCGGGTTGTGTCATTCTCTTATTGGTTTCAGGGACACCAAAGGGGAGAGGTGTAAGGCCGCCACCTCTAGGACACAGTGGGAGCGGAAGGAATTTGAGAATGAATTCGGAAAGCCAGCTGTTGAACATGATGAGTCCGAGGGTTACAAGGAAAACGACTACTGGGCATGCCTCAGATTCTGAACTTACATAAAAAAATTTCGATTCGTCTACATCGCATTTTGACCAATATACATTCCTGCATCTACATGCTTGCAAGTGTACATTGCCCTTTCTTGCTCTCCTTTACAACCATGCAAGGTAAAAAAGGCATTTGTATTTTTACCTTGGGAATTTGTTCAAAATGGATCATCTTTCGTGTTCTTAGACATCTCTACAAAAGACAAATCTTTATTACTATCAAGTCTTTTGTGATGCGTTGGACGACTACTGATTCAGAGGCTCAAAAATGATAATCGTCATAGTAACTAGTGAAAATCTGACAAAACATAATCACATACAATAAGAAGCATACGTTTATACTCCTGAAAAACGAGCTCACATGGTCAACATGTTTATCCTTATAAACGAATTGGTATCATATTGTCGAACTTGCAACAAAACGATCACTTCGACTTCACCTAAAACATCGTTAAATTTGCCTTTTCAACTTTCCAGCTCATGAACTCCTGAATCAACCCAAAACCTAGAACCAACCAAACCAAAGCCAATACTCCCACTCTCTTATCTCTCCTAGTCGACAAAAGAGAAAAGAAAACAACACAAAGATGCAACCTTTCAAGAAGAATGCAGATCTAGATGAGTGGGGAATCGAGTCAATTGCAAGCCTAAGGACCAAGCAAACACCGTTACCTGTGTCGGCAAATGCCCTTCTCCCATTTGCTACAAAAACGTGGCACAAGACTATTTTCAATGGTGGAAGAACGAGCTTGCTGGATCATTGCCAACCATACACCTATCGCGACTCTACCAAGCGCCAATAAGCAGAGCACCACTAGTCTGTTGACAACTAGAATACCACAACCCCGTCATAATCAGATCCATGACGTGCTTTCGATTCTTATCATTTCCCTTTCTGCCTGTAAACCAAACATCTACGCAGCAACACTTTATTCCTCCCCAATCAGAACCGAATGCAGACCAGAGCGGTAGAAAGAAAATGGCGATTGAAGGACATAAAAAATTGATGTAATAGAGACATTGGATCATCCTAAACTAGGAAAACAATAATGGAGCATAATGAAAGGCATGAGAAACAGAGGAAACAAGGGACTAAAGATAAAGAGGAAACAGAATGAGAAGAGTGCAGAAGGTTTTAGGGTGCAGCTACAGCAGGTACTGAACCAACTGATGGGTTGGCTGCTGAAGTTTCCTTGGAGTGGTAGCCATTGAGAGACAGATTCTTGGTTGACTTTATGAGCGAGGAAACATCACCACCATCATTCTCATACACCTCCATCCGCAGAGTTGCAGGCTTGGTCTTCTTTGCATGGAGAGCCTTCTCCCGCTCTTCATAGAAATTTAAGTCATCAAACAACGACGCTTTTGGCACATATGTCTTGAAGATGGTCAGCATTTCCAGGCCTTGCTTCAGTCCAATCTGCAGCAGTTAGGAAAATGATATAAAAAGAAAATTAGAAGACTGGCAGAGAAAAACAAGAACCTTTATCCTAAATTCCTAATACAAGCACAAGGAACTTTTATTTTGTATATACTGGGAAACTTTGCCTCCTCTAGAAAAGCCAGGCACAGCAAGGAACATACCTCCTGAGTGTCTCTGCTAAACGTAACGGGCCGGTTATCGTTGTTTTCAAGGACAATATGCCTCAGCTGAGTGTTGGGAATGTCCTTGATGATATGCCACTTCAAAGGGAAGAAACCACTCCACTTATCAACTTGCCAAAAGTCCATGTCCTTATTGAAGTCCACCAACCCAGTCATCTCTGCTAACCCAACAAACTGGCCACTACCATTTACCTGTTTATATTGATAAAAGTTGTAAGAGAATGTGATTCTACAATGGAAAATATTAAATAAATAACTACAAGTAGTAGAAGGAAAATAAGAAGAATGGGGACAGAGTTCAAACTCACCGAAAAGAAGAGGAAGACAGGACACTTCTTGCCGCTCTCACTCGATTTCTCCTCCGAATCACGAAAGGCTGCATCCAACTTTTTATTGCCATTTGGCGTACTCGACCAGACATTATACTTGATACTCTTATGAATGTCATCTTCACTATAAGACTTGATAATGTAGAACTTAGCACTCTCATATACAGTTTCGAAATCGGCTGCATTATACTGGTCGCTTCCGAGCAATGATGCTGCGGAGTTTAAGGTTTCACTCTTGACCGTTGTGGGATCTGTAGGTCCACCACCCCTGCTGGCAGCCCCCCTAGGGCCACAAGCCAATTCATTAGACGACTCAAAACTTCCATGTCTTTGTATTCTGTTGTATCTTGATTTGCTTCTATCATCATTTACATTCCATGACCTAGCATTCTGTCTGTAGTTCAGTGAACCATACTGAGGAAATGCCAAATGTTTCTGCGGACCACTGAAAGGAGGTAACCTTCCTACGCCATTATTATATCCTTTCAAGAAACCTGCCGAGTAATCAGACCCCAAGGGCTGGACCTGAAGAAATTATTGAATCACACAAAACGATAACTTTAAAATGAACTACCAACATGAGGTCTTTTAGGAAACTTAAATATTTTTTCAGAAGACAAATGGTCCAAACATTGAGAAGATATCAAATAGGTCGGCTCACCTTGTTAAGAGATCTTGCAGGCTGTGTACTATTAGGCCTAGGGTATTTGCCACTAATAGTACCATTAGTTTTCATAGAGTTCAACCCTTGGGACTTGGGAAGAGTTGCAGCAGAAGCACCTCGATTAAGGTAGTTGTCAGACTGGAATCCAGCATTTCCATGCGGGACATCACTGAGATAAGTGGGATCCCAATGATATAAAGGCACAGCTTCTGATCCATAAGATACAGGCTGCTGAAGGTACTCAGAAGCAGGATAAAATTGCTGTTGACCAACAGTTTGACCATCTACACCCACTACCGCCCCAGAAGAATAAGGATTGTATCCAGGCATGTAATACACCATAGAGCCATTGTCAGATTGCAGAGCCTGAATAGAGAAACGAACAAGAAAATTATTATTTATCTGGAGGACAAAGGGGTAAGTTTTGCCAACAATGTAATGCTGCCAGCCACGACTTACCAAATGAGAACCATCTGCTTGAAAATAACCATGATCATCCAACTGAGGGAATGGCCCACCATAGCCTGCCAAAAAGAAGACAATGAGGGAAGATTGCTTTTTTTAAGTTAAATAATTGGTCGAACCAAAGCTATTAACTCAAACTACAATTTACAAATTCGTATGTGAAAGGTTCAACGGAACAAAGTGCTGCTGACCATATCACTATTTGTTCCGTGTCAAACATTGAGCTGGGGAAATGCAGTAATCTATTTCAGGTAGTAGAAGCCATCATAGTTCTAACTTCAAAGGAAATTAGATTCTTTTGGTAACTAACCTGGGTAGTAATAGCCATAAGTGCTAGTGGGTGCATTATACACAGCATGATGTCCATATGAATCCATGTCACTCCCTTTGTTGTTAGAAGCTAAATTAACATCTTTGATGCTAGGTTTAGCATCTCTCGAGGGAATGCTGGGAGTTGTATCGGATTGCATTGAACCTTTCCTTGAAGCCTGCAAACAACAGAAATCAAGGGAAGCAAGTTTGATAAGGCAAAACCATAGTGCAATAAGTTCATATACTTGCAAGGAGGTAGCATCTCAAACAATGTCAATTCTTATTGACAAAACAAAGTGATCCAAGCCATATTGATTTGATGTAGATCAATAAAAAAGTAACCCTACAAATACTTCTCGATCTTGAAAATAGAAAGAGCTCAAAGCTCTAGAATCACAACTGTATCCTCAATTCATTTATTACAAAAACAGCTTTGAACTTCAAAAAAGACTCAAGGATGAAAAACCCAGAACCAAAGAGCAAGCAGGTAAATGTTAAATCCAAGATCTTGCAACTCAACCACAACAGTCAAACATCATATTTAACTGGAAAGATTGCGTACCATGTCGTGCTCGGCCAATTTATCGGCAGCTTCCAGCTTCTGTCCTGTGGGAATGGGTTCAACTGCATCAAACAATTAAGGCTCACAACCGGCAACGATTCCGTGGAACTGGCATCATAAGCTAAAGAAAACTACGCTGAAACTAGCCGGAAATCCATTGTATTCATCTGAGTAACTGAACCAATAGGCATACTTACTACTCTATCATCAAGGGCACGATGAGGGGGGAAAGGAATAAAAGCCCCAAAGCAATAGACAAAAAGGCTTTAGATACATAACTTGATGATCACCAATAACTAGGACGACAGTAACAAGAAAAAAGCGGGAGAATCGAAAGGCATAGGAGACACCACACACTACAATTATCAGAGACCGGCAAAGTTTCTCTCTTTTTGTCGCTTAACAAACGCACACACGGCAACAAGACCCTCAACGTAGAAAGGCTTTCAGAATCGAGGTAAAGCACAGAGATGAAGCCAAAAAAGGATACTTTTCTCGAGCTTGGTCCCGGTTGCCATTGTTAACTGCACTGACAAGCTGAAACAGCGCCTGCTGATTGAGAGAAGGGTGTAGAAGAAGATGAAGAAGAGATGGTATTGGCAAAAGTGCTAATAGTCAAAGAGGAAGCAATTTATATCTCTGGCCTCTACTTATTTTTATACACGTAATTGGACTATCTGTTTCCTACTCGCCCACCAAGTTGCCTACGCCAATGAGAACCAAGTAACTTAGGCCCTAAGTCACCATTGTGAAAAATTCAACACCATATAAAATTCCAAACCCTCTCCATACCGGGCAAGTAAAATCCCTCAAATCGCCTCCCTCAATGATTCACCAAAAATAGACTTCTTAAGGTGTTAGGTGGCAGAGAGTGCATCACGCGCAGGTTAGCAGTTTCAACCGGGGTTCTAGATTCTGATTCTCCTTTTCAACTGGCAATAAACACAAGATTCCGTTTCAACCACAATTCGAAAGCGATCTTTGTTTCCCTCTTTATTTCCTGCTCTCCAAAATTTTCCGGGGACACAAACAAAAGAAGGAAAAAAAAAGCCCAAAACTTTCCCATCACAGAAAAAACCTCTGGCCACAAAAAAAAAAAAACCCCAATTTAAATATAGCACCGGTGAAATTAATAATTAACAAAAAAATCGCTACTTCCAACAATATCTCACAAATCGACTCAGGCAAAAAGATAAAACAATCAATGCCAAACCAAGAGCCAGAATTCACAAATCGGAAGAGGAACGAATCAATCAAATACCAACCTAGAAGCAAACCGGATCGAGGCCGTCCGAAGAAAGGAGGGAACAAAATCGGACTGCTACAGTGGTCGGAAAATCTCCGTCTGTGTTTCCGGCTACTTTCTCCACCGAGAAGGACTTTCAGCTTAAGACGCTCGGAATCGGGAGACCGGAACGGTGGTTTTCTGGTGCGATTCAGTGAGAAGAGCGGAGACGCAGAGAGAGGAGGAAGAAAAGAGGCAGTTGGGTTGTGTGGAGGGAGAGAAAAGAGAGTGGGACGGCAATTTGAAGCGGAGGGGTTAATGAATGGGGGATCGTAGGGCTGAGATTAGATCGGAGTTTGCTTCAGAAAGAAGCTGGACCGTCGGATGGCGCGGTTTAGGGGTTTTGAAAAAAAGGATCCGGCAATTTACGGATTCGTCCTTTTGTTTTAGATTTTTGGCTCGAATATCTTCGTCATTGTTTACCTTGGAATTTGGATTTACATTTTAAAATATGAAGAGTCAAAGGGCCATTATGGTCCTCAAAAATCAAAATTATTAATTGTGGATTACAATTACGTTTTCGATGACAGGTGATTTGTTTGACACAGTAAATAAACGGGCCTATTGAAAGGGAATTATCGTGATATTCGTGAAGGGCCGACTGCTGAGGCCATATTGGGCCTTACACATGATTAAACGTTGGTTCTGAAATGGTCGAATAATTATCCAAGCCCATAATCCAAAGAGAAAGCCCAAAAATATTCAGGAAACCAGATGATAGAGTTCGGTCTCCTGATCTCTACCATTCATAGTTGGGCAAATGCCACATTTGGTCATTGAGATTAGTAATTCGTGTCATGTTTAGTCACTAAAAAAGTTCAATATCAATTTTGGTCACTCGAATTACTAAATCAGGTCACATTTAGTCACTCTCCCGTTAGTTTCCATCCAACTCCGTTAACGGAAGCTAACGGAAGAGTGACTAAACGTGACTTGTTTTAGTAATTCGAGTGACTAAATGTGACATGTATCAGTAATTCGAGTGACCGGAGTTGGACGGAGGCTAATGGGAGAGTGACTAAATGTGACATGACTTAGTAATTCGAGTGACCAAATTTGATATTAAACTTTTTTAGTGACTAAACATGACACGAATTAGTAATCTCAATGACCAAATGTGGCCAATAGTTCGAACATAATTAAACTGATATATCACTCAAAGTACTCCAATGGATACAAAGGTCATAGGTGTAGAAGGAAAATAGCAACCATGAAACACATGACAGGAAAAGTACATATATCGAGGAACTAGTAACAAACGCCAAACAATAAATCTTTCCAACCAACTAACTGCGAAAGCCTCTCCTATGACTTCATCAGATGTCCTCTCTCTAGTGTCGGCGATCAATGTGGCTGTTCAACTCCGCCGTGTTGTGAAACCGGCGGTTGCAGTGCTTGCACTTCTCCAAGTTGCCTCGATAGATGCTCTGGTGGGAGATGACATCCTTCGCGCTGTTGAAAACCCCCTGGCAGAGGTTGCACCACACGCCCATGTCGTAGAAGCCTCCGTGGTGTCCCCTCTCGTGATTCGCTCTCTCTGCTTCGGTCGGGAGCTCTTGGGCGCAAAGCCTGCAGGGATAAGTCGTCCTTTGAGCTTCAGCCATCTTGCTTGTTGCGCTTGAAGAAGGAATTGGAGGTGTGCTGGGAGGGTGTTGTAATACTTGCTACATGCTTATATTGACATTCAACATGGATATTTGCACTCTTTTTTCTTCTGGGTGTAATCTGCATGTCTTCCTCAACATGTTCTTTTGCTTGGACTGGGTATGGTTCGTTTGCATGACGGTGCACAAATTGGTAGTTGAAGATGCACAATGTAGTATGCTGAGAGATCGGTGATGTCATAGTTTGAATGAAGAAAAATTAATGAAAAATGACACAATTTCATGAAAATTTTATATTTATATGCTAAATATAAAATATCCTGAGAAAAATAATGATAATTTCTAAATACATATGCATGCATATAATCGGGCGAGTTCAGGTTGGATAGTAAGCAAATCATGTCCACCCATTACCCATAATATCAGGGCTACTAGGTGATAAGGAATCTTCTTAGTTTAAATTCTTTCTCATTTAATTTATGTAATTAGTGGAGTAGTGGCTAGGTAGTTACCTTCTTTGTAGCATCGTGGGTTTATGTTTCTGTTAAGGAGATTGGTATTTAACCCATTCTCCTAATCAATACAAATTACCACATTCAAAGCAATTACATGGTATCAGAGCTAAAGGCTCCGATTTCCTTAACGATCCCTTAAACCTCTTCTCCTAAAAATCTGGCCCCAATCTTCTTCTCCCCTATCTCGACCAAATCTTCTTCCTGCTTCCTTCTCCTGCTTCTTTCTTCTTTTCTTCGCTGCACCTGCAGTCCTTCTTCCATATCTCTCTGCAGTCATGTCAGGTGAAACAGTCATCAATCTTGACGAGGCGAACACCATCATCACGCTGAACCCTGCATCTCAGCTACCCACGAAACTAACCGGCGACAATTTCCCGACCTGGAGAGCCCAGCTTCTCACTCTTCTACGCGGTCTAGACCTTCTCAAGTTCTTGGATGGCACTCATCCAGAACCGGCCGCCGATGCTCCTGTTGCTGATCGTCGTCGCTGGTACAGGCAAGACCAGCTGCTGCTCCATTCAATCCTCGCGTCCATGTCACCAGGTGTTGCTCCCTATGTCTCTGCAGCGCCCACATCTCGTCAAGCTTGGACAATTCTGGAACGAATGTTCGCCAATCAATCCCGCCAACGCGTTATCAATCTGAAAGAGAAGCTTGGCAAAGAACTCCAAGGCAATCGTCCAGTTGCCGTTTATCTTCAAGCCCAGCGCACAACAGCCGCTGAACTCGCGCTCATCAATGCTCCAGTTTCTGATGAGGACCTCATTCTTCACATTCTTCGTGGCCTTCGAGAGGAGTATGGCCATCTCTCTGCCGCCATTCGCGCTCGTGACACTCCCATTGCCATCGAAGACCTTCACGATCGCCTTGTTGATTTTGAAGCCGATCTGGCCGCTGTTCGCATCCCCAATCCAGCTCCCACCACTGCTTTTTCTTCTGCTCGCGGTCGTGGTCCAGCTCGGCCATCTAGCGGCTCTCGTCGCCCTATTCCCCATACCTCGTTTTCAGGTGGTGATTATTATTCCTCCCGAGAGGACAGCCCTCGCCAGCAACGCAGCTCCTATCCCTCTCGTTCACTGCCCAATTATGCACCGGGATCCGCTGCTCCATCCCTCCTTGGCCGGCCTCGCCTGCAATGCCAATTCTGTGATCGCCCTGGCCATTCTGCGAAGGAGTGCTATCGTATCAAGGGGCGTCCTCAAGCTCATCACACCACCGCTGGCTCGTCCTCCTCTGCCGGCTGGCTAGTTGACTCTGCTGCCACCAATCACATGACACCAGACCTCGGTAATCTCTCCCTATACACGGATTATAATGGTCCAGATGAGGTGCTTATCGGCGATGGTTCAGGTCTGGTTATTTCCCATATTGGCAATTCTCAATTGTCCTCTTCTTTGACGCGCTTGAATCTTCATAATGTCTTACATGTGCCTGCTATTAAGCGTCGTCTACTGTCTGTTGCCCAACTGTGCAAGTCTAATCCGGTTTCTGTGGAATTCTTTGCTGATTTTTTTGTTGTGAAGGATCTAGCCACAGGGGCGCATCTGCTACGAGGCCCGAATAGCGGTGATGTCTATGAGCTGCCTGCCGATTCCTCCCCAGTTCGTTTTGCCTTATCCGCTGCCACCCGGCTTCCTTCTACGGTCTGGCACAACCGGCTGGGGCATCCTCATTCCAAACTTCTCTCTCGAGTGCTGCGTAATCAGTCCCTTCCCGTCACTACTACTTCTTGTTCTTCTTTATGTGACTCATGTTCTCTCCATAAAAGTCATAGACTACCATTCTCTGTTTCTAGTCTCACCAGTTCTCGTCCGTTTGATTTGTTATATATGGATGTTTGGGGGCCCTCCCCTGTTCTTTCTCATGACAATTTCTCATATTATTTGGTAATTGTTGATCATTTTTCTCGCTATACATGGCTTTATCCTCTTCGCCGTAAATCTGATGTTCATCATATTTTTACCACTTACAAATCAATGATTGAGAATTACTTTCATACATCCATTCGGCGAGTATATAGTGATGGCGGTGGTGAATTTCAGAAACTCTGCTCTTTCTTTCAGTCTCATGGCATAACTCATCTCTTAACCCCGCCTCATACACCACAACATAATGGCCTTGCCGAACGCAAGCATAGGCACATAGTCGAGACTGGTCTTGCTCTTCTTCATACCGCCAACCTCCCTATTCGTTTCTGGTCTCATGCTTTTCTCACAGCCACGTATCTTATCAACCGCCTACCTTCCACTTCTCTACATGGTACATGTCCCTTCTATGCCCTGTTCAATGAAAAACCGAATTATCTTAAACTCCGTGTGTTTGGCTGCTTATGCTACCCTTGGCTAAGACCTTACTCCACCCACAAATTGGATCCTCGCTCCCGCCGCTGCATTTTTCTTGGGTATTCTCTAAACCAAAGTGCTTATCATTGTTATGATCCACTTTCCCACCGCATTTATACCTCCCGCCATGTCCAGTTCGATGAAACTATGTTCCCTGGGATTCCCTCCTTCTCTGATCCTTCATTTGATCCGCCCTCTTGGGTTACAGTCACTACTCCTCCTGTCACCATTTTTTCTATTTCTCCTTCCCCTTCCTCCTCTCCACCCACGCCTCACTCTCCTATCCCGTCTACTCCGGCTGCTCGACATCACTGTCCCACCACTTCGGCTGCGCCCTCCGACGCTAGTTCCTCCCAGCAGAATCTTCCTCCTCCACCGCCGGCCAAACAGGCGCATCGTCCCGTTACTCGTAGTCAGCGGGGCATTTTTCGCCCAAAGCGGTTATTTGTTTCACAGGCTGCTCAGGCCGAGGTCGAGCCCACTTCAGTCAAGCAGGCCATTGCTGATCCGCGCTGGAATGAGGCCATGCGTGCCGAAATCCGCGCCTTTTTATCTAATCACTCGTGGACGCTTGTTCCTCGACCACTTGGTTTGAACATTGTTGGCTGCAGGTGGGTCTTTCGCATTAAACGCCGGCCCGATGGCTCCATTGAGCGGTTTAAGGCCCGGTTGGTGGCCAAAGGGTTCTCTCAACGTCCGGGTATTGACTATCATGATACATATAGTCCCGTTCTCAAACCGGTCACCATTCGCACAGTATTCTCTATTGCTCTGTCGCACCAATGGCCTATTCTGCAGTTCGACGTCAACAATGCCTTTCTTCAAGGCTCTCTGCAAGAAACAGTATATATGCAACAACCCCCTGGGTTTCGTGATCCGGATCATCCCCATCATGTTTGCCGTTTATCTCGGCCTATCTATGGCCTCCGCCAGGCTCCACGCTCTTGGTATCTATCCCTCTCTGGCTTCCTTGAGGAAGCGGGCTTTGTCAAGTCAAAATCGGATGCATCATTGTTTATTTATCACAAGGGTTCGGTCACCCTCTATTTTCTAGTCTATGTGGATGATCTGCTTCTTACGGGCAATGATATGTCGTCTCTTCAACAGTTCCAGGCTCGTCTTGCGGCGCGATTTTCTCTCAAGACCCTCGGCTCTGTGAACTACTTCCTTGGTATCCAGGTTCTCCCAACTTCGTCCGGATATCTGCTCTCTCAACAGAAATATGTGCATGATGTCCTTGAACGGTTTGGCATGCTGGATTGTCACCCAGCCCCGACTCCCTTGTCCTCTGCCGCCAGGTTGCTTCTCGACGACGGCACTCCTCCGGCTGATCTCACCTTGTACAAGCAGGCTGTTGGGTCCCTGCAATATTTGCTCTGCACCCGTCCGGATATAGCATTCGCTGTCAACAAACTCTCTCAGTTTATGCATGCCCCTACTCAGCTTCATTGGCAGCATATCAAGCGTTTGTTTCGTTATTTGAAGGGCACCTCTCATCTTGGTCTTCGCCTTGAATCCGCCTCCACTCCATCCCTCGTCGCCTTCGCAGACTCCGATTGGGCCGGCGATCCCAATGATCGCACTTCCACGATGGCCTTCCTTGTCTACTATGGCAATAATCTCATCTCCTGGAAATCAAAGAAACAACGTTCTGTTGCTCGATCCAGCACCGAGGCGGAATATCGAGCTCTCGCCCACGTCACCTCTGAACTTCTCTGGATTCAGAACCTACTGCGTGAGCTTCATCAACCAGCTCCCACTGTCCCGACCATCTACTGTGATAATCTTGGCGCCGTGAACTTCTCTGCCAATCCCATCCATCACTCGCGCATGAAGCACCTCGCGCTTGATTATTTGTTCGTCCGGGATCTTGTGCAGTCTCAGCAACTTCGCGTTCAGCATGTTCCCACGACATATCAACTGGCCGACTCCTTGACGAAGCCGCTTCCCATCACTCGCTTCCAGCTACTCCGCTCCAAGATTGGTGTCGTCCCGGCCACCATCTTGCGGGGGCGTGATAAGGAATCTTCTTAGTTTAAATTCTTTCTCATTTAATTTATGTAATTAGTGGAGTAGTGGCTAGGTAGTTACCTTCTTTGTAGCATCGTGGGTTTATGTTTCTGTTAAGGAGATTGGTATTTAACCCATTCTCCTAATCAATACAAATTACCACATTCAAAGCAATTACACTAGGAAGGGGTCTCACTCGGCAAGGGGGGTGGGTTCTCTACGATATGACGGGGACTGCTTTCCTGGCTAGTGGGGTCCAGTTCCCTGGGATTGATGAGCCAGCCGTGGTGGAATTGCTTGTGCTCCGGAAGGCTGTTATCTGGTGTTTGGCCCATGGGTTCACAGAGGTAAGGTTTGAAGGGGGACGCTAAGGTGATCATTGATAAAATCAACAAGGCGGAGATTCGTGATAACTAGCCGGGCGCAGTTCTTGAAGAAGTAGTACATGGTGTTAGCGCTACCCCTGATTTTAGTGTTTGGTTCGTAGGTCGGCGTAGTAATAGGGCAGCCCATTTGGTTGCTAGAAAAGCCCTCGCTTTGTGACCAGGCTAAAACTCCTCCGAAGGGAAATTGATTTAAGTAACGCACATATAAATCCTAATTCGAGTCGGATTTGGTTAGAGCCCAGAACCCATCCGTACTCTACAAAATCCCCAGCCCACTTTACTTTCCGTGACGGACGTTTTCGGAAACAATGGTCGCTAAAAGACGCTCCTCCACGGTTCCAAGAGACTGGGCCTGGCTGCCGTGCAACGTCCTCGACTCCATCCTAACCCACCTCCCCACCTTACGCGACTACCTCCGCTTCACCTCCGTCTGCAAGCCGTGGAACTCGGCGTCGGAACCCCACGCGCGCCGCCGCACCGCCACGAGCCACCGGTCGCAAGCCCCTCTCCTCCTAGTCCCCACGCGAACCCGCAGCCGCGAGTGGCGGGGCCTGTACGACGCCGCGCAGCAGAACAAGCTCCTGAGCCACGCGCTCCCCGTGCCTTACCACAGGCGGTGCTGCGGATCCTCCCACGGCTGGCTCGCTTTCCTGGAAAGGGACTACTTCGTCACGCTCTACAATCCCTTCACCCGAGCTCGAATCTCGCTCCCGCGGATCATTCCGGCGCCTGATTACATAACCACCGTCATCGACCGCGCGAAGCACGACCGTTACTTCCCCTACGACGTGAAGAAGGTCGTCCTCTCGGCCGACCCTTCCGTCTTCCCCGACGATTATGCGGTCGCGGCGATTGTGGATCATCGCAGGTAGGGTTATTCGAACGGAATGATTTTACCGTTAGTAACCGTTTTAACCGGTAGTAATTGAGATAATTTGGTCTTGTTAATTTGGATAATTGGTTTGGTTTGGGTAATTTTTTTTTTTACTTTGTTTGGTTTGGTTTCAGACACTTCTAACCAATGAAACCAGATTAACCAGTTAAGTAAGTAATTAGTTATATATTTAATTACGTAGTATACTTTGCATAACAGCTCCACAGTCAAACGTTCTTCCTTTTAGACTCATGATAAATAAAGCTCATTAACTATTGTTTCCGGTGTTGTATATTTGTATTTGTATAATGTAGATCACAACAATATATACGACTAATTAAAATAAAACTAACACAATACTATATTGGATGAAATTGCTAGGAGAGTTCAATTCACGCAAACGCAACAATTTAACCCAACATACAATTTACATATATATTTTTGTTTAGGTGAATACTTCTGTTTAACGGTAGATAATTATATTAGTTGTATGTGTATAAATTGCGAATTAATGCGCATTGACTATGTTTTCCCTCCCCCCACTTGATGAGAATGTGATATTATATTGGTTAGTATGAGTTAACCAGTCGTTAACCAACCCGTTTAAACTTTTGTTTGGTTATGATTTGGTTGTTGTATTAGTTTGGACGGTTTAGTTATGATATCGTATTTCATGGTTAATAAATTTCGACGTTTTGGTAATTAATTATCATGGTAACCATTTGAACACGCGCGGGTAATCCGCCCGCAGGACTCTGGCGGTGATCAACGCAGGGGAGAAGGAATGGAAGCACGCCGCCGGTTGGGTGGAAGCGATTGATAATAACAACCCTCCCTTCTCGCACTTGCTGTCCGACGTCATATTTCGTCGTGATCGAGACGGCGGCGATTGGGTTTACGCGTCGGGGCATTGTGGATTGCTGGCCCGCGCGGAATGCGGCGGCGGCGGCGGCGAGGTGAGAATGGAGCTGGTGGTTCCGCCGTGGGGCCCGGATTATTGTTGCACGGTGTACAAGTACTTGGTGGAGTCGTCGGACGGTCGGGATCTGCTCGTGGTCCTGCGATTCTACGAGGAGATGGAGGGCTACGAGTTTTCCATGGCGACCCGGGACGTGAAGGTGTTCAGGCTTCGGAGAAAGGAGGAGGAGGAGGAAGGGTTTGTGGAGGTGAAGGATTTGAACGGGGATGCGGTGTTTGTTGGAGACAGTTACTCGACGGCGGTTCGAGCAGGGGATTTTGAAGATTGTCGGGCCGACTGTGTGTATTACAGCGACGATTTCACGTCGTATTTTCCTTCTGAGGATCGTTTGGGACCGCACGACGTGGGTGTGTTCGACGTGAAGGAGGAGAAGTTTGGTTCTCATTATGTTCCGACGCCGGCTCGGAATCGAGGCATGCCGCCGCCGATTTGGGTTTTTCCGACGTTAACTTCCGGCTAGATCTAGGATGGTAAGACGGGGAAAAAAAGGTTGTGTTATAGTTTGGTAGCAAACACTAACGGTTTGTTAGCAGTTATACCGTAACGTTAATTAAATGTACAAATTGAAGTTGTACCATAAGGGAATTTTTATATTTATGTTATCGTATTACTTCAAATTGTACGATAATATAATTGCGCCACTTTAGTTTATTTGTACCATAATATGATTTGTATAAACGAGTATAGGTACAATATGAAGTTGTACCATAATGTTAAATGTACAATTTCAAGTTGTACCATGAGGTAAAACACTAAAACACCGATGCTTTAAAACATTGTAAAATTCCTCGCTGTTGTTTTGTTTAAAATGCCCGAAGCTTTCGGTTAATGAAAGATGTGCTTTTTTATGGTTCACAACTAGTTGTGGTAAAATAAAAACAACGTGCCGACACGGCGTAGACATAATTTTCTTAAGGAATTTGTATTAATTGATTATGTCATTTAATATCTAAATTAACGGTATAAAGTATATTGGGTTCAAATAAACATGCCCAACAATCATATAGAGCATACATGGTATAGATATATAGTATATTACAAATAATAATTTGAGATCGTGCACAATCTCGATTACAAGATTTGCAACCCTACCTCCAGAGCCCCACTCCAACTTCTTCAAAAAGAAGGGCAACCCTCTAAACATTATTAAACCCTTAATTACATCTCTCTCTCTATCTTGATTCTTGATCACCAAATGCCCTCCTCTCTCTAGCACTCTACTCTAATCACTACCTCTCCAAAAGGCAAAACTTACAAAAACAAGGCAAGGCCCTTCACATGGACAACGAGTGGGGGGGATAAAAGGGGTAAAAGTGAAGAGGAAAGAAAGGAAGAAGAGAAAGAAACTATATGAAGGAAGGAACACAAACCCCACTCTAGGAAAAACACAACTAATTAGTAATAATCACTTTTAAGAAATTCAAAGAATCGATATTATCATTCAAACCAAAGCACGATCTTGCTTAGATCTCGTGGGTTTTCCCTTCTTTCTCTTCTCCACCCTTCCCCTGTTGAGTGGGAGTGGTGGCAATGGAGGAAGAAGGGGACGGAGCGGAACTGTTAGAGTAGTGGGCGGGGAACTCCGACAACATCTGCACGACTTCTCTCATCGTTGGCCGCTCGATGTTGTTCTCCTGACTGCACAACATAGCGATGAAGAACAGGTGCATCGCCTCGTCTCGAGGCACCACTGCTAGCCGTCGGTCCACGATGCTCATCACCTCCTCCCTCCGATGACACGTCACCTTCCTGCTCCACTGCACTATGTCGACCCCGTCCCCGAAATCCCCCACCGGTCTCCTTCCCGTCAGAAGCTCGAGCAACACGACCCCAAAACTGTACACATCGCTCTTCTCGTCCACTCGTAATGTGTATGCATACTCTGCAACGAGAAAGAGAGACTAATCATTAGTGACACACATTCATAAGTAATGAGTAGTATTAGCCAAGTTGAGTAGTAGTACTAGTCATGATGGAATGCCAAGTTGTACAAACTCAATTGTTGCTAGCTAAGGAAGCAATGCGTGTAGTAATTAAGAGCAAAAGTGTCTTGGTGGTAGAGAGCCTACTTTTGTGAGACATAGAGACGTGGCTAGATTCTCATCATGGTGTCGGCCTGGCCCACTACTACTAGTAGACTTATTTCAAAGCCCGGCCCAATACAGGCCATCCGTTTTTGGACCACACCCACTACAAAGAGAGATTTTGGAAAACGACAGGTCGTAGAGAGTGAAGACAGAAAAGAGAATTGTCAAAGTTGGTAAAAAAAACGAAAATAGTGACACATTAGTCGCGGTTACCCAAAAAATTCTATTGCTGGCTCCGTAGCATATTTCACGGGTGTTTTTTCTGCTATCGTTTTAGCATTCCTTTTAAAAATAAATAAAAATTTGGAGGATGAATTGCAAAATGACTCGACAATACACATCCGTCGATACGATATACTTGTTCTTCGACGAGCCTGTAATTCAACGATATCGTACTATTTCGATAATAACTACGGTAGCAACTACCAGTCAATTTGCCGTCAAAACTTGCGAATTTACTCCAAATCAGTACACAGTGGAAATTATTGTCAACACTTTTTCGCGGTAAAAAGTAGTAATTACTAATTAAAATTAATTTACCGGAGGAGGGTAGAAAAAAAAAAAGGAAAAAAAAAGAGACTTACCAGGAGCAATGTAGCCGTAGGAGCCAGCAATGGCGGACATACATTCGTCGACGAGGTACTTGGCCAGCCCAAAATCCGCCACGTGGGCTTCGAACCCGGAATCCAGCAGAATGTTGTTGGATTTGACGTCGCGGTGGACGATCAACGGCGAGCAATCGTGGTGGAGGTAGCAGAGCCCCTTCGCCGCTTCAATCGCAATCTTGTACCGTTGATTCCAGCTCAGGAGTCCAGCGCCGGCGACGGCGCCGGAGGCGCCTTTCTTGCCGTGGAGGGCTTCCCCTAGACTGCCGTTCTTCATGTACTCATACACAAGCAGATTGGTCTCCCTGTTGGAGCAGAACGCCACCAATTTGACGATGTTCCGGTGCCGGATGTTGCCTAGGGTTTGGATCTCGGCCCGGAACCCGTGGTCGTGCCCGTTTCCGCCCGGCCCGAACCCGAACCCGAGGAGCTTTTTCACCGCTACCTCGCACCCGTTCCCCATTCTCCCGTGGTAGACGATCCCGGCGCCGCCTCTGCCGATCACGTTGCCGTCTTTCACGCACTCGAGAATCTCCGCCACGCTGAACTCCACCTTCTGAAACGACGTCATTTTCCAATCCGACTCTCCGTACCGCTTGAACGACCGCGCTTTCACGATCGCGGCGGTGGCGAAGATCAGGGAGCAGATGAGGAGGCCTAGGGCGAAGACGAGCTTGAAATTGTCAGGGGATTTCGCCGGTTTGCCGTTTGGGTTTGTTGTGGAATTGCAGGGGTTGTTGAGGATGGAGCTGCAGAGTTGAGGGTTCCCGGCGAAGGAGGAGGCGTTGAAGACGGAGAATTGGCCGGAATCGGGGAGCTTCCCGGAGAGGTTGTTGAAGGAGAAGTCGGCGATGGTGAGGCTTTTCATTGAACCGATGGATTTGGGGATGGTTTGGTTGAGGTGGTTTCTGGATAGGTTTAGGTAGTTGAGAATGTGGATGTTGGAAATCTCTGGTGGAATTGGTCCGGTGAGATTGTTCTGGCTTATGTCCAGGTAGGCAAGATGGCTGCAGTTGCCGATTTCAGGTGGGATTGGACCGGAGAGCGAATTCGAGCCGAAATCAAGCTTTAGAACTTGATGGAGCTCACCAATGGTGGATGGGATTGAACCAGAGAAGTTGTTGCCACTGAGAAGAAGGATTTGGAGAGAAGAGAAGTTTGACAGTGAGGATGGCAGTGGACCTGAGAGCTGATTGTTTGAGAGATCCAATTGCCCCAATTTTTCGGGTTTCGATGAGCTGTTGCCATTCTCAGACAGTGTTCCTGAGAGGTAGTTGTTCTGAAACTCAGCTAGGTTGAGCAAAGGCAAGTAGATGAACCCACTTGGAATGCTGCCATTCAAGTAGTTCTGCCCCAGCCTCACTCTGCTCAAGCTGTAACAGCTACCTAGCCCGTCGGGGATAGGCCCGAAAAGGAAGTTCTTGAACAGAATCAGAATCCTCAGCTGGTTGGATGAGCATAGATCAGGAGGGATCGTTCCGGTGAGCTTGTTCGAAGACAAATCAAGAACCTGAAGCTTCTCATTCCGGCCTAAGTCCCGAGGAATGACACCAGTGAAGTTGTTCATCCAGAGGCCTAGTGTGTCCAGGTTTGGCAGCTCCGCAACGTAATCAGGGATGGAACCATGCAGCTTGTTCATGAACAGGTTGAAGAGCTTGAGCTGCTTGAGATTGATGAACTCAACCGGGATTTCGCCAGTAAGTGCATTGTTGGAGAGGTCGAGATTGACCAGGTTGGTCAAGTTGCCAAGCTCATTTGGGATGAAACCTGAGAGCTGATTTGCATGCAAGTAGAGGGTATTGAGCTGCTTCAAGTTCCCTAGCTGGCGTGGAATCTGGCCATCCAATTCGCAGTTGGAAATGTCCATCTCGACGAGATTGACAAGGTCTCCAAGCTGTTCTGGTATCCCACCTTCAAAGCCATTGTAATACCCCAAGTAAAGCTGTCTCAAGTTGGTGAGATTCCCCAACTGACTGGGGATTCTTCCATGAAGGTCGTTTCCTGCAAGGGAAAGATACTCCAACCCATGAAGCTCCTCCCCATAGCTAGCTGGGATTCTCCCGTAGAAATAGTTCCCACCAAGATCCAAGTACCTGAGATTCTTCCTCCCAATGGTCAGAACCCCAAGTGGGAGAAAAGCTGTGAAGTTGTTGTTGTAGGCATCGAGGAGCTCCAAGCTAGGCAGAGTCGAGTAGTTCCAATCCAGGTCGCCGCTGAATTGGTTGTTCGAGATGTTGAGAAACCTGAGATTGCTCAGTCTGGAGATGTCAATGGTGCCCGTGAAATTGTTCCCCGCGAGAGACAGGTTCGTGAGCTGGTCGAGCCTCGTGAGCAGCTGAGGCGGTGAGATGGAGCCATAGAGATTCAAATCTGTCAAGTCCAATTCAACCACTCTGCCTCTTGAGCAGTGAACTCCAGCCCAGGACGAGCAGACCGAGCCTGGACTGGAGTCGTTCCACGTGCTCAAGGCCGGTTCGGGGAACTGGAATCCTTGTTTAAGAGCGAGCAAGGTGTGGAAGTCATTGAGAAGGGAAGCAAAGCAAGTGGAGGCGGTGAGAATAGAGAATAAGGTGCTGAGAAGAACAATGGGAGGGACCATGACCTTGACCATGAGAAAAGAAGAGAAGAAGATGCTACAAGAAACTTTGTTTGTTTCCCAGGAAAATTTCCCTCTTGTTTGTTTGTTGTCACTTGGGAGGATTTATGCAGATGGGGTGGACAGTGAAGGAGGAGGAAAAGTGGTGAAGATGGAATCTGAAGAAGGGAGGAAATGGGTTTTTGGAATCAAACATTGTTGCTTCTTTACACACAGGAAAAAAAGCAAAAGAGAGTGAGTGTCTTGAAATACAAGGTAGAAGAAGAAGCTAAGCCTCTCCTTTCCTCTCCTTTGCTGCTGCTGCTAATCTTTTCTTTACCCTCCCCTTTTCTTCCCTTTGGTTTCCCTTTTGCCCCACTGGGAGAAGATGAGATGAAGAAGAAGAAGAAGAAAAGGTTTAGAACAGAGGTAAAAGAGGAGGAAGGAAGAAATGAAAGGAAGAAATGGGAAGAAGCAAAATTGCTTGCTGTATATGAAGAAGGGAATGAAAAGCTGCTGATAGTTTTACTGCTGCACAAATGGTGGTAAAAATTGGAAAAGGAGAGTTAATAAAGCCGTTGGATAACTGAAATTTAAAGTTGAGATTAAGGGCAGAAAAGAAAAGAAAATGGAAAAGGAAAGAAGCAAAAGGAAAAGTTTTGATGCTAGCTGCTGATTGTAATGGAGGCAAGGCAGTGTAGTAGTGGGTAGTGATATCTTTATATTTTCCTCTTTTGATCCTTTGATGACAACAAATGTTCTTTAGCTTTAATCAGGAGAGGCTATGCAATATCACTTTGCCCTTCCCTCCATAGATGATGATATCTCAGTATATAGCTTCATTGATAGAGCAAAATGCTGGAATTGCACTTTAAAATCATATATCCATACAACAACATGATTATTTCATGGCTTCAACCGTCTTTGTTTCATGACGAGACCCTGACCATTTATGCATACGCTCGAGATTATTCCGACATTCACGAGAACTAGCTGACAACACGAACTTACAACGCTTTTATTGATGGTTACTTTTTTCTCGAAAGCGGTAGGAGGAATAAAACTCAAGAGCACATTTTTACATTAATGGGACTACTTTGCATGGATTTCATCATGACAAATAATTACTGGGTGTTTACTTATAGGAACCCATGTTATTGGATCCAGCTTTTTGTCGCAATGGGTGAAAAAACTTAATTGCCATAATTAAGCACAAGGTGATGATGTTTGTTTAGGGTTTAATTATGGTGTCCATGATCCAATAAAAATATAAAATCCCCCGTGTGATAATGATCATTTTGTCAGATGGGTTCATTATGTGTTATGGTAGCTGCTGATTCAGAATTTGCACTTCAAAAAAACAAAGGAAAAGAAAGGATTGATGGATGGGTACATTCAATTCCTCCACTACTAGGACTGTTTGGTTTGGAAAGATTGGTATTCAGTCAGAAACCATAATGTACAGAGGAAACCCATTAACTCCATAGCAATGGAGAATGGAGATATAGGCAGATAGATAGCTTAAAGGATGAGAATTGAACTCGACCTGCGGGTACCCGATCCGGTTTGCTCCGGGCAAAGCGGGTAAAAGTCAGTGTTGACAGGTTCCAGGTTAGGTGCGGGTTCTATTCGTTTTTTTAGAATTGGTAGGTTAGATCAGGTGCGGATTTTGTTAAAAGCTAGCTATTTTACATTCGACTTGCACCCAAAGAGCAAAACAACATTGCATTGCATTGCATCAAACCCTAATAATATGTAGTTCATAGATATATGTGTTATTGGCCTTTAGTCTTTATAATTTCGATAATACAAGATGCGAGTGGTTGAATGAATTATTTGCGGTTATGTTTGTGAATCCTTAGATACTCATGCACAGATCAATACCCGTTGGGTTGGGGTTTTTTTTTCCTCCCGAAAATTAATGACCATTCTACTGAATTTTTTTAACTGAATTGGGTTTGACCTCGGAAAAACCCAACTCATTGTAATCCCTAATTACCAATCTTGGTCTTTTTCTATTGAGTTTTTTTTTTTTAATGTAGGAATGAATAAAGAAGGGGCACACTAATTAGCTAGACACCTTGATGGTGCCTGCCAGGGAGCCATCTTGGACCCATTGATTAAAGGGAGAAAAAAAAAAAAAAAAGAGTTAAAGTGTCTTCTCATATATGGATGGTCTTCTATGAACAGTCATGCTTTCTTCATCAAATGGGTTGGAGTTTGGACCCCCAAGAGAATTTGTGCATTTTGATGCACCAAAAAGCAAGCAAACAACTAGCATGAACTACTGTATGGAGACTAATGATGAAAGGGATTTACTGTTTAAACAAAGAAAGAATGTTTTTCCATCACCTTGTAGGAGTGACAATGTGTAAAATACCAAATGAAATAATACTAGGTATGTATTTCTTAAAATGGTAGTGATCAATACATATCACAACGGGAGCTAGAGTCGAGCTTGTTTCTCTTAGTCCGAAAGAGCGTATTCCGCGACCTCTCTTTGCTAGGTTAGGAAGATAGCATCGAATTTATGTCGTTTCTCATGGGGAAAAAGGTAATTTTGTCATGGGCGAAATCTCATCAGCCGATTTTTTTCGTCGAAATACTTTTGTTTTCATTGTCTGACATCCAATATTGAGTCAACAATTATCGAGAAGGACACCGTCAAACGAGAAACTTTACTTTATGAACAAAGGGGAGCGAGAAGGTGCGCTAGTTGCAATCAAACTCAAGCTTGATGCAAAGCATAATAACACCATAATAATGAAAATTGTTCTACAACCATACAAACTTAGTTAACATGTACCTCTAGTTAGCCCACTTATTGCAGCGCAACAGAAAATCGACAATGCAATAATGTAAAGAATACAGAGACAAGTTTCATTATACTTGACGAGATACAATTTACTAAAGGGTTAGAAAAGGCTCCAGATGATCAAAACCCTGATCCAATATAACCCAAAACAAAACACCATATGTGTACACCGATTTTCCCGTGACTTTTAATCAACGGCAAATAATCAGATTTCAAATCATAGCAATACTACTAGTTTAAGCTGTGGAGGGGGGAACATGTGGCTGCAACAACCTGCAACAGTGAAAGAAGAAAAAAGAGGAAGGCGTGATTATTCATATATCATTACGATGTTTGTTGAAGAATGAATGAATGATAAACCTAATAATTATAAAGGGTTTTCCTTTGCATGGGAAAAGGGAACCAAACTAGCCCTGCTGATCAAACTGTCTCAGCAATCCTGCAGCAGCAGCAGTATATCATGGAAGCTTTTGATCTCTACTTAGCTTATTAGTTCCATGTATCAATCTGTTTCACTTTCCCTTTTTCCCTACAATCAATCTCTGACTAACCAGGCTAGGGTTTTTGCTACTTCTCTCTTATGTTATATATCTCATCAATCAACGTAAGCTTTATTCCCAGATCCTTTAGTTTGCAGAGGCAGAGAGAGCAGCTCTGCATGGGACCATGGATGGATTTGATTTGTATAATGTGGGATTATTACGAGAAGGAAGATGATGGAATAGTCTTAAAGAGAGGGCTGAAAGCAGGCAGAAAAAAAAAAAGCTAAAGCGCCCTCCCTCCCTAGTTTTGATAAACATAGCTAGATCGTGTTCATCAGCTTCCACTTCCCAAAAGTAAAAGCAGAGTGTAAACCCTGCATTTTTAAAAAAAAACAGGGGAAAAGCAAAAGCAGAGGAGGAATTCCGGTCCCTGCAGCAGATATCTCTTTGCTTTGTTCCTTCACATGGAAAAGAGTGCTCTATCAAAAACATGCCCTTCCCTTTTGATATATTATTAACCCTTAATCTTTTGATCATACAACATACCAATTGATCATAGAGTTAAAGCAAAACAAGCTTCATTTCAACAAATATAGATAGGGTTGGAAATGTTAGAGAGTGGTAATATAATATTCACAATCAACCACCTCCCAATGATTCGAGTTATATCGAGACTAACTAGTTCGTCGCATGGTATCAACCCCTAGCATTGATAGTTGTTCTAAGCACAAGGTATGATGAGTCAGTGCAGAACTCCAAGTTCGTGGGTTGTGTTAGAGAGCTGCGGTATAAGATCCATGATTAACCCTTTTCTCGAAACAACTCGAGTTGTTAGAACCGGTTGGTTGGTGTATAACAAGAGAACACTATTCATTTATCTAGAAGTTGAATTCAAAATCTACCTAAGGCTAGCTGCTTCTCTGTGCTTAATTTGGCACTGAAGCCAGTGCATGCAAGTTGCAGGGGAGAGGGGAGATGGAGGGCTTTTGAGGTGTCTCTATCTGGTGTCATATATTCAAGGCAATGGGGGCAAAGGCCATTGCTTTGAACTGTCACTTTCCTTTCTTGCTGCCATCTCTTGATGAGCTTATTATGACTTATGAGTGACCAGCTGATGAATACCAGTATTTACATATATGTGACAAGCAGAAAATTTCAAAAGTAAACTCTTGGTGGTCACTCTTTTCATATATGCACAACTCACTTACCTCTGCCATGCATCTTAAATGGCAAAATGTTACTGCATATGTACAACCAAGCATAAGTGGGAGCATTATTGCTAGCACTAGGGGTGGGCATGATCTGTTCCAATTCGAAAATCGCGGTAAAATCGGACGAAACATAAGAACAAACTGAGTATATTCGATTCGAGTCAATTTTATGTTGCTTTACGTTCAGTTTACTATTTCTTATATCAACATTAAGAAAATTCGTAAATTGAAACTCAAATCGATTCATGTTGTGTGCCTGAAATCGTTAGCTAAAGTACAAGGAGGGATTTAGGGAACATGCATGATCTGTCAACCTGACTTTTGTCCATAATCTTTGATGTTTCCCCAAAAAATCAATACTCAAGGAAAAATCTCACATCTCTCACCTTCCAATTCCTAAGATTTGATTGGCTTTTCTTACTTTGTGAGGGTCTTTTTCTTTCACATTCATGCTGGTCCATATGTGTTATCTATAGATAATGCCACAGTTTAGGGTAAACACAAACAAACTAATGCATGGCTGACTGTTTGGAATCATTAATGGCATCTTTCCACCATCATCATGGCGTTTCATTAGCTGCTGATGATGACAAGAATCTGGGCCAATCCTACTGTCATCTTGACCTCATTGCCCAATAAGAAACTGAGGGGCAGTTTTGTACAACCATGAATTTCCACAGTGACCGGTATATATACCGTTACATCGTGGGTGGGTTTTGCGTTGCTACACTTCTTCTATAATTCGTTTGTGATCTGTAGGTCATCTTTCGATTGCATGTCATCTTTACATTGTTATTGAATCAGGAAATGGACAAATAAAACATCTTTCTTAGGGATTATGTGCAACCACGAATCGTGGTAAGTGGCCGATTGGGTTACATCGGTCATCGGTGGTGGATTATTTTGGCATTGCTACACTTCTATTCATCGTTCGTAATTTCTTTTGTGATCTCTTAACCGTTGGTCGCTTTTGGCGAACTCGTTTGTAGTTTGCACCCATTTTATAGATTCTTTTCATTCATGAAAAAGGAAACACATCAATGAAACAAAGGGTGGTGCAAAGTATTGATAAATTTGCACAATGTGATGGGAACATACACAGAGAGAGGTAGCAATGACAAGGAGGGGGAATCTGCAAAATGAGGAACAATAATTGACTTTGCTGCTATCCTAAAATGATAATGGAACCAAAGCAAATGCAGAAAGAAGGATATGAAGAAGCCAAGGAGAGAACCAGGTTCCTCTCTCTTTATCTTTTTCCTTTGTACAAAACTGGTCGTTTCAAAAAAACCCAAAGCAGCTTTAGATGGTGGCAAAAAAAGGACTACTGGGTGTTTGGGTGACCTCTTTCCTGTCCTCAAATTTGATCTTAAACTACTAGACTACATGGGCTTTGGCATAATGTGAGACATAAATAGGTATACAACAATATACCATCTCATTATCCTACTTCGATAATTAAGGTGCGTTCTCAATTTGGTTGTCCATCTTGTCTTTCCCGAATGAGTGCAAACATGTTGAGATGGACCGTTGCTTCGTGAGCGAGATCTGTCCTATAACATTACACCATGCAAGATTCACACTGCTCGATAGGTTGTAGGTGCATTCAACACAAAGACTTTGAAATGTAATAAGCAGTTTTATTCCTTACTTTTTAAATTTGGGCACTCATGATCTTCATGTCTAGTCACGAGGATGTATGTCTTCTAGTAATCAGTTTATTTTATTTTATTTATGTGTTGCCCTAATAGGATATTGTAATTTGTAATGGGTTTTGTGCGCCAAACCATACAATGAAAATAATTAAGAATAATAAAAATAAATACAACGTTACAAGCTTTTTTTAACTATTGTAAGATGGTTCAATTTGGTTGCCAATCTTGTCTTTCCCGAATGAGTGAAAGCATGTTGAGATGGACCGCTGCTTCGTCAGTTGGATCTGTCCTATAACATTACACCACGCAAGATTCACACTACTCGATAGTTTGTAGGTGCATTCAACACAAAGACTTTGAAATATAGTGAGCAGTTTTATTCCTTACTTTTTAAATTTGGGCACTCGTGATCTTCATGTCTCTATATGAGAATGAGTACGGTGTCTGTCCCCTAGTAATGAGTTTTATTCATTTATTTTATTTCTCAGTTTCCCTAATAGATATTGTAATGGGCTTTGTGCACCAAACCATACGACACAAATAAGTAAGAATAATAAAAATGAGTACGACGCTACAAGATTTTTCTTCAACTATTGTAAGTCGATGGTTCATTCTAAATCGCAAAAATCACGTTATTTAGTCGTTTTGTCCTGTGATTCTTATTTGTTTGAACCCCTCAAATTTATCAATCCGGCCATCAAGTAGAAAACCCTCAAATGTCAAAAGCAATGGCTTTCATGATTAAATAGATGCATGCAATGATGAATCATGATCCCAAGTAAAGTGTTATATGCTCCGTTGGTTTCTGGATATTAAAGTACACACCAAATCATCATTCTCATTCCCCACTTTTTACTATTCACAATCACCATCATTTCCTTCTTAAGCTCTCTCTTTGTGTCGCTCTCTTCCCATTGAACAAATACGCCAATCTGTGCTGTTGAACCAATACCCAACAATCAGAACGAATTATATGATCAGCATATATGCAAATAACGAAAGAAGAAGGCACATGCATATAATACAGAGCTTTTGCTAAATCGTTGAAGAGACAGAGAGAAAAAACCAGACTTTGAACGCCTTTGAGCAAAGAAAGCTAGCTAAAGCCTTTCAAAAGATGAAGGGCAGGCCAGCCAAGCGGCTGGCTTTGTGATGAGAAATGTTAGTTGAAGGGACCAACTTAAAGGCCATATCATCAAAAGAAAAAGAAAGCAGCAAAGGTGGCAAATTAAAGGGATGCTCATACAAGTTCCCAACCCAAACCTTTCCCAGAGGAGAGAAACAATGAGATGGAAAATGGAGAAAGAAACCCTAGCTAGCTAGATTGATTTTCATGGAAAGAGGCAGGAATAGGCCATGAAACCCAACCAATGAAAAAATCAACTATGAAAGCATTAGGAGATGAAAGGAGGCCATAAAGAAATTAGGGTATCCTTTTCTTTATTTTGGGTATGTTACAAATTAGCAACAACATTGTTCCTTTATCACCGGTATATACACGTGACACTCGTAAATCGATGGAACTATCAGTTTTGAATGCATCGAAGATAGAGATTAATATCTATACTTAAGTTCAATTTCACATGATACACACTTAAAACTCATGAAAGGTGATTAAATTTTATGTGTGAAGTATAATTTTGTTAACAATCACTCCAATATAAAGAGAACTTCACAATATTCAACACTTGATTGTACTTTGAGAGATCGTTACAAAGAGAAGGCGTACACACCTCTATTGGAAGAACTGCTTGGTATGATGCATACCTATTACTCGGGTTCAGGGTAGATTAGTCTTTCATTATGTAAATCGACTAGAGTTTTTGCGTTAGAGCCTATATAATATAAGTGAGTTGTTTCATTAGGATTACCAATCAATCAAAAAATAATCAAAGTATCTCACTTTATTCCACGACTATGTTCTTCTCAATCTCAACTCTTATTCTAATCCTCCTATTCTTCTCAATTCTCTTATGTTACTCTCTTAAACACTCTTTCTAAATAACATCATATCCCAATATTCGTATCATATATCAAGACCCGGTTTCATCATGGTACTATATGTAGGAGTATATTGGGTCTACTCAGTTGAAATTTTGTGGCTAGATTGTCGTTTGCCACCACCAACATGTTAAGGGTTCTCATCGATTTGGTTCCGGTTATCAGAAGAAAATTGCCTAACCGATTTGAATTTTTATAATCAACGGTGATCCAATTAATCAAACCATTTTATCAACCCATAACTTTATAAACTATCATTCCTTCTCTCTCCAACCTATCTAGAAACCTTAAATCACAAAAACAGATGATGAACATGCTCCTCCATTGATATGCTAGTTGCTGGACCACATCAGCAGCTATTGCTGCAAATCTAACAGACACATGTAAGTGGGGGAAATCTCTTGTTTTGTTTTCCCCCTTTCTTCTTCTTCTCCTCCATCCATGGTTGGTTTTTGGATTCTAGATTTAAGTGGGGGGAAATCTTTAATTTTGTTGTCATTAGCAATTGTCAAATTAAAGTAACTTGTTGTTGGCTATAACAAAAGCAACACCCACCCACCTCATAATTTGCACCATCTTTGTCATTTTACTTGACTGTTGTTGGGTGTCTCTTTTTTATGCTTTTGATGACCATATATATTACATGACCCCCTTTGGGATTTTGTTTGCAATCTCAATTACTTTGCCCATCACCCAAATCCACTTTAAGAAAGGAAAGATACCATTCTTGAGGCCCTTTAACTTCTAATCACAACCTTATTAGTCCCTAGATTTTGTCTTCATTTGGTGATTAATGTTAATCATTGATTAATCTATGTGTTCACTCATATCGATACGTGAAGGGACAGATCAATTGACCCTTTTGTTTCTTTGTGAAGTTCAAATGCATAAAAGCTTGGAGATCCAGCCTAGTACCCCAAAAATCCTCACATAACCTTGACAGCTTGACTCTGAGGGTCGATTAGGGTTGGAATAAAAAAAACAGTAGTTGAGGGGTGAAGGGGGTTTCACTTTAATCGGGATGTAGGAGGTTTGTTTTAATCGAAAACGAACTCATTAACATCTTACCGATTTTCGGATAACCAAAAATCAATAAGGTCTTTACAGGTATGATTTTGGGGAAACATAGTAGTTCGATAACCAAACCGAACCGACGTCCATAGGTTTGATCCCAAAGCCATTGCAGTAGTAAAGTCCACAGACATGCATCGATCTCTACCATGGCCATTGATGAGTCACCAAGATCATTGGAAGCCTGTGAACAGAATTACATCGATTCATGTGTCAGCACGTGGCAAGGGTAAAAAACGAGAAGCTTTTGTTCTTATAGAGAAGTTTATGTATGATCAATCTTGAGGTCTTAATGATTGATGAACTATCGTACATGAACTAAAACATGCGTAAATTACTTTTAGAGGCATTGGAGAATAGTTTGGTGGGACGATTGAACAATAATTTGAAGGCCAGCCATGATGAAAGGAAAGGAATCAATCTATCTGCTCTCATTATTACATGTAGAGAATAATGTTTGGAAATAATATAGCAATCACAAAGAAGTAATAGGTAGCTAGCTAGCTACCACACTCACAAAAATAAACCCTAAAACAATTGGTGGTGTCTCATAACAAATAGCAATTGGAACTTCATAGGTACTATTTGGCAACATTACAGATGGGGAATTGACCTTGATACCATGCCAGTAGAATTGGTGGAAGCCAAGTCACTGATCCATCCAATTGGCTTTGATGGAATGTGAAACTACTTGTTTGTTTGTACCGTTGTTTGCTTTGAATTGTCAAATCAGCTCCGATTTTGGAATCATGGTGCCACTTTGTCTATTTTAGTCTTTAATAAAAACTTCATCTACATTTTGATGATCGTGCCCTTTCTAGTACGATTTTACAATCATTGCTATGAATACGCGGCTATGAGCACAAACATGAAACGTGTATGTGGAGAAGCAACCCTCCCTCCAGCAACAAAGCTTTCAATGACATCAATGTGCCTGCCAATTGCAAGATCCAAACAAGAATTCATATGACCAAGGTACTGACCGAATCCAATTTTCAATAGTGAAACACATGATCCAAGCAGACAAGTGCAGCAGATGGGCAAACCATCCCTGCAAAACAAATCTCTAATTCTCTGCCAAGCTGACAGAGTTTCAGTTTTTTGTTCTTCTTCGATTTTAGGGATCAACAACTCCCCTTTTTCCAATAGGTCCGGATGCAGTGTTAAACAGGAGCAATTCAATAGGGGGGGGGGAATTGAATTGCAGAAGAAGGCAACATCATTGTCACAGAACAGTTCCTAGCATATTAAAACATCATCATGGTCATTGAGTAACCTATTCAATAATGCAGACGATGTCCTAGAATAAAGAAGAAAAATCATCGTCACTCAGAGTAGCTTGTTCAATGATGCAAGTGTTGCACAAGTCAGGGAATGGCTTCTTCTGTAAACTCAAACGCCAGCCATGTATATTAGCAAGAGAATGAACCAAAACACTGCAATTTAACAGAACAGGCTCGTCACTCGGTCTACGAATCAATATTCCGGGATCCAGTACCGAAAACGATATTGGCAGGAGACTGATCTTTTCAGCTCCCATAATGGTTATTGCATAAGATAGGAAATCAAAGCCACAATGTCAAAGGGCAAGGTATTCAGTAGAACTCATTCTGAATGATGTTCCATTCCTGAGACCTAGTGATTCCAGAATACTTTCTGGTGCTCCAAAAGAAACCTCAGCGAGAGGTTGGTACTTTTCCCAATTGCTTGGTGTGTTCTGCAGAATAATGCCATAGCAAACATGAAAACCATTCATCAGCTATCAATAAGACAATAGAGGAAGTACTAATGAATGCATCATATCGACTTCCAAAACCTGAGCCAAACCACTAAATGTTTAATGTGATTGATTCAGAACCTAAAACCTCCATTTGTGACTTAATTTGCGAGAAATGTTGAGGAAGTTCTACTTCATACACACACAGAAACATACAAAGAAACAAGAAAAAGCTTTCTACTTCCAAAACGATAACCTACTCACCTTTCCTAGTCCGTGCATTGGTCTTGGTGCGTTGTCCCCTGCAAGGCAACATATCGACGTGTCTGATCCCTCTGTAGCATTGACTGTCTATCAACTTTTGCACATCACCACTAACACATCGTTTCTGGACACCACCAAACAGTCAAGTGTTTAGGGAGAGGATGAACTCAGGATATGAGAAGCCAAATAAAATAGCACACAGGATAAGAGCTTACTAGATCTCCTCCTGTCAAGTACTTAGAGACTTCCTCCTTGAGTGCATTAAGTTCGACACCGGTCAAGTCCTTGGTAAGCTTGTTCTGAATACTCAAGTCCACCAGAATCTGATGAGCCCTACTGCGGCCAATTCCATGGATGTACTGAAGAGAAATTTGCAGCCTCTTGTGATTCGGAATCTCAGAATTGCCAACACGAAGGCATTGGACTTGCTGACATCGTAACTGAACCAAATGGTAAAACAGGGGAAGATTACAACATAGCAATCGCAAATCTGAATCATCTTATTCATATAAGAGCAGCCCATTTCAGGAAAACACCAGATAGTGGATAAAAAAGAAGCCAAAATGAAGCACAAGAATGAACTGCCCAGATTTATCCTATATTGGTTTAATTCAATTCACTCCCAAACAACCAACATTCCTGCAGAGTGCGACTTCAGTAAAAAGCTTAAAACTTTTTCCAATCTAGAAGGCTACAAATCGAAGAAAATGCTCGGAGTTTTCAAAGTGAACAAGAGGCACAATCGGTTAAACCCTAAAACCCTTAATGTTAAGCTTAACCCCTACCGCTGAAGCATAGATGAATCCATCAGAAGGAAGTACTTACCGCTACGTTACGAAGGAGGCGTTGGCTGACATCGGCAAGCGATCTCCCAACCCCAAGCATTGAATCGGCGGAAGCGGAAAGCAGTCAGACAAAAACGAAGGAGACTGGCTGCCGGAGAACGAATTTTGGGACTGAAGATCGATCAGAATGTTCATTCCTCCATCGCCGCCGCGAGCTAAGAGTAATGTTGGTAAAATGTGGCGAAGTCAGCCCAGAAGAAAGAGCCTTAACTAAATGGGCCGAACTTTATTGGGCCTAGTTTTGGACAGGCCGTTATCCCAGCAAGCCCAGCCGGCAGCCAGCTAAATCTTGATCGCCGCCGTCCAGTCTTTTCCTCCACCGCTATAAAGACACCACCACCAAAACTTGTACTCCGGTGGCTGCGTCGCCTGTGTCTCTGGTTCCCGGGAAGATTTCACGGTTCCTCTCCTTCCCTTGATTTTCTCTACTATCTGCACCAATTCAGGTAGTATTGCCCGGCTTAATATCGTCAGTGTTTTGGCGTTGAAGCACTTTTGTCTTGTTCACTGTGAAATGGTGATTGTTCTGATCAGTGCCTGGTTGTGATTTGAAATGAATTTCGCTCTGATAACGATTAATCAAGGCTGGAGTCTCGGAAATGGCTCTCTTTATTGGTTACTCGAAATCGGGTGTTCGTGAAGAAATACATAACGAGCCTGGGAGAATTGGCGCAATCGATTGTGCCATAGGCCTTTGGTTTTGAGGGGAACGTTTCTCTTCACTTTTAGCTGGGACTGGGTGGCTGTCATCACGTATTTACAGTGCTGGATTGCATCTCTTTTATGGGTTGTAACTTATAAGGCTGGAATTGCCCATATCGTCAGATAGGTTGAGAAACAAGGGTCAAGTGAGTTTTCCTCTGGCTTTCTGCATCTCAGTATTTTCTTATTGATTTGTCATTGAAGGTCTGCTAGGAACCTTTTGTTGATTGTTTTCAAGTCTTTTGTTCCATTCAAGATTCACAAGGAATCTTTCACGATTATTGAAACACCAGCCGTGGTTGTTGTTGGAGTTCTCCGATCTCTCAACACTGTCTGAGCCCAACATTTGAGTGAGGATGTCAAAAGAAGATTGTATAAGAACTGAGCCAAGTCAAAGAAGAAAGCTTTCACCAGGTACTCCAAGAAGTTCGAGACTGATGAAGGGAAGAAGGATGTTACATCCCAGCTGGAAAAGATGAAGTATGCTACTGTGGTCCGCGTTCTGGCTCAAACACAGGTAAAAAGTTCTTGGTATTTTTAGTTCAATTATTAGTGCAAAGTTCCTAGTCTACTTTGCATGAACATGCATGCTGTTGGTTTGGCTCTGTAGATTAGTGAGATGAAGGGACTTGAGCAGAAGAAAGCTTATTTGATGGAGTTCCAGGTCAATGGTGGAGACATTACTAAGAAGGTTGACTTTGCCTACAGCTTCTTTGAGAAGCAGGTTCCAATTGATGCTGTTTTCGTGGAAGATGAAATTCATTGGTGTGGCCAAGGGTAAGGGTTATGAAGGTGCCTGTATTGTGGCATGGCATCCTGCTAGGGTCTCTTACACCGTGGCTAAGGCTGGTCAGAATGGCTACCATCACTGTACTGAGATGAACAAGAAGACCTACAAGCTCGGAAAGTCTGTTCAGGACTCTCACTCTGCCATGACTAGTTACGACAAGTTAGCTTTAGCCTGCACCTCTAATCGCCATTGTTCGATATGAAATACGTCTTCCACGTACTAATGCTGTCTTTGTGTTTCTGCTGATGATGAATAACAGGACTGAGAAGGATATCACTCCTATTGGAGGGTTCCCCCACTATGGTACTGTGAAGGAGGATTACATTTTTGATCAAGGGCTGCTGTGTCGGTCCCAAGAAGCGTGTGGTGACATTGATGCAGTCTCTGTTGAAACAGATTTCCAGAACTGATACAGCGCAGGTGAATCTCAAGTTCATCGACACTTCATCCAAGTTCGGGCAAGGACGATTCCAGACTACACAGGAGAAGCTCAAAACACTATCGTCGCCTCGAGGCTTAGTTCACTCATGTGAAGGCTACAATCTGCTTGTTATCTTTGTAGGCTGTTGAAACATTTTTCCAGTTTTGCTATAAAGTTTGAGATACAACTATCTGCTTGTTATCAAACACATGCTTATAGTAACTTGGCTGAAGTCATTATCAAGAATCGAATTGGTTCCTCTTAAAGTAGTAGAAAGGAATCAAAAAAATTATTAGAAGCAGAAAAATAGAAAACTAACCAAAAGAAAAGGCGGCAACAACTATGTAAAGCAGCCAATGAGAGGCTAATCTAGAATTTCTCTAGCCAGACATGCAAGGCCCATTCTTCATTTTTTTTAGAATAGATGAGACAGAAGGGTATAGTACTCATCAAGTTAAGCATCATCAAACGCCATGAACATGAAGACGACTAAAACAAAAAGCAAAAGCAAAAAGAGGGAAAGGGGAAATCATTGTCCTGCAAGATTACCATATAACTTTGTCTTTACATTTTCTATTGAGTTTGATGAGAATGCATAAAGCTTATATATGCTTAGCTGGGCCACCTTCCCCTTGGCCCTCTCATCTCAGCTCATGTTTACAACAACTCTTTTTACCGCGGATTAACCTGACATATCTCAATTCTACTTATAAATACTCGACAGATTTATGAAAGTGAACAAATATTTTAAAGTTTATCCTGAGTCCTGACTCTACAAATACTGTCGAAATCAATAAAAGTAGACGATTTGTGCTTACAATCTTGTCAAAGATTATTGAATTCGAAAATACATTCTATCAACTCTGTATTTTACCGCTTGAGACGCACTCGAGTGGGTTTTTTTCTGATAATGGTGATTGAGCCGCCATTTATGGTTTATCAAAGGGTTAGTTTAGGCTATCATTAACTACCCATCTAGTCCCTCTGTTCTTAATTCTAATGAGGACCATTGGGAAAACATCATCTCTTTCTTTCTCCAAATACTTTCCTAAAATCATACCACTAGCCAAAGTGTAAGGTAAGTTGCAACCTCTTTTTATATAATAGTCTCTGCTGTCTGCCCCCTTTCTTTATATACAGAATTCCACTTCTCTCCTCCACTTCTTTATGCAAAACCTTTCCCTTTCCCCTCTGGTGCAGAGCTGCCCCTTCCTCTGTTTTTGCTACATTGCTGAAAAATTCTCAGATTAAGCTATGAGCGAATCGACCCCGGCAACACCAGAGCCATGGTTCCTATACACAACCTCAGATCCGCCTCCATCCCAGCCGGCAGCAGCAGCAGCAGCAACTGGAGGTGGTGGTGCCACGGTGATCATCGACCGCGGCGAGGCTCCGTGGAAGAGCTTTGGGACATCAATGAATGCAATCTCTTTTGGGTTTGTAGCCACAGCGATACTGATCTCGATGTTCCTCATAATGGCCATCTTCGAGCATCTCTTCCGGCCAAGCAGTCCTTCATCCTCTTTCTCTTCGCCACAGGACGATGCCTCTGCCACTTCGAGGAGCGATCATGGTGCTGCTGCATACCCGGAAGCAGGGTGCTTTCACAAACTTGGCAACCCGCAAATGGTAATGCAAACAAACAATCAAATTGCGTAACTTTGATTGATTTCTGGGGTTATGTGACAAAAATTGTGTAATGTGTGGTTTGTGGTTGGTGGTGGTGGCAGGTTCGAATGGCGTCGGATTATTCGGTAGTGATGCCTGGACACCATTTTCCTAGCTACATTGCTCAGCCTGCTCCTCTGCCTCCATGCCCAAGGGAAACGATTTGTTGGCCTTCTCATACGGCTTGAAACCAGAGCTTTCCTTTTGCCTTAGCACAAATATTTTCCCCCTCTAAAGAAGGAGAAGATCTAGAGGTTCCAATATCAGAGTTTTTTTTTTTTTCAGTTTTGAGAAATCAAAAGAGTTGTAGGCACAGGGGAGAACTGTATTTTTTCTTCATCAGTGGTGATTATGCGATAATTAATCAATAATAAGGACGAGTATTAAGGAGTTTGTAGTTGGGCTTTTTCTTGATAGTCTTCTGGGCTTTTACATTTGGGCTTTAGAGGTGGACTGACTAAACTCTTGGCCAGTTGAAAATTCGGACTAAATTAGTCTATTAGTGTAACGTTCGGACCAATTTAATGTATTAACTCTTAAAATTATATAACTATAATATATTATTGTATAACAATATTATATAATCACCGTTTTTCATGTGTTGTAGGAGACCAAAATATGACTATATTTATAAGATAATTTTCTTAATACCGACGAGTTTTTAGTTGCTACTACGAGGCATGTGTGAGATTGATGAGAAGGAAGACGGGGAGCAGAAGGAAAGTCAAGAGACTGAGGAACGATGAGGCAGACATTTTGTTGGAGGAGGGGGGGGGGGACAACAGAAGTTTGGCAAGACTGATTCTAGAGAGATTAGAACAATGTGATTCAATGTGCAATTGTGCATAGAGCATGCCATTGATAGCATGTATCAAAAGGGTTGGTTCGAATGGTTCACGAAGCATGTCGTTTTGTCTGAATTAATCTCTATCCGCCTCCAAGGACGAAGAGGGCTAACTCGTAGTTCGCCTTGCGAGCCGCGAAAGTAATCCAAAATGTAAGACTTCATTAACAACATGATCATGTATTGTACATTTGTTTCATAAAGAAATACAATTTATGTGCATAGTTACCAGATTCGGTTTGGAAGGCTTTGATGGAGAACTTCTCGAACCAACCGAGTTGCATTTCCAGACTGCTCTGAGAGTACTTTAGGTGGACGTTGAATTCCTCACGGAGTTGCTTGGACGACAACCCGATGCCAGTCACCGCGAAATTTGCTCCTCTAGAATGGTCCAGAGTCTTGTTGAGGTTGGGGTTGCAATGGGACAACCCTGCCGACTCGGCTGCAAGAAGAAGAAAAAAAAAACTTGTAAGAGAAGTATGAAGAACAAACTTGGAAGAGAAGTATTTTGTTATCATGGTTGCACTTACCGATCCTATCGACAAGGAGGTAAACATCCGAGAACCTCCCAGATGGTTTGCCGACAGTCATGCCATATGGAAACTTTCCTGAGCCTGCAAAAGGGAATTCTACAAGTGCATTCCCTGGGTCGGACAGAGAATCTCCAAAATTGTAGAGTGATGAAAACCGACATGATTTTAACTGTTGCGATGAGGCGGGTGAGAGATCCATGAGAAGGAAGATGGGGAGCAGAAAGGAAGTCAGGAGACAGAAGAATGGCGAGGCAGACAAGGTCAGAAAGAAGATGACGGAGCCAGACAAGCTCAGATGCAACATCCGACATAGACCGATATCCTACATCAATACGAATATTTACTAATATGCTTCCAATGAGTTAAAGCTTGAAATACATATGTCGAGGTTTTCTTTCTTTTTCCATAGATATTCCGTAACAGGAACATCCAGGTACGTGATTATAGAGGCTTTTGCATGCCAAATTACAAAATTTAAGAAAGTAAGGGACACTGGTCCACTCAACACTGAACTAACGATAAGAAGGTTTGTTTTGCCACGATATGAGAAACCATATTATACATACTAGATCACTGGCCCGCACTTTGTAGAGATAATAATGACAAAATGTGTAATTTACACCAAATTGGATTGACCAAACGAGACTTTTTGTAGGATTTGAAGAAACCAAATATGATTCTCTTAAAAAACGAAAGAAAGAGCATACCAAATCTTAACTGACCTATCCAAATTGGACTAAATATATTTTCAATTTGATTGTGGTCTTCATATATTGCAAATGATGGTACCATTGTAGCATCTATAAACTCACGTCAAACATGAACTGATACTCTACCTTTATCTAGGACGGGAAATTTCCGTGCTTCTTGTAGTGCTTGTACACAATAATAACAAAATTTATAACATCAACCCATGGTACAATGCGAGGTATAATCACATCCTACATACTCTTATTTCCAAAAAAAAATATAATAATCAGTTGACCATAATCTAGGAAGAAAGTCCAAATACGATACATTACATGCAATGAACAATCATCAAATGTGGCCTAGGGACAGTAATAATGAAGGGGTTAACAACCTAATCGTAAAATATCAAATACTTAAAGCTAAGAAGTATTTGAAAATTCACTCCATAAAATAGATTCCCAACTGTGTTCTCCACTTAATATTTGGATAACATGTACCATTCTACCACTATTTATGTTAAGAGTAAACCCAACAACTTTTTACAATTACCCAATTAGATCGAAAATAAAACAGGGTGCCTAGAGTTCGTTACTTATCCTCGATGGTTCTTGATTTTGAGAAATGACATCGGCGGCGACGGTGCAAAGAATTGGCGACTACTGGCTTTGCATTTAGATGATCCTCGACGGTTCTGAATTTTGTGACTACGGGTTTGAGAAACGACAACAGCAGCGATGGTGCATCTCACCAACTATTGGCTTGATTTGGTTTGCCCTCAGCCGGTTCGTTGAAAATCTAAGAGGAATGGAGAGGCTGAATCGACGACGACGGCTCAAAGTCGAAAATATGACTTATAGAATGGATTTGATGCGACGGCTAGCTGGTTGCTGTAGCTGTTGTGGCCGGCACAAAGACGGGCTCTGTTTTCCATCTGATGGTGGCAGACAATACTCTATATACTAGAATACTGATCAGGCAAGTAGAATCTTAACCCTTCAACCAGATGCTCGTCCTAAGATGTAGTAGCATAATGGTGCTTCAAATCATTTTCATGGTATGTACAATACAAAATGCTTATGCAAAGGATGCAATATATAATGGATGTTCCATTAGTTTCAGCCATTTGCAGCTTTTCAACATGGTGATTGCAGCCATTCTTAAGCCCTAGTCAGTGTATCAGCAGTTCAGCACAACCATCTAAACAATAACAGAGCCTTCAATATCCCTAGGGCAACCTGGTACACATCTATCCGTGAATTCAACGAAATCTAGCCAAGTTTGACATTCAGAAAATGCCTGAAACTGGTTTCATGAATAGCATCTCAACAACGGTTCCTTAGAAAATACAGTAAAACTACAGCTGGAAGAGTAATAATATGATCTTGCTTTGTAAGAATGCAACACCCGGTACTAAAATCGATCTATGTATGCAAAATGCGGGATTACTGAGCATGCAGTAGAATCATAACTCTTCAACCAGATGCTCGTGCAAGATGCAAGTTACAGATGCTGCTTCATATCATTTCAGGGTATACACAATACAAAATGGTTATGCAGATGATGCATTTTATCATGGATGTTCTATAAGTTCCAGAGCCATTGGGACACTCTTCAACATGGTCATTGCAGCCGTTCTTAAACCCTAGTCAGTGTATTTCAGCACCATCTAAATGTTAACATGCCTTCCATAACCCCAGGGCAACCTGATGCAAATCCATTTGTGTATCCTCTGAAATCTCACGAAGCTTTATCATTCAGTAAATGCCTACAACTGGATTCAAGTATAGCATCTCAACAATGGTTCCTTTTCCAACCACTTCCACAATATAGAACCAAAAGCTAACCAGCAGAGTGTTGTTCTACGAATTCGGAAACCAACGCTGAAACCCACAAATAAACTACAGCTGAAAGAGTAATAATATGAGCTAGTTATTCCAATACCACGGTAGCTCCCAATTCTTTGAGCTTCTCAGCAATGGCGGTGGCCTCCTCTTTAGTAAGCCCTTTCTTCAGCACCGCAGGCACTTTCTCCACCAAATCTTTCGCCTCTTTGAGACCCAAATCGGTAAAGGATCTAACTTCCTTAATAATCTTGATCTTCGCCGCCGCGTCGAACTTCTCCAGCTTGATGTCGAACACCGTCTTCTCGGCCGGCTTCGAATCCGCACCCGCGGCGGCGGCGCCGCCCGCGGGGCCCGAGGACATGGGTCCGGAGAGAGCCGGGCCGTAGCGGTTGAGACCCATTTTGAGGCGGAAGAGGACAGCGTAGTCGTGGCGCTCGAGCTTCGTGAGGTCGAGAAGATCGTCGGCGATGCGTTCCAGCTTCTGGGTTCGGGTCTCTGAAGCCGCTGCGGCAGTGGCGGCTGATAGGGAGCGAGAGATGCCGCTCTTCGGACTGAAAGTTAACAACTTGGTTAGGGATTTGGTCGGGAACTTTGAGGAGATGGAAGCCATTTTCTGAACTGCGGCGAGGAGATTTTTTGGGTTTCGAAGGGTTCAGGGTTTGGAAGGGATTTGGGAATTCAGGAAAGAAAGCAACTCCGCCGGGAATGAAATGGGTTCACTGGACAAGAAGCGGGTTGAATGAATGGGCCAGAGTGGCTACTGAAATAGTGAAATTGGAAATTGATGCATTTGCCCTTCTTATCATTTTTTTTTTAAAGAAAACCTTTTTTTAGTAGAGGATCAGAGACATTACAATTGAGTTAAGATTCCTCCACTGGAGTAGGGTTTCTAATTGGATTTGTGATGCTATATCCCCTTCCTAAGTATGATATTATAGAACAGATTGAATGTGATTACCACTGCGCTCCAACTGAGAACTGATCCTCCCTACCTGTGATTGCCGGAAAAATAATGATAACAATGAATAAGAAGTAAAAGACATGGGCGTATCACAGAGAGGAACGCCAAAAATACACTTGTTTGTCCCTGTGTAATCCCAACTCTAGGCACAATGAGGAGAAATCTACCACCACACAAGGATTACAGTACACTCTAGCAGGGGAAATCGTCGTCGTCCACAGCAACTTAGGTCCAGGAATTCACTTGGAACCATCTCCATTTTGTACATACCTTGGAGCCCGAAAGTGCATAATCATCGCGATCAAGCTCCAAGCTTCGCAGCGTTTCAAGCTTTTCCTTGTTCATGTTCTTTGCTGGAGTCTGTCATTGATATCTTCTTTGCCTGCTGGATTGCTTGACACGAGTGAAACGATCATCGAAGTGTGTCTACTGCTTCCAAATCATCATCATCGTCATCAGAAACAATAGTTAACAAGGAATACTTGACACGAAGAGAGATCCTGCCCTTCTCGACCATGAGCCTCGCCCCAGAAACAACCCAGTAGCCAGGATTGTCCTGTGGCCCTCTGGCCATCTCTGTTGTGTCCACAAACTTCAGAAGCTTGGGGGCTTGAACTGGGACCGGCGGACCCCCAGGGTATACAGCTGAATTTATGTTGACGTCGGCTGGTCTTGGAGCTGGCTTCTGTACTGAAGTGAAGTGATGGCTGATCAATGTAGATATCAACCCAGATTTAGCTGCCAATCCTGGGGAGCCATCCCACTCGGGATGCTTCAGAACTGCAGCACCCGACACAGTTGAGAATCTAAGCCGCAGGAACAGAACGCTTTTGAACCCAGAGTTCTCCACTTGTAACCGGGCGCCTGTTACTATGTTGAGATCCTCGTCGGACTCGACTGGAGCTGTGCAGACATGTGAGAAGTGCTTCCATTGAACCTTCTCGTGATATTTACGGTCGTACGACTCTTGGCGGAAATCACCATCCGGGTCATCTTTGAGTTGGAAGATCTTCGGGAGAGACGACAGATGCTGTAAATGTATGGCTAAGCGGTTGCATCTTTTCCCCTCGAGGTAAAGTCTAAGGCCAGTCACCGGCCTCTGACCCACATCAACCTGCATAAACTTTGTATCACATATTGCACATAGGGTGTCTTTTGTTGAAAATATAAGTAACTTAAAAAGAAAAGTTCACATAAACAGCTAAACAACAAAAATTTCTCCAGTCCAACTTTCCATATTCAGTATTCACCCTAAGGTACACTAATCCATACACAAATCGTTCAGCTAAATTTACATTTACTATGTTCTCTATTCAGGGCAAGCATCGAAACAATGACACAAGTAACAAACAGCTATTTGATCAGATCAGAGAAGCATAAGCCTTACTGGAATTGTGTTCACGAACAGCTTAGGGCCCATAAAGCTGAACTGTAGTGATGCATTGCTATGTTGCCGACGTTGTGGGCCAAGCGGGAGCTCACTGAACACTGGGGCCCACTGCCTTGGCAGCTGAAATTCCAAAAACTGGTGTAACTCTTCAATTGGGGGTTTATCTAGTACACACGATTGAGAGAGTAGAGCATTCTAAATCATTAAGGCGGTGTGAAAAGTCAATCTGCTAAATAATGATGACCATCATAAGGATAGCAGTACCAAAATCTATATACTCACATCTTAGATAGAGATTTATGGCATGACTCAAGAACCCACTCCCTGGGACTCCATTCAACAAGGAAGTAATAGGGATGAATGACATAGAGATCGCATCAGGCTCTAATTGTACGGTGTTTAACCACTCACTGTGTGAACGGTAGCCATTGTCATTTCCACCCCTCCTCTTGTATATTCTTGTGATGTCCTGAAGAACACAGTAAGTAAACAAGAACATGATGGCAAAATCATCAGGTTTTAGAAAGGAGACCAAAGTAATTGTTTAAAAGCTCAATGATTAAGAACTTCAATATCTGCCCTAACGGTTAAAATGAAGCAGATGAAGGTAGAGAAATGGATTAGGCAGGAGAAAAGCACCTCCTTGTTAGAATAAGAACTCGAAGGACTGGTATCAGCAAACCTCAACCGCTGCTCTCTTATCTCAAACTGAAAGAAAAATTATAATTTTAGATGCATAGACAAGCAAGCAATTATTCAGCGATTCCAGTCCTTGAATTTCTATTTAATATAAAAAGTAAAAGTTATTCACTTGTATTTGAATGTGCTGCTGGGCTTCTTCATTCAACATTTTACAACAAAAAGGGGAGTAATATACACTTTAAATGACAAATTTGCGGAAGTCTCAAAACATAAACAGTTTGTTGGTCGAGAATATCCAACATTAAGATGCGACAGAGTCGTGATGCCAAATTTTCTTCTAATAAAAGGAACAAACAAGCTGCTTACCGACCTTGTTATTTTGATATACTGGTTCAGAAGACTGGCTGTTTACATCTGAGAATCTTTTATCTGCCATTTCTTTTAATCTTTTCTGCATATCAGCAGTTTGAAGAGTTGATGAGTGCTGCTGTTTTATGTATATTACATCCTTTCCACCCATCTTGACACCAACAATAATATGTGTTCCGAACGTCTCAATAAACCTGAAATGGCCAGTCACTTTCCAAGTCTCAGCTTCGTGCTCAATCAGAGATAGATACTGAAAGGAATGCCGTATCATAAACACACATTTTTCTAATTGATTTTATATAAGCTCGACCAGTTGGAGTACAATCTACAGATTGCATCCTAATATACAATTTCAGAGGAAAATGGAACAATCCAAGTTTGTACGAAGTTCATCATTATCACATTTCATCACAGGGACCTAACGTGAAGTACATATCATTTTTCGAACAAGATCAATGACAAAATTAATTAACGTAGAACATTAGGGACCAACTTGTATGGATACACAATTACAGAAGCATTATTCATACTCTAGCGATTCATACAGAGAGTTACAAATTGCACCACCTGCAAATTAATACTAAAATAGAACCATGGAAGTTCATTAATGAAAATTGTGTTGCACCACCGCAATCTTAAACATGTAGAGATTCATGAAAATCGTGAGAACTTAATATCAGAAGTCAGAACCAGTCAAACATCAAACTTATAGAACTTATTAACAAATAATAACAACTTCACTTCAATTAACATCTAAGAAAACCTGAACAAGTAGTCTTCAGTAGACTCAAGAACAAGCACAATAAAGTTCTTAAACACTTACTTGGCCAGGGCAGCTGGTTCCCATGATGACGGGACAGCCTTCTTAACATGATCACGGAGAACGATCTGAGACTTCTCCAGAGCCACAGTATACAGTGTAATGAACACCCCATCAAAAGCAAGGGTTTTGGTGTTAGCAGCATCTTTCTGCCAGCAGCCTGAGAACTCAAACATGGTATTGAAGAGCCCAGAGGGGATTTTTCCTGTTATAGACATCTCCTGGTTGACCTGCTCGGACATCTGTACGATTATAATAAGGATGAAAAATATGAGTCCTAGAGTGCACAACAATAACTAAACTCACTGTTGCCACTTGCCAAACCATGCAAAACAGCAATAGGTTCACGATCTAGTGCTACAAGAAGACTTAGATTGTCGACATCTGAGCAGAAATAAGAGCAAACTACCTGCTGGAATGAGAGAACATCGGACCTAAACCGTGTTCTTTCTCCTTTATCACATTTTATTGATTTCGGAACATTCGGGATGACAATCCCGCCGGGAAGTACAATCTCTCGACCACCATTTTCATCAATCTCAATTAAGCGTGAATCATTAACATCTCCTTTCCGGTACTTCAATCTCAGATCAACTGCAATGTCATATCCAAGGCCTATAGAGCCAATCGCATACTCAGCCGCCTTAGGAGCAGGAAGTCTGAGTGACATTGCTCAAGGCATACCTTTCTTTCACCAAGCCAGTATAAAATCCCTGCAAACAGTACAAACCACAATTACTCGGCTATACCTGGCTGAAACACATTGATCCAATGTTATAGCACGAACATGCACAGCTGCAATAATAACACTTTCAAGATTGCACCACATGAACTTTAAAGCCTAATCAGAGCCTTCATGGATTCATCAAGTACAGAAGTTATTGCATACACAAAAGTTTACACCTTTCGATTCCAATCTGCAGCATCAGCTAAATTTCCCCGCACTAATTGGAGAGGAGCTAAGATCTATCATCTCCATCTACAATCAAATGCGGGATCAAATTCAGTTCAGAAATGGAGCCCAATATTCAAATGTACATACTTTCTCTAGTGGCGCGGAAATCCAACCAGCTGCACAGCCGTCCTCCAACTTTCACTCCTTCCCTCTCACCATCAAGCAAAGGCCAGACCTTTTTCAGCTCTTCACAGCTTCAATATGCAAATTGGCAGCTATAAGGCAAAACCCAAGTGAGAATCTCAAGTATGGGCTAATGGACAGTTGGCAGGAGCTCCAGAATCGGAGTCCGCCAAAAGAAAACACAAAGGTGGAGAGGTGACAGGGTAGATAAGAGCTTGGGAACGAAAACCCTAAACGAAGTGATGGGATTGGGATGAATGAGAGTAAACTACAGAGCACAGAACGGCAAGATGTGGAGAAAAAAGAGAGAATTCCCGTGGTAATAGTTTAGCTTTGACCAGAGGAAAGGAAGTGGAGGTGACAGAGAAAGAGCGGGGAGAGATACTGACATGTGCCAATGAGAGAGTTTCTTCCCTCCCACATCTCTCGCCTAGCCTTTGACACACAACTCAATACAGCCAAGGAGGAAACAGCAAAATTTGTTTTCGTGCGGCCGCGACTGCAGTCATATTATGAGGTTATTTGACATTAAACAAGTTGTAATCATTGTTAATATATTACCTTCTGAAAAATTGTTTATATGGAAGATAATTGAAGAACATAGGTAAGTTGGTGTCGTCTTTATCTAGAGCTTATTACTTTGTGACAGAAAGATTATTAATTTTGTTACATATTGGAAAGAATTTAGGATAAGTAGAATCGGTATCTCTTTCACTCATCTCATCTAAAAATTTACTACTCCCCGTTGTTCGTTATTAAATATGAAACTAATTTTTAATTAACGAAAAGGCTTAGCCCCTTTTGGATAATTCATAATTGTGAACAATATATTATATTGTTATAGATTTGACATAGACTAGACGAAGCAGATAAAATCGAACGATATTCTTGGTAATACAAGTGAGTTTTTGAAGAAGAAAAAAAAGATCGAAGTAAAAAAATAAATTGTTAATGATAATTTTTTTATGAACAGTTATAATTCATCGAGATGTTTTTCGATGATGCTTTTCACATATGCATGTTGATATACCATTCAATAGCATTTTGTGATTTTCCATGTGTGATGCTCTCTCAAATGAGCACTAAACTATTAATAGTGATGGACTCATCAATTTATGAAGCCCACAATCTCATCATTTTTATAGCAAATCGTGACTTGTTTCGTGTTATGCCTCGTCCTCATACCACTTTAATGACTGCAACTAAGTAATCCTTCAGAAATTGGTCATAGGTTTGATCATGCAGAGGCGCGAAAAAGGCGTTAGAGAGGGGAGGAAAGCGTGTTTGATTACTGAACAGGGAAAATAATGGTTTAACAAATTTATTAGGTGTACATAACTATCACGACGAATGAGAACATCTATATATGTTACTTCTATTTCATCACCTATTTAAATATGATAATAATGAACTTAACATAAAGGTCTTTTCCTTTTCGATGTTATTTAACATCACAATGATCACATTTTAATTATTAATTATTGCAAGTTTCTAAAACTAAAGAGTGTGCGAGGATCACAAGTTTCTAGCTCAAATTTTTTTATTTGGAGAAAGATAAGTTATTTTCTACCTTTCTTTGTCTTAGATGATCACAGGATAAACAAATCAAACTTTTGGAAAACAAACATATATGTATCTACAGCATATATGTTCATTTTAATAACTAGGTGAATGCTTGACTAGAATTGGTACTTGCTAGTCACTAGGCAAAGTTATGATTCTTCACAAATTTTACAAAGGTTTTTATGATTTGGATGAGAAATTAGCACCCCAAAGGACCAAAATGTGTCGAAACAAAAGAGAAGCACCTCGATCTTTCCACGGCAAACACTTGACAATCCTCTCCATCTAACGTCCTGCAGATTCTGACCGGAACCCTCCAAATTCTTGCCCCCACCGGATCATTCTAGAACTCCCTCAATTCTTTTCCCTGTTATATTAACCTACCTAGCGTTACACTTCGCGTATCTTCTTCTTCTCCAACCTCCTCTCTGATTGCACTCCCCTTGCAGTGAAGTTTTTCTTCTCGGTACTGTTTGTCAAAACCCATCTGAATTTCACAAAAAAAAAAAAAATGGCTTCTTCAACAGCACAAATTCTCGGCGGGATGGGATTCGGGCCCTCCCCGACTCCGGCGAGAAGACCCAGTTTCTCCTTCGCCCCAAAGACTGTATTTTTGGGCCAGAATTTGGGTAGGGATTCCAGGACGGCGGCTTTCCTGAGGTACAAACGTGGTCCGGCGAGGAGGTACTCTGCCGGACCGGTGAGGGTCGTGAGCGAAAAAGTGGTGGGGATCGATTTGGGGACGACGAACTCGGCCGTGGCGGCGATGGAAGGAGGCAAGCCGACGATCGTCACCAACGCTGAAGGGCAGAGGACGACGCCGTCTGTGGTGGCGTATACCAAGACCGGCGATCGGTTGGTCGGGCAGATCGCCAAACGACAGGCCGTTGTGAACCCTGAGAACACTTTCTTCTCCGTCAAGAGGTTTATTGGGAGGAAGATGTCTGAGGTCGACGAGGAGTCGAAGCAGGTTTCGTATAGAGTGGTGAGGGATGAGAATGGGAATGTGAAGCTGGATTGCCCTGTTCTGGGTAAGCAATTTGCTGCCGAGGAGATTTCAGCTCAGGTATTTCTTTCCCTCTTTCATTTCTTAGATTGCTTCTGAACAATTGGGATTTAGGATAGTCAACATTGGGACTGGGATTAGGTAGATAACTCAGTGTAGGATCAATTTTATGATTGTTGCAATGAACATATACTAGTGGTGATGATGGATGGATCACATTCAGGTGTTGAGGAAACTTGTGGATGATGCTTCCAAGTTTCTGAATGATAAAGTGACCAAAGCTGTGGTGACAGTACCAGCTTACTTTAACGATTCACAAAGGACAGCTACAAAGGATGCTGGACGTATAGCCGGGTTGGAAGTTCTGAGAATCATCAATGAGCCTACTGCTGCATCATTGGCCTATGGTTTTGAGAAGAAGAACAATGAGACCATTCTTGTTTTCGACCTTGGTGGTGGTACATTTGATGTTTCAGGTAACATGGCTGTGGTTTGAAAGTATGGAGTTGCGCTACCATCTTATGCAATAAGATGATGAAGCTGCAGAACCGTTCTGTTTGGTAAATTGAAGGTGAATAAACACCTTACTGATATGCCTTGGATTTCATGTGGCGTTGTACAGTGCTTGAAGTTGGTGACGGGGTCTTCGAAGTGCTGTCGACATCAGGGGACACGCATTTGGGCGGTGATGATTTTGATAAGGTTCTGATCTTTGTTATTCATTGCTGTGAAATCCAGTCTCTTAGCTGCTTTGTTTATGTTAAATGAATGAATGATAATCCACTAAAAGCGTTTCTGTTCCCTGATGCAGAGGATTGTCGATTGGCTTGCCTCTGACTTCAAAAAGAATGAAGGCATTGATCTGTTGAAGGACAAGCAAGCCCTTCAAAGGCTAACTGAAACAGCAGAGAAAGCAAAAATGGAGCTCTCTACTTTGACCCAGACAAACATCAGGTATCTTAGCTTGTTTGCTTACTGTTCCTCCTTGTTTTCCAGGGTGCCTGTTCTGAGCTAACTACATCACTCTGTTCATTCCAGTTTGCCTTTCATCACTGCAACGTCTGATGGGCCGAAGCATATTGAGACAACCCTTACAAGGGTGAAGTTTGAAGAACTCTGTTCTGATTTGCTTGACAGGTATGAAGCTATTGGCCCTTTGTTTTTATACGTTATGTGTGTTTTCTACTCGTAATCTCGATTGCAATTGAATCTCAAAGTAACTCGTCTTGGTCCTTCCTGTTTTCAGGGTAAAAACCCCAGTTGAAAATGCGTTGAGGGATGCAAAGCTCAACTTCAAAGACCTTGATGAAGTCATTCTCGTCGGTGGATCAACCCGTATCCCAGCAGTTCAGGAGCTTGTGAAAAAGCTGACAGGAAAGGAACCAAATGTCACTGTAAATCCTGATGAAGTTGTTGCCCTTGGTGCTGCGGTTCAGGTTGGTACATTTCTTTATTTACTAGTAACCACTCCTGTTTCTGTGCATATTGACCTTATTGAATCAACCCTCCTGACTTGGTTCCTTATTCTCTCTGCTGTTATAGGCTGGTGTTTTGGCTGGAGATGTAAGCGACATTGTTCTGTTAGATGTGACGCCATTGTCTCTTGGTCTTGAAACTCTGGGAGGTGTGATGACCAAGATCATCCCCAGAAACACCACTTTGCCCACCTCCAAGTCGGAGGTTTTCTCCACTGCTGCTGATGGTCAAACAAGTGTGGAGATCAATGTCCTCCAAGGAGAGAGGGAGTTTGTTAGGGATAACAAGTCGCTAGGAAGTTTCAGATTGGATGGCATTCCTCCGGCTCCTCGTGGAGTCCCCCAGATCGAAGTGAAATTCGATATCGATGCCAATGGAATCCTCTCCGTCTCTGCTGTCGATAAGGGCACGGGCAAGAAACAAGACATTACCATCACCGGTGCGAGCACATTGCCAAGCGACGAGGTGAGGCTCATCTTTCTAGTCTGTCTTTTGTGAATTGGGTAAAGTAGTTGACAAGTGACTTAATAATGGGTAATTCCCTGATGCAGGTTGAGAAGATGGTGAAGGATGCGGAGAGATTCGCAAAGGAAGACAAGGAGAAGAGAGACGCCATCGACACCAAGAATCAGGCCGACTCCGTCGTGTACCAGACCGAGAAGCAGCTCAAGGAGCTCGGAGACAAAGTCCCTGCACCAGTGAAGGAAAAGGTTGAGGCCAAACTGCAGGAGCTCAAGGACGCGATCGCTGGTGGAGCTACCCAGACGATCAAAGACGCAATGGCTGCGCTGAACACCGAGGTGATGCAACTCGGGCAGTCCCTCTACAACCAACCAGGCGCAGCCCCTGGCGCTGAACCTGGTGCTGCTGCTGCCTCAGATTCTTCGTCGCCAGGCAACGGGCAGGAAGGAGACGTGATCGACGCAGATTTCACCGACAGCAAGTGAGCAGAAGGAGTGTGTTTGATGATCCATCCTGTCCTGCATTTTGATCCAGAAGATGTGCATATAAGATAGATTGCTTCTGGTGGAGAGGTTAATCAAGTAGGGAGTGTGGTAGAGAAGTAGGAAATATGATACTTCAGAGTTCAGACTGTAGTTCCAAAACCCAAAATCAATGAAGACAAAACCCAGCAAAAAGAATTCCCAACGGCATTGGAACTGGAAAAGATCTATCCAAATTCGTTTAATTACAAACAGGAAACTCCAACATAGAGTTCAACCACTCCATCAATTCAATTCTTCCCGATTCTTATTCTTAATTATTATTGTTACATGACTAATGACTCCATTGCCTGCAAGCAGCATATATAAAGCCATCCCAAGGAACTTAACTATAACACTGATCGGATCTGGATCAGCATCAGCAAAGCTGATTGTTAAATCATGGCGACGACGGCTACAGTCACGAATAAGTTTGCGGTGCTGATGATGATGATTGCCTTGGTCGTCCTTCCTCCCTGCTGTAACACGCCTCTTTCTATATCGACTTTCTTCTACTTTACATTTTAATTGGCTTACCCGTATGATATTCCGATTTGTACTCTCGCTTGCAGGTCTTTGGCACTCTAGCGAGTCGAGGAGTCTGGCGACCGACTCATCGTCGGCGGCTTTCGTTAGCAACCGCATGAAGAGCGGTAGTAGTAGTTCGGTACAACTGTGGGACTGTCAGGACAGTTCGATGGACAGGATTTGTCGATCGAATCATCCTCGTATTTGTGACGGTGGATGTGCAGGTTCTGATTTGTGTTATAGCTGTGAGGTGATTTACGACTGCGACAATCGAGTTTGTGGATGTCACTGTGTTAATGACGACTAGAAGAGAAGATTAAAACATGAAGCAGTGGAAGTTATCGACCGATCAAAGTCTTAGTTCTTGTGTATTATAACACGACATCTGCTCTCGATAATAGTGACTAATATTTCGTGACAGTAATTGGCCAGTTGTATCAGCTACATAAAACGAAATGACAAGTGAATGGGTAGTTGAATTGCTGATTTCGCTGATTTTATGTAAGGGTGTAATATGAATAGGGGTGTGAATGGTCCGGTCCGTACCGGACCATATCGGACCAAACCGTTGTTAAGACCGGACCAGACCGAGTAAAATGCGGTCCGGTCCTTGGTCCTCCTGATTTTTATAATTACTGAAGAAATGGTGGACCGAGCTCATATTTGGACCGGACCGAATGGACCAAATGCAAGAATGGTCCGGTCCTTGGTCCTAACATGTCTTTCACTAATGGACCGCGGTTCTCATGAGTTTGGTCCGGTCCAGACCGAACCGAACCGTTGCACACCCCTAAATATGAATACTACGGGCCGTGAATAAATTCTGGCCCGTGGGCCTATCAAGTGGCAAGCGGTCCGTGTGAATGGGCCCAAAACTCAAATCCATGTAAACATTTTGGACAAAAAAATATCATATGATGAGCGTACTTTGGAGAAAGAGAAGATCAGTAGATCACCAAACCCGCCCGACTGGCAAAGAATCGAAAGAACTAAACTGGGATTCTCTCTGGTTCGAGGTTTCTTTCTCTTCCCGTCGCCCGCAGCTCCAGAATCCCTAGTGGCGGTGGTGGTTTGGCTGTACAGAGCTTCGTTGTCTCTGCCGTCGACCGCCGTGCGAAAGGAAGAGATCGAGATTATAATCCTCCGTTCTTGTGCCGCCATCTGACGCGGGGATTCACTGGGACAGCCCGGTCAGCGGGGATTCTTGCCTTCAGGTGGAGTTCACTTCTGCCTTCCCCACTTTTTCTGCTCTCGTGCACCACATAGAAATCTAGGATTAGCCTGGACGATTTTTGGAATTGGGATTAGGAGAGCGACCCCGTTCCCTTCTGCTCGCTCTTAGTTCGATTTCGTTCTTCTCCATTTGCTTGTTGTGGATTCATGCTCTAATTGGTTTCCACTTTCCATGAATTACTGGTTCAATGGATTGATTGATCTTGAATCGTGGCGGCTTGCTTGCATTTGTGTAACTTCTAGCGTACATAACTTGATTGTGGACCGAATTGCCCTGCTTGCACCTTCTGCAGTACAATTGACATGATCCACATTTGAAATCTACGTTTCTTTCCTTTACGATCAGATTGAGGTCGTCTCAAATTTTCAAGCTTTTTTCCATACTCTGTATCCAGGTCTCTTAACGTGTTACTAGCTTATTGTTTAGTCAACTGGGTTGGATTGTCTTTTGTGTTCAAGGTGGTTTGGAGTGTTGACATGAAATGAGGGTGTGTGTTCCGCTTCTTTGTGCTTTTGTCACAACTTGGTGAATTTTCTGTAGATGGACTTCGTCACTGTTCCGTTCGTTTTTTGAAACATCACAAATTATTTGTCCTGTGATCAAAGATTGTCTGAACGTGCTGTAATTCTCATTCTTAATCACATGGATGCTGCTGTGATTACCATTTCTGATGCGGTTCTTTTATCAGGTAGTTTCGTAGGAGTACTACTAAAACCCGAATGGATTTATTGGAGATGTGGGCGATTTTCGGGCCAGGGGTGTCAGGTGCTGTTTTCGGAGCTGGGTGGTGGTTCTGGGTTGATGCTGTGGTTTGCAGTTCAGTTCAAGTCTCATTTGTGCACTACCTTCCTGGTATATTCGCATCCATTGCAGCTCTGATGTTTAACTGTGTCAGAAAAGAGGATATCGACTACTCTCCATATGACGAAGGCGAATGGAGACTGAAGCTGTGGCTCTTCTTTGCATACGTGGTCTCCTTCGTTTCGCTCGCAGCATCGGTTGGTTTGTTGATACAAGACTCCATTGTCGTGGACGGGCCTTCGGTGTGGACGGGAGTAGCTGGAGTCTTGCAGTGTGTGTTTGTACTGATCAGTGGATTGATCTACTGGACATCACACTCGGAATGAAATGAGATGACTTGGCTGGCAGCTACCAAATGGATATACCGTCTCATCATTTGTGCTATAGAGTTTGGAATTATTGAGTCAAGCGTGATGTTTTTACTCTGATAAGGTGAATGCACTCATCAGTTTCTGTAAATGTCTTGTATTTGTTGCTTATATTCTGGTGCGTCAGAGATGGACCGTTGCAAGTTCATGTTGCTATTGAGAATTTGTGACAGTTTTCTTTGATCGATGTTTAGGCTTATTGGGAAATCGAGACGCTACGTTGTTTTTGAATCCAACATGAAACAGATTGTAAATCGAAACCCAGCCTTTCGACACAAATGCATTCAGTATGCCTGTAAGCTTATACCAGCAGAAGTGGAGGTAAAAATAAAAAGATCCATACTCTTTCACATTGCATCAAATTCCTCACAAACTTTACAAAAGATTTGTTCCCTCAATTCATCCCTATACAACGCACTGAGAACCCACAATATTATTATGGTTCCTCATCAAATCAAAGGACTACTACAGCTGCTTTATTATTATCTTCCTCCAAAGCCAGCAGCCAAACTCAACAATACAATCCCTCCCCCTTCTCTTTCATTCTGCTTCAAGTATATAATCCAAGTATATAATCATACACGAGTAAACATTTCACATTTACATTCAAAAGAGTAAGAAAACTTTTTACCTGTGTGATCTCCACAACTATAAGTAGTCGAAGTAAAAGAACCAGAGACGAATGACTATATGCATTTGATATCACAACAGACAGCAATGGGGGCAGGCAAGCATATTCCGGTTCCCATGGACCAAAAATCAACCCGTCTGCGTCTTGGAGGAACTCGACTTTCTCCTAGCCAGGAACATCAGGAAACGAGGGAACATTGATCTCTTCTTTTTCTTAGTTGCTTTAACATCTGGGGAGGGTTCAGAATCAGTGTTACTACTTCCCTGTGAATACACCTTGGGGCTCATTGGTAATTGGGTTGCTGAGCCGTCTTGTGAGAACTCAGCAGCAAGCTTTGCTTCTTTGCCCCCTTCGAAGCTCCCTCTTGGGCTTTTATTACTGTTTGGGACCCCAGGAGCAGCCGCAGATTCACCAGCCTTTCGTCTTTGCTCGTGGTCAGACCTCCATTTCCTCAGTTCCTGCTCAGCACCCAACTTCCCTTCTTTAGCCTTCTCGGCTTTATCCATCGCAACTTTCAGAGATTCCTTTCTAGCAGCCAGCTCTTGGTTCACCTCTTCCAGCTTCTTTGCAGTCTTTGACTCGGAATCCTTGGCTAACTCGATCTGTGCAATAGCTGTTGCCACCCTTTCATTAGCTTGCTCTTCTGCTTCATGAGCTTCTTTGCTGAGCTCATAGTACTCCTCAAGAGAAAGTGTTACCCCATTCGTGGAATCAGCATCGTTCCCAGTTTGTGCTGCTGCTTCGCTCTCTTGCAACGCTCTTATAGCATCCAATGCTAGCTTTTCAGAAGCCCTTGCAGCTTCAATCTCCCTTTGAGCTGCAAGCAATCTGCTCTCCATTGTACCTGCCCCAGCTTTGGCTTGTTCAGCCTCTTCTTTTGCCTTACGAAGATCCTCGCGAGCCAGCTGAGCGAGTAATTTTGCCTCATCAGCTGCGTGTGCAGCTTGCTGCAGTTGCTTAGGCATTTCCACCATTTTCTCTCGTGCTTCTCTCTCCTTGGATTGAACCACCGCAATCTCCGTCCTAGTCTTGTCCATCTCTGCTTCAAGAGAAGCGACTGCAACTGATGCCATTCCTTCTCTTTGCCCGATCGTGGTGAGGGACGATTTTTCCTTCTCAAGTTCCAATTGCAACGAGGCAGCAGCCACCTTTAAGCAATTCACTTCAGCATTTGCCTTCTCGATGTTGAGCTTCACTTCTTCGAGTTCCTTCTTCGCTGAAGCCACTGCTGCTTGAATATCTGTGTGATTTCTCTTCTCTGGCCCCTCATGTGTAGTACTTCCTTCTTCGGTATTTTCATCTTTTAACTTTGACTCCATGTAAGCTGCCAATTCAGCCTTCAGATCGACCAGCAAAGCAGAAGCAGCGTCGAGCTTTGATTTGAGATCTTTAGCTGAAAGAATCTGTTGGTTAAGCCTCTGGAGCTCTTCCTCTGCCTGTTTCAGCTCCTTCTCCCAGTAAAGAGCATCCTGCTCCTTTGCCATGGCTGCTCCTATTCTATGCTCTTCTGCCTCCATATGGGCAGCATGTGCAGATTCCAGAGATTCCTTCGTTGCTATTAACTCAATCGTCAGCTCCTCAACTGTCTTCTCAACTTCCTTGGATGCAGACACAGCCTCTTCAGCTTTCTTTATGGCATCATCTTTCTCACTAAGCAGAGAAGCATATTCTTTACGTAAAGCTTCCAACTCCTCATTGACAGACTTCAGTTCTGAAACTGCTGCTGCATGTCTCGATTTAGCAACCTCGAGCTGTGCCTTGGCTGCAACGCTGGCCTCATCAGCAATTCCTTGTTCCAACTCTTCAACTCGAAGCTTGGCGAGTTCGGAATCTTGTTTTGCTTGATGCTCTTCGGTTTGTGCCCTCTCGAGGTTGAGCTTGAGCTCCTCGATCAGTCTCTTTGCACTATCGAGTTCTTTGATAACTTTTATTTTGGCCTCATCTGCAGCTTCTGACATCTTCCTGTACTCGGGCATTTCGTCCTGCAACTTATCTAGTTCTTGCTCTACAAGCTTGCGTCTCTGTGAAAACCAAGGAACAAGTTTTGTGAGTACGTAATGACATAAATGTTCACCTGCAACATATAGCAGAAAATTACACTCATTCTGCAATAAATGTTACCTCTACAGTCTGCATTCTATGTGCTTTCCAATCAACTATTCCCCCAAACTTCGAAACAGCTTGTTTAACAGATTCAAAAGGTGCTCTTGTGTCAATGAGGCCCCTATTCAAGTCCACCTGCTTGGAGGGTTTACCAGAATCGCTGGACTTAGGTGTCCTGGAGGCTGGATTTATCATCCTGACTAGCGGTGAATCAGGTAGACCAGAACCAGAGTTCAGACTGGTCTTTACCTGAGGCAGAGCAAAGTTATTGGATTGTTGCACCTTAGGCACGGGAGAGGAAGTAGGATCTGGGACAGTACTATCATCTACTTGACTGCCCACTAAAGCAGTGTCAGATGCCTGATCAGCAGAAGCATTCTGCTCCACCTCCTTATTTTCCTGAGAATCTATCAGTGCCTTGCGGGCAGAAGGGGGTTGTACAATGTCATCCATCAGAAGCGGTTCACCGGCTGAATCAGGATTACCAGCTTTCTGGGCATCTGAGGAACTTTGGACTGGAAAAATCTCATCTACTTGAACAAGAGGACCACCAATGGCTGGAGCAGAAACTTCAGAATTCTGACGAACGGTAGAAGTAGGAACTCCCTGTGAAGTAGAATCATCCATCTGAATAAGGGGATGCTGAGAGGAACTAGTTGTATCTGCATCTTTCGGGGCTAGAGAGGAATCCCCAGTTGGTTCAGAAACATTTGAAGGATTCCGGTTGGCTTCATTATCCAATCGAGTATCGGGACCATTGGAGGAACTTCCAACTACATCAGATGGAGACCTAGTACCCAATTCATCCATCAATGAACTTGACGTTGATTTGGGTGCTTGATTGACTCCCAAGTTTGGAGCTTCAAGAAGTGGATCTTGAGCATCAACCTGGGTTTGTGGGACATCTTGTACACCTGATTCTCCAGGCTTCTCGCTACTGTTTTCTGATTTCCCATTAGCAAGAGAGCCCAATGATGCTTCTCCACTAGAATGTCCATTATTCTGAGACGACGGTGATGATTCTGCAGGCGCAGGAGGTGTAACTTGAGCCACTTTTACATCCTCCATGAGAAGAGAATAATACTAAGGCGTGCCACAATGGTGTCTGAAAAAAATGAACAAGAGCTTTAGAAACAGGGAACCCAAATACAGAACGCCTATCCGTCAGTCAGCCCATAAATAGTAACAATCTGTGGCACATTTGGATGCCCATCAAATAGATCAAAGAACCCAGGAAGAAGAGAGCGGTAGAATTTCAGGATGTCCAATTGTCCATGGCTAACGTCGAAGACAAAGCATCATCCAAACAGATATAGATGGATAAAGAAGACAACTTTTCGTTGTTCTCTATTAACACAAATCGACCCTTATCTACGATTCTATCAGGTTGCAGAAAATGAAACATCTTTCATCACGAGCGAAAATCAGATTTCACCCACCATTTGCCACGGGAACTACCAAACGGTCATGTTCTAAAAAAAAAGAATTAAAAGGGGAAAACAGAGGACCGGTAGAAATCCGAAGCAACCCGCCACTCGCCAAGAACGTTTACAAATTTAATGAACATCAGCACTGAATGCAAGCACAAATCAATTAAGAAAGGTAATTAATTTCTCCATCATTGGGAGAGATCAGGCAAATTGAATCAAATCCCAAGCTTATCCATAGCCATCAGAATACCGCTACTACCACAAACGCACTCCTTTTCTTTCAAGGAAAAAAAACAGAGAGAGACAGTAAAAACAAATTAACGAAGTCAACGTGGGAGGGCAAAACAAAAGGAGAAGAACAAGGAAGCAGCTCCGCCATAAAAACAACCCCAGAAAAGACGCGACAGAAACAAGCAATTGGGCTACGAGGATCTCGAGCTCCGGAATACCAACCCCCAAAACAAAATGAGATCGGGAAGCCAGAGAGCAACAAAACCCAATTGGTTAAATTGAAATGCGGAGCTGATTTGGGAACAAGAAAGGAAAGACAAACAGAAAGGGAGATGAAGAGGGGGACTTACCGCTGCAGGGAGAGGCGACGCGCCGGGGCAGGGCGGGGGAACGAAGAAGAGGGCAACAGTCCACGGCGGCGGAGGTGATGGCGGTGGTGATGGTGGTGATGGTGGAGCAATTTGGGGTGGAGAAAGAAAGAAAGAGGAAGGATGGCGGAAGATAATTTATGTAGAGATAGGAATTTGGAGGTAGCTAAAATTAGCAAAGAGTCAGCAGACCAGACATGGGAAAGCAGAAGGAGGAAGAAGAAGAAAGAAGAAGTAGAGAATGAGAGAAAAGAGAGGAAGAGAGAGAGAGAGGAGACCGCAATGGAATACAGGGGAGAGAAAGTGGACACGTGTAATGAGTGGACTGGAGGAACCTTCTTCTCTTGTTTGTCCCCACCGCTGCACTGGATCCCATCCATCTTCTTTTACCGCGCCCCAACTTTACTTCGGTTTTTTAATTTTATTTTCATAATATATTAACTAATTTTCTTCTGTTTATGCTTTATTAGGGTTTTATTAATTTTATATTTGTTAATGTGTTCAATAATTGTAGATTTAAATCGTTGTACCAAAAGAACATCTTACAGATCAGTGTGTTTGTTAAGACTGATATTATTTTGTTGTTGTGGTTTTTTTGTGAAAGTTTTTATTTTCTATTTTTGGTGTTATGGATGGTTTGAAATATAATTATTGTCTATGCCAAAATTGGATAAGTTTAGGTTTGTTTAAACCGACCTTAAATCAAACGATCTTCTAAATTAGTTGGTATGATAAGTGTTTTTATTTATAACTCTTATTAATTTTTTCTCGCCGAAAGATGTCATAATCGTGTGTTTGAAAGATTATCATGATTCCAAAATTTTGAATAACTTCATTATGTTCATACCCTTAAAATAATTAATTTTTTATTTACTATCAAACTCTTTGAGTATGGCTTTCTAACTTTGAAAATCAGACATTTCTGGTATGACTTACTTGATAAAATGTGTTCAAATGACGGTTATACAAATGCTATATCTCTCAATTCCTTAGCTCCGGATAAGCGAATAAATAAATAGTTATCGTTGAATCACTTATAGATCAACAAAAAATGAGACCATATCCCTCAATTCATCTAGCCCCCGATATGTTTAAATTCATTTGATGTTAATGTTTTTTTTTTTTTGCATTTCTACATTTTTTGTCAAAACCGATATGAATAGATTATACCTTAATTTTTTTGCATTTCTACATTTTTTGTCAAAACCGATATGAATAGATTGTACCTTGATCGCACCATACAACTTGTTAAACTGGAGGTATAACCCGGTTTGTTATATAATCAAATTGAGGTTAAGCGGTTAAGCCTATGTGGCCTGAAACTGGCAGAGATACGACACCGTTGCTTTCTTGCACCACCGTCAATTATCCAACACTGTTTCTCAGACGCCGGCGGACTTGCTTGCGGCTTCTGATGTTCTAATTCTACTGCTCTTGGCGGGAGTGTTACCACTTACCACTGAACATCCTAAAACCTCAATCAAGCAAAATTGGAAGCGTTCTGGTTCTGGGAAGGGTGAAAGTCTTCAGATTGCCTCTCCCCCCGAAAGCGACGGCCCGTTTGCTTCTATCTTCACAGCTCGTCTTGTTCTTAAATCGCGTCAGGTGCGTTTCTGAGTTCTCTTAACCACGCATGTGTAAGGGGCATCTTCGATTGAATCAACCACACTGGTCTTTCTGCAAACCGTTGTTCAGAATTTCTCTCCCATGGACTTTCTCAGGCTTAATTCACTGTACGAGCTGCACTTCGCATCGCTGTCTTTGGCCGTATGTGGTAGATTGGAAATGGGTTCATTGCGCAGTGGCAATCCAGTATGTTGCCAGCAGCTATTCCCCTGTGTCAGAGCTGGCTTATTTACAAAGACTGGTAACTTTAGGATCTCAATCTCTGGGAGGAAGCTAAGGGCAAACGCTATCTGTTGAGGAACTTCCCCCAAATGCATTCCGCAGGAAGAATGACCGACAATGGAGGGGAGGGTTCAGTCTTGGGGTGGATCTTGGACTGTCTCGAACGGGCGTTGCCCTTAGCAAAGGTTTCACTGTTCGTCCTCTCATGGTACCCACCTCCTCTGAAATTTTAGTCTGTGGGTTTGATAATGTTGCCTTTTTATCAGCTTGTGACCGTTGCTTCAGCTGTGTTTTAGGTGCTGGAAATGCGAGGTCAAAAGCTTGAGCTACGGCTTCTTGAAATTGCAGAACGCGAGGTGCGGAACCACTCTGCTTGTTGGTCCATAAACAAATGAATGGTGTAAGCGGCCAAGTGCTATTTACCTGACTTTAAAAACTTCTTGGATTTGTAGGAGGTAGATGAGTTTATAGTTGGCCTTCCTAGATCCTCGGATAGCAAGGAGACCCCTCAGTCCAACAAGGTTCGTAGTGTTGCTGGAAGACTTGCTGCTCGAGCTGCTGAAAGGTAATCTCCTAAGTCCTATTCATTCATCATGTATTTATCTGTTGATACCAGTCATGATTACACCATCATCAATTTTGAAAGAACAAAAAGAATATAGCTTTTATGCAGTTGTAGCCCTTTTTATTCCTTAAGATGCTTGATGGCTGATGCAGTTAATTTGTGGGAATGATCCATTTTTTTCATGGTGTTGCGGATTCAGACTCCTCAGTTTCTGCTACAATTTTATTCTGCTCTCATGGATGTGGATGTTAATGCATTTGTCACATTTCAGGGGCTGGAGAGTATACTTACAAGATGAACATGGCACCACCACAGATGCCATGAGCCAGTATGATTAACACGTAATTCCTACGTAGAACCTCTTTTTCATTTTTTGCTTATCTTTTCGTCAGTGTATTGGAATTACTGCATGGGGCTTATAAGTACAAAGTTTGTTAGTGTGGCTAATTTACCCGAGTACAGAAGCCTTCTAGCAAATTTAAACTTCAGTACAGAGCCAATGCAATTGACTTGTCCTATACATGGCAACGTTATGTCCACATTTCATATTTGATCTGTTAGATATAGCTAGCTTGTGACCTTCGAAAATTGGATGAATCTTTCAGGGGACTCAGCCAGGAATATCGACAAAAGCAAATCGATGCATATGCTGCTGTGGTACGAAACCAATGTTGTTTTCTATTTATCTGAGGGCATACAATATGTAACACTAGATCTAATATAACAGAATATTAAGTAGGTTCTAGTCCACCTGTCCCCTCTAATTCTCTCCCTTCCCATCGTCTTTTTACAATAGAAAAGTTTGCATCTTCTTCTGCTTTATCTCTGTTATTTTGATGTTTACTCTCTTCTGCTGGTTGCAGATGGTATTGGAAAGGTACTTTTCCAGGTCAGGCAGTGGAACTGAGCTTGTAGTACCTAAGCAGTTGGATCTACAAGATAAGCTAAGAAAGGGTCCACCAAAGGATATTGACTATTATCCAGACGAATAATGGTACTACGTATTTTCTAACTTGAATTGCTTCATGCTCTCACAAGTTGGGTTCGGATAAGAGAACCTCAAAGTTCTTAAACCTCATCCTTTTAGCAACCTACGCCTGATTTTGATATGAAGTGAACCGAAATTAGCTTGCCACTTATATATGCTTTTTTCCCTTTAAAAGCTCTCCTCCACCCAGTGCAGCCCCATCATCAGCTGATTACTTTTGCGGGTTACTTCCGAAAGATACTGTGAAAGAGGAAACGTTGCTGGTGTCCTTATTTCTTCGTCATCGTTGATTTGAAAGTGCTTAGCGACTGGAATTCACCACCAACCTCTCATTCATGTTAGCTCCTGATTTGCCTGGATTCCCAAATGTGAAAAAGGAACGTCGCCTAAATTTGGTGTGGGTCAGAGGGGCCATTGGAAGACTTGGGAAGAACTTACCTGACTTATCCAGCTGCAGAGGCATTGGTGATTCAGATTCTTTTGATGTTGCAGCTTCATCAATCAGCAACAACTCCAATGGCTTCTTCATGTGCACTGAATGCAGCTGGTATGAAGTAGCAGTGGTGCACAAAATGAGAGAAGCTGTTTGAAAGCAGAAGAGACTTGTAACGCAAACTTGTTGTCCCCTGACACTTGGAAACTCAACTTTTCCCAAACTTGTATTCAGAACTTTCAGTTCAGAAATACATATTGTGTTTTCTATGGCACAGCTCTATGGTTTCAGCATCAAAGCATTTGGGAAGAATTGTTGATGAAATCACGAGGGGTAAACAAACAGCTGCTCCAGGTCATCGGAATCCTATCATTGGATCTTTTCAATGATTGCTATCCCCAAAAAGCTGTCAGGAATGTGGATACACAGAGTCATTTTGGTCCAAGATATACTGTTTTACTTTCTGGGCTTCCCTCCCATTCTGGCCCATGGAGATGGAGTCACTTGGCTCACGAATATAAACTCTCCTCTGTCGTTCTCATCTGTTTGTAACATCTTTGCGGCAATGGCCACTGAATCCGATCCATCCGCGGAGGAAACTGGGGCAGGGACGAGCGACGGCGGTGGCGATGATGCCTCGAAGAAGCGGAAGCGGGAAGAGGACGTTGGAGCCGGCGGAGAAAGAGGGAACTCTTCGGCCACTGAATCCGATCTATCCAAGGAGGAAACTGGGGCAGGGACGAGCGACGGCGGCGGCGATGATGCCACGAAGAAGCGTAAGCGGGAAGAGGACGTCGGAGCCGGCGGAGAAAGAGGGAACTCTTCGGCGGTGGTCTCGTTGGGTTCGATGGAATTCCGGACTTCCCGTGAGATGTTCGAATTTTTCGACTCCTTGATCAGCTCTTGGCGGAGAAATGATATGGTCGTCCACAAGGTAGGCCCTTTTCTTTTCTGGCCAAAGCCCTAAAATTTCTGTTGTTCCAATATAGAATCTTAGCTGAAGCAAAATGAATAATTGGTTCAGGATAATTTCCCAATGTTGCTGGACTTGGTGAAGAAGGGACACCCTGAGCCTGAGAAGTTGATTGGTTCTGGTTTTAGGGGATTTTGCATCCTTGACAACAGATATTGCAGCCGCAACCGCACCTTCTACCTTTTCACGAAAGATAATGCGTTTCAGTTCTGCTTCAGGAGCTGTGTTCACAACATCCTTCCCTTGCCCGACGATTTGAAAGAACAAGGCAGCGGTGCTGTTTGTGCATGTCATCTACCTAGGCCTGAGGTTGAGGAGGTAATCCTGCAACCCTGGGGATTCAGCACTCCCGATGCTGTGTTTTCACATTTCTTCTACCTGCTTTACCATTTGCCACTTAACAAGCCTATCACGGAGCAATCCCGGGTGGCGTTGCTGGAGTTGATGAGGAAGGGGGATCCTGCACGGTGGGAGAATGAGTTTGGCTCTGGTTCTGAGGTTGATCAATATTCATTTGAAGCCCGAATCCACCCACTGTACATGGCAAGTAGTAGGCTACGAAGCTTCTTCCTTGTCCGTCAGAGCGACAGGTCTGCCGAGGAATTCTGTTTCCTCAAGCTTGTCGAGAACATCTGTTCTTTGCCGGAGGGATCCAAAGACGATTATGTTTATCCTTGTTCCTGTCATCGAAGCCAAGGCGATTTCATCACCTTGGGTGTGAGGAAATTCGCTACGTCCCATGAGATGGCTCTGTATTTCGACAACCATCTTTACAATGAGCCGCTTAATGCTCCTGTTACCATGGAGGTATTCACGCTCGCTCCAACACTACTTTGACGTTTGGTATCAGGATGCCGTTGGTTGGTTTGGTTATCTTTAGGTGTTGCTTGTGTGATTGCTTTTGAGTTTGCTGGCTGATCCACCTTTGATGATAGTATTTGTCTAAGCATTGGATTTTGCATTCGCATACTTTAGGTTGCCATTTTCCTCTCTTTTTAAAAGACTAATCAACGAATTCATTTTGGCCGTGCACTGAATGATTGTGTTGTGTGGATAGGAGTTAAGCATGGCGGCGTTGGATTTGGTGAGGAAAGGCGATCCAGAGTTGGGGAAGAAGATTGGGTTATCCTCTGGTGTGTACGAATCATATTCTGTCCAAGCTAGAAGCGACCCAGTGTGGGGATCAAGAGCCTACTTCATTGTTAGGGAAGATGGTTCTATGGAGCCGTTTTGTTTCTGGACATGCATCAACAATATTCTCCCCTTGACAGGAGAAGATAAAGATAGATGTTGTCGGGGTACTCGTATATGCCTTAATTTTGCTGCCGGACCCGGTTGTGATCAGGAACAAGAAGAGGACATCGGGCCGGTCTTCAAATAGGAAATGCTCTACATCTGCTCCTAGATAGCGCTACTATTTGATCGTCCAATGTTTGAATTCTGGCTGTGTGTTAGTAAACTGTTTGATTGCTTTTGTATTGGGATGAACAAACACAAGGTCGAGTACAGAAGCCTTCTAGCACATTTAAACTTCAGTGCAGAGCCAATGCAATTGACTTGTCCTATACATGGCAATGTTATGACACAGCAAGGTCGCAAAAGTCTTGCCTCACTGCTAAAACGGCCGAGAGGATCAAGCTGTTGTAAAGCTCGTATGTTACTTCCCAACAACGAAATGATCTGCATCAATAGCGATGATGGGACAGACATTGACGACAATATGGATGATGACGACGACTTCGATGATGTTGGTGACGACGTAGATAATGCCTGACATTGTTGGCACCATGGATGATGACTGATGGACGTTGTTGACGAAACCAAGGACTAGGTTGACGAAGAAGATGAGACTCCGAAGCATGGTGGTGGCTTGATGAGCTTCTGATAATGCGAAGAACTACATTTCTTATCCTAGTGAATACTGTGGTTTCAAGTTTCAACTGGTAGTGTTATTTTGAGTTAGTGGTTGTTTTGCTGCATATAATGCTTTGAGATATCGTTGGATCCTTTGGTCCAAGAGAGACTGTTTTAGTCACTGGGCTTCCCTCCAAATTGTATAATCCAGGTCCATTTCTACTGTCCCCATTCTGGCCCATGGAGTCACTTGGCCCACGATTCTGCTCCAGTATGGCCCACGAATATAAATTCCCCTCCGTCTCGCCCTTCTTCTCCACCCAGGCGCAAACTCGTTTCTACACAATCTGTACATTTCCCGCTTCAGTTTCCACTCTAGACCGAAAATGGAGACGAACACTGGTAAAATCGCGAGGGCACGGCCACGGCCGGAGATCGGCTACGAGGACAGGCTCAGCTCCTTACCCGACCAAATCATCTCCCACATTCTCTCCTTTATGGAAACCAAGTACGCCGTCGGCACCGCAGTTCTCAGCAGACGGTGGGAGGATCTTTGGACTAGGGTTTCGAATCTCGACCTCGACAACCGCTTGGTTTACACGTCTATGGCCGAAGCTCAGAAACTGGAATATGCTTATAAGATTCAGGAGAGGAGAGAGTCGCAATTTTGCCGCTTCGTCGACAAGGTACTGGGCCAGCACAAGAATCTCAATTCGCTGAGTCGTTTCCGCTTCCATTTTTCTTTGAATTATCATTACCCTACCACGCTGCTTCCTGATACTAGTTTTAAGAGAGAATTGGTGTTTGGTCCTTCAATTGAGGAGATTGATGTTAGGATTAGCGGGGAAACCAAATTCGGAATACCCCAATGTATGCGCTGCATTCCAGAAAACTTCTACACTTTGAGGAATCTGAAAGTTGCCAAGCTTTCTGGGGTTATGATGGGTGCAACGAACCAGTCTGTTTTTCTTCCTAGAGTGAAGATTTTACAGCTTTCCCATGTTAAGATGAAGGACTTTGAGTCATTAGGCAGGCTCGTTTCTGGTTGCCCTGTTCTTGAGACTGTTCATCTGGAGAATTGCCACCCCTCTAGCAAGAATGAAAAGGACAGAATCGAAGTTTCCTTACCATTCTTGAAGAACTTCAAGATTAGTGATTGTTGGGATGATCCGATGTGTCCTATTGTTATTGAAGCGCCAATTCTCGAGGATCTCTATCTTGAGATGTTTGCAGAGTTACAGTTTAAGGGCAAAACACCATTGGCATGCCTTCATTCAGCACACGTTGATGTAGGCGAAGAATGTCGAACCTCATACCATGATGTGATTCGGCTGCTTGGTCAAATTTCCAATGCAAAGAAAATGCGTCTATCCGGGGAAACTCTGGTAATAATGTCCACTGTTTTCCTTTCCATTGATCTAGTTTTGTTCATTAGAGCGCTGATTTTGTTAACCTTTGTTTCACCAGAGTCATCTGTCAGTTGTCGATAACGTTCTACTGCCTGTCTTTCCCAATTTGACACATTTGACAATTGGAATCGGAGAATTCGGGCCCAGGAATAGCTGGTTTTTGCACTCTTTGCTGAACTCAGCCTCCAAACTACAATGTCTTGTCATTGATATGGTGAGTCCCTTGTTCATTTGTTTGGGATCTTTCTCCAATAACTTTGCTAATGCGGTTCTACACGAAGCAGGAGAATCACTTGGGCGTACCAATGGCGTGGGAGAGTTTAGATGCTGCCTGCACGCCGCAGTGTTTATTATCAAGCCTGGAGGAAATCGAGATCAAGGAACTTGTAGCATATCCAGAAGAGAAGAAAATGATAGCATATCTGCTGCAGGCTGGAGCTGTCCTGAAGAAAGTAAACATGCACGTAAACTGCCGTTTTCTTGAAATAATGGGCCGCAAAGATCTCATGTCACTACTGAAACTTCCAAGAGGATCGAGCACTTGCGAGCCTGAGCTTTTCTTTCCTTACGAGGAAGAGGAAGAGGAAGAAGATATCTACAGCGATAGTGACGACGAGTTCGAAACAGACGGCGACATAGATGATGATGACTCTGACAACATTAATGACGAGATCGACAGCGAAGATGATGCCAGCGACAGTGAAGAGGATTCTCTTTGAAGCATGCAAGGAAAGAGCTTCCCGAACAACATGATAAAGTGGGTTGTGAGTTGATTGACTCAGTTTTTCGAGTATTGATCTGAATGCATATTACACTCCGGCATTGTTGAATCGTTTGATCCATAAGGACTTTGTGTAGGTTTCTTCAGAAGCTTGCTTTGTTCCAACTTTGACTATAAGAAGCATCCATTTGAGTTTTTCTTGTTTGGTAGTTTGAGAACATGGGAATGCCTTGGATAAAAAGGATATCATACTAAATTTCAAAATAACAAAAAAAAAAAAAATATTACAGGTGGAGGTTGCTATTGGTTGATCGTCTAATTAACCGCTAACTGAACTGATAACAGGCTGTTAACCAATAAGCCTTATTGGTTCGGTTATCAGTATATATTTCTTGTTTAGCGATTAATCAAATTTTTAATTCACCCCATATTAAATATCAACATTCGAATATCCTTGGAAGAGCAACAAAAAAGTAGCAGATCCCTTCTCGATCTTGTGTTTGTTCATCCGAGTACCTACCTGCAAAATTCAATCAAACAGTTTACCAACACACAGCCAGAATTCAAACATTTGAGGCGAAAAAGGTATAGCTATCTAGGAGCAGTTACAGAGCATCTCCTAATCGACGACCGGCCAGAAGTCGTCTTCTTGTTCCTGATCGGGCCCGGCAGCAGGATCAAGGCATTCACCAGTACCGCGACAACAATTATATGTATCTTTTCCGATCAAGGGGAGAATATTGTTGATGCATGTCCAGAAACAAAAAGGCTCCATAGCACCATCTTCCCTAACAACGAAGTAGGCTTTCCACCCCCACACCGGGTTCTTTCTAACGTGGACAGAGTATGATTCGGACACACCAGAGGATAAACCGATCTTCTTCGCCAACTCTGGATCGCCTTTCCTCGCCAGATCCAACGCCGCGATGTTTAGCTCCTGTCCACACAAACACAATCATTCAGCGCGGCCAAAATGAGTTCGTTGATTAGTCTTTTCAAAAGAGAGGAAAATGGCAACCTAAACTCTGCGAATGCAAAATCCAATGCTTAGACAAATAATATCAAAGGTGCATCAGCCATCAAACTCAAGAAATCACGCAATCAACACCTAAAGACAACCAAACCAACCAGCTGCATCCTGATAAAGTCTGCCAACGCACAATCCACTGCTTAGACAAATACTATCAAAGGTGCATCAGCCAGCAAACTCAAAAGCAATCACACAATCAACACCTAAAGACAACCAAACCAACCAACTGCATCCTGAAACTATCCTTATGTATAGTGCTTGCCAGTCGTTGGAAAGAAAGGCTGGTAGCCAAAGTAGTGTTGGAGCGAGCGTGAATACCTCTCTTGTAATAGGAGCATCAAGCGGATGATTGTAAAGCTGGTCGCGGAAATATAGAGCCATATCATGGGAAGTATGGAATTTCCTCACACCCAAGGTGACAAAATCACCACCTTCGCTTTGATGACAGTAACAAGGATGAACATAATTGTCTTTGGTTTGCTGCGGCAAAGAACAGATGTTCTCAACAAGCTCGATGAAACAGAATTCTTTGGCAGACCTGTCCCCCTGATGAACAAGGAAGTAGCTTCGCAGCCTACTACTGCCCACGTACAGTGGGTGGATTCGGGGTTCGAATGAATATTGATCAACCTCAGAACCAGAGCCAAACTTACTCTCCCACCCTGCAGGATCCCCCTTCCTCAGCAACTCCAGCAAGGCCACCCGGGATTTCTCCGTGATCGGCTTATTAAGTGGCAAATAGTAAAGCAGGGAGAAGAAATATGAAAACACAACAACGGGAGTGCTGAGTTTCCACGGTTGCAGGATTACCTCCTCAACCTCCGGCCTAGGTAGTTGACAACCACAAACAGCACCGCCGCATTGCTCTTTCAAATCCTCGGGCAAGGGAAGGATGTTGTGAACACAGCTCCTGAAGCAGAAATCAAACGCATTACCTTTCGTGGTGAGGAAGAAGGTGCGGTTGCGGGTGCAGTATCTGTGGTCATGGACGTGAAATCGCCGCACCCCAGAACCAATCAACTTCTCAGGCTCAGGATGTCCTTTCTTCACCAAGTCCAGCAACATTGGGAAACAGGCCTGAACCAAACCATTCATTTTGCTTATTGACTAAGATTCTATATTGAAACACAAACATTGGAACACAAAGAAAATTTTAGGGTTTTGGCCAAGGAACAGAGAAGGGCCTAACCTTCTGGACGACCATATCATTTTGCCGCCAAGTGCTAATCAAGGTGTCGAAATATCCGAACATCTCACGGGAAGTCCGGAATTCCATCGAACCCAACGAGACCACCGCCGAAGCGTTCACGATTTCTCCGCCGGCTACGACGTCCTCTTCCCGCTTCCGCTTCTTCGAGACGTCATCATCGCCACGGTCGTCGTTCGCCGCTGCCCCAGTTTTCTCCTTGGACGGGGCTTCAGTGGCGATTACCGCAAGGATTTCACAAACAGATGATATCGACGGAGGAGAGTTTGCAACAACCGTGAGGGAGGAGGCAAATTGGCAGCGCGATAGAGGAACGATGGACGACGAGTTGGTTTGGTAATCGGTTGTCTTTAGGTGTTGATTGCGTGATTGCTTTTTTTTTCCCCCTTTCTTTTACTCTTTATATCTTTTAGATAAGAATAAATAAATAAAATTTATATTATTAAAGGGATCATTCTGTTGGCCCATTCTGTTTCGGGCTGGGAGAACCAATTTGTATGGGTTGGTTGATAACCCACCGCTCTCACTGTTGTCCTTTCTAGTGGCCGGTTTGGGCCGAGGTCCTATGGGCCAGTCTTAGACTTTTCAGTTTCACTAAATGAATGGAATCCAGTTTTCTATAAAAAAAAAAAAAAATCATTCAAAACAACCCCATCCACGTAAGCATTGGAGTGCTCCCCGCGTTCTCGGAATTTTGTATTAGTGATGTCGTCAGCCTTCCTCTCAGAACCATTTTTGTCATCAGCTTCTGACGCCTTAATCCTTCCTTCAACTGGATTGGTGCCCTCGACAAGTTGAGCTGCCCTGCTTCAAAATCATCGGCGGATCCGATTTCAATCTGGAGAGAGATGATGATGGGTGCGATTGGGAGACGGAGCTGTCGATTTAGCGATGGTGACCGCTTTGGAATCTTCTTGGGGGGCTGGCGGATTTCCCTAGCGGCCTCCACATTGAATTCTGGATGTTCAGATTTGAGCAGAGGCAGAGTGAGAAGTGCGGTGGTCGGAAAATGAGTCGGACTCTCCCTCCGTTTCGTTCTCACCACCGCCTATCGCGAAAGAAGGTGAGGAGCTCCTGGGGATTGGTCTTGACTGAGCGGGAAGGCGGCTCGCACTTGTGCGGGGTGAAGGGGATGGATGTCTCGACTATGAGGGGATAGGTGGAGGTGGAGATTGGGCGACAGAGGGAGGAGACGACAACACTGAGGGAGCGGAGGAGGCAATTGGATCTGGAGAGGATTGGATAGGTGAGAGGGCGGTGAGTCGAATCGGAGGCGGGTAGGACTGGAAGTTTGGTACCGGTATTTGGGATATACCGAATACCGTACTGAATTTGTCTATATTTGGTGTTACCGAATACACGTATTATTTCTTGGGATTGAATTTCAATTGTTATTCGGTATTAGGGATTACGGGATTGGGATCGAGATATACCGAAATATAAGTTAGTTTGTATTTTATCCTCTCAACTAGACTCTCTCATATACTACTACATGACCCTCAACCACCAAAAGTGTCATTTAATTATACACAAATCATTCCACCACTATTAATAGTCGTCTCTCAACCTCCAATTCGTCAAATTAAAATTATCAATGACAAGAACTTGAGATGTCTCCTCTCCTCCACTCTCCTTAATAATATCCTAATTCAAAACTCTTTGCTTAGTCTTTTCCCCATAAATTAAATAATAAAATATAATTTATATATTTAATTATTAATTGCAAAGGTAATTAATTTAGTATTCGATAATACGGATTGGGATACCGAAATATTTAGGGATTGGGATTGGGATTGACTTTAGGGTGTAATTCGGTATTCGGGATTTCGGTATTTGGTAATGGGATACCGATACCGTACCGATTTCTATCCCTAGAGGCGGGGGTAGAAGTAGGAAAAGAGAGGGGATCGAAGAAGGGAAGGAATAGGTGGTGAGAAATAGGGAAAGAGAAAGAGTTGAAGAGAAGGCCGGCGGTTGTGCAGAAGGAGGAAGACGTTCCGGTTGGGGTCGCAGACTCGCAGAAGAGGAAGAGTTGGAGATAAGGGAGGCGGCCACCGACGTCATCAAGTGGTGGGCGAGGAGAGAGGATGTGAATTTTTTTTTTAAATTAATATATGACATGGCATCCATGTGGAAAGTGTTGTTGAGTTGTCGATGATGTGTCTGGTGAGTTGGCAGCCATGTAAGCATTCTATTAGTTTGACTAACGCCGTCACTAACGCCGTCAAATTATGTAACGGAAAATGGCTATATTTGTCATTAAACTTTAAAAATTATGACTATTATTGGTATTTTCCCAAAAGTAGCTATTATTGTCACGAATGTCAAAGTTTTGACTACAACAGATTGATTTTGCCTTTTCCTTTTGTTTACCAAAGTGTGCGTCTTTACTTTTTTTTTCTTTTTTATTCATATATTTGAATTGCTTTTTGTTTAGTTGGTTTTAGTGTGAAATATAACACAGAAAAAGGACTACTCATTTCCAACAATTTTGTGAATTGCTTGATTTCTAATTTTGATTTGATTATGTGTATAATGTGGATGCATACCAATTGTGGACTTGATATTCTCATTTAGACGGATAAATTCTTTGTCAACTTGAATCATACCGATCTTAATCTTTAATCAAGTCAAAAAATATAATTCACTGAACTATGCACGGGAAGCTGAGTATTGCTAGTACGACTGCCAGTTTTGAGCTTTATATTTTTCATGTGTGATTTCGCTGCCTTACATGGGAACCTGACTAATACTTGCCTCAAAATTGAGTTGCAAACTGCATGTCGGTGACACGTCTGAACAGAATAATGAAGTCTCTTTGATTTACTCATGACTAAATGACTATCTTAAAATGTGATTTTCCCTGTACGAACCCTTGAGCCTAAACCTTTTTTTTGTGTGCTACCACACTATTTTCTTCAGTCCATTTTTTCTATACCCACTTTGCACCCGGGAATTGATCGGAATTGTTGTATCCATGTAGTATTTTGCTTATGTATTCTTCAAAATAAGTTTGGGGCAAGTTGATATTTTTGTTGCGTTTTGATTTAATTTGATTTATAGTGAGTGCGGGTTTATAGTAGGTATCATTTTCAAAGTGGTTTCAAAAGAAAAAAATTACAAAAAAAAAAAATGAAAATAAAGAAAATGGAAAACAAGAAAGTCGAGAGAAAGAAAACATGAAAGAGTTTTTTTTTTATTTTTTTGCCAATAGCTCGCTTGTATTGCGAGGAAGAAAGATATCAAAGTTTACACAATAGCTCACTTGTATTGCCAATAGAAAATATCGATCCAAGTTTTCTCATGTTTTCAGTTTCGATAAACTGGAAGGATTGATAAAAAATGGACTCGTTTTTATGGGCAAGATTCAAAAAATGAACTCCAAAGTTTACTTGCATCTAGCAAATAGATGATGAGTTTATGGTTAACTTGTCCGCCAAGAAACCACCAGTACTTTGAACCTTTGTTTCAAACACGATCTTGTAGTACACAAGGAACACAAAGCCCAACATCCAAAGCTTTGAAACTTAATTATTACACACCGTCGATCAATCGGTTGAATTCCTTACCAGAATAGCTAAGCAGGTTGATGAGAGGAGAGAAACGAGCATACTTTCGGTCTTAGTTGCTGCCTTTCATGGGTAGGAGACACGGAAGAGATGAGCTTTCATGACACAGTATCTCTCAGCGTCGCTACTGATCAGCTCGAATCGACAGACATCCTCGGGCTTCAACTCGTTGTCCATGGTGAAAGCTCCCCACCCGAGCCCCAAGTTCAAGCCTCCACGGTCCCTCCATGTGAACTGGATCGCCCACTCGCCTCTGCTTACAGAATCTCTCACCAATATGCTGCTGCAATCCGGGCTGAGGTGCTTAGCAGCAAACTCCCCAGGCACATACTAGCATTGCAATCATTTCACCAACACAGCAAAATGAAATCAAAGCATCAACAACCATGTGTTGAATGGCTTGCTACGCAAGTAAAATGGTAAACAAACAATTTGAAGCCAGAGTTGCTCACAGCCACAGGGTTTGACAAGTTGTAGGGTTGCACCACCAGCATGAATGAAGGGTTGTGAAGCTTGCGCTTCTTTGCTGCTAGAATCGTCCTCTGGCCCGATGGTGTGGCCTTCTGGTACACCTTATCGTAGTTTCTGCTCGTTGTGATTGGAATTCCATCTCCTCCTGAGCTCTCCTCATCATTCTCATCTGTAAGTTTACACAGACAGTCACAGTTTGCAGAAGAAAGAGGGCAAACTTTCTGGGGAAAAAAAATATATCAAACACTGCAGTTTGAGTAGAAGGTGTTACATTGTTCAGAGGCATGCTGATCTCCTGTCCTGGGAGTTGGGTATACGATTTCGCAGCAGGTTGGATCGAAGATCCTGACATGGAAATCGGAGTTCCCCTTGTACTTGAACGCGATCAGATACGCGTGGCTGATGGAGTAGTAAGCTGCAAACTCGGACCAACCGCGGGTGAACAACTTCTTGCCATCGCCACTTCTCCTTGCAGTCAGTATCGGCCAGGTTCGCCCATCTGGCGCCCTGAAAGTGGCGAACTTTGAGAGATCTCCACCATGCTGGCTCACAAACTCCACTGGCAGAAGCTGGGAAAGAAGGAATGATCAGTGAAATTACTCAAAATGGAGTTCATATAGAGTGACAAGTCAACCCAAGCTAAGAACAGGAACAGGAACAGAAACATATGAAGGCATCAGAACAGAAGCAGAAAGCCAAAGCACACATAAGATGCAGAGCAAGTCAAGCTTAAACAAGGGTTTTGAAGAGAGAAGAAAAGGCAATTGAACAGAAGAACTCCAACCAAATGCAGGTAAAACCAAGTACATAGTTTGCTTACCAGCTTCTTCTCATCAATTGCAGACTGAAGAATGATCAGGCAGAAAGATGGAGAACCCATTGTTGTTGTTCTGCCCTAACTCCTTAGATTCACCTCACTTCTTGAGAGAGAACTTTGGCTTCTTTTTCTAATTTATCTCTGTGGTTTTTTATCAAGTTAAGAAGACCAGCACTTTGTTTTGAACTGGTTTCTTACCATGTGACTTGGTTTTTCCGTGTTTGGTTAAAAGAAGAGACCCCAGAAAGCATTGCATGATGCCATTGCAACCCTACTGGAGTTTTCAGAAATGTACATGGCGATGACGTTCCTTCATCCTATAGCTGTGTTGCGGTTGGGACTTCGTCAAATGTACCATCAAAACAGAAACTGTACAAACTCAGCGATGCTACCTCAGTCATTGTGTTGTTGCCTTGTTGGTGTACATAAAATCCCTAGTTTTAGTAACTTAAATGGTAACTCAATTACTCAAATAATATGATACATTGAGTTTGCATTTAAATCGTAGTTTCGTTTCATCTCAGTTGCGGTATGTACTAGGTAGAGATTGGTACGACATTACATTCATGGGTCTAGCAATGGAAGAGAAGGGTGAACTAGACCTTGATCCAAGTTCTTGACAAGGAAGGGGTGGAAGGAGGTTTTGAAAGGCTTTGAAAGACATTTATTGTAATAAATTGTCGTTTACAACGTTGTTGGATTAATTATGACTCAAAAATCACTTAATCATTAATTTGTATTGTAAATGTCACTTCAATAACATCGGATTAGTTTGTATGGTAACGAGTAACGACATCTCTAAAATGCTTTATTCCTACCAATTCGACTGATCAGTTGTTCGATCACGTCTATTGATGAAGGTAGTTTGTTTATTTCAGGATTTTTTCGTGCTTCCTATTTGTTTCAAGTACGGTATATACTATATAGTAGTTTAATTGGAAGGAAGGACCGTTTTGTTACATATTATAAAATCTGTACATCTTTTCTATAATAAAACATAATACAGGGATCATTTTGTTATATACTTTAACTTTAGGTGTCTTATATTCCATCTCCTATATATTTTGTTTCCCCTCGTTATTATACCGCCGAAACTTTCAATCGCCTAAATTATTCCCCAAATCTCCTAGCCCTAGCGCAACCGCTGCAGCTCTGCGAATCTCCCATGGCTTCCAAGCGGCCAAATCCGAAAGAAGACCCTCCAGCTGCTTCTTCTTCTGAGGAATCCTCCACCGATGAAGCCTCTTCCGACGATGAACTGCCGCCGCAGTTGAGAACGTTGGCTCCCCATTCACAGCTTCAACCGAAGAAGCCAGCGGTTGAGAACTCCGATTCCGACTCCGAGTACGAATCCGACACGGATTCCGACTCTGATCCGCCGCCGCCGAAGAGCTCTGGGGTTCTGCACAACGTGAAGCCCATCGCTTCCAAGCCCCAGCCTAAAGCCCCCGCTCCTGCCTCTTCCTCAAAATCTACGCCGGCGACAAAGAGGGCGAGTGAAACTGAAAGGGAAGCGAAGGACTCCAAGAGGCAGAAAGAGGTGGCGGACGGCGACGGTAAGAACGAATACACGCCAAGAGCAATCTTTCAGCGGCTGTGGGGTGAGAATGATGAGATCGCTGTGCTGAATGGGCTGATCGAGTTCGCCGAGAAGGAAGGAGCTGACCCCTTGAAGGACATGGCGGCTTTCTATGATTTCATTAAGAAGTCTGTGGGTGTGGATGTGTCGCTGTCTCAATTGAAGGAGAAAGTTACCAGATTGAGGAAGAAATTCATGAATCACGCCAAAGGGAAGAATGGTTTGGACAAGAGCTTTAGCAGAGCTCATGACCAGAAAACTTTCGACCTTTCGAAAATGATCTGGGACAGCCAGGGAGAAGGACTTCTAGGCCCAATTGCAAACGGTAAGTCGAGCGGCAAAGCGAAGAAGAGCGGTGGTGCTAACGGTGTAGGTAGCAGTAAAAGTGCATCCAAGGCTGCTGATTTGGGTACAGCGAACGGACATGGAAATGCAAAGAGCGCCTCTAGTGCTGCTTTGGGAGCAGGGAATGAAGGAGCGGAAACGATGGAAGTCGATGGGGTCAATGATCGGAAAGATGGGTTAAGCTTTGATTTGAGCTCAGCTGATGCAGAAGTTGAGGCCTTTGTGGTGAACAAGGGGATGGACATGGTGGATGGATCGAAAAGAAACGAGCTTGCTAGAAGATGGAAGGAGCTCGATACCGAAGCTTTGGAGCACTTTGTTAAGAGGCAACAGTTGATCCTTGATCAGGCTCAGTTGATCCTCGACAGCAGCTACCGCTGAAGTACTATTCAAAGCTAGATTTGGTGAAGGTAGAACTGCAGCAATTGGTTTGATGGAGAGATTAGGAGGCTTTGTAAGGCATATTGGCATCACTGGTGTTTTTGGTTCTTGCTCAGTTATTGTGTAGGTTTCGAGCTTTCTCGTGATTGTTAAACCGGTTTGATCGCTTTTGATTAGTTGAAATGGTAAGATGTGTTTGTTGGCCTGTTGTTATCTTTCCAGCTTATTGAATGGTGGCTGTGAATGAACTTTCGACTTCTTGAATCTCTGTGTTATTCCAATTAGATCATGTGTACCCGAGGATTGCCTTCTTGAATCGGTATAGAAGAATGAATGGGTGTCAGTTGTTTTTTTTTATAGTTCCAATTAGAGACCTTAAAACCAATTTACTTAAATCACTTACTAGCTCAGTCTCCTAATTTTACCAAACTAAGAACACCATGAATTAACATTTCAAAAACACATTACGAGCTTAAACCAGGCGAGACGAAATTCGGACAGCAACCTTAATATTCACACGATTGGAAAGAAGTCCAAAAGCTTAACATAGGGCAACAACGACATTCTGCCTGGAAGTGAGTTGCCTACTACTAGCAACCACAGTTTCTTAAGCTACTTCTTGTTCTTTCTTCCGCCATTCCCCCTTCTGCCCTTCTTGTTCTTGGCTCCCTTTCCTTTTTTCCCTGCTGCAGAAGCATTAGTATTAGTGCTGTCAGGCTTCCTTTCAGAAGCATTTTTGTCATCAGCTTCTGAAGCCTTAATCCTTCCTTCAATTGGATTGGCGCCCTCGACAGCAGTACAAGTAGAGCTGTTTTCTTCCTCTTCCACACTTGTGGTAATGGTCTCGGACGTCGTAATGTCTCCAAGGAGTAGCCTATCTGCATCTTCCTGCGAGTGTGTGATATTCATAATTTGTTCAATTGTTGGCCTTCTCAACTGCAACTTCTTGATGAGCTCTGCAACGGTTGACCTGTCGCTTTCACTGTCAAGTAAAGAAGGGGGGAAACGCATGCATTGCTGAGATGATTGGTGATTGTAAAGCATGGAAATAAAGAAAAGCAAAGACTTGAGAAGATCCATGTTCAAGCTAACCTGGTATCAAGAATGGCAAGGAGTTGGTTCAATTCATCCACGGTGCTTATTGCTTCATTCAACAACTTCATACCCTTCTCATCATTAGGAAGGCCCAGAACTATTCTATCACCCAGCAAAATAATAGCCTTTTCTATCTCTTCCTGCAAAAAGAAAAGAAAAAGAAGAATGAGCACTGGTCAATCGGTCTGTTTCAAACAGCAGGAAATGAACTGGTGCAGTTCATATAGTCTGAGAGAAGGGGGCACCTTGGTTGATGGATCAATTTGGAAATTATTGTTGCTGCTGCTTTTTCCTGATGCAAGGACTTCTTCAAACGTGTTCCAAAGGCCTGAAAGAGCAGCACAAGGTGCAGGAGGCTGCTTTCGGCCATCACTACGTTCTCTATCTAATTTCGGATCAAATAATCCAACTAGAACATCATCAATGCTCCTGTTGCTCGTCATGTCCACAAATACTGCCGGGGGACACAAGTCCTTTAAAGAAACATTTTTTCCAAGATTCACAAGCACAACTGGGTTCCCAATTAGCTGGAAAGCTTCAGCTGATACACATATAGTATCATTCAGGGTCCTGCACTTCTTTATCTTGCACAGCACATTGTAGAATCCTCGAGGGAGCTGTTCAGTAACATGCCTCCAAGATAGCATGTCGACAAGCAACTTGTGAAATGATCCGCAGTTCAAATGAAGCAATAATAATATAGCGACCAGCCTGAGGACAACAGCTCGATAGTTGTCGTTGTAATTCCCGTGAGGTTGACATCTTTTGATCCACTCCACTGTTTCCTTCTTCTGGTGAAGAAGTTGTTGAGCAACTTGAGCGATGAATCCCACAACGCTTGAATACAACATGGAATTGATGGCATGATTGCCATTTCGCCCATCCTGGTAAAAGAGCCACTCTAGAAATGAAGATTTGTTACTGATGATGTAACCTTTTAAAGACGAGACCAGAATCAACTGATGTTCAACCAGGTAAAGGAAGCAGCTCGGAGAAATGTACTCGCTTGCACTTTTCCAGTCAAAAGAGTACGTGTCAACAAGTGCTCCATGAAGATTAGCACACTCCAAGTCATTAGGGGTTTCAGCATTAACATTTCCAAGGAGATGCTCCATCAAACTCTTCCAGGGCAAGTTCAAGCTTGATGATTGGTTGCTCATTATGTCATCACCTAATCCATGAAAAGCTTCACGCGCAGAGCCAAGGATGGTCAGAGCCAATCTGCCCAGTCGGCCATAAGAAAACCAACTCTTGGAGCTTAGATCTCTGAGAACCAAATCTCTTATCATATTTCTGCATATATCGCTTCTCCTGAACTTTACCATGTTCTCTAGCACTGACTCTGTCCAATCTAGAGGGAAAATGCAGCCAAAGTAGTCTGCAGCTGACAGTTTGATGTATCCATCCAGAGCATCCGTGTCTGAGAATCTGGGGCTTAAGAACTTTGAGTTCAACAGAAAGTTGGCAATTTCATATATATAACTCAATGGCTTAACTTTTCGGAATAAGGAGGACGATGAACTCTTGGAATAGAGGCCTTCAAGTTTTTCCAACACTGAAAGTCCAATAGACAGCAACTGCGAGCACCAATAACGTCTGGCTAGGGAAAATAACTGCTTGACATCTATGCATGTGAGCTCTCCATTTTTCCAGACAAATCTTGTATCCATTTCTCTTACCCATTCAGCACCAGGGTTCACAAGTACATAGATTGGTATCCAATTTTTGAAGCACCTCCTGACTCCAAAGTAACCGAGGCAAAACTCACCGTAGCCTGCTAGATCGAAAGTGGTTTTGGCATCAAATTCTTCAAGATACTTGTGCATATTTTTAATCTGGTCCTTCCAGAGAGTCCAACAGTGAACAAGTGTCTCAATAGACACACTATTTCGAGAAAGCTTATCTTTTGAGAACTTTGCTTCATCAACCACCACCACTTTATCTTCCCATGCATACTTGGAGAAGTTCAGTTTTACATGTGCATCCAGAATCTTTCTTGCTGACAGTATCTGACCACTGATACTTTTCTGCCTCCAGGAATCAGCTAAATTTCGTTCCAACACTGATAAGGAAGATTCTTCATTTGATAGTATCTCCGCCTGTAGAGAAACAAAGTTGAAGTATTGCTCAGAATCATTGTTGGCCAAGGACTTTGCTTTCTCTAAAAGTAACTTCTTCTCTTCAAACTGCTTCAAAGGCCAGCCTTTGCTTCCAGCTGACCAAAGGGAATTGGCTAAAACATATAGCAGAATGAGCGACGAAGCATCATGAAAATGTCTGGCTTTTTCAAGTAGATTAGCCTCGACTACAACATCACCCTTCTCCTTGGCAATATTAGCTGCCTCGAGAAAGTTTCCATATCTTTCCTCCAATGATAGCAGCTCATCAAGACAGCTTAAAGACCGTAAGAAGGATCTCATGGATTCCACAGAGTCGAATTCCTCAACATATCTCATCATGACTACTTTCTCTTTGAGATGGTGATAATGAAGCGCAGCCTTCTCCAAGAACTTGCGCTCCTCAATCTTCTCCACTTCCCTTCTACTTTTCGCTGATGAAGTGGATGTACCCATGGTGCCTCCTAGCAATTTGCGCTGTTGAATGTATTGCAAACCCTCCTCGAAAAGCTTTCCTTCAGCGCAAGCAACAAGGCATCTGGAAAAATGGCTTCCTTCAAAGTACACTTGTGCTGCTAGCTTGTAACATCCAGCATTACAGAAACATTCACCTGCCTTCACCCTTGCCGATTCTCCGCATTGCAGATAAAGTTTACCTGAAGGGGCCGAGAGTTATTAATAAAGTTACCACGATTTCATGTGCGAAACCACTAAGTTGTTGTTCACCAAAACTAAATAAATAAGTGCTATCACACCTGCTTTTTCATAGTCTTTCAACATGTAAAAGCATTCTGCAGCATACTCAGCTTTGCCTATGGATTCAAAAATGTTGGCAGCCTGCCTGCGGGCAACCGAAGCTTCTTCTGGATTTGAACTATGCATGATATCAGCAGAAGCTCTAAGTCCAGCAGCCTTGGCCAGTTTTTCGCCATGTTCATCACCCGCTCTTTCAAAGCATACAGTTGCCATCTCATAGTTCCCTTCGCGTAATAACTGAATGCAACAAAACAACAGAAAGGAAATAAGTTACAACTAAGAGTAGGAAGCTTTTTGAAGTTGATGAAAGCTTGGTAAACAAGTAATGAGTACCTTATATCCCTGAGCCTTCCACTCTTCAGGGCTGCTAGCTACTTGCATTGCTTGTGCAAGTTCTTCGTCCAGTTTTCTTAATTGAACAAGCCCCTTCTTTTTCCAGTAGTCGAAGACCGGTTTTGAACTGTCTTGTATGTTCTCGCATATCCATAACCGCTGCCTCGTTCGAGTTATAGCAACATATAGAAGCTTCAGTTCAGAACACATAATATTATGCTTTGACAAATCAAACCTTGTGGAGGACTGAGGAAAACTTGGATCAAGTAAGCTTTGGGAGCTCATGTACTCATAGACCACTCGCCATTTATTGCCCAAAGGTGATGAGCCAAAAAAGTTGTACAACAGAACATCCTGCAACATATTGTTAAAGCAATTTAAGAGAGATAGAAGTAGTTGGCAGCCAGTAATTAATTAAGAGAGAAAAAACGACAACTAACCTGAAACTCTAATCCTTTGCACTCAACAATGGTTAGAACAAGAGCTTGTTTTCCCACATAACTGTAGACTTCTCTCTTTACATGGTCGTCTCTGACTAGTATAACCTGTTGTGCTCCAAAGCCAACAAAATGCCCGCCAGCCTTGTTCCCAAATATGGTCATGATGGCATTTTCATCACTTCCAGCTTCGAGCAAAACAGGTGCTTCGCCGAATATTCGGCTTGTCTCCTTGTTGAGTTTGTCAATAGATAAAGGGAAGAAATGGTAAAGAAGGTCAATGACACTCTGAGCCAACTTAAGAACACCAGCATGTGTTCTGAAGTTCCGGCTCAGCTGAAATATTTTAGATATTCTGTGACCTTTTTCCTTTCTTGCATCATCATCAAAGAACTCAGTATAGAAAAGGCATCTTATGTCTTCGAATCTGAAATCGATTCCCCGAGCAATAGTCTGTGCTGTGTCACCAGAAAACACAAATCCTTCATTCACATTCCTACAGACATGCTTGAATATTGCTATCTGCCTCATTGTGAGATCTTGGACCTCGTCGATGTACACATAATCCATAAGCTGGCCTTTGTATGCACATGTTTTAAGCCGGCGATGAATATCCATTACGAGATCAGCCACATCAAAATCACCCCTATCCATCTTCATTCTCTCATAATCTTCATAGATATCATATATCACTTCCCTTTGTTGAACATCCAAACTGGATGCTCGGCTTTCTGACAGAAGCACATAGTCTGATCGGCTAATAACAGCATCAGAAGACCACCGTTCTTCACATACTCCTCCTTTGATATGTGACATTATCTCTGTGAAGACTCTTGATGAGTCATACTTGCTTGTGGACTTGGCATGGAAATGAGGCCAATAGGTTGAAGAAAATCTTTCATAGTTGACCTCTCTTGTTTTGATGAACGTTTGTAGACCGACTGACAACATGTCCCCATGCAGAAACTGCCTTGCACCAGGAAACCTTTCGAAGTATGAACTTCCAACTGTCCCGTCAACCATCATCAGGAATTTGAAAAAGGTGATAACCAGAGGGTAAGAGCTTGGAAGGATTTCTGAAAAGGTGTCAGGGATGTCCTTGAACTGTACCATGTCATCGATATTTATCATATTCATTGAAAGACTACTTTGATCAGCAGAATAATTCCCACCACATGCAAAGCTGCACCAACATAATATAGTTCAAAATTTGTAGAAGCATAGAGTTTCATATGAAATAAAGAAATGTCAGTTAAAGAGAATTGGAATACATAACATACATCAATTCAATGGGAAAAAAAAAAGAATACATAACATACCTTTTTAGCTGGGAAACGTGATGTTTAACAGCATAGCATAGTTTACCACTAACGGTCACAAAGAGCTGCTTCAAAACAGTTTCGGCCTCTCCAGCAACATGACCATCATCATTGGAGCTGCTTTCAGTGTCATTGTTGTCTTCATGTAAACCTTGGACGGTCATGTGATACATTTGCTCCTTCTTGAACAGCTTCATGGTCAGAACAGTGGTCTTACCAGTACCTGACCGACCCAGTATGAACATGCTTCTTGGGAACATGATCACCTCCTCCTCTTCCTCAGTGACTTCAAAGGGAAGTTCCAATTCTCTGCCCTTGTTATCAGAAAGCAAGAACTTCACAACCCCGGAAGATAATGAGTAGAACTTCATCAGCAACAAGCTATCACTGACTCTTGAATTCTCTACATAACATTCATCCTCTGGTGCACCAGAATTGCTCTCCTTCTCCTCATTACCAATGAGAGTCTTATACCGCTTGATCTCAAATGCAGTTGACCAAGTTTTTGGAACTTCCAAGTCCCTAAACCCCAAGGAAAAAGAAAAACAAAAAGTATGAGCTTTAAAGTTCAGAACATACGGGGATGGATAAGGTTTAGGGAAAACATACCCCTCATAGCATTTTTCGTTGCAATTTCTGATGAACTCATCTGTATAAGTTGTGAAGATTCCTTCCAGACGGTTAACCAACTTTCGAACATCTTCCAATGGCAATATGTCCCAAACTTTAAGAACTTGAATGTACATTGCTTCTTTCGACATATCCACTGAACAGATTACGTACAATCCTTCAACTTTAAATTGCTTAACAATGTGAGAAGACCTTTCACATTTGATATCCACATTGGTCTTCTTAGGCCGCCATCCACCAGATATTTTCAGTAACAGGGATATCACAGCCATCTTTACTCTGGTAGTGGTCAGCCTTCCAAATGATGCTTTGAAGTAATCACTGAACAGAACCTGACAGAATATCAAAAGCCAGATTATTATTTGTTACATAGCTCATGACAACAGGCATGCCAAATAAACAATCACCTTCCATCTGGCATTTCTGAAAAGTTGACTGTCTCCAGAGAGCAAGTCTTCAAGTTGATCATACTCTTTCTTTACATCCAACACAACTTTTCCCAAGCTTCTATCTTCACCAACCTCGAAGAAACAATTGCGGGCTTTTGCATCATACACTAGACTTTGCCAAACCGATTCACTATTCATCAATGTTCTCCCACATCCCAAAATCCATAGGCAGTGTCTGGAAATGTGAATGAAAAGCCAAACGATTGGAAACTGGGAACAGAACTAAATGCTAGTGAATATTATTCATTGCCTTATCAAAGAAGTTAATTACCTTGCCCTTGTAAGAGCGACATTAGTCCTTTGAGCATTTGAGAGAAAACCAATCACTCCACTTTTATTAGATCTTACAGTTGATATGATAATGATATCTTCCTCTCCACCTTGGAAACCATCTACCGACTTAACTTCCACTGAAAAGCCTTCTATGCCTTCATAATTCTTACCGAGTCTCTTCTTAACTGCAATCACCTGAGCAGCGTATGGAGATATAACACCAATAGTTAGCTTCTGCTCTGACCCGTTCCAAGCTGCATAGAAAGAAACAGAATAAGATAATATTTCACATCACTGTAAAACTGTGAGATATCTTGAATAGAAGGGTATTGATGCTTAAAGATTCACCAGGAAGCCTTCAGGATATTGTAATACTTTGATCCCAGACAGTGAGAAGCATTGTGAAATAGCATACCTTTGTGCAGATTCTGCACCAATTTTAGTACAATGGCCACCTCAGCCATATTTTTCCGGCTACGACCAACATCGTCCATTTCTTCCCTTCCGGCATTTACATTTATAAATGAATAGGGACCAAACATGGGACCCGGCAAGTAGCGTCTATCATAACTTGTGCTCTCAACATTCTCTCCATCTTGTATTTTACCAGAGTAGAAGATAGAGTTGGGAAAGTAACTGATGGCTGGATGCATCCTGTATTGAATATTCAGGAGGTGCACGGGATGCTCTAAAGAAGTTAACCTCTCAAACAAGCTTCTGCCGAACCCAGCTTCACTGCAAGCCTGGAAAAAAACAGTAGGAAATTTGTTACTTGATGATAGACATCACTAGTAATAATCTCAACTCTCATTAAAGTATATTTCATGTGCACAGGATTCAGCATACCTTGCTTTGAACCATGGCTGGTAATTGGCACTCATCTCCTATCAGAATGGCATGTCTAATACTGGGCAGCTGGAGAGGTATTGTTGATTCGCATTCTTTCAACTGGGCAGCTTCATCAATCACCAACACTTCAAATGGATCCATATCCACTGAATAGAGCTTATATGAACTAGCTGCTGTGCAGAAGATGAGAGAAGCTGACTTTAAGCAGAACTCTCGGATTGCATACTTGTTTGTTGCTTTTGGAAACTTAACTGTCTCCAATGTTCTACGCAGACCTTTCAATTCAGATATGCATTGAGTTCTTCTATGGCATACCTCAATGGTTACAGCAGAGTAGCAATGGGACGAATCCTGGATTGAATCGGGAGAGGTAAACAGCTGCTCCATCTCATTGGAAATCAGACTATCACAGAATAACAAATTACTGAAGGATTCCAGCAACTCATTGACACATTGGATCTTTTCAATAATGTCTGTCCCCATATAGGTTTCAGGAATGTGGGTACACATAGTCATCATGCAATTCAGTAATGGCAAAACCTTTGAATGAACCCCATCTCTTGCAAAGTCGAGAAATGATTCGTACTTCTTTTTCTCTGAACCCATATCAGAGCTTCCTTCTGTCTCGATTTCTTCGCCAAGATCCTTTCTTTCTGCAAGCATACTTTCAATTTCGTGATGAACAAAGAACAGATTAACACAATGCTCTAGAAAGTGTGCCATATCATTGATGCAAGACTGCCATCCAGTGCGAGATCCGAAGCACTCTGTAAGTATTTGAACGCGATAGTCCAAGTATATTTCTTCGACTTCCAGATCCAGCTTCAGTCTATCTTTGTTCCCAAGTAAGAGAATGTCCCCTAAGGGGCATAATAAACTACCACCACCACTAGCATTCTCGGTTGATTCTGATTTAAGCAGCTTGACAACCCTGGAAGCTACTTCTTTTATAGCAACATTGGTTGGTGTACAAGTCAACGTCCTGCAATTCATTTTCAAAAGGCCGACTAGCAAAGTGCTGACAGTTTTCGTTTTCCCGGTCCCTGGAGGGCCCTTAATAAGTTCCAAACCAGACCTATGCCTGCACTGAATTCTTCTCAGACAAGCAAGCACAGCTTCCTTTTGAGACTCATTCAAGTCAGAATCCATTTTCAGATTTGTATCAATCTGCCTATAACAAAGGCTGCAAGCTTCCTTGTCCTGCAAGTCAAGAAGGAACTCAGATCAATTTCCCAAAACAAAAGAGACATTCCTTGTTATGCAAGTATAAGATATGAACACTTCAAATATTACCAGAATAGCAACGGTCTTACTTACCAAACTCTCGGCAGAGAGTACTTTATTAATGATATTAAGGTTTCGTGACATATGCAATGCATTCCAAATTCGGCGGTTTGTTGTAACATTTATCAAGAAGATCAGTGTCATTGATTTACGCATTTCTCTTCGAACTACTAAGTCCTCTGATGCTTGGATCTTAAACACAGTACAACTTTTCGACTCTTGAACGTCATCATCATCATCATCTGAAATGCTTGTGACCAATGCAAGAGACCAGGAGCGACCAACCCTTTGCAAATCCGAGACCGTCTCAGGTTTGGCATCAGCTAAAACAACTATGTCCCCAGGCATCGTCCTGTACGGCTCCCTGCCAGAATTACTACCTTTGCAGTTTCCCCAGTCACGAACTGCGACATCGTACAAGCAAGTTCCATACGGTTTGCACTCTTGTAAACCTTGCACCTCAGCAACGGGTGCATTCGAGATAACTTCCATGGCTGACTCAAGTTCAGCTCTTGTTTCTTCCAGTAATGGAACCACAAACTGTCTGAAATATTCTCCAGCTGAGCCAAACGACTCTGGAACCTCTAGTACCTGCAAAAAAGTTAGTAATTGTACTTAATACCTAATATTGCAATCATAACATACTTAACACGCCACCTTATTATGATTTCCTGATGAAATCATGGACTCAGAATATGGTTGCTTCTTCAACAAGTGAATCAGTATTGCTTTAAGTACACTAAACTAATTCTAACTCTAAAGCATAGCTTTGAATATCGGCCAATTAACTTTTACTGTCCAAATCATAGACACAAGTAGTAAATTGCAACATGATTATTCAGCTAATGAAAAATATGACAATATAGTTGGGACAAGAAAAGTAAATACTCCAAATAGACTATTCCAATTTCCAATCTAAACAGACAAAATGGAATGGAAATGGGAAGCGATTATGGAAGCTTGGCTGAATAAGGAAGCGACCTGGAACAGATTTTCATTGAGAATGTCCTCTAGTGACCATGAAAACAGAGTTGATATGAACATTCGTCCACTGATTGACAACGGATCATCTTCTCTGCGTCCCGACTGTGCCCTCGTCGTCATCTCCACCGTCTCTCCCACTTCCGTTCCAACTTTCCGTTACCCCCTGCAGTTTGAATCAAATCAGGCAACGACGGCGTACCCACCGCCGGACGGAAAAAGATGAACGGAACAAAAGAGAAACGAACTGCAATGTAAAAAGCTAGACTTGTACGGTACAATGAAGCAAAAAAAAAAGAACTTGCTTGCTTAGCTACAGAGCAAGCTAGGGCATGCATAGAAGCTTACAGTCGACTGCCGTACTTACGATTGTTGATGATATATCAACGTGAGAAAAGAGGAACTGCTTCAAAAAGGTGGGTACTTCGTGGAGAAGTAAGTAAGCAAAAACCCTTGGCAGACAGCTCGACAAAGATGGGATTTTTTTCTTCTTCGTCTTGTTTGCCTTTGGTGTTACTGTCACTATCTCTCAGTACCATTTTTAAAAAAAGGAGAAAATGGGAAGGGGAAACGTTCCGAAGTTCTGATGCAGGGGAATGTGGGGAGTCGAAGAGTCGGCACGGGGGAATTTGCCGGTTGATTGGCCACCTTCTGTACTCTGTTCCTTTCCCGACGCCAGTAGAGTAGATAACCCCCCCGCTTCTTTCCAATTTTGTCGGATGTCTAGAATAAGGTTGTCAAACCGAGTCAAGTCAATTAAGTGGTTTGAGATTCAAGAGTTTGATCAAGGTCCAACATATTTGAGTCGACCCTAGTAAGATAGTACGAAACTGAAGGCTGGATGGTCCTGGCCGGGTCGACTCCGGCGGTCTGATTGGTCTTTCAGCCCCGGAAACTGGCTTCCGGGACCGTCGCTGGCTCACTGACCGCCGAATCAGTTTACTATTTAATCGGAAAGCTGACTTTTTGCCGGAAAATGGAATTTTGTACGTTAAAGCACCAATGCTTTATAGCATAGTAGTAGACTAACTATATTCTATACAATGCATAAGCATGGGTAGCAGGTCAAATTGCTTTGTCTAAATTTTATGCTTTTAAATGAACTAGTATTAATGCCCGCGCTCCGCCGCGGGAAATGTATCTAATTGTGATTTTACTTGCACTAAAAATTTTGAAGACGTAAGTTTCACCTTAGAAGCACTATAAAATGTACGGCAACAATTGTCTTTACTAAATGCCCAATTAACTGATCATACTCGATGAAGTCAAGTCCACAGCTATATCTACTATTTGAACTACAACAAATACAGTAGATCTATACAATTTTATAATTGCATTAACGCATAAACAGGGCATGTAACATATTACAGCTTAATATTTGGATGGTACATAATGGAGAACATATTAATCGTTCAACACAAAGAAGCCATGTATATTTTATAAAGGAGTCACCACGTGGGACACAATCCGAAAGACTTAATACACATATAGAAAATTTGTACACCAATTTTATAGTTACAATCAGTTCACCCGAAGCGAACTTGTTGACAATGAAAAGCTATCCAACCTTGCTCAAGCAAATAGAAAGACCTGGAAAGTACTAATGGGCATTCAAACAATCACACACGTTAATCGTTATAGTAGAACATTCACTAAGAGCACAGCCCATCTTCTAACATCAGCTGCATATAAAAACAGAGTCAGAAAGATTATAAAAACTATCAAGATGGGCCTAAGCTAATAGTCATATCTCTTGTATCATGGAAGGATACCCAAAACTACTATAAATACCAGAGACTTGAAATCAACACCAATTTTATCTACAGTAACGAATTGATAGAAAACACATCCTATACATTGCAATTTGCAAATAACTATGCAATAAAGTCAATAGATGATATGCTGCAAGCTTGAGAGTTGAGATTTATCAATGGAAGGGAGGAAAGTTAAACAAATGAAAATTGGATAAAATCTCACCCATAACAAACGGGTTCCTTCCTAATGGTTGTCTGCACGCTCCAAGCAATTGATATGGACTCAATAACACATTTGAGAAAAAGTAAATATAATATTAGAATTGCATTAACCAAAGAGCGTGTCTTATCGAATGAACCTTGAACTTGTAAATATTTAAGGACCTTCAACTTTCAAACAACCAATTATCCATAAATTCTCGGTGAAATGCTAATAAATCCTCCATGTAAAAGGACAGCAAAATAGCCAGCAAAGCCCTGGATTTCCAACACCAATATATGAGAATCTTGATAGCAGTTCACCAAACATTAATACAGTACCTGTATTATAGCACGCCAACGCTATTTTGGAAAATCTGCATTCAGAATAAAAAAGTACAGACATAAGATTAGCACAATTTCAAAAGAAAACAGAGGAAGAATCTTGAAGCTGTGAAAGGCTCAAAAAGTTTCTATTCCATGGCATACATGGCACATTAGCAATTACTGGGTGATCAATTTATCAGGAATTTGATCAGTATATGAATTACCTGAGCACATGGGTCACTAAAAGACTTCATAGGCGAGAACAGGATGATAGGATATGAACTGTAGAACAGAACCCAGAGAAATTAGTTAAGAAAAGATGCAACATAACTCAACAGAAGAAAAAGATTAAGCAAAACCTTCAAATTTTCACCTCAAACTCCAGAGTCAACAAAACTGGTTTCCCTCTGTCGTGGATCTCATCCCACACTGCGGGTCCTATCCAACGTAGATCTATTACCTAGCCACATATCTTCGGATTGCTGCTTTTCATTGGAAATCAATGGCCAACTTCCTGATCAAACAACCCCACTAAGTTAAGAGAAAGAAAGGGAGAACAAACCCATCTAAGAGGGGGAGGGGAGGGAAATGCATCAAAGAGACACAGAAACAGACCTTGCAAAACAGAGTCTTTCCCAATCCATTTCTCGACCTCTTAATCTGCAAGCTGGTCCCTTCAAGCCCACCCCGATTCTGAAGAGGCAAAAAGGCTTCAAAGCTGAATCGAACGAAGAAAACATTTGTGGATCTGGCTCTTCTTAGAATCTAGGCTGCAAAACCTTATTGAAATACATAGAGGAATAAATCAGGATTCCTAACAATTACCAAGAGCTAAACAAAACTAAACGGCCAGAAACATAGTACAGCGAAAGAACCAAAAAAATTTTAAAACTCGGAGGTCCATTAAGGCGCTTTACTCACCAGTGAGATGGATGCGCAGGCAGATAGTGAGCCCCTCATCCTGTAAAACCCTTTTTCGTCTTCGAGGTGGCAAAACCACGTTTTGGATCTGTAAAACCCATCAAACAATCTCCAATTTCAAATCCTAGAACCCACCAAACAACCTGAACAAAACAACTCAATAGGGACAAATAGAAGAAATAATCACCTAAATCGATAGATAAGGACGATCAGGATCTTTCCCACATCCTATCTGGAGCACAGCCCCATACAACCTCTTCGTCGGAGATGGATTCTAGTATTCGGCGGATCCTCGGCGATCCCCTAGTCGCTTGCAACGACCACGGATCTGAGATGAAAGAGAGGAGGAGAGAAGAAGAGATACAAAATTGTTGTTGAGAGCCGACTGCAGAGAGAGGGAGACCAACAATTGAGAGAGAAATTGGAAAGCTTTAGTGAGTCTCGTTTCATCCAAAAAAGAGAAAGCATAGATGCACACAGGGACACACTGGGTAGGTTAAATGAATGGCCTAGAACAAAAGAACTACGTGGCTTCTAACCTACCAAGTAAATCACGTAAATATCTTTGCTTCCCCAGTTTTCTCACAGTCCACTATCACCTAGAAGGCTAGAACAACAGAAAAAATCTCGTCCCTTCAGCCTCTCTCATCGCTGTCTCACGATCAGCTCAAAAGAAGAAGAAATAAATGGGGGAAAAAAAGAAAATACCTGTCACTCTCACTGTCCTTTCAACGGTCTCTATGACCAATACAGAGTGATGATTACGACCAGTCACCTCTCCCGCCTTCTAAAAACAGCAGATGAAATCTCCATCACCCGCAGTGGATTTATTAACAGAACTCCGTCCTCTCACACAAATCATCCAAAAACCTTGAGCCCCACAAAAGCGTCCATGTGACCAACGCGGGATGCACCAAGCCTCCACCAAAATGAACGAAGAGATTTTCACCCAAAAAAAATATAAACTAAGAGAAACTCAAAGAGAGCGACCAGAAACATCCCATCAGTAGTCCGAAGTCGACCAGCCATCCAAACCCAACCAGATGGTACCCTGCACCCTCCCACACCCGATCCCACGCTAAGTTGCTACAGTAAAACTGAGTCTAAATGAGCAGTAAAAGCTCTCTACGTCCACAGTGAACGGGTCGTTTGTGGGTTTTATCTTTTTAATTAACCGGACATATTACTTCAAAACCAAACCATTTAATCAAAATTGAATTTCTCATCAAACCGACTTGTTATGTACACTTGTAAAGGGCCGGTATATTTCCCGGGAAAAAGAATTGAGGAGTTTGGGCTTTTAAGTGGACAGAAAGGGAACTAAATTGTGGGCCAAGTAATTCATTCCAAAGGCCCATAAACCCGCCCATTAAAATTCAAGCAACAGATAAAGCCTCAAGGCCCAGCCGCAAACTGATCATCATTTCCTTTTTCTTTCACCAATCGTTTCGTCTCCTGCCTCTCTTATCTTCTTCTTCTTCCTGGGTTAATTGCATGGTTGGTCACTGAGATTATAAAAAACGTTCATGTTTGGTCACTGAAAATATTTAAATCCAATCTTGGTCACTCAAATTAGTTAAATGGTTCAAGTTTGGTCACTCTCCGTCCAACTCCGTTAAATATGTCTGATGTGGCAGTCAACTCTCAAAGTTGACCGTTAACTCGGTGACGTGGCAATTAAAAAATAATAAATAAAATAAATTTTAATCTTCTATCATTTCCAACTCATTTTTACAATAAAGTAAAATAAAAAAAATAAAAAATTTATTATAAATGGCTTCTACCGTTTGGTCACACGCCCTCACCGCCTTCCTTCTCGCCTCCAATCCGGCTTCAGCCTCCTCCTCTGCCACTGACGACGACGAGGACCTCACCTTCCTCGAAGACGACTCCTCCTCCTCCTCATCCCCCGCCCAGCACTACCCCGATTCCGATCAAAATGAAAAACTGCAGGAAAAAAAAAAAACGCAACAAGCATGACGATTAGCCTTTTCGAATCTCGGCAAATCGGCGAACAGATTTTTCCCCCCCCCAGAAACAGACAAACAACCAGGTCGAACGAAGGCGAATCCCACGGGAGAGCAGAAGTGGACCTACGAAGGCTCCGTGACCGAATCGCTTCCAAACGGTATGTTCCGAGTCCGTCTGGATAATGAGGATTTGATAATCGGGTACATTTCGGGGAAAATTCGGAAGAATTTCGTGAGGATATTGCCTGGGGATCGGGTTAGGGTTGAGGTGAGCCGGTACGATGTTAGCAGAGGTCGAATCATTTACAGACTGAGGAACAGAGATCCCAGCTCCGACTGAAAAATGAAACAAACAAAACCAAAATCCGCCTTCGCTGTGCAGAGACTTGTAGTAAAAGTATAAAACTAGTCTTCTTTTTTTTTTTCCTTCTTCATTTTGGCTAGCTTTTCGCTTTCGCCATAAGCTTCAGTGACGATTGTTCTTGTAAAATTGCTTCTGGGTTTCATGGAGAGTGTATGAAAGAGGTGATCACCAACATAAAGTTCCAAGTTTTTTCTGAGTGTATTGTAAATTGAGTTTTTGTTTTGTGATGAAGTTTTGGTCTTTATCATGGCAATTCATAGCCTTAACTGATGCTGTTTCTGTCCAGCAATTTACTTTTAGTTGATAATCCAATCGGTTTTGTAGTCCTGTATTAGGCTTGCAGTTGCAGGCATGTGGAAAAGACTGGAAATGCAGCTCCTGTTCATCTGTTACTTCTCTCCACAAGCTTCAGTTGACTATGGTTTTTAAATAATGCTTCTGGGTTTCACGGTGAGTGTATGAAAGATGATAAATTGGTGACGTCAAAAGGGAATGAATTCAAGTTTTCTGGGATGCTATGTTGTGAATCGATTTTGTTTGGGATTGATGCGGTGTTGATCATTACACCATGAACATTGATAGCCTTAAACGATGCTGCTTTCTATCTAGTTGATGATCCCAGTCGATATGTAGTCCTGTTTTATGGTTGCAGTTGCAGGTATGGCGAAAGGACTTGAAATGCAGCTCGTGTTCATACGTAAGATATCATGCACATCACTCTCCCAAGTATACTAGGATACCAGAGAGCACGACATGAGTAAGCCTTTCATGTTAGATACAACAGTCTTGGATTAGTTTACTGATATACTCTCTGCATATAAGGTTTTGTCCATGTTGTTAATGATGTCGATCTTGTTCCGGTTGAGTGGGTGCAGTAGGATGTTGCATTGCATCGTATGCTCGCATCGTGCTTCTCATCTTTCTTGATGATCGCACGATATCACATCTCCTTCATATGGCTTTGAAAAACAATACCTCTCGTAACATAAGAAACTTGACAGAAATCTCGGGTATCAATCCGATGCACTAACAGTTATGCTTTGATCGTGTCCAGACTAGGACAGTGGTCAGGTACGCCACAAACCATTTTAAGGGATTCGATAACACGATTACATAACAGAGTCTAGCATGTCGTTAGGCCGAAATTCCCTTGACTATAAACCTTACCTAGCCCATTGTTAGAAAATGTTTGAGCGGATGCCTATTTTTGAAAGAACGGCAAGAATACAAAAATGTTTGACAGCATTTGAATTTTGAACGGCACCTCTATATGTGAAAGGCCGGCCAACCCCAACCATTTCTGTCTTGATGCTGTTGTCTCAAGTTTCTTCTCAGTTTGCTAAGCTAAGGTTGACATTAAAGAGAGAAGTGTGAAAGGAAAGCAGAATACTGAATACCCCATGCATATACTGATCCAAAGATCGGCCCTGTCCTTTTCAAACAACGGCAGAAAGTTCAAACCAGAATTAAATAGTGTGAAACGAGCTAATACGCCAAAAAATATAAGTAAAAAAGGTACAATAATGTTGAATTTGGATCCTCAATTGTTAATTACTTTCGATTATGTTCCTCAAAATAACAAATGTTTTCATGTAAATTGGTTGTTGGATCCTATGGTCTGCCAATAACAATTGTTAGTGTCGTCGAACAATTGATCATCATCTTTATCATATTACAATGTGCTTTCAATGTGCAACACTAGCCTGCGGATTTGACTTCGAATGAAATTGTATTCTATATGGAGAATTCCTTCCTCTCGAGTGTCGACATTGAATGTTGACGAGAACAATCGCATGGCATATGATAAGGGTGGTGAATTGGTGATTAATTGTTAAACGACACTAACTATTGCTATTGGCAGACCATATCGATGGTTTGCACCGCATGCTCGAAGTATGTAATGTTGGTTCTCTGCATAGAAAGAAATGCGAGGCATGATAACCCCCACCAGTTGAACAACTGGAAAGAAGCTCCGCTTCTTGACCGTGCAAGTATGTTTTGTTGAGCCGATGGCATCGTAAACAATGAAATAAATAGCAAACCACAAGTATGAATTTGAAAACCAATAACCTTGTAGATGATATTGAAGTAAAGTCATACACTCATACTAAATGTACTCAATTGAAAAATATGCCACAACAAAAGGGACTACAAACCTCCTTATGGTACAATATACCATTTGCGGTCTCATACATGCATATACCCCACACTACATCTAACCATCTCCCCCAACTACCCCAATGGACAATTCAAATGAAGTCCACAAAACCCATCTCTATATAGTCTAATATTTGATCTTATTATATCATTTCACCCCCTAAATCACATCAAATTTGACCCTCTTCTCCATTGCCCACTTCCACAAACTTACAAAAGTTCTATTCACTCACACTTTGCTGTATATATACACATAAACAATCACCTCCTACATCACTTCCCACCTCCACCAAAATACCTCTCTTCCCCAACAAAGCTTCCCTCTCTTAACACAAACCCCAAACAAAAAAGAGAAAACAAGACATCAAACAATCCCACACACAAGAAAGAAAACATCATGATGAGTGGATATTCCAAGATGAGCAAATCCATTGGAGACTCCAACCTCAAATCACCAGATTTCAATCCCAACAACTCCTCTCCACCATCCCCACAACAACACACCAAAAAGCCATTCATCATCCCCTGCTCCAACAAATCCCCATCATCAGAAGCAGGGGAGCTGAGACAGGAAACAGAGCAGATCCATCAGCAGCAGCCACAGCTGAGGAGGAACTCATCGGTCTCGGCCGCGGCGAGCCGGGTGAAGAAGAGAGCTCTGTCCTTCTCTGCCATGAGGAGATCCTCCTCTGTCTCCGAGAGGTATAGCAGGATCCACGACCAATCTGATTTCCTAGCAGATGACGATGATCATGTTCATGGATTTGGGAACATGGGTTCGCTGCCGGAAACTGCAGCAGCTGATTACAATCGTGGGTCTTCGAGATCTGATCAGAAGAAGAAGCTTATGAGCAGAAGCGGGATCATCAGAGCCTGTAAGAAGATTTTGGGACTCTAATCATTACAAAGTTCCTTTCTTTTTTTTTCAGTAATGGTGATTTTTGGAGTTCAATTTACAGAAAAAGGGTTCAGAAACTTGTTGTGATGATGTACTGTAGAGTATAATTTAAGGTGTTTTACCAGAGAAAGGAAAATTTTTGTGGATCTACCTGTTTCTTGTTCTTTATTTGGGTGGTGGAGGAAAGTACAGTGAGAACTGAAAAGCGGGAGGCGAGTTTGACTTGGTGGTTATTCAAATCAAAAGTTCTTCTTTCCCCCAGTTTGTTCAATGATATTCCCACGTGAAAGTCCATAGAAAAAATGATACCAGAAATCAAACTCATGATGTGATCTTTAATTCGGCTTAACAACGTGGAATTCTATCCGAATTCCGAAGTGATGTTCAAAAGTTGGATGATGGGCTAAAACTGTTTGGGGTCGTATTGGGCTGGTTGCGTTCGAGATTGGGTCTTGACGAGCTTGAAATTCTACCGACTACGGGCCGAGGAATACAAGTAAGCAGATGGGCTTGGGCTTGAATGTTAACCCACGGATCAGTGCACACAGTTTGGTTCAAGCGTATTGAGGCCTTTGGTTTGAATCAGGATTCATAAGGATTGGCGGGGAAAATGTCACAAACATGGGTAAATGCCCGCATTTGGTCATTTGGATTACTAAATCGTGTCATGTTTAGTCACTAGAAAAATATAATATTAATTTCGGTCACTCGAATTACTGAAACATGTCACATTCAGTCACTCCCCCATTAGCCTCCGTCCAACTCCGGTCACTCGAATTACTGAAACATGTCACATTTAGTCACTCGAATTACTGAAACAGGTCACATTTAGTCACAAGTAGACTGGGGTTTATGTGTTTGAACTGGCTTCTCTAGTTAGTTTCCGTCCAACTCCATTAATGAATTTGGACGGAAACTAACGAGAGAGTGACTAAATGTGGCTTGTTTCAGTAATTCGAGTGACCAAAAAATTATATTAAAAAAATTTCTACTGAATAAACATGACACGATCTAGTAATCTCAGTGACCAAATGTGGCATTTTACCAATTCCACTTGCATTTTTTTTTATCCAAATAAGTTACTTTATCATGTCATATCACCCAAATTTCGATGCAAATTATGTCACGTGATCTTTAACACGAATCGTAAATCAAAACCAACTTTCTTGAATGATGGGACCAGAAAATTGAACTCGATGGGTTCTAATTGTGGTAGTTGAAAAAGAAGCAAACGTCGATCGACGACTCCATTTCCCAAATTTGTTACAAATTTTACATGTATTTCAAACTACATTTTCAAAACTGTGATAGACAACATCGCACTTGGACATGGTGTCGTTGTGTGCACTATCTATCTTTTCATCATTCCATGAAGGAGACTGTGAATAGACTTCATATTTAGATACTTTTCTTTCTTCGAGTCACAAGCCTGAAAATCTAATGGTGTAGACTGTAGAACCATTTTTTTGCATTGGAACGTCGGTAGGGAAGACAACCTAAGACAGGCACACACAGGCAGCGACAAGGATCCAGATATTTTTTGTAGCAGATCTACTAAATATCTTGGGGAAAAAAGAAACCAGAGAGATTCCGGGAATATTATTTTCTGAGGGAAAATTGAGAGAAAATAAATAAGTGGCTGTGCGGTAATCAGGTAGTATTAATTAAATACTAATTTAGCCCCCGGAAATCTGTTCAATGTATAAGTAAATACTAATTTCTTAAAAGAGTAATATATATCATCATTTTAATTAATTATTAGCTAATTTCGCACTTTACCCGCTCCCGGAAAGCCCGGGATTTGTGAAAAAAGAGAAGGAAAAGGGGGAAAAATAATTCTTATAACAATAAGAAGAAAAACAATAATTAATCGAATTTGTTCTTCCCATTTTCAGTCTTGGGTGGTTTCTTTCTTTGATTCTTTCTTTCTTTCCCTGTTCTTCTTCTCTTTCTTTCTTTTTTCCTTCTCCTTTCTCAACATAAAATTATCTCTTGTTTAGGGAGGAAGGAGAGTTGAACAACCTTTTTGTTTGTGTTCACAAAAAGGTGGGTTGTATTTTTTAATATTTGCAGAAGCACTGTAGATTGATCATGGAAAACGGGCTTTGAAATGGGTTTTTGGCGGTTAACTATTGGGTGGTTTTTATATGGTTCAGATTGGCCACCGGAGGAGGAGAGGAGGCAGCGGCGTTCTGTTTGTTGATTCGCGTTGGAGGCCACTGAGTTGCGAGCGATGAGTCAGGAACTCAGTGGGCGGAGCAGTAGTACCACCGTTGATGATCATCAGAAAACGGTTTCTGTTTCCTCTTCCGCCGCTGCGGGCGATGACTCGGCGTCGGCTTCGGCGGCCTCGTCGCCGACGAGCAGGGTGAAGTTTCTTTGCAGCCATGGTGGGAAGATTCTGCTGAGGCCTCCTGATGGTCACCTGAAATACGTCGGAGGCGAGACTCGTGTCATCGCTGTACCGCGCGATATCCGCTTCTCAGGTTTGCGCTCTATCCCTGTTCGATGAAATGCCCCAAAGGGATATTTTCTTTCGGTTCATGGCTTGGATGCATAAACAAAGAATCAACTAAATTTTTTGGGTTTCTGTGAACGAGTGGTGGCCTCTTGTATGAATTTGCCAGTTTGTGGAACCTTTAATTTGATTTTCTGCAATTATTAAACCCTACTTCCTCTCCTGCAACATTGTCATTTGGGACATCAAATGCTTGGGTTTTTCCAGTGATTTGCATTAGCATACAAGTTTTAATGGACATGCAATGGAGAAATGGGCATTTCCTATGCTGCAGCATTATCATTTGAGTCTTCAATGGGTGCTAAAATTTCCTTGCTACATTTGATGAGGCAACCCTCTGGGATGAGAATATTGTTTATTGTATTAGGCTTGAAATGATCAAGCTAACCGCTGTCTCTTGTGGTTTCGCATGTGTAGACCTGATGAAGAAGCTCAAAGCAGAATTTGAGAGCGACGTGGTGCTCAAGTACCAGGTCGTGCCAGAAGATCTCGACATACTGGTCTCTGTACGAACAGACGAAGATCTAAAGCACATGCTAGAGGAATACTACCGCCATGAGAGCGAAGGAATAACAAAGTTCCGAGCTTTCTTGTTCCCATCCAACCCAAGCCTCCTCGAGTCGCCAACACCCATCTCTTCGGACCCACATGCAGCTGAGCAACGCTACATCGATGCAGTCAATGGCACCACATATCAACGATCAGGACTCCACAATTCACGACAGCCATCGACCCTTGGCCGGCCTACATTCAGCATATCCGCTTGCAACTCTCCCAATTGCGGGTCTCCAGAGAGTAACCGCAGCGATACAGTGTCTCCTGAACCTGGAAACTTCACGATGAACGGCAACAACCCACTCAGCAGCAGCAAACATTCAATGTCCAGAGTCCGCAGCTCTCCTAGTCTCTGCAGTTTGAACAACTACCAACAACAACAGCACAGCAACAGCAGCAGTAACCTGGGGAGCAATCATCACCAGATTCACTGGCCTCATCCACACTACTACCACCAGCAGCACCAACTCCACCATCCCCACAGTTATCAACAGCAGCACTCGAAGCCTCCGTCGCATGATCCTCACAGGCTATCCCCAGGGTTGACATTCAGTGGCCGGCACGAAATGGGGAGAGGCCCTTCTTCATCTTCTGCTATCAATGGTCATCATCAATACTATTCGAGCAGCAGGCATAACAACAACGTGGGAATGGGAGTTGCTGGTAACAAGTATGGGTACCAGGATGAGCATAATGGTTATTCGCCTGCGTATAATAGGAACTTTGATAGAATGGATAGTCTTCGTTCGAGTAGCAGAATGGGAGTCGACAGAGGTGATATGAGCTAGCTAATCAATGGCTTCTCTTGTTCTCCCAATTCGATTTTGACTCTCCATTTGTGGGGTTTGTCTCTACTTCATACCATTATACATATCTTGTTTCCCTGTACAGACATGTTTTTAAATGTTCACTATGTAATAGAACCATGATGCCTAGGGCCTATAATATTATACCTACTGGTTCGGTATTTGTATTTCCTCTGTGTTTTAGCTGTGCTTTCAAATTCAAGCTATGGCTTACCAAAAGGGCTACTGCAACAGGCGCCAACAGCAGCTCCATTATCAGTTCATGATTCCGTGTTTGTGAAGTAACCTTCCTTGAGTTAAACTCACCGACTTTGTTACTTGAAAGGCATGGAGGGCAGTACACAAAAATGTGATAGTCAGCGTTCGTACCCATCATATGCTATCACATGTGGCTCATCTGGACTGCAATTCAATGTAACCTTCCTGAACTGTTAATTTATCCCTATCTATCCAGCCATGGAACATACAAAAGAATCGACTAAAGAATATCTAGCTTTAGATGCACGCGACCACCATGAAATGAATGAGCGAGCAGCTCCCTAAGCTCACATGAACCAAGACGATAAGTTAGGCACCATCTCCATTCCAGACATTCAATTTCAGTTCACTAAATTACATTACACTGGTCAGTCACCAGACCTCTTCAGATTATACACAATAATAATAATATATCATACAGAGTCGTGAGATATTTCGGTACAGAAAACCCTAATACAGCTAATTTTCTCTGGGCACCCAAAACTTGGACAAACAACAAACATGGACGCACAACTGAAAGAAGGAATGGACGGCAAAAGAGAGCCTCATAATCATTTGACCAATGGACAATGACACAGGAAGGGGGCAGATAGATGATGGTGTGGTAGCATAGGATTAGGAGTGGAGAGCCATAAATAAGTTGTGCTTACGAGCATGCTCTGGTATAAGCTTGTTCACGATATCAGTAGGAATCCCCGACAGCTCTGCCAAAAACATCATCTGACAATGTTAAAAACAAGGACTACACTGGATATGCGGGAATCTATATAAACAACCTGCATTTGGTTTACATCATTATTACCTTGGGGTTTAAAGTTGAATAATGGTGGAAGAGGGCGGCCATTGGGAAGGCGCGTGCTTGGATCTCTTAGTTCATCAAAGAAAGGATGAATGCAGGCTTCCAGCTGTTAGTGGCCACATTTTACACAGCCCAAAAGTGAACGATTGCGTGATGACTTTGCCTCACAAGAGTCTCTCATCAAATACAATATCTGGTGTTGAATAAAACATTAGAACTTACAGCTGTGCAACGGAGATTGGGAGAATACTGAAAGAACCTGCACACGAGGTCGACTGCTTCTGGAGGTAACCGTTTTTGGAACACCTGTTAAATCAGGATGATGTCATGTCAGACTCTCATGAGAATCCATCAAGTACAGAATGTGGAACTAGTATTCAGTTTAATGAGCCGAGAATGCCATACCTTGTGCCATGGATGAGGTTTTATCTGTGGGAATTTGAATTCAGTGTAGTTTGGATTCATGCACTTTATCTCTTCCCTTGTTGGTGTTCCTAGAACCTAGAAGGAAATATTGCACTTTTAAGAGGACTCTTTTTCAGCAAAGATGAAGCTGATGCTACACTGGAAGCAAGTGGACAAATAATATCACCTTAATGATCTCAACTAGTTGATCTACTCCACTTTCACCAGGAAACAATGGCTGCATGAGAATAGTATCAGCATGTGGTTAATAACCTCAATCAGGATGCTAAGAAAAATAATGAGCAGATCTCAACTTTACCTGTCCAAGCAGCAATTCAGCCATCACACAGCCAGTGGACCATATATCGATTGCAGTTGTGTACTCAGTGGCACCAAAAATGAGTTCTGGGGCACGGTAGTACCGTGAGCAGATATAGGAGACATTGGCTTCTCCTTTCACCTGATGAAATGGTGAGAATGAAACACCATAACCAGAAAGAACCATCAAGTAGAATCATATATCTGATCAGTCAACTCACTAGCACTTTTGCGCTTCCGAAATCACATAGCTTCAATTGATGAGTGTGGGGATTCACCTGGAAAAAAGCAACCGGCTTTTAAGTACAATTGATATGAACCATGGATGAGCAATTCGATTCAAGTGCCTCCATCAAAGTTAATAGAAATCCTGATTACATCCCATATACACCCACTCACACAAGAATTATTCATAATATCAAGATGCAAACTAAATGGAAAGCTAGTCTTCACCATGAAATTCTGAAGAAGAGACTCTGGTCTCGAATCTGGAATTTCCTAGTTTGTGTTCAGTTGTGGGATCAGTGGCTATTATCAGAGTCTAGATATATATATTCTAAAGCTAACAACTTACTTCTGTACAAAGTGCTCTCTTCTTACAAATCACAGCACAATTATTTATTAAGGCACTCATGCAAAGGAGAATGTTTAACACAACAAAAGAGGTTATTTACCAATAGGTTTTGAGGCTTGATGTCACGATGACAGATACCAATGCAATTGTGCATAAAGGCAAGTGCCCTGCAGATCTGATCCAACAAAACATGGTTAAAGAAGTTCAAAGACAAAGGTATCAACCACCACCCTGTATAACTAGATAGTTGCACTCAAGTTCAAATTCCAGGTTTATGTAAACTGAAATCAGTCAATGCCAATATTGGAAACTCCATTAATTTCAGGCACTGAAGTTGGCAATGCATTATGAATTCTGAGCCACCACTAAAGAAAACTAATGGGTCCTGATCACTAGCAATATTTGTTGCCACAATGAACATCGCTATTATTTCTCTGCACCTGATATGTGTACAGCTTCACATAGATTAAGGGCATTCGCTGGTTGACCCTGTTGTAGTTTCTTGCTATACGATTCAGAGTTTCAGGAACATATTCCAGTACAAGATTTAGGTACAGCTCTTCCTTATCCGTAGTTGAAAAAAATGAGTGCTTGAGGCCAACAATATTTGGGTGATCCAGCATTTGCATTATCTGTAGCTCCCTGTTCTTGTAACGTTTGTCTTGGAGAACTTTCTTGATAGCAACAATCTCCCCGGTCTCCCTACATTTTGCCTGAAATTGAAATTTGTGGACTGCTATTAACTAATGCAACTTATCTAATTTGATGACTTGGATTCAAACTTAGAGGAGATATAAAGACATCTTTGAAGTGAAGACCATTAGGTCACTGGACGAGTGTATCTACTTACTTGAAAGACAGTACCAAAAGAACCAGTTCCAACCACATGCTCTGCTATATAATTTATCGCCTGTCAACCCAAACAGGCAGATGAGTTACCATTGTTAGTAGAATATGAATCGCCAATTATGTCCAAATCATTACTAATAAAAGATTCTCTGAATTACAAAATGAGCTACCAACCTGCCTAGATTGGCCATTTCGACCACCCACAGTGGTTCTTATGACATGTCCTGCTTCTGCACCCACACCATCAATTACGTCAGGTTCACTATCCTGCAAGAAGGAATCCAGTTACACCAAAGAACAAGAACTAGTCTTGCTTAGTCTCTACTAGTAGCAGTCAAGAAATCACTTCAGAAGTAAGTGTGCAGACGTCAGGATAAAAGATAAAGAGTCGCTTCAATCATTATTATGAATGAAGTAGTTAATGCAAAGAACCAACTCAAGAGAGATGCATCAACTAACCCTGTCATCGTCATGGTCCACCTTATCCCTCAATCTCATCTCATGCATCTCTCTGCCCAGCCAATCAACAGAACTCGATGAACTCTTGAAGCCATTGACAGACCTTGAGCTTCCAACTCCCCCGTTGCCAAGGCTAGCAGACGACATAATCTCACGGCAAGTATCAAACTTTTTGATCGCACTGATGCACCACTTTCATTCTAGCACATTGCTCTTTCTTCCATCCACATCCGGGCAGCTATTTTCCTAATTAGAACCCCAAGTTCGGAGCCTGGATATGGAAATCAAGCACATAGCAGAAATCAGACCCTCTTCTTCCTCTGAAAAGCAAAATCTAGAGAACACCCCCAATCATCCGCAGATCAAACCCAGAAACCAAAGATCAATTCCAGACAAAATGCTCAGCCAAGTGGAACAGAACTCTCCATTTCTACCCCAAAAAAAAAAAGGACTCTCCACCTGGAGATGGCCTACGAGGAGGCGGGGCGAATGGATCCGGACCCAGATGGAGCTTTGGGTTCGAGGCGGCAACGATGAAGTCGCCGGAGCTGGAGAGCGGAAAAGGGGACGGCGAAAGCAAGCAGCAAAGTGAACACTTTCGTCCCTTGGAACGAGTTGAGGGGGGAGCAAAGTGAACACTTTCGTGCCGGATTGGAGGATGGGACCGTCGGCGACGTGGCGAGGTCGGGGCGGGTGAGCTAAGGGTTTTTCCCCCTTGCGGCACCAAGTTGCAGCAGATGTGGATGGGGAAAATTTCTTCCGACGAGTCAGAGATTTTTCTCTTTCCTGATGTGGAGGTGGACGGAGCAGGCTTCTTTTTTGACACTTTGAGTTTCTTTCTCTGAAAAAGCTGAGCCACTGCTTCGTTGAGTGGCATAGTGGCGAGGACAGTTGCTTTGATAATGAATGAATGTTGGAGTGTTCGATCCACAAAGGTGCTATGTTTTGGGCTTTATTTTCTTACCTTAGTATTTTACGAGAAGTTAATCTCTTATCTTCGAAAATGGCGATTATATTACTGATTACTTTGCACATTTAGGAGATCTTTAAAACGTGTTTCGTTCATTTGGGTCAAGGATTTGAGAGTTGCGAAATTTGGATTGAGAGTTGAAGATAGATTTGATAGTTGCAAATAAATGGATTGTGAGGTAAATGACTACTATTTTTGGAATTTTGAAAATTATATTGGTGTGTATGTAAGTTTAGATGTGATCGTAGTTTTATACAATTGTATTTGTATGATACAAACCAATAATAATTGTGTTTCGTTAATCAAAACCCCCCACTCAAGGTGATGATCATCCCATAAAGATATTTTAGGATCAACTCGAAGTGAAGTAGACAAAATATACTCTTTAATAGATGATCTTGTTTGGTTGTTGACCTCAAGATTCGAATCCAAAGAGGTGTGGATGTTCTCATCTCCACATTACCACCAGGCCAACCTTTTAGGATTTAATAATAGATGAATTTCGTAAGTTCTAACAAAAAAAATTCCCCAAAAGTCCATCAACCACGAATTCAATTCACTCATAAAGTTTGGAACAGATAATGTGCTCATTTTTTGGTTCACCAAATAATGGTTGTTTTCCATTTAACTTCTGAACAAGAACTCTATGCTCAAATCATTGGAACCAAATACATGAACCACATACATATGGTCTTCATGCCAAAACACTTGCTATTATTTCTCATGTCCCTTACCTAATTAAGTAGAAGTACATTATGAGGTTGGTGTATTCATCCTGTTCAGGCAGAATATTATTTTGTAGCTCATTGCCAAATAATTGATCCTAATGTTTATCCCCTCTGAGGCACATAAACAACGTGTTCGAACTGTTAGGTTCTTATCGATTCGCTATCTATTAAATGCTCTTTAAATGGTTTTGACACCGTGCGTAGTGGATTGAGATGGAGGTATGAAATGAACCCTCAAATCAGGTTTCACGTAGTCTCGAGGAGTAGGCTCAATACTATGACATGTTAGGCAGTTATTTCGTTAGCTGAATTTCCTTTTGGAACAATTGGATCGAAATTTTCTTGATATCATTTATGTTTTCTTCTAATCTATGGGCTCTCGAGTGAATATTTTGGATATTTGCGTAACTGGGAGTGTTGAGCCACCGAGACGAGGGAGATGGCAACAATGGCACCGCTAGCAGCAACTGCAGTGACTCTAATCCCAGGAATCTCTTGCTGGTTAATGGACTTCCGACGAATCCAATGATCATTCTTTTACGAACGAAATGAAGATGCTCGTCTGTAATAAGAACGAAACCACAAGTACTTCTCTTCGTATGAGAAACGACCATAACGCGTATCAAATTTCCTCTTTGTTGCTCTACTCTTGAGGTGCACAGCACAAAAGAAAATCACAAATACAAACCACAGGCAGATGGCAAATGTAGTACTCTCTTCAAACAAGAACCTGAAGGGCTGTGTGTGTGTGTGTGTGAGGGAGAGGGAGAGGCAATTGCCCTACAAAATATCAAGGGCCCCGTCGCGCAAACTCGAGTCTGATCAATCAACCAACCAAACAAACAAATCCTGAATGCTAGGTGAAAAGACAAACCCTTTTCTCACTTCTCCAGAGATAACTGCTACTTATATATACAGTTTCCAACAAGGGAAGGGAAATCCACCTGTAAAACCCTAGACTTCTTTCCCAACTTCCTCTCAAGTCAGTAGGGAAGAATAGTGAGGATACTAGTCGTCGTCGTATAACAGCCTCCTCCGGTGAGTAGAACCCATTTTCGAAAAGGGAAACCCCATCTACAGGCCACCTCTAGCAGTAATCTTTATGTATACCATCTATGATGATGTCCGTGTTCATCCCTTGTGTCATTCTCGCCTTACTTTCTGTTGTTTAGTTCTCCTCTATTCACCCCGACTTTAAAGGATCGGGATGCAGACTTCTTCGAGCCCGCCAACCGATGTATGTAATTACATCAATATTTGCACGCACCATTGATGCCCATTTTTGTGAACTCTAGGTTTTCCGGTAAAAACAATCCTTCGTTGCTTAAACTTCCCTTCCGCACCTCATCATTCCATTCTCATTCAATATTGGCAAAAGAGACGGCCTTCCAAACCATGCATTCGATTTGCATGCTTCATTCAAAAAATTCACCAGATGGTACTTTCTGTTCCACTGCATAACAATGACATCAGCAACCTAGCAGAGCATATAGAGATGCACAAGTATGACAGCTAACACAAAATTCATCCACAGCAATTCCAGCATTAAGGAATAGGCTTACCATGTAGAAGGAGAACTAAGAACCAGTACTTGATTTCTGAACCCACACTTGCTTCTGGGAATTGAATGAAAACAAACAAAAAACTCGACAATGTTAAAAAGGTGAAAAAATAAAGGCATGATGGTACTGAGACTCTAAAACCCAAAAAATAGTGTAAGCACCTCATGAGAACCATGAATAGAAGCACCACCACCTCTCTTGGAAGAGGGCTTCACTTCAGCAGATGATCCATCCAAATCCCTCGGGATATGAGAGGGAGCACGGCGACCAAATTGTTTATGCGATCCTGAAACAAATTCAAGGAGGGAGAACTAATGACGTGTGGATACAGTTTATGATACATACAAGTGAAATCTTAGAGCTGAGAGGCCAAACCATTGTCCAATGATGAATGACTGTTACGAGCACTTCCAAGTCCTTTTACTTCACTCCTAGAACTCATCATGTCAATTTTCACATCTCCAGCACTTCCTGCAGACGCCATAGCACCAATCAGTATGAGAAAAAGAATTGAAAATATAGCCTACACAGACAGAATCCATCCCGATGAGCTTTCGCCAAGAGTCTAATTTAGTGCTTCTCCAAAACTGTGTATAACATGGGCATAGATAGCAAGACAAGGATTACATGCATAACTCCAATACTCTCCCAAGAGTGACAATTTAATATCTTGGGCTTATCAATCAATAGAGCTTAAAACAAATAGAACTGACTCAAAATATGTACGTTGAGACATCAAATACTCACTACCTTGAGAAAAATCCATGCCTGAAACAGTAGATTGAGAATCTAACGACTCATCACTCGCATATGATCCATCGGACCTGCGAAGTGGAGTCCAAACAACACGGTCAGGCCTATCCTTATTTCTTGTGCGCTTCTCATGCTGTTTTTCACTAGGAAAAGAGGGTGAGTCGTTCCTAGAAGCCCTGGCATCTGGGGTCCCATTAGCATCCTTCAAAACCAACTGCCCTTGAGGAGGACGAGGAGGACGCTTGTCTCTTTCTACATGTGAATTGATTTGCTGCTCAGAGTATGCACCAGAAGATTGACGAGGTTCTTTTAACAGTATAGTCCTAATGATTCTTCCACTGGGTTCACGGCGGTGATTCTGTTTGCCTGAAGATGAACCAATAGCATGTTTTTCAAATGATATTGCATTTGGCTGTGATACTGCACCACCTGATACCTGCAAATTAATCAACATAATCTATTTATCAGGAAGAGGTAAACTGCCGATTGAGAAACCGCAGTAGTGCCAACAAAAAAGTTAGCTTGCTTCTAAAAGTCTTAAGTTCCCATGAATATCCATCAATACTTATTTGATTGACACAAAGGTTACAGTTTCCTGCACATGGTACAGAAGCAAAGATGCAACTGACAAAGGTGAAGATGAGAGCATATGGGCTTTGTATATTGCAAAAGTTGTAATACGCAAACTTTTCAGCATTGGCGTTTTGACAGGCCAATCAGTCATGTGGCAGATTACACATGACAAAGGAATATAGAGGGAAGATTATCAACTGGGTATGCAATCCTAACAAACAAGTAACTATGTCCTAACCCCATCTGAAAGAGCCCAAAAGATAAATAATGGCACAACATACAATTTGGACATCAAGATTTTCCAGCTAAGATGGCCCAGATTCACCCTTGATTTGTGCAGGCAAGAACAAGTTAACTGATCTATCTGATGGATCAGGAACAAGAACACTAAAAAAACATAATGCAAACTAACCTTAACACATGAACCATAAACAGGGGTCTACAAGTGTTTCCACTGGGATCCATTATCATACCCCAAAGGAAAATGCCTCGTCTAATCATATCATGACGACTTTCCTAAGACTGCAACTGCAGAGTAAAGGCGATAAAGAATCCAACACTTACAGACGAAATTTCCTTCTCTTTCCCTTTCACAAGCAGGATTTTCTTTTTCCCTCCATCAGTCAATCCAGCAATCGCTGTCAACAAAGCATCATTAGACAATATTCTTGAAAAGGTGGTCTACAGTAAAATGCATACCGACAAACAAGAAACCATATAGTGAGATGGGGGGCATAAAATCTACGTAACCGAAACATATGAGTTCTATTAATTTAATCGTACCACTTCCATCTTCCAAGCCATCAGGTCGAGAAGCAGATGTTACAGCTTTGCCCGATAATTGACGATCATCTCGCTTAGCAACCAGTGTGTAGGTAGATTTATCTTTTCCACTTGCACCCTCCTTTGAATCCCTTAAAACATACTGTTCATTCAATGTCACAATGAGTTATCTCATACAGAGTCCATATATGGTAAATTGGTACCTAAAGACATACAGGTTCTCCAGTATTAAGAGAAGTGAAGCAAACCTCAGTACAAGATTATTGATTACAAGCAGAAAAAAGATGGACTAAATAGTTACCGAAACAGGAATAACACACTAAACCAAGATAACAACAAATTTTTTTAGAGTCACAAAGTTGTTAAGGCTGGCTGCAAAGCAAGCAATAGATTGCACCTCAGGAACAGGTGAGCCACTAGCAAGGATAGTCGCAGCAAGGGCAGAAAGGCGCATCTAAATTTTCTGCCTTCTTTGCTCAATTTCCTTCTAGATCATAACTACACTTATCGCTTTACTTTTAATGGTAGATGCACAAGGAAAATTTTCAAAATCAATAACTAGGAAAGCAAATAACTACAAAGCTTATCCATCGAATCGCGATTTCGATCGCAATAACTACAAAGCTTATCCTCTATCACCTTGTATAAGGTGATAACAAGTAAAAACTAACAAACAGAACAGCCTGCCCGAATAGCACCAATGTAGAAGATATATAAGCTTGTAGACCAAAAAGAGAGAAAAAACTGCCATTACAATAACTACTTTCCTAAAGTTATTTAATATCCGTTATAATATACATCATCAAGCGCAATCCGGTAACATGGATTATACACTCAATCACTGGATTTGCATGGAGTACACCTCCAAAGTCTATCGTTTCAACTTATATTATTTCCTTCGGGTGTCTGAAGCTTGTGAAATGGTTATGGCATATGAAGAGGGTTTTCGCAAACAAAATTTAAATGAGTTTTCAGGCTTGGAAAATGAATAGGAAAGAACAACCGACTTAGAATAAAGAGAACTTGGGCAGCAAACCCCATGGATCCATGTCATGGGCCTCGGGGATCATTTTAGCCCGAGTTGGAGAGCCACCCACTCTTTTTGTAAGAAGAGCCACAACAAGTGCAAGAATCAACGGTAAACAAGCAATATAAAGGGCACAAAGACATACATTAAACACAATGACGTCCAACTCACAGACGGTTGCAGAAGGAACAAAACAATAAATGATAAGTGGCAGCCAATAACCACTTCTCAAAACCTAAATTACTTGATTACTTATCAGAATAGTAACAGTGTTTAATTTAACGTCGGTTTGTAGAGACTACAATTGATTGATCAGAAACAGGAACGGACAGCAGGCTAAAGAGAAATTTGGCCAAACTGGGAGAGTTGCCTACGTCCCGAGTGGCTTGGACACAGGGGCATCCATTTTTTGTTGGTGGCTGACCTCATCATGGCAAAAGGCATGAAGGCTAGTGCCTAGTGAAACTACCGCCACAAGAGCACATTTAACAATTATCAGCAGAGACATCCATAAACTTATATGTTTTAGCCATTATTACCATTGTTGAAGTCCTTTTCTTGTCAGAACCTCGTTTGGATGATGATGAGCTAGGACTTCCACTTGCAAGAGCCCTTCTGCCAAGTTTCCCATTGGCCAATATTCTCTGTTCCCAAAACCAGAATCAGATTCTCACCAAACGTATTGCATATATTAAAACGAACTGCATATAATTGCATCACACAAACTACAGAAAAGTACTATGCATTAATTCCTCCTTGTTTGTCCAACAGTGTACCAAATAAAATTTCAGTGTGAATCGCATTTAGAACACCACAGAATACAGTTAACTCTATATACTGATGTTTCTCACTTTGACAGTCTCTTAAATAGGAATTACCCGTGAACCATTCTTAGCAGCTCGTTTTTGCCTGACAAAGTCCATCAGTGGTGTAACAATAACAGCATCTTTTGAAGCACCTATATTTCAAATCAATGAAATTTTAGTGCCATTATTTTACTAGAACTAGAGGGCATCTAGTAGATGTGCTGCACTAAAATCTAGTAAACTAACCAGCTCGTTCAGCTTCTCTTCTTTCCAGTTGAATTTCAGCACTAGGAAGGTTCTCAACAGGCTTTGAAATAGCTTCAAGGAATTCTAGGTACTCAGGATCTGGATGGCCAACAATCATAAAGTTCCATTTATGTACAAGACTAAAGTCAGGCGACATGGAACAGAGAATGAAGTCTGTGCCTAGATATACCCTTTGATATTGTGCCTTCACGACCATCCTTTTTAGATAAATGCTTTGGAACACGCTGGGAGGGAGCGTACTCAACGACAGCTTTAAACTGGGTTCCTGAAAAGGAATTGTATAGTACAGTCATTATATACCGTGTAAAAGTCCTGCCAATTCTATCCATCAAAATGTAAAGAAGAGAAGCACGAATCTCACTTCGGTTTTCCACAATGTTCCACATATCCAGAGATTTTCCACATATACTAATCAATTAAGAGATTTGGAACACACACATATTCTACTCTTATCACCGGCTAAGAGTCTCCCTGCTAATCATTGCATTAAAGTAAAATGCTCCAGATTTACCCTTTTCATTAACAAACATATGGCCATTAAAGAACTCAGCAAACTCAATCACATCTTCTGGTGTTTTGAAGTCAATGTAGGCTCTTGAATAGGATTGATGCTTCTGACTGCAAAATCATTTTCGGAATAATTCATCAGGAGACATTCTTAATCAGATCTCAAGCTTATGTAAAAAAAAAAAAAAATCCAACTCTAGCATTGAAGTACGTAAAATCAACCAAATAGAAGCACATCAAACATGCCACAACTAAGAGTACAATACACAATAGTGAACTGTATAATGGCACCCAGAATGCAGCAAAGTTATGCCAACCCTGAATGGAGAACAAAAGATTTGGTCAAGCTGGACTTTAGGGTGCATAAACAATAGTTTAGATCATCATGTCTACTAATCTCGTTAACAATATAAAGGCTACACTGGGGGAGTGGTACTGATTACTCACAAAACCAACTTCCGCATTAACTTCCGATTCAATTATCTGATTTCAACCCTATGTAACCTTTATTCAAGCCTTTCTTGGTCACAACCATCAAATCAGACAAATGAATATGAAGGCCCATAGAAAAACATATATCCCCTTGCAAATGGTATTTCGAGATCCTAATAAGCAAAACTTTCACTGATACGAAATATCCAGATATCCCATTAGTTCGTGCCAACTACAGTATGGATCTAGAGCCCTCAAATTTGCTCCGAATCAAAAGGAAATAAGATAGAAGGTCCACGCCCGGTTTGTCCAACTCAATATCCTTTCCACAAATTCCAGAAAACAAACATCATTTGCAACAAGGGCAACAACAAACATTGTACTACCGGAACAAAAGCAGGCAATAGAAAGATACTAGAAGACGAATGGGGCCAGTAAAATTATCGAAGCACATCAGAGTGTACATAACTGCGGCTTGAACACCGAACCACCAGAGCAAAATAAAAGAAATCGCTAAGATAAGTTCCGAAATAGGGCAAATAACGGCCATCATTCACCTAAAATTCTACGGGAAGGAAACCCCCTGACCTGCTCTTGCCGGTGCGGAACGCGAACCAACTGTAGCGACCAGCAAATGCGGAATCGATTTGCTCCTTCAGCGCTGCTTGAGAAATCGTCGGCGGCAAGCGCCGCACGACCACCTTCGTCTTATCAGACTGACCTTTCATGGCCTCAATATTACTACCCCAGACCGAGAAATAGAAAATTTCGCAAACGTCCTAGAAATGGTAACCGAACGAATAAGAACAAACCCTAGAAATCCCAAAACCTCCGCGAACAGAAGATACAGTAAAGAGTCTCCTCCTTCTCCAACGAAATCAGAGCTTCAAATTCCGATGGAAATTACATCTTCTCTGCTCCAGCTGGGGAGTGTCTCCGATCGAGAGTGAATTGGTGCCCTAATCTCGGGAGGAAGAAACCCGAATCGCCATGCAATTACAAGAAGCTTTTTAGGGAGAGAGCATGTAACGAAAGAAGAAAAGCGCGTGAATTCGCATATTTATACCATTCCTTGATGGCTCCACTTTACAATTTGTCAAGTGATTTAGGGAAACGGTCGCGTTTCATCCACAACTACTTTTTTTTCTTTTTGGCGTTGTGTATAAAATCATAGGAAATATATAGAATAATAATTAAGGGTGTAAATTGGAGTTCGTCTGTCTTATTCACCTTCGCTTCATGGTCAGTTTATAGTATTAACGTGTTGATACAATTGTAGATTATCAGTGTTGATTGTGTTACGAATGTTAAGATTGAATGTGTTACGGATGTTGATGTTGGGACTCATTTTTCGTTTGAATGTCAATATTCGCAGTAGATTATTAGTGTTGTCTTTTGATTGTTTAGTCATTATTGGACTCGCAACAATGAGGAGCTCGTGCTTACTGTGTTCATAGTCCTCACAAAGTGTTCAACTATTGTGTTGGGGCGTGTTGGTCGCTTGGGTTGGTTGATGCGGCAGTTTTCAAGAAGAAGAAAGGATGCGGTCGGGTCTTTGGGTTGGTTAAGAAAAGTGAAGATGGGTTGTTAGCCATGGCCTGTGCAGTTTTGAGAGTTATGATGATCGACAAACTGTAAGCTAAGGTGTATCGTGAACTTTGTCAATATAGTATGTAGTTGTGATTTGCTTTGTTTTGTCTCAGTATTATGTTCCATCCACGTCACACAAGTTTTTCCATTGAGCTTAATGATATTCAGTAAAGATTCATTAAAAGATCACTCACTTCATACTTACTGAGGGTTAAAATTGAACAAAATGTGAGTAAACAAATCCACTTACTTTTTATCATTAATATTTTAGGTTTGAGACTCGTAAGCACAAATTTTCAGTTTTTTTCTACTGCATTACTAAGATACACGAGGGTTGGAGATATACAACTTCCATTGTCGAGGGAGCTTGAGTGGATTGAATAAGTTAGTCTCAATAATCTCAATCTAACCCGAACCCAAAACCATTGAGTTCATTAGGCTCACTCCCTCACCCCTTAAAGTTAGATACCTCGCTTTAATTTCTGAATGATTCATTCTCTTACCTATTGTATTAACACGCCCATCACCTTATTCTCTCTATAAGACTAATACACCCACGTCGAGCTGTGTGAGATAATGCAAGGGAATCAAATACCCTATACTTGTATGATTCACTTCAAGATTTATTGTCAGACAATTGATTCTAAATAGTCTCCCAAACACATTCATTTCAGATTCAGGATCCAATCTTGTTCTGCCAACTAGTGTATAGATTTTTCAAGCAATGTCATGTTTATACAAGTCCAAAGGTAGCTTATAAAATCATAACACATGATCCAACGGCTAAAAGTCTAACAATCACTTTTCTCGTACTTCCTTTAGCCCCTCCCGATGACATTGATTAAACCTAAGCCCAGTCCATAGGGCCAAAATAAGCTCGACACTTTCATGCACTAAATATTTTGTAGATTTGAGCATCTTACGAGGTCTCAATCGACCAATCACCAACAAAGTCCTTATTGAAAGTTTTCATTGCTCGAAAGAAGTAAATACAAATGCATCATTAGAGCTTATCAAAGTCATCATCGCAAAGTTGAATTATAATATCAACAATACCAACGCCCAACAAGCAAAGCAACCATATTATCCTACATCGATATTGCGATTATCCGGTAAAACATTCTATTTACCACCAAACTAAGGAGTAACTTTTATACATGGTAAATTCATACTAAGTTGTAAATTATATATATATATATATATATATATATATATATATATATATATCCCCCAATTCTATTTATGCCTCAACAGAATCACCCAAAACTAAAACTACCATAACAACATATGCCAATCAACAGACTGAATCATTCTAGTAGTTGTGTAAATAACAAAAAAAAAGAGGGGGGAAATGGTATCAAATATCAATGGGGGTACCGGTTGTTGTTGGCTGGTTGAAGCCATTCAACATTTTTGTATGATTTTAAAGAAATTGACAGCTTGAATCTGACATAGACCAGCCAAAGATCCCCACTAAAAAAAACCCAATTTATTTTCACCTTTTTTTTGACACATTTTCCCCCCCTCTCCCACCTAATTATTTCCTATTTTATTTTCCAAATAAATGGGTTAGTAATGGTAGCGGTACTAGTACTACTTGGTCTCTCATGTGTAAACGTAAACACTAAAAATAAATTAGTACAAACAAAATAAAAAACAAAACAGGAAGGATCCAAATATGGGCATATATACAGCAAGGCGAAAAAAGGATCCAAGGAGGAAAATAAGCAAAGGGAAAATGGAATATATGGTAAAAAAAAAAGAGAAAAAGAGAGAGTCCTGAATGAGTAGGGTTTTGCTTTTGTGTGGTGTTTTGGTGTCAAATTGACACTCTCTCGCCATACTCTTGCTTTCCACCACTACTACTGCTACCCACCAAAATCACCAATAAAGGGGCAGAGTGGCTTGTGAGAAGCAGTCCTCTTGGGCTATTGAATCCCTGCCCTCAGCTCAAAATCTCTCCGACATCTTTCTTTCTTCTTCTTTTTCCCCCTTTTAATTGTTCTTCTTCCTCTTCCTCCTCCTCCTCCTCCTCCTCCTATCTATCTTTCTGCCTCTACCGCACATACCCAGTAAGTATTTCCGTCCTCTCTCGTCGTATTTCGGTTGTTATTTTGTTGGGTTTTGGATGTATGGATGAAAGGTGTAATCTTTTGCTTGGTGTGTTTTCTGGGTTTGACTTTGTTTTTGTTCTGATTAATTCTGTTTTTATTCCCCTCTTCCGGTTATCCTATTTCCTGCAGAAAGGAAAACACTATCTTCCTGTGTGTGCGGCTGTCTGCGATGGGTGAGAGAATACAACCGGGTAGTTTCTTCCAGTACCCACCTTCTGGGATTCATCATGCTTCCCCTCATAGAGCCACTTCGTTTCCTTCAGATCGTGAGAGGTAAGTTTTTCTTCTTCTTTTCTGGATCCCTCATCCACCCTTTTGAGTTTCTTTGTCTTATGGTAAATTATGATTGTTTGTTGCTTCTGTGATTGCGTATTGTTGTCATAGTTTTGATGGGTTCTTGATTTGGTTGGTGGTGTTGGATTTCTGGTTTTGATTGCTTGACTTATTGCTACGACCACCACCATGATAAGGTCCGTGAGTTGTGTCGGTGGAGTTGTTGTAATAGTTATATGGTGGCAACATGTCACTGTTCATGTGAATTAACTTGGGATTCATCATGTGTAGTAGGTTATTCTAGTCTACTTGGATGTTGTGGTGAAAACAGAGGCAGATATGCTGTTCATTGTCTGGAAGAGCTGAATTAGCAAGAGGAGTAGTAGCTGTGGGAAATTGATGGACTGGAAATTGATGGTTGTTTCTTGTTAATAGCAGATGCTTTCCCTTCTGGGAAATGTTTAGTATGTTAATATGTTGCTAGGTTCACTCGCTTGTTTTTGCATCCTGCCCCTTACCTCTTTTTGTCTCTCACAATTGATACTTGTTCAGCTGTTTGTCATCCTCTTAATCAATAGAATTACTCTCCTGATTTTTGAGATTCAATCTGAGTTCTTAGTGGAGTTTTCAATGCACTTGTCTGAAATGGCATTGAGATCGGTGTTTTGTTTGTTCTTTTGAATGGCTCCTGGCCATCATGACTTGAATTGGGTCTTCAATTGTCTTAAAATTTGAATTTTTTACTTGTAACTCTGTTCAATAAATGTTCTACTGGTTTGGAATGCGTCAATTTCATGAGCACTTCTCTTGCAGGTACTTGGCTGAACTACTAGCGGAGAGGGAAAAATTGGTGCCATTTATACAAGTACTTCCACATTGCAGCCGGCTGCTTCATCAAGGTTACTGAATCATATGATCAATCTCTTACTTCAAATAGGCAGTTGATCACAGACATGTCAGTGCATGATGAATTGCACTTGAGTAAATGACTCGTATGTAAACTAGTGGTTGTTGATTGATTATCTCATGGTATCCTGTCCATATATCTAATTTTCTGTTTCAATTTCGAGGAAACACATGCTCTGCAGCGAGAAAATCGGCATATTGATGTACTCTTTCCTTTTTAGTGGAAGTGAGAAATCTGTCAAATAAATCTTAGGATGGTTACTAAGATATACACAACTTCTTGCATCCAAACCCGCTGGATGTTCTTGTCTAACCCCTAATTAACTAATAGATGTGTGATTGTATTGGTTTGACTCTTTAACTATTGCTGACTACTGCTAATGTACTAGATTAACATAACAAAGCTACTGTTAACCGCTTACAAGGGTTCTTGTTGAATGCTTATATGCTTCTCTTGTACACTAACATAACTGCAGAGATCAGGCGAGTATCAAGTTTCAATCAGGGTTTTGGAGAGCATGAAAGATATGAGCACGATAGTCCATTTAGGTCATTAGGTCAACATCCTAATGGAAGGACAATGGATTTGGAAGCATGGTCTGCTATGCAAACAGAGGTAGTGAAATCCTACAGTTTCGTATGTGCAGTGTATGGTCCTGGTCGTCTACTTACCTAACAGTTTTTCAAATTTCACCATTTGCTATCGGAGTCTGTTTTGTTGTCCTGTCATGGTCTCTCAAGTAAGTCACTTGATTGATGACCTTTTCTCTATGGGGAGAAGTGGATGCTGAGATTGGTATTCTATCGAGGGGTTAGTTACTGGATGCTGTCAGGCAATGGTTGTGGATTGTCAATTGTGATCTAGCATAGGGAGACTAAATGCCCGCTGCAAGGTAAATTTTGGGGTGTTGCTTGCTTGATGTAGGAACTCATCATCGATCGAGATTTTATTTGATCTGTTCTTGTGTTTAATAACTGTTGAAGTCAAATCTAAGAAGATGATTCAGAAATGAAGACAATCTAAGAAGCGGGTGAAGTTTATTAAAATTTCAAGCTAGTTATAGCTTGTTAGAAGTCGCAATATGATGGTAGTAGTGACTAATGTCTGCCAACATTGAAATCTTCTAGATAGTCCCACCAAAAAGAGAAAAAAAAACCCCTACCTTGAGCCATGCACCAGGAAGCTCTTTTTCCTGTTCATGTCTTATTGTCACAACACTTTAATGTGATCTCTGACTAATGTCTGATTAACTTCAAATCTGACTTGAACGGTGAGAAGCTCTAATCTTACAGCTTGAAAAAAGGGAGGAAACGAGTGAATTGGAGTTCAATCTTGTTGGTAATTTTTTGTCCTCAAATTTATTTTCTGCATGCATACATTCAATAAGAATCGACTATCATGTAAAAACAAACATTCTCGTCTGCCTCTTTAAGATCATTGAGGAGGCAGAAGCTACTATCTAGCTTGACCTCATGTTTAGTGGTATAGTTTGTTTCAACTCTCAAGTTACTTAATTAATGGAAATTCACAGGATTTTTAATACATATATTTCCTGCAGGAAAGTGGGCATCTCCAGAAAATGGCTTCTTTACAAGCTGCTTCAATTGGTTGGCCTGCAGTTCCTGGAATTCCCACAACACCTGTTGTAAAGAGAGTAATTAGACTTGATGTTCCAGTTGACAAATATCCCAATGTAAGTGAGATTTCTTATTTAAAAATGATGCTGAATTGGATATGCTATTTATAATTTTCTAATTCAAAGCTTTTTTTCCAGTATAATTTTGTTGGTCGAATATTGGGACCTCGTGGGAACTCATTGAAAAGAGTTGAAGCCATGACAGAGTGCAGGGTCTACATAAGAGGCAAGGGGTCAGTTAAGGACTCCCTCAAGGTATCATTGACCACCATCTTCAGTTAATTTCCTTTTTTGGTTGGTTTCCGTGGTGCTGAGCACAAATTTGACTGTTTCATTCCTTGAAGCCATATGGCAATTCCAACTTCATGCTCTCCAATTAAGCTTGTCTATTTCCATTTGTTTGAAACCTAGATTCTAATTTGCCTACAATTTCATGCCTTCATAAACTTTGACCATATATGCCTTATTTGCAAGATGAAAGGCCAGTAAATATGGTCTTCAAAATCTACTAGGGTGATACACCTGCTAAGCAAAAAGATATATTCTAGCTTTGAAAATAGGATAATTAACTCTGATTGGGCTGCGTGGAACTCAAACCATTGCTAGTCGGATGGAGTTAGAATTACCTACTTGAAGTAAGAAAACCCTCCATAAGCTGTGAATTATTGTGAAGCAGTAGCAGTACTGTGCTTAATATGACACTCGAAACAAAGCTTTTGGCTCCCTCCAATTCTGAAGGTTAAATATAACGTTTCCCTATTCATACATCTTTGGTGGAAGAGGAAGACTGACTCCTTAGAACTGCTTCTAGCCATTATGTGTTAATATTGTTATGTTCTATATTTTTCGCTCCACTTTGATCCCATTTGCTGAAGGAAGTACATGTCAAATTGTAGGTGATGCCAAACATAGCTCTCCCCGAAGTTAATTTAATGGTGATGTGTGCCTCCCTTTGCGGTCATCTTTCAGACTTTTGGTGTTACATTTCCTTGGTTGTGGAGGCTGTTTCGATTTGTAAACTTGATGATGTTTATGTCATTATGACCTAGACTCTACCAATGGTTGAGTTTATCATATGACATTTTACAAGTGAATGAATATTAGAGATCTATGATATAAATCAATGCGCCCTGGAAGCTTTAGCTTGTTCGCTACAATTGGGACCTTTCGCTGGCTACTTTTATGATGGTCATTTGTGCTTTTATAGCATTAATATACAAATAAATGTTATGTGAAGTCTCACAATTCTTCATTTTCTTTTCAGGAAGAGAAATTGAAAGATAAACCAGGGTATGAGCACCTGAATGAGCCACTTCATGTCTTGGTGGAGGCTGAGTTTCCAGAGAACATTATAAATGCTCGCTTGGATCATGCAATGACCATACTGGAAAGCCTGCTGAGGCCTGTGGTATGATCCAACAACAAACTACACGCTTTTGGGGGGAAAAAATCCCCTCTGCTGTTACTGATGATTCACTTGCCGGTTCCCCATCATGCACTAATAGCTTCTCTACCTTTTCCTTGACACAGGATGAGTCTTTAGATCACTACAAAAAGCAGCAATTGAGGGAGCTGGCAATGCTGAATGGTACACTAAGGGAGGAAAGCCCTAGCATGAGCCCTAGTATGAGCCCAAGCATGTCTCCTTTCAACTCTGCAGGGATGAAACGTGCCAAGACTGGAAGATAATACCGACACTATTAGAATCTGATAACGAATGCAACTGCTTTGAGAATGATGATGGGCCAGAGTCCAGAAACTTGGGGAGGAAGGAGAAGAACGCTGGATCTGCTGGCTGGAGTGTCATAAGAAATGGTTTGGAAACAAGTTTGAAGCTACTCCCCTCCTTTTCTCCCCGAGTGTTTTTGGTCATATGTTGATGATGATCTGAGATGGTTTGCCAAGAAGGATATTTGGGCAGAGGTTCTATATGGCTTATAAGTTTTGCACTATTAGTTTTGTTTGATATGCGTTTTCACCGCCGACCCTTTTTATCTTATAGCCCCATCGTTATTATTATCCCCTTGTATTATTCCTTTGAACGTTAAAACGCAATAATCTCATTGGCTAAAGCTGACTTGTATTTTGATCATAATATCTAGTTGTTCTTCAGCCAGCCATGTAAAACTTTGATTGGATTGTCTGAAGTAGATTCTCTGCCTCGTTTGGATAAATTCTTAGTATATGTAATGTGCATCATGACCTTATAAATAGTCACATGTTTTAGTTACCATATACTTACCTTTATTCTTATGGTTGTGATGGACTTAAAGGTTGGTTTCTGTTGAACAAGTCACGAGAGTTTGTAAACTTTCTCAAGTTAGGGAAGCCAAAACTTTTGCTGTTTTTTCTTCTTCCTGTTTTTGATGTTGCAATGAGGATGAGAAATACAGTATGATCAGTACTTCATTAAACTAGACAGACGTCGTAGGTTAAAGACACTCTCAAACGTTCAGAGAAGCCAACATGAGGGCCATTTATCGACTTTCAGTTTCGTGTTGTTCATTCACTTGATACAAACTTATCCTAACAATTTCTACTACACGACTCCAGAAATTGTTGGCACCTCCGTTCCAATCTTGATTAGCAATTTAGGTTTCCTTGAACCTTCAAGAGAGAGAAACACAATATGGAAAAAAATGCAAGAATTTGCTGTCACAATTTCATGTCTCCATGTTATGTGCAAGTATCAAAGTACAGCTAATGAAGCACAGCTTTGACCTAAGAAACGAGCTTCAGTTCTTGAACTGGTTCAAACGGTAAAAAGAGTTAAATTCCCACATTTTGCACATGGCTTGAACTCTAGACAGCGAGCGATGCAGTTCAAGGGAAAAAAACAGAGCTCCCCAGGTTGTCCAGTGGCAGTACCAGAAGAACAGGGAAAACAAGCTGATAGCAAAGCTCTTGAATCATACAAAACCCCTATATGAGAATGCTCATTACATTCTGTGCAAACCTGAGTATTATACTTTACTCTTTTCCTCCTCTCACTACAAGGATCTGAAAGAATTTTGATATCATGATTTTCATCTCGACATAATCACTAGTAAATATTATGAAGGCCGTAATTGCAAAAGCGTCTGCCTTGGAAGCAAAGTATCTTCAAGTAGGGGTGTTGCGATCCAGCTGAAGGAACCACCGTGTCCCTAATGCCAATCCCATTTGTGAAACCTGCAAAAATATGCTGTGGGTGAGGTGAGGGTTTTGACATGCTTGGAATAGCAGAGCTATATCTGGCTAAACGCCAGACTTCAGGGCATGCAGTCATGGTAGTGACAGAGACATACTCTAGGCAAACGACCAGTAGCTCTCAGAATTATGTTCATTTGCACCATTACGAAATCTATAACCATGCACAGCTTTATGCACAATGACATTGTGATATTGGTTATGGCAATGGAACTCTCTATCTAGAGTTAAACCAGATTCAAAATATGCTGCAACAAAGACTATCCACTCGTGCAGACCGGAACTGCAGGTCCACTAACTGACCATACAAACCATTCTTGCAAGCTTCAGTTATACGGGGTCTCACATGCGTAGAAGGAAATGGATAGATCCCAAATGTGAATGCAAATTTCTGACCAACAACTAATGTTGCACTCTGTATTCTACTTTCCATGGAAACTTCAGCCACAAACACCCCAACAAATAATCTGCATCTTTCACATTCACAATAACCAGGATCAAATTTCAGCAACTTTCAAGATTCAGCAAAAGACCAGGTCTGGAAGGCATGGAAGGACATGGATTGATCCCAAAGATGTGTGTTTCCGCATAGTTGCAGATTCTCATCTAACACTAATGATCCAATCCAGAATCCACTTTCCATAACAACAGCTACAGACCTCTCAACAAATTCAGCAGCATTTGACCCAATAACAAGGAACAAATTTCGGCACCTTTCAAACTTCACACAAGGACAAGGTCAGGACGGTGTAGAAGGAAATGGATGCTTCCCCAATATATGTTTCCACGTAGTTGCAAATAATCATCTAAACTAAAGTTTCACTCCTGAATCTACATTCCAAGTAGGGAAATAAGGGGAAACAGGGAAGCGACGCATACTTCATGTCAGTTAGGATTTTGGAAGGGATACTCATACCTCAACAACAATTGACTCCATTACGAAGAGAACTATGAGTGTCAATCTCTGAGGCCAAGTTCAACCTCCAGCTCATCATCCTCTTCAAACAACTTTAGGAGACGGGCATACTGCTCTTCTCTTTTCTTCTTTTGCCAGAACTTGAAAAGGCCGAATGAAAGCAAACCAACTGCCACTATCCCTATGAGTATGAAGAGAATCTTACGGCCATTATTGCCACCAGAATCAGCTTTCTTTGCATTATCTTTTGTGCTAGATGGGTCATCACATAAGCCTGCACGGCGAACCACAGCGAGAAAACTTTCAATAATGTGGACAAAAGCTACCAACTCTCTTATCGATCATCAGCAAAACCAATCCACCGGGGTCAAATAAAACTGATGAAAACTAACACCTAAAACTCACAGAAATCATCAACTAAGCACAGCTTCAACTGACCAATTCGAGGCTCTGTAAGTAGGCTGCCACTAGACCAAAGTGAAACCCTTATCGTACATATTACCCACAATAAATAAAAAGATTTTCAGACCTCTTAACCTCTAACCTAATCCCTAATGTTCTTGATCTGCACCGCAGTAGTCCACCCCCCATTCCAAAAGAACTGAAGCTTGGAAATTCACAGAAACCGAAGATCAAAATGGGTGAGCTAACTCATGAAAATTCATTTCAAAGCGCAGTTATGAATCACCGAGCTAAAATGGAAATGGAGAAAGGAATCGTGGAACAAAATTGCAGCAGAAATTCGTAGAATCTAATGGAAAGGGAGGATCAAGGACAAAAAGATTGAAGCTTTGCAGAAGTTAGAAAGATGGGGGAGAGAAAGAGATCCGGGAGAGACGAACCCGAGAGAAACTGGAGAGAGGCGGCAGTGAAAAAGAAGAGGAAACGCCAAGGAAAAGCCGATCTGCTTCTTGCGATTCCTCTCATCCCTCTCTCTGGCCGTCGCCGGCTGCCGCTGCTCCTTGAAATACTGAAAGAAAGAACCCACCACAGCACAACACAGCTTGTCGCGAAAATTTTCACTTCTGAATGCAAAATCCGATGTGGGTTTCTCTTCTCTTCGCTCCCTCCGTCCGTAAAGAAGTCGAGTATCGTTGCTGATTGATTTGGTTGATCGGTCGGTGGGTCGTACGGTTTCCGTGCGACTTAAGCAGCCAGTTCTGAAGGAGCAATCCTTTCCCTTTCTTTATTATAATGGGCGAAGTGAAACAGAAACTCTTGTCAATGGCTTCCTTCGGTTTGAATTGTAATATTCGACTGCTGCCTGCCACTTTGATAGTTTGTTTGCTTTTCATCGGTTTTTCCCCCTCTTGTAAAATAGTTTTTCTACAGTTTTATGACCTACCTACTGTAAGGCCAGCCATGTCATCCAGTTGGCCAAAACTAAGATGGCAACTACTTATAGTACGTAGATGTTAGATCTACCACATTGTTGCATCTATAAAAGAGATTGAGAGAAAGTGTGTTTTTCTAAAGAAAGATGAACAGAAAAGACATCCCAACATGTATGATTTATTAGATGAGCTATCTTTATTTCGGTTACAAATTATTACGATCGTTATCCTTAAAATTATGATGAGTACCACAAATTGTCTTCATCCAAAGCATTGGAGGTTTAGGGCTCGCTTGGATTAGAGATTCTGGGTGATATTTTATTATGTTACGTATAAGTTATGCACCACATGTGTTATTTAAAATCTTAGATGAGACCATAACAGTAGCCATATTGCAAGGGCAGTGTCGTAGTCCTCATTTTTAAACCGAACAAGTTTAAATTAGCCACTTCTCAAATTATAATTGTTTGTGTTCATCGGAAACTATAACATTGATGTATATAGTTATTCACTAGATTAAAAATGATAACGAACGCTTAATAACAGAACATAATTGATACAACGTAATTGCCTATCAATACAATAATGGATTGACATGTAGAATTGTGCAACCATAATAGGGATACCGAACGATAGAAGGTAATTGAATCGATTAGCTCTGATAGAAAATGTTTGCATTCATTGTTGATAACGTGATATGATTCTCGATCGATATTGTCACTACTCTAGTTACCCGATTGCGAAAATTTGGATCAAAATTATTAACCTACAGATTTGGAATTAAAACATTTATTATTATTATTATTATTATTATTATTATTATTATTATTATTATTATTATTATTATTATTATTATTATTATCATCATCATCATCTGACCACCTTCGTCAATGTGATTAGTTTGGAGAGCCTACAAGAGAACTTTGACGAAAAGGTGAACTCACTATATCAGTTGATTGCAATCTTGTTACCTCACCAACGAAATCTAATGACAGTATGACACAGACAACAACAGGTGTTGAGCCGGACGATCAAATGTGTCTACACAAATACAGTAGCCGATTCTGCCACTCACAGAGGTTAGAAAACTCTGCTGATGATGTGAACAAATCCCCTGCAACTGACTGAATATCCAAATGACCATGACCCACAGTCCAGTGACAAAGCCCTTAGTCAACCGACACTGATATCATTCCCATGAATATATAACAACCATTGTAAGAGTCGTCAAAAGTTGCTGAGCTATATGATTCAAGTTTCAAAACAACAGCCGTTTTTTTTTTTTTACAAAGGGAATACTTGCATTGCACTTTGAATGATCAATTACAAGAGAGCCAACAAAGCAAACCAAAAATAGAACAAGGACAGAAAAACAGAAGCACAAAGATGCTCAATCCGAGCTTCAGAAATACAACAAGAAGAGCACAAAACTCAGAAGAAGTCATCCACCAAAGGATCTGAAACACTTGAACTAGAAGCAGTAAACACTGAAAGCTCTCTTGCAATCAAAACAAACGAAGTGGCACCAAGCGCAATCAGCTCGTCCGATCCGACCGAGTCCATGACGATTGAACACAATGTCATTAGCCGCCTCCTGGGAGTCGCTCAGAGACGCTCAACACAGTGAATCACGGGTGAGAGATTACATGGCGGTGGACAGAGATGAGGATCGAAATGCTCCGAGCTGAAGAGGCACGGGAAGACGAGGCTCCAAGACTTGGTCAAGGGAAGCAGAAGAACCCAGATCCCCAGATCAAAGAACTGAACCCACGAGCAGCAAGGCTAGATTCTGCATTCCATCCTCCATCAGCCACCAAGATGCAGAACAACCACCTGGGAAGGACGAAGGGGAAAACCAGAGAATCGATTCACCACAAAAGCAAATAAACCGACCATCATGAGGGAAGACCCAAGATGCATAGCCCAGCCCCAAAGGAGAGCAAATCCCAACAAAAAAACCCTGGGGAGCGAAATGCCAAGAATGGCTTGAAAAGCTTGAAAGCATGAAAAGCATAGTGAAAAAACATAGAAATCAAAGACAAGCAAAGAAAGGGGAGCAGGAAGGAAGGAAAAAGGATGGGCTACCGCCGGTCACCAAGGGATGCCGGCGGCAGCCCTGGGGAGTTTCACGGAGAGGGGAAAGGTAGAGAGGGATGAGAGCAAAAATTTGAAATAAAGTTAGAGAGAGAATTTTTTAAAACAACAGCCGTTCATATGACAGCAAAAGGAAATGCTTAAAACAAACAAACAAAACTCACTTCACTACAAAAGATCTAGGGTCGACCCCAACAAGACTTAAATTAAGAAGAGTTTGATGCATTAGATTTGATCCACTTTCTATTTGAAGCACTTGGCGTCCAACAGAGGCTCTCCCTCGAATGGCTCGAAGTCTTCAATCATCTGGCTGGCACGCTCCTTCTGGGCTTCATCGGTGATGTCTACCTTCTTCCACTCGTAGAGCTCCATGTCATAGCACTCATCAATGATGAACTGAGGGATTTCTTGACCGCGGAAGAGCCACAGCCCCTTCACCTTGAAGGGTGGCTGTCCGCCGATGATCAGCATTTTACCAAACGCATACTTCCTGGCCAAATCCATCCTTTGGAGAAACCCGCCGACCTTGTTCAGGGTGACGAATGAGACGGTGTTCTCGTCATTGTACTTGTACTCACAGAACCATAGTGAATAGCCCTCAGGGTCATACATGTCCCAGAAGCCTATAGCAAAGACAAAACAATCAATGAGTATTAACCATAATGGGTAGAAGTTTATGTTAAGAAAATTGTCGGGTTTGGGATGAATGATACTTTAGGTGATAATATGAAGAGTAATCAAGTGGTTAAGCCTGTATTTGCAAACAAAGGAATAAGCATAATACCTTTAATTGCCACCTCACGGAAGTTGGACTTGGTGTTGGAGTAGAGCCTCTTCCAGTCATCCAAAATCATCTTGCTCGGAGGCAGCAAATCAAGAGGGTTCTTGGCTTTAGGCTTTGGTGCCTCTTCTTCTGCCGCGGCATCTACGGGCTTAGCAGGCTCCTCCTTTTTCGCTTCTTTCTTTGGTGCTTCCTTGGGCTTTGCCTTCTCCTTTTGCTGACCAGGTTTCTTTGCAGACTCGATAGGTGGGAACGAATCTGTTTGCTTGACATCACCAAGAATCTTCTTAAAATTTGGTTGATTAACGAGTGTCCAGAAGTATCTCTCAACATGAGGGAATTCAGAGGTAAAGGTCTTGGGCAAGAGTCTGGCAAATCCCAAGTACAGATTACATGCCACGACAATGTCAGCTAAAGTGATGGAGTCCCCGACCACATAGGTGTTTGAGGCAAGATGGGTGTTCAATGCTCCGAGACCTCTCTTCAAGTCAGCAAGTGTAGCTTCCTCAACCTTCATTGAGAGATTATAAGGGACATTTAAAACAGTTGGAAAAACTATAAGCTGTAATTAGTTTTAACAAAACAGCCAAATTGAATTACAAGAAAAATTGATTGCATCATAATCAAATGGGCTGAGGTTATGAGTCTAATAAGCAGAAAGTTCATCATTTTCGGAAATAAAAGCAGAAAGGCAAGCAACTTACAGCGGGGAAATAAGGAGTCCATCCCATCCTAGCTTTAAAGTAACTCAAGAGGGGGGCATCAATCTCCAAAGATGAGAAGTCAATCCATTGTTCAATCTGGCCCTGTAAATTTCAAAGGTTTGGATTTATACACTCAGTTATGTAAAGCTGAGTGTGAAAGAAACCATGTGAATATGGGGGAAACAAATAAATGGCTTACATATTCAATTGTAGTAGAACCAAAGAGAGGATTGTCCGCCTTCAACTTGGCAACTTCATCAACAAATTAACGGTTAGAAAAATACCCAAAATATAATAAAAAAAACATACAAGAGTCAGAAGATTACTCTCTCACCATATCGAGCAATTGCATTGCTCTCAAAAACAGCACCCTCGGGTGTCTCAAGGACTGGAATCTGGAACAACAACCACAAATCTTTATAAGAATCTACATAATGATCAGAATTCTCAAGTGATATATGCAATAACAACCCAAGAGCCACTTACTTTTCCAATGGGGTTCATCTTGAGAAATTCAGGAGTCTTGTTTGTGACACCCATCTCAAAATTTTCAACCATAGAAATCTTCACACCAGAGTACTCAGCAACAATCCGAGCCTTGTTTGCATTTTTGTTTCCTGGATACCCTGCATACAATTTCTGCACAAAAGCGATGGCCAAAAGTACAATTGATTAAACTATAATTGTCTCCTTGGCGATGGAATATAAATCTTAGTTCTGCCGGTAGGACTACTTAAAAACCCCACATAGTAAGAACTCGGAATAATAAAAATCAAACTTCAAATCCAAACCATTGATTGATTCATAAACTAGTAATCCCACAGAAAGCAGCAAACTTTAAGTTGGTGATAAACCCTAGGAACGGTCTACCAATGAAATAGAACGGTGTAAAGCAAAACAAGACAAATCTGAACCATCAAGAACTAATCACCCATCACAACTCAGAAGCTCAACTTACCAGAGCCATTGTTCCCCTGTCGAAAAAACGCAGCCTCTCCGATCACAGATCTAAAAAGAAAACAACAACAAAGAAAGCAATCAGAGATATGGAAAAAGCTCAACTAGAACTGAGAAATCAGTCCTATTAGCAGAAACCCAATAGAAACTAAGATCGAACTGCAAGAAATTTCAGGAAAGGAGGAAGAGATAGAAGGACTTGCTTTGGAGGCCGAGCGTTCTTCGACAAAGCAGCACAAGCAGAGATAGTGAGGAAAGACTTCTTCTACGGGCGACAAAGGAGTGAAAGATAGACGGCCGCACTAGGGTTTTGTAATGTTCACTAAATATTTTAGTTTTCCATTTATATTAAAATAATTTCCTTGTTTTATATTGAAATAAAATTTCACATGGATCTGGACTCTTTTATTCATTCCCGTTTCAAGGACCCAAAGCTAGTGTTGGTCTACTTAATGGGCCGGTGCCGAATAAAATATTCAGATCGGGCCCATATTGCAAATGAAGTAGTTTTCCCTAATTATTCGATCACCATGAGAATAGATCTCACTTTGTGGCAAGTCATGTATCGCTTAGTGCAATTATCTAAGTAAAGAGATTAGTTGGTGGTGTTGTCAACCGTAAAATGATGTACAAACATTGAGGGTAGAATGAACTAAGAGAAAGGACGAGTTCACATACTCAACTTCCACTCCTCCAAGAAGTAATTTTCGCATCACTATACGAGAAACTTATTGTGAGCTTAAGAAAAACTTGTTTAATCGATCCCATATTACGAAACTAGAAAATTATTGGCCAAACATAAGCAGGATTAGTGAAACTTGAAACTTATTGGTCAAACATGAGCAAAAATTGAATAAACCGATCCTCATTTCAGTACATACAACACAGGATTGAAGAATGATACGTTAACACTCTAATGAGCGAAACCGCACCATCATGTTCAGGTTGATGAGTTGATGGCCATTGTCGGTTGTCCTATCATTGAGTACATGTTAATGAAGTAATCATAAGCTTTGGCGACTATACAACATGGCTGCATATTTTGCAGATAGATATATGATGTCGATAGGCAAGTTAGTATATAGTTTTACTAAGGTGCAGGTTGAAAGTAACTATCACAATACCACATGGTTGAACTTTGAAGACATGAAGTGCGCTTGATGATGGATTGATGGTAAACGTGGATTGTGACCAAGCACAAGAGTTCACTTCTCTTATTATCCTATTCCCTAGAGAAGAGCAGACAAATGACCCAAAAAATGAAAATCTGATACACAATAACCTATTATGATCCATTAACCAACAGTTTGCAAATCAAAATTTGCCAAGAATGGAGTCGTCCTCAATAAACATTATATGGTCAGTCTCTCAATAGCAACAGCAGTTCATCCATCCTGCAAGATCATTACCATGCTGCAGTTTCAGTGAGCTGTCAAGGGAGTACATCTCTTAAGTGTTGGCAATGACTGGAGACCTTCCAGGGACATAATCAGAAGCCAAAACTTGAGTCAATTGTGTGTACTCTGATCATAGGACGGTCATTTGTACCAAAGAATCAAGCTGTGGCACGCTGGTTGTAGTCTTGCCATGGAGCTGCTGGCTGCGAATGACCATTCTCTGAAGCCTCCGGGGGTCCACTCTGTTGTTGCCCCGTCGTTGGATTAAACTGTAACAAGTGCAAAAGAATTAGATACAGTGAGGAATTCGATTATTAGGTCCAGCTATGGCAAGAGATTGTAGACAAATCCATTATGTTCACTCATTCTAATTTGGGTGTGTTTGGTTCGATGTAGTTACGAGAGCATGATGTAGAGAGTGATTGATTATATTGGATTAGATTATTCGACCATTTAAAAAATGGTTCCTTAGAACAAAACGAGTTGTTATGGTACGCATGCATGAGTACTATGACAGTGATGATTTCAGCATTGAAGAATGAGAAGATGACTAGCGATAAAATGAAGGCAGCAGTTTGTTACTTGTTGATTATCTTGCCATTGGTCTCGTCCTGCCGGGCGAGGCTGTCCAGTGGTTTGGTGGCTGGCTTGCCATTGAGGTGGTTGCGGATAGCGCCTAGCAGTCTCTGGGAACCCATTCTGCTGTTGTCTCGCCATTGGATCAAACTAGAACAAGAACAAAAAATAAAATGAAACTGAGGCATTCTTAAGAGTTGGGCAGCCAACCACACATACATAACTAGCAACAAAAACATTCTCTCTGTACCAACTGATAGTGTAGAAAATACAATAGCTGGTTAGAGATGCCTTGGAAAAGAAAAACAAATAATGAAATAAGACTGAACTTCTTGAGTTGGGAATTGGCCAATTTGTAAATCGATTCGCCATCACTAAAGGAGATGTTCCATGTCTTACATGGATAATAACAGAGCTGCCTATAAGTGGACTAACCAATAGAATATGAGAAGTCTACACATCCAATCATGGTACCAAGCTCTTACCCGATGTTGGTTGTCTTGCCATCGGTCCTGTCCTGATAAGTGAGAGTGTCCATGAGGATGATGGTTGCCTGCTGCAGGTGACGAGTTGAAAGAAGATCCATATTCAGAATTTCTCCTAGCAGACTGTGAAGAAGCATATTCATAAGTACTGGCTGTATCTGGTGTGCCCGATGACTGTTGTCTTGGAGAGGACCATGATGATTGCTGCTGCTGCCCTGCATCTGGAGAGGACCAATATGATGATGGCCCTCCAGTATGAGACGACTGAGAAGATGATTTCAACCCTTCAATCGGAGATGACCATGACAGATGTTGTCCTTGCACCGGAGGACTGGATGACAGCTGCCCTTGTGCTGGAGTCGACCATGATGCTGGCTGCCCCTGCCCTTGCCCTGGCGAGGACCATGATGATGGCTGTTGCCCTTGTGTTGTAGCTGACCAAGATGTTTGCTGAACTTGTGTGGGAGATGACCACGATGGAGGCTGTCCCTGCCCTGGCAAGGACCGTGATAATGGCTGTTGTCCTTGTGCTGTAGCTGACCAAGATTTTTGCTGAACTTGAGTGGGAGATGACCATGATGGTGGCTGCCCCTGCCCTTGCGCTGTAGCTGACCAAGATGTTTGCTGAACTTGTGTGGGAGATGACCACGATGGTGGCTGCTCCTGCCCTGGCAAGGACCGTGATGATGGCTGTTGTCCTTGTGCTGTAGCTGACCAAGATTTTTGCTGAACTTGTGTGGGAGATGACCATGATGGTGGCTGCCCCTGCCCTTGTGCTGTAGCTGACCAAGATGTTTGCTGAACTTGCGAGGGAGATGACCTTGATGGTGGCTGCCCCTGCCCTGGCAAGGACCATGATGATGGCTGTTGTCCTTGTGCTGTAGCTGACCAAGATGTTTGCTGAACTTGTGTGGGAGATGACCATGCTGGTGGCTGCCCCTGCCCTGGCAAGGACCATGATGATGACTGTTGCCTTTGTACATGAGGTGACCAGGATGACTGTTGTCCTTCTACTCCACTAGACCACAAAGGCTGTTCTGATGCATTAGATACTGGAGGTTGCTGACCTGTCGTACTATGGGGACTTACTATTTGTGCTCCCATTGCTGATACTGATGATGGTGGCTGAGAAGCATATGAAGTTTGTTGTCCAGTGGTTCCAAAAGTACCAGACACTGGCTGCCCTGGGCTATTATAACTTGATGATGGTGCTGGGAATCCTCCTTGCTGGTATCGCGGCTGACCTAATATTGACTGTCCACCTACTGAAGATGGCTCCAAGGATTGTTGTTCGCTCGCAAATTGAGAAGCTCCAAATGGTGATTGAAGTTGCTTAGCCATGAAAGGAGGAGGTCTTGAGGTATTCCTGTATTGATTTTCATCCAGAAGTTTCTTAATTTCTTCACCACGTCCAGCATCTTCAAATGCCTTCAGTGCAAATTCCTTCAAGGAAGGATGCAAACCAACACCAAATGCCATCATTTGGTCCAGAACATCTCTGCTGCCATCTAATTCTCCAGCATCACAAAGTCCCCTAACCACTGCATCATAAACCATATGGTCGGGTTTTATATCTCTGTCTGCCATTCTCTCGGCCGTCTTCATCCCCAAATTTATCATAATCTTTGCAGATTCCACTGCTTTACCATTTTTAATAAGCTCGCTAAAAACTCTTGTACCAAAACTAGCAACCACCCATAAGCCTGATTCAACCATTCTATCAAAGATCCTAAGGGCATCGTCAAACCGTTCCAGCTTCAGATATGCCTCAATCAAAATCTTGAAACTCGTGACATCTGGGGCCAAGGACCTGGACATCAATGTTGTAAAATATTGCTCAGCTTCCGTCATCATCCCGTTCTCCGCGAATCTCATAATAATGTTGTTGAAACCAGGCACAGTCATCGTAAAAGGCCTTGATTTGGGATTTGTACCAGCCTTCGTGAAGGTATCAACTGCCTCAGCAAATTTGCCTTCTTTAAAACACTCATTCACCATTAAATTAAAAGTCTCGGCATCCACGGCTTGGAATGTTGGTGGTGTATGATTGTCTAACATTTCCTCAAACAACTCCAAAGCTGCCTCCTTTTTGCCATACCGAAGCAAAACCTCCAGAAGCACGTTACATGTAGCAGGCACCATTCTGAATTTTTTCAACTTCAATGACCTGTAACTCTCCATGGCCTCACTGTCATTTCCCTGCTTAAACCACCAATCCATAAAAGTGGCACTAACCACCCCATCATACACCAAGCACCTCTGCTTCAACTCATCGAAGAACTCATTTGCCTTGTCCAAATTACCCAGCTCCAAGAACCCCTTAATCACGTTATTAAACACCAACGAGTCGGCTCCATGACCCCTCGTCAACATCTCTCTCAACATGTCAACGGCTTCCTCAATTCTCCCCACATCGATCAAACCTTTTGTCAAATGCCTATAAGTCACGGGGGAAGGACTAAATGGTGCATTTTCAATTATATGCCTGTAAACCTCAAGCCCTGTATCAACTCTCCCTTGATCACAGTAGGCGTTGATCAAATTATTATACGAGACAACATTAGGCACTACATCATTCTGCTCGTAGAAGTATTTAAACAATGCAATCGCATCATCATACCTGCAAAACGATCGAAATGTTGCAGAAATTACAACACCCCATATCCCAATTTCATTGTAATTAACCAACAAGCAGCAGGGAAATTTTCAAAATTTACCGTTTGGCCCGGTACATAGCAGCTATGATGGCATTACAGGTGAAGACGGTGGGGCGAGTTCTGGAGAAAATGGAGGTGCGAGCGAGGTAGGAAGCAGCATCAAGATCGAAAGCTCGAATAAGTGATTGAACCTTGTTGTGCAGGCTGAGCCGAGGGCCGACCAGAGCGGAGGTGGTATCCGGTAGGCGGGGCGCGTTCGGGTCCCGAGGGGGAGGGTTAGGGTTCCGCTGAAGAGCGTGAAGAGGGGGTTCGATACGGAGGCGCCGCTTCCGCCGCCGGCGTTCGGCTGCGGCTTCTTCCGCTGAGGAGAACGCGAAGGTCCGTCGTGATGGGATTGAATGTTGAGCAGCGGGAGTGCCCAGTTGGGGAGAAATGGCGGGCGGTGAGCTGAGGTGGTGTAGTGCTCGGATCAAAGGTTGTGCTCCGGCGGCGGGGAAGGTGTAAGAGGAAGAGGGTCGACGGAGGAGACGATAAAGATACATTCTTTCGCTGTAATCCCTGGTGCGGGATTGTGGAAGAGCAGAGAGGGAGTGGGAGGGTTTTAGGCTTATAGCTCCCAAACAGGCGGCGAGAATTATCATGGTAACCATTTTAACCAGTAGTATTTGGCTAATTTGGTTTGGTTAATTTCGATAATTGGTTTGGTTTGGTTAAAAAATTTAGCTTGTTTGGTTTAAGTGGTCTGGTTTGGTTTCAAGCACTCCTAACCAATCAAACCAAATTAACCAGTTAAGTAATTTGCCATATATCTAATATATATTATATACACATACTTAATACTTTGCATAACCACTCAAGAGTCAAACGTAAGATAATTATAGTTGTTACATGTATTTACGTTAAGGGTTAACTATAATTATGTGGATTGTTATGTGTTATTCATTATATAAATTGCAAATTGATGCACTAACTGAAAATTTTTCTCACTTAATGATAATGTGGTGTTATATTGGTTATTTTGGTTAACCAATTAACCAAACCGAATAAACTTTAGTTTGGTTAATTTGGTTGTTGTATTAGTTTGGACGGTTTGGTTATGATATTGTATTCCATGGTTAATAGATTCTAGACTTATTTGGTTTGGTTATTACCATGGTAACCATTTGAACACCCCTACTGGGTAGACCAGACGAATGTTGTCAGATTTGCTCGCTCTGTGTTTACTTCGTCTGCAATTTCCTGAATCCTCATTTTGATTAATGATCTTGATCATCCTCTTCATATACCAGATTATAGAGGAACAAAACGAAAATACTTGCTTTTCAGGCAAGAGAAGCAGGCACAATTCACATTACAGCCACTGCCCATTATTAACGGAGCATCGCTTTACAAATGGTAACATTTGATCTAGTCTGGTAACATCTGATCTAGTCTGGTGCTCTTAAGGTTGCTGTCAAAAGGCCCAGAATTAACATCAAACGAAAAACTGAAGACTGGCCGATCTGGGGATTTCCTAACCCCCTAAACTTCAATATCTTAGAGATGTTACCAATGTCGTTCTTCATCCAAGGAGTTGGCTCATCAGCTTTGGGGATGGAATATCATTTTTCCAGATTGATTGGATTTCACAAACTTGGACCATAAGCTTGACTAATAGCATCACCCAAAAGGATAGCTTCTTCTCTGCTTTGGCCTTCCCTCCAGACTCTGAACTGTGCCACATAGGGACCAGTGCTGGTATCCTTCCATTGCTTCAACATGAACATCGAGTATGGTCCTTCTAGTTTTGCCCCATTTGGATTCATGCAGTTCCATACTCGAGCATTTACATCGATCTTTTGTTTACTGCTGACCATAGGACTCGTACTCTGCTGTTTACCATCATCGTCAACATCCTCATCATCATCGCTTAGATCTATTAATACCACATTAGCTGCTGCTGCTGCACAATGCTGCTGCTGCTTCTTCCCCTGGTCAAGATGCTTATTAGGTTGTTTAGATGATTCCCACTGGTCCGGGTTGCTAGCTGAAATAGCATCGTCAGGTTCGCTCAAATGGACGATTTCTACTCTGGATGAAAGTAGTTCATGGTATACATTATTCTTGTGCATAGCTTCCTGATGAAGCCTTTCCTTCTTTGCTGCTTCTTGATTCTGTATTTCAAGCATCCCCTCGTATCTTGTTTTAAAGGCAGCTCCACCAGACTGTTGATGCAGTTCAGCTGAAACATATTCACCATTAGAAAATATAAAAGAATTCACTATGTCCAATTGAACTGGGAAACCAGGGATTAAAAAACCCTAGCATGGGTATCCAATATTGGCTAAAACAAAAGGCAGAAAGAGCACCTTGACAATCGGTTTTAGTGTTTATGGTCTTGTTATCTTCTCTGTTTTTCCCTTCTTTGTCAGACCAGAAAGACCCAGCTAGTCCAGGAGAACAGTGATCACCAACTTCCTCTCCTTCTATAACATTTAGAAGGATCCAACAAAACAAGGTGAACAAGAATTATCAACTCACAGTAAACCACAAACAAAAAACATCAAAATAGCACAATCCAGTATGGGCTGAAACGATCTGAAGACTATCAAGCAGAAACAAGAAACAAAAATAGAACTTTTATGACCTGCTTTGGTGGTATTGCTCTTTTCTTCTCGGCTTTTGTTCTCTTTGTCAGACCAGAGACATGTAGAGAGTCCAGAAGGATTTTTATCACCAACTTCATCTCCTGTACCATTTTACAGATCCATCAAAAGATGAGCAGCCAAGATTCATCGAGTTTGAAGTATCTCTTTCTACAGGATCTATACAAGACTTCCATGGTAAACCAAAAAATAAAAGGTACAAATACGGCAATCCAACATTAGGTAACTAATCGAAAGTATCACACATAGCAAGAGATAAAAAGAAAACCTTGATGATCAGTTTTGGTCTTTCTGCTCTTCTCTTCTCTGCCTTCGTCTTCTTTGTCAGACAACCTTGCACATCTAGTAAGTCCAGAAGGACAGCTATCATCAATTCCATGTCCTGAATACGTTTTTGAAGTGTCCATCAATTTAGGCCAAACAAAATCTACAATGCTTGTACAGTCGTACTATCTCCTTCAACAGGAGGAGTTCTAAGAACTTACAATACACTGATAACAGAAAACACAAAGTGGTAAACCGTATGAAATGGATGAGAAGGCAAAAATGAAAGTTTCCTCTGTATCAAACAGGAACTTCAGTATATAATCTTCCATCGTGCAAAAATGTAACAACGGACATAGCTGTAAGATGTTAAAAGGAGATGTCTACACAAGTCCAAGGTTGATATCTAGAGTACCAAGTGAATAATACAAGTAAAAGCAAACCTGCAATATCTGCTGGGTCGGTTGGACACCAAATAATCCTACTCCCTCTCGAAAACCTCAGAGCTATTTCTGGGCCTGTGACAACTTCATGTTCATCCTTAAAAATTTCTTCAGATGCAGGTTCCACCTCTTCTTCATCGGCAACAACCTCTGGAATCTCTTGTAACAACCGAGATTTCTCTTCAGGCGTCTGAAGTTTGACCAATCTTTCTATGTACTCGGCAAGCGTAGGCAATAGAAAGTTAAGGCCTACTCGGCTCGCTCTTTATTAACATGTTTATGTAGTCTTTAGTATTCTGAGCTACTTTCAGCAGAAAGAAATGATCAAACATCTGAATTACTACAATAACCATAGCAGCAAAGGATATTCTCTTCTCCATCCCTTTAAACTAGCTTGGTCACGAAGGCGTTTTAGTATGACCAATTCTCGCTGAATCCACTTCATCAAAGAAGGCAGCAAGCAAATGTCAGTATATTTGACATCCAACATCCAGGATAGGAAAACTATGGATCCAAGGATGCATTCGTACATTAAATTGCTCTAAAGATGCCACTAGTTCAAGAAATATCACGATATCATTCCCAAAGTCAGGTCAAGACAAAACTAAGAGAAACATCAACTCCGAAGGTACAATCAATACAGAGAAATCCCATAGCAATTGCAAAAGAACATAAAGATGGCAACCCAAGTAGACATTCTTTTACAGCAGCTCAAGCGTAATGCTTCAGATGAAATAACAGTAAGTGCTTATATTTCGAGCCATAGAGTCATGGTGGCCATACCTTTATTGGATATCTTTGGTTGTACTAGTGTACACTATCTAATATTTCTTTTACTGTTAAATAGGTTTAGCCCTTTCTCACATGTAAAGAACAGAGCATAAATAAATGGAATACATACATCGTTTGTAATAGCTTCATGGAGAGCTCTGGCCTTCTCCTCAAACTCCACCTGTCAACCAAAAATAGGACTCATTATATGTACGCATAACAGCAAATCAAATAAATCATGTTAACCATCATACCAATATAAACGCCATATGAAGATGCATGTGCTTGATGTTTAGTGCCAGTTTTTACTTTCTTGTTTCAGGCTAAAAGAAGTTATCATCTATGATTCTGAGGTTGCATATGCAGACATGCATGCTATAGCTATGATGATGACATGCACTGAGCACTTTACATTTTTGTAAGGTTTGGTGTACAACATGCCCAAAAATAGTCATCTAAGACAAACATGCATCTTCGAAGCTGATATTTGTAGTCATTGTGAGATTAGGAAACAGAAATTGACTAGAAAAGTAATTCATCTCTAGCAAAAACGCACAATGACAGGCCGCTTGAGCAAGCCATTCTTCACACGCTGACGCAGGTCCTCACACTCTTCCTGCAGGATAAATTTACTCAAATAAGCATTATACTCTTAAGAATATGATAAGTTCATTTCAGGGTGGTCATAACAGTTTAGGCGATTCAGTTTATTAAAGCACATATTCATCAAACACATATTTCAAACACCAAAACCTTCTTAGCAGCTATATTCGCGAATGATATTGACCATCCCAAGTTCCCAACATCAAAATTACATAAGTCTGACCTTAATTTTCTCTGCCATGCAAAAGATCTCCCTGAATATTGAATTGTTGTTTACCTCGGTAAAGTTGTCATCACTAAGCTTGCATATTGGCATCTCTCCCATCATATCAGAAAGTTGCAGAAGAATAGAGTCTGCTGATTCCTCAATTTGTCTCCTTACACCTGTAGATAATCGCACATCATGGCCAAGTAGAGCAGAAGCCAGCAACATCAAAAGTATATTATGAATTAAGTACATTGGAGCAGGTTTGGAAGTATCCTAAATCCTATGTAGTAATTGGAACATTACCTCCCACTTGTACAAGGAGATGTGAGTTCTTCTGTGTGTAGTCATACGGATTAGCTTTGACTCTCACAAAGCTTCCTATAATCTTTGCATCGAAATTTTCAGAATCCTTCGACAGCTCCTCCACTACACGTCTCTTCAAGAACAAAAGCTTCATGTTCTCGGTAGTCACTGATGCAAAGCAGCTCCTCCTCACAATAGGAACTGCTGCTACCTTGTCCCGGCAGACAGCTTCCGAGGTTCTTGGTTTCTTATTGGTCACTTGAACATCATCCTCATCATCAGCCACAAACCAATCTTCTTCTGCTAAGTCCAAATCATCATCCGATTGGTTATCAGCAAAATGCTTAGTCAGATGGCCAAGTATTCTGTTTTTGTTGACAGATTTCCTCCCAAAAAACATGAAGAGTTTTGCATCGCAGACAATTTTCTTCTTTTTCTCCGGATCGAATAGGTTGTTCTCAGCCGCGTACCTCTTGATGATTTCAGCAACCTCGTGCTGAGACAGTTGCTGAGAAGTGTCTTTACCTATGGATGCAAGGAATGCAACAAGCACCTTTGAGCCCCATCCACTGAACTCCCTTTTCTTCGACATAAATCTTTTCATCTTGAATGGACGCTTTCCCTCACTAACCTTAACCCCTACGCCTCACTTTACTTCGTTTACCAGAACTCACATCACCATGGTCTGACTCATCCCAAGAACGACCCACCAAACTAAAATCTCACCAGAACCAGGTCATTACAAAACCAGGCAAAAGAGGCGTTTAAGACCTGGCCAGGGACTGGAGTTTTTGTGCCTTCAATCAGCCCAGAGAGGGTCAAACAGTGCTCACAGATTCCTCTGGTATCCGTCACAATGCCGAACTGGACATCACAGAGGCAGCGCCCTCAAACAGCCTTCGGACAACTGTAGCAATGGAATTTCGGCGATTTCCCGCAGTGCATGCAAGAATGCCAACCTGCAATTGATCACCAAAACAAGAAAAATTTAACCTTTCACCCACGAAATTCAAATTCAAGAATTTCATCATGCAAAAAAGAACAACAGGAGCACACACATATGAAACGGCGACTACAACGACAAGGACAGCTTAACTCACCGCATTTCCAGTAATTCCGCCTTCCCCGCGCATTCAGGGTGGTAAGCTTTGGTGCATCCCCTGAAAAAGTCGAAGAAGCGTAATCACACCACCAGTATCAGAGGTTTCTCGGAGCAAAATGGCGATGATATTCCGAATTGCAGCAAAACCTGAGAACTAGGGTTTGATAATAGAGAGAAAGATCGAAACTTTGAAATTGAAATTATCGGAACCGAAGCGGAACTCACTGAATGAGGATTAGTGCCAGCCAGTCCCGCGATTAGTTAACAACCCAAGAAGGTTATACCAAACCCACAAAAAAAAAGTACAAAAAGGAAGGTGGAGGGAATATTGACCGAACGACGTCGTTCCCGGCTGAAATGTGGGTAGATAGAAACAGAGAATCGTCAAGGGAAAGGTCTTCGGGTCCGATCGAGATAGAAACAGAGAAAGGGTAAAACTTACTTGAAGTCGCAGATTCTAAGGTCTCCACCATTCTTTGCTGAAGAAGCACACTCCTTCTGAAACATCTTCCTTGATAACTATGGGTCTTCTGCTGCTCCTTCTTCTTTGCACTTATCTCCATGTGTTGCTGCTGCTGCTGCAACATTTCTCAGCAGCCAAGAAACGGACCACGATCAACACATTTGGGGAACGGAGGAGGGCTTGCTGCCTGGCAACTTCTTCTGCAATGTCTCTAAGAAAGCTCGAGTAGAGCATAGTTTTCGATTTGGGTTCAGGGGTCGTGAAAATGGTTGGCGTGTGTTTGTTTCTTCTTGAACGGAGAATGGCTGGTGCAGTTGCACAGTTTTGGAATGTGATTGGTTGAGTGCTGTTGCAGAGAAGCCTCTGCTCTGCTGCTCTGTGAGAACATGGGGTAGTGAGAGAATAGGTGACACGTTGCAATTCTACTTTGGGTTGGAAGCTGACAACGGTTGTGATGAAATAGAAATAAGATCAAGAATGTCGATCTATTTATCCGAACAGTAGAATTGGTTTTAAATCAAGTCATCTAATTAGCTCGGATGTTGAATCAACACGAAAAGTAATAAACTTTCACAATATTTTTGAGGATTGAATGAATGGTAGTGGTCATTGGCATCAACCATGAATCGATGACTGATGTGTTTTCTCATAAATCCGGACCATATGAAAAACTACAAAGACAAGAATCGCTAGAGAAACCAAGATCCACGCTTCATCAAGGAAAACTAAGGTCTTTGTTGTACAAGGGCTCCCAATGTAATTAGGTCGTCACCTCGGGACCATGATTCCTATAATGGATTCTATGAATCGTTATCTTGAATCCCGACTCAACAATGATTCTTTGTACAATAAGGAGCATTAGAAATAGTCATTATAAAGTGAATCAAATCTAGACAATAATGATTTGAAGAGTAATTTTTGTTTAATGTATGCTTATCTTACATAATGGTGTTGTAGAACACCATGTTACCTAAAGTAGAAAGCCATCATAGAAGCCTTCTCTAACACATACGTATTAAACTGTTACGTACCAAATAACGTTAGTTCGTAGCGGTTATATCATTTTTTTATGTAAGAGTTGCAAAATGACATAACGTGAATATTACATCCCATTCCATTCCATCCGAGCCATACATGTTTTAGAGACCATATCCTCGTACGTTACTTCTTGTAGTTGTATTTGTACATCATTTTCAGATGAATGAAACGGCACGCCGTTTGTGCTGCCACGGGCCACAACTCAGCGCCAAATGGAGAAAAGCATCGGACTTGGAGGAAGAAGGAGGCGAGGAGGCAGCCCGGAGCCAGAAGCCAACTCATATCTTAATGAGAGAAACTGCACAAGTTACCTTTTTCATTCATATTTTGGGTTTTTTGCTTCTTCTTCTTCTTCTTCCTCTACAGTTCTCTTCAATCTCCTCCCCTTTCTTCCGGTCCAAAGCCACCTGTGAAAGGAAAGTGAAGGGGGCCACCCGTGTCTCTATCTCCCTCTCTGTACAAACTTTCCCTGCGGACTCAAAAATAGCAAAACCTTTTCCTCCTCCTTTGTGTATTCCTTGCTTGCCTTTAATCCGGCTAACAAATTCACTACTTTCCCCCTCGTTTGCCTTCTCCGTCTCCAACTAACAATCAATCGGCAACCACCAGAAAGAAAAGCCTCTTCCTTTCCCTTCCCTTCCCTTCCCTCTCTTCGCCACATTTCACATTCCTCAACCTGCAACATGAAGCCTTACCTTGCTGTGAGTTCTTTCTGTCTGATTCTCTCCCTCTATTTTTGCTCTTAATTTGTGTTTTGTCTGCTTCGTTGGTTTCCACTTTCTTGTTGTACTTTTGGGTTTTGTGCAATGTTTCCTCAAGCGGTGGTTTTGGGGCTCTTTGATCAGACTTGTGACTTCTGTTGATGGCTAAAAAGTTTGGGTTCTCTGTAATCACTGCACTTGGCGATGAAGAGGGGGGAAAAAACGGTTTTGCAACTTTGGTTTTTGTTCAGTAGGCGTTTTATTGATTAGTGTGACGGTACATGACTTGCTCGCCGGAGTTGTTTGGTTGCCGAGAAAGACGAGTAGTATGTTGAAATTATGACTGAGAGTTGGAAGTTTACTGGGTTCGCGATTGAGACCCTGAAAATTGGCTCCGTAGTTTGCTTTTCGATAACCGCTGGTTTAACGCTTTTCCAACACCGTTGTGGAAAGGTTGGAACTTGAGCTTCTGAATTTACTGCCCAGTTATCAATTTGTCAGTTCCTTGCTTGGAATTAATGGTGTTGTCAATGAAAATGGGATTGCTTTTAATATTTCTTCTCTTGCTTTGTTCTATTCCGTGTTTCGTGGTTCTTGCATGCTCGCCCTATGAGTTATGCCATTAATCGCGGTTATAATATGCTTGTGGCTCTTTGTTCCCTCTCCTTTCAGGTTTTTGGCCTACCGGAGTCTAAGAAAAGATCTTGGCTTTGCAGTGTCTTCATTGCAGCTTCTTTGATTTGTGGTATATACTTTCTGGGTTTTGCATCTGTTGGAAAGGAATATAAGGAAGTAAGCATATGCTCTGTGTACTTCTTCATCCAAATTATCATAGAGAACGCGTCATGTGATCATGTTTCTTGAGTGAACTTGACTTCATCACTCTGTGTACTTGTTCGTTCAAGTTTGGTGTTTCCTATAGCACTGTTTTCTATTCTTCAGCCCACTAGAATTTCATATATATGTCGATGAACTGAAATTACTGTCGTAAAATGTCAATCATGAAGCAGAAATTCACAAGATGGCCAGTCATTGGATCGATGTCAGGTGTAAAAGCTGCCAAGTGCAAGGTTTGTGTTTCCTGTTAATCTTGTAAGTATATGTTAATTTGCATAGAAGCATACTCTAAAGGCTTCTTGCTTCATTTCCTTAGAATCAACGGATGCCTATTGGCAGCGAGCCTTTGCCCAGTGGCATAGTTGCTGAAGCCTCTGACCTGGAAATGCGTCCTTTATGGAGTGCTTCGACAAAAAAAGAAGTGAGTGGTCCTTTGTTTATGAGGGAACCATAAATTTGTTAACTCAACTTGATTCCTGGCTTATGAGGGAACCTTTTGAACTGACTTTTCTATCTGTTATTTTATCTGGACTCTAAAATGTTTCCTTTCAGAAAAAACAGAAGCGTCCGATGAGCTTGTTGGCAATTGCTGTTGGAATTCAGCAAAAAGAGGTTGTCAACCGAATTGTTGGAAAGGTGGATGTCAGTCAAAATTGTTTCACATATTCTCTTTGACTACAACTTTTCACAAATATGGTTGCTGATGTGCTACCTTGGTCACAGTTCCCATCAAGTGATTTCATTGTGATGCTGTTTCACTATGATGGTGTGGTGGAGAAATGGGGGGATCTTTCATGGAGTGATCGAGCAATTCACATATCTGCTGTAAATCAAACTAAATGGTATGCTGTTGGATCATAGTGGAAGCTGCACAGTAGTTAAACTCTGGGTTTTTTCTGAAACCAATCAATTCAATGTTCATTATAGGTGGTTTGCCAAGCGGTTCTTGCATCCTGACATAGTTGCTGAATACGATTATGTATTTATTTGGGATGAAGATATTGGAGTGGAGAATTTCAACCCCAGCCGGTAAGCCTGTAGGACTTGTAAGAAACCAAACTGATTGTTAGTTCTCTCTCTCTCTCTCTTACGTTTCTGTTCTTGTCAGCTTAATGAGAACTGCTTGCCAGATATTTGTCAGTTGTCAAAGAACAGGGGCTTGAAATATCGCAGCCAGCACTTGACCGTTCTAAGTCAGAGGTGCATTTCCCTATTACTGCTCGTAACAGAAAATCTACAGTGCACCGGTTAGTTTTGAAGTTGAAAAGTTTCCTTTCAAATTGCTCATTACACTATCTTGATCAGAAGTTATGAGTAAGTGCTCACTTGTAAATGGCGATTTTCTGATTAGGAGAATGTATAAATACAAAGGAAAAGGAAGATGCTTTGACAACAGCACTTCTCCACCGTGTACTGGGTAAGCGATGAGGTCCAAATGGTGCCATTCATCTTTTCCACTGCAACATCCTTAGGACATGCTGTCTATTTAATATTTATGACTTGTATCTTATGTGAAAGTTACATGTTTGTTTACAAGGAAATCAACTTGTTTCTTCATGTAGTTGGGTGGAAATTATGGCACCTGTTTTCTCAAAGGCAGCTTGGCGCTGTGTGTGGTACATGATACAGGTATGGTTTGCCAACGAGCTTGATCAGTCGATTGGAAGCTGAACTCTTTAATGATCGTTTCTTTTATCTCAAACAGAATGACTTGATCCATGCTTGGGGTTTGGATACACAACTTGGATATTGCGCGCAAGTAAGTAATACTATCTCAAAACTATACCCAAATCGTCTGCATTGTCTTTTGCTTTTCAGTTGTTGTGACATTACTCCTGTTATTCAGGGCGACCGGGCAAAAAATGTTGGTGTGGTTGATTCTGAGTACATAGTACATCTCGGTTTGCCAACACTTGGAGTCTTTAACAAAACTGAGGTGAGTAGTTCTACCACTTAGCCTTGCTTCCTGTAAGAAGCCATCATTAACCAGCCTTGAATCTCTGTTTCCCCACTTTGCAGGCACAGTCTGAGACCCATAAAGTCGATAACAGGCCTGAAGTAAGTGCAAACAGTAGATTGGATTCCTCTCTTTACTGGGTTTTGGAACCTTTCTAATACAGTTGTACCCTGAAAGTGTAAACTAATGCACTGCTGCTCACAGGTGAGGATGCAATCTCATATGGAGATGCTGTTATTCAAGAAGAGATGGGAAAACGCAGTAGTGCATGACAAATGTTGGTTTGATCCATATCAGTCCCCAGTAAACCATACAACCAAGTGGTGACTTCATCCGGAGGTGCTGCTGCAGCCTGCAAGAGAAGCGTGTGTATATACATTTTGTGGAGCTCCAAGGAGAGGGGTTCGAGTTTGTCAGCATGGGTATTTATGGTAGTGTGATTGGATTCCAGGTCTTGAAGTAGCTGATTTTAATCTGATGACGGAGGCGGGGAATGCCATTGGAACGAGTGTCTGCAGAATGGCAACTGGTAATGCGGAGGAGAGGGGTGTGTGCATAGTTTTGGTTGGGTTGGGTTGGGTTGGGTGTGTTCAATCATTCACCATTCTTTGGTTTGTAAATGTGCAACTTCTTCTTGAGGGGTTTCTGTGCTCTGCTTGTAAGCTTATTTGGTGGTGGTTTGATGAAAGTCAGCTAGTGATTCGAGTTCTTTCGCTTGTCAAGCGTAGTCAAGTTTGGTAAACAGTTGCTGACTCTTCTTACTTTCAAGATGTCCCAAGTGGTTTAGGAAAGACATTAGGAGGGTTGTGAAGGTGCCCATGTTGGTCAAAATGCCAAACCAAACAATCTGGAGGCGGTCATGTTAGAGTAGAATAGTATAAAATCCATTATAACGAACTGATTGATGGCATGGTATCAAAGTTTGTTTGGCCAAGTGGTCGTGCGTTCGAATCTCCACGATCCTCAACATTAACCTTTGATTAAAACACAAGGTATGGTGATGCTTGTGCAAACTTTAAGCCAATGGGTTGGTTTTCTTTTGAGTGGGCGTGTTAGGGTGTATAAAATTCATCATAACCTTCTCCCAACAGGCAACAACTCTAGTTATTAGGAATAACGGGTTTATGACAGTCGAATATTTATTGGCCGTTTGGATGAATAATTTTAATGTATCAATTTGACCCAATTATTTTGTTTTGAGACAATATGGTCAAATTGCTCCGTTTGGCCGCACAAAATTTAGATGAAACAATTCTGTTTGGGGAATTTCAAATCGACTCCTTTTGAAACAATTACAAATGTTTTGGGTGGGGACAAACAATTCGAATTGACTCATTTTAAATTACTCATTTCGTAAAATGAAACAATTGGCAAAATTTTATCTCGTTTTTCAATTTATCCATCCAAATGATTCCTTATGGGAATAGCTAAGACTTGTATATAGGAAGACCAAATGTTGTGTAGGCCTGTAGCGGTGGCAAAAATATTCACCAACATGGTGAACCATCCCACCTCGACTTGATCAAGTAAGGTAAAACTTGAATTAAATAAATTACGAGTGATATTAGATAAAATATTAGGAGTAATATCCAATCCGAACTCGTTCAATCATAAAATGCATTTTTATATAAATCCTCATTCTCTCTTCAAAGTATTTGACACTTATGATACATATACAACTTTCTAGTGAATTCTTATTCTTTTATATTTCTCTTAATATTGTCGACTTATCCTTATAATTGTAACATTTTCACTTGTAGTAATAATAAAAACTATTCTTCATAAATAATCGAAACCTAAACAAAGTATAAATATTATTTTTATTTACTATCCGAATATTGTACAAATATGAGTATGAATAAAATCTGAACTATTAAAATAGCGCAACAAATATGCTGCAACTGCAAGGAATCATAAACGCTACGACACAACCAACCGCATCATTTTCCATTGTAAAAAGGAAAGTTTATAATTTAGGAATAGAAAGGAAAATCGATTATTGTTTCTTCAAACCTTTTAGGCAGCCATAGGCTTTGATGTCTTTGACAGTTTGACCCATCTACCTCTTGTTCTTCTACTGCTCTGCGACTCTATCTCTGCACAACAATGGTCCACAAGGAAAGCAGAAGAAGCTTTCTCAGCCAAACCAGGAGGACCATAGTCCAGTGATCCATCCAGATTCCAGCCAAGCCAGCTTATAATTAAACACCAATTTCTTTTCTTCCTAGCAGCAGCCACCCTAGCCTCTCTCTCTCTCTCGATTGCTTTCTCTCCTTTCCACAGTGCTTTCCCTTTTTGTTCTTTTATTTTTTTTTTTGCGCTCGCGACTCGCCCCTCACTGCAAAAGCAAGCAAAGCCCACCTTCAAGTTCCTGATCTTTCAAGCTAGGTACTTTTTTGTTCCTCTTATACCTTGTTCATTGGTAGGCGATTGCAATCTGCTTCGTTGGACATCTGGGTGCTCTGTTTTGGCCTTCGATCTATTCTGGGGTTTGGTTCAAGCTGTGGTTTTTGCTGTCAAGATCTGATTTTTATAAGGCTGAATTTGTTAACTTCTATGATTTGGTTGCTTGGTTGTGTCATTCTGTGATGATCAGTTGTTTGTTCCTGCATTCCTTTTGATTCAAACTGCATTTTTTTTTCCTTCCTGGGCAGCTGACTTTGATGGACTGATTTCCTTTACTTTATAGATAGTGGTCCTTGAAATGAACTTCTTTGTTCTTCATGGGGAGATTTTTTTCCCCAAGCTTTTTTGGCTTCTATGGAATTCTTCCCTTCTCTTTGTTTTTATTTTGTTTGCTGAGGGACGTTTTTCACTTTGCTATTTGCTTGATCAAGGTTAAACATACAGCAGTCCCTTTGCTTCAACCTGATTCCGTGTTGGGAGATGAGTGAATTTGGTTTCCCTTGTTGAACTTTACTGTGTTGCTTTTGTTTCTCCTCAAACCTCTTTTTTTACTTGAATAGTTTAGCTCCACTGAGGTAGTACCCTAGGAAAATTAAATCAATCTCCCCCACTGTTGAATTTTTAGCCTCTCTGGTTGCCAAGATCTCACCTTTATGTCAATTTGTTTGTGCTAATTGCAACTTAATTTGGTTGGGCTACCACTTCAATCCATGGTTAAACTATCTTACCTCTTCGGCTCTTCCATAGATTCAACGCATTCTTTCTTCATCAGATTGCATGTATTAAAATTAATCTCTTTGCATCTTTTTTCAGTTTAATAATGTTCAGCTGAAATATACCTTTGTGGGCATCTGGGACTTACTCAGCTATGTTCAAACAGGTTCAATTGTGGGCATTAGAAGAAGAATCAGGCAGAAAAATACCTTTGGGCTTCTGCAGAAAGATATGATTTCTGGTACTAGATGCTTTGCCGCGAATTCATCACCTCTGATGTAATTTTGAAAGAGTTAGATAGTTCTCCATGGCCTCCAGAACAGGTAGTAAAGGTTTCTCAAAAGAGGTTCATAAGTTGCGGCTAGATGATCTCAAGCTCCCTTCTCCAGTCGAGATGAACATTCATGGCCAGGTGCCAAGGCCATTAGGAAACACGCCTAAGTTTCCAAACTCCAACAGAAAGGTGTTGACTGCTGACTCCTTAATCAGCAAATTGGAGTCCACTTCGATATCATTGGCTAGTGTTGAAGAACAAGGGTCAGGAGGAGTAGATTCCTCATCCGTCAATGATACCAGAGGGTCCCAAGAGACATCTGTTAAGAACAGTTCGGTTTCAGGAAAAGTCAGTGATGGAGCTAGCAGTCTTGGGAAGACTAGTGGGAGCACGAAAATTGAGTATGTGGAAAGTGGGAAGAGCAGCATGTGCAGAGGCAGCACGAGCAGTGACATCAGCGATGAGAGTACCTGTAGCAGCTTTAGCAGCAGCATCAGTAAGCCTCATAAGGCAAATGATTTAAGATGGGAAGCCATCCAGGCTGTTAGGATGAGGGATGGGGCTTTGGGTTTGAATCACTTTAGATTGCTGAAGAGGTTAGGCTGTGGCGATATTGGAAGTGTGTATTTGTCTGAGTTGAGTGGGACCAAGTGTTATTTTGCCATGAAGGTGATGGACAAGGGCTCCCTTGCAAGTCGTAAGAAGCTGCTTAGAGCTCAGACAGAGAGAGAGATACTACAATCTCTTGACCATCCATTCCTTCCTTCACTTTATACCCACTTTGAGACGGAGAAGTTTTCTTGTTTGGTTATGGAGTTCTGCCCTGGTGGTGACTTGCACACCCTCAGGCAGAGGCAGCCAGGGAAGCATTTCACCGAGCAGGCAGTAAAGTAAGAAAATTTGATATCTGACCTGCTGTCGATTTGTTTCATTTAATCTCTAGTACATGGTGTTTTTGTTTTAACTGGATGAACATGATTTGTCTGCCACTCACCATTTCAAGCCTGCTAGCACCTAGAATCCTGTTGTTCAAAGGATACCAAGTTTCCTAAGCTTGCTCCATTTTTTCATGGAAATTTCGGTTCATTCCTTGATTGCACTGACAAGAGTTTTCAGCAGAAAGCTCTGTTATGAAATGAGTTCTGCCTTTATGGGTACTCAAGTTTTAACGTTGATTATCAGAAGATGGCATTCTTCTAGCTCTTGAGTAATGAGTTTGAGTAATTAGCTGTTGAAGTTTTTGACATTCAAGTTTTCGAAATTGTTCTGGACTTTGTTTCAGGGTAACATTAGATGCTGTTTCTGCCTCCAGCATTCTTAGAACACTAGTTTGTGTTATTATTGATTTTCTCACTTGCCAAATTGTAATCTTTCATCTAATGCGTCCTCCTCAAATTCTTCAGGTTCTACGTGGCAGAGGTCTTATTAGCATTGGAGTATCTCCACATGCTGGGAATCATCTACCGTGATCTCAAGCCCGAGAATGTATTGGTGAGAGATGATGGACACATAATGCTCTCCGACTTCGACCTCTCCCTCCGTTGCGCTGTAAGCCCAACTCTCGTCAAAGGCACGCCTCTCGAGGGAGCCGACCCACTACGAAAGAACCCAGTCTACTGTGTCCAGCCAGCGTGCATTCAGCCGCCATCCTGCATCCAACCTTCTTGTGTGGGGCCTACGACATGCTTCTCGCCTCGCCTCTTCTCCAGTAAGTCGAAAAAGGAGAGGAAACAGAAAAACGATCTCGGAAACCAGGTCAGCCCCTTACCTGAATTGATTGCGGAGCCTACTGAGGCGAGGTCAATGTCGTTCGTCGGAACCCACGAGTATTTAGCTCCCGAGATCATCAAGGGGGAAGGCCATGGAAGTGCTGTCGACTGGTGGACTTATGGTATCTTTCTCTACGAGCTCCTTTTTGGTAAGACGCCATTCAAGGGGTCTGGAAACCGAGCTACATTGTTCAATGTAGTTGGTCAGCCTCTCCGGTTTCCTGAAGCCCCAGTAGTCAGCTTTGCAGCAAGGGACCTCATAAGGGGACTGCTGGTGAAGGAGCCACAGCACAGGTTGGCGTATAAGAGGGGTGCTACTGAGATAAAGCAGCATCCTTTCTTCGAAGGGGTGAACTGGGCATTGATACGATGTGCCACACCACCTGAGATACCCAGGCCGGTTGAGTTGGAACGGATTCCTGGGCCGGCACCATTGGCAGGATCTACGAGCGAAAAGGCAGCGATGGTAGCAGCAGCAGGAGCAGGTGGTGGTCAGAAGGGTGGTGGTGGTGATAACTATCTGGAGTTTGACTTCTTCTGAAAGGGTTCTAAGTACATGTATGGTTGATGATGATGATGTTGATTGTAAGGATGGAAAGATTGTATCTTTTTTTTATGGGTAGGGGGAGAATTTGTTGTTGTGATGAACATTTTTCAGCAATTGAGAGACAGTAATTGTTTTTTGTTTGTCTTGCTACCCCCTCACCTGTTCTCTCCTCTCTCTCATCCTTCCTTATGTTTTTGTTCCTGAATGACAGTTGATGATAAGGAAAAATGTTTGGCTGCTTTGATGCTGTAGCTGGTATCTGCAATCCTGAACGAATTCCAACTCCAAGTCTGTAACTTTGATAGTTTGGTTGGATTTGTTGCCACGTATGGTGACTGCAAACTAACTAGCTTGTCTGCTTGTGACTACCCAGCGAGCAGTGATTTAGAGCCCTGCCATTATAACAACCTTTCCGTTAGGTAAAGGAGTTTACTTTCTTAGTGATCACTGATCATACGATTTCCTTCTTTATTCCAGCTCTATTGGTTGAATGTCATCAGAAGGAGAGATACTTCTCTGAATATCGTTGCTGCTGAATTGCACGATTCATGTGGAAGCAAACAACATGAAGCTATTCAATCATCAGCTGCCGGTACAAACTACAAGCATTCATTGTTGTGCTATTTTATTGAGAGGTTGATGGTATTTCCCACTGCCTGCACCGCGATACACTCGTTGGCTGCTGTAACGTTGTCCCTGAAGTGAGGAGTTCCACACGAGGAATTCAGTGGCAATGTACTCCCAAGTTGCAGGAATCACAAATTGGATCGACAAATCATCCAATCAATCTCCCAAGTCCGCTTCATTTCCCCGGTAGAAATCGATCATCCTCATTGCCTCATCGAAATGGGTTTACTGGAGCTTGGGAGCAGGGCTCAAGAAGAAAGTACATACATTAAGAGAGTGACAAAGGGTTGTTCAGAAACAAAAAAAAAAAAAAAAAAGGACAAAAATAGTCTCCAATCCATATGAGCAACAACAGCAAACTTAAGAGAGACAAATCCTTATACAACACAGACAAAAGGGATGATTTCTAAGTGACAGTCCCTTTCTTTCATCAACCTAATAATGCATATGGATGGCCGGAACAGGAGAAGTTTCTTAGTAGACATAGCCCTTGACGAACATTCCCTCCTTGGCCTCATCGGACTCTCCCTCCCCGGTGTACTTGCCGAGCTGAGCCAACGAGTTGGCCTTGGCCCGGGTGAGCAGTGCCTGCTGGGCAGCCTCGACGTTCTCTGCAGCGCCTCCCCATGTCTTCAGGCATGTGTTTTGGAGGGCTCGGGCGTATGAGAACGACACGTGCCACGGGTTGGGAGCCTGATTCATTGCATTCAGGTTCAGCGTCGCTTCAACCTCAGATTGCCCACCGGACAAGAACTGCAATCGGATAATCATACAATCAGCCAAATGTTAAGCATACATACTAAGCCTACAAGAAGGGAGACTTGCCATGATTCCAGGGACAGAAGGCGGGATCCTTCTCTTCAGAAGGCTGAGGGTGTACTCAGCAACCTGTTGAGGGGTTGCCCTCACTGGGCACTCAGCACCAGGGGTAACCATGCTTGGCTTCAAGAGGATGCCCTCGAACATCACATTGTTCTCAGCCAAGTAGAAGAAGACTTCCGCCCAGACCTTCTGGGCCACCTCGAAGGTCCTGTCGATCCCATGCTCACCGTCCAGCAAGATCTCTGGCTCCACAATTGGGACCAACCCATTGTCCTGCAAAGGGATGAACCCCAGCCTACATCAGAAAACAGAGCAAACTAGAACAAGAAGTTAACTTCTTCTACAAGTTTAACGTTAGGTAATCTCACCTGAGAAATGGCAGCGTAGCGGGCCAGGCCCCAGGCAGCTTCCTTCACTGCCAAGGCAGATGGACCGTTGGGAATGCTCACAACAGTACGCCTGTAATGAACACGATCAGGGTAAATTATATTGAATCAGCATTTGGATCGAATGAACCAGGACAAAATATGATTCAATTGCGATTATGATCATCGTTCAGAACAGTTTTTCGGTTTTGAATGCATAGATCTTAAAGGAAACCACAATCGGATCAAATGCAATATTGATGCAATTTTCCTTCATCTTCAATCTAATCCTATACTGACTTGGATTTTATAGTTTCAGGTCACAGCTCAAACTCTCCTTCATTCCCGAGACCACGACCTTCTAATCAAAGCTGAACTAAGATGCATTCTTATAGCATACAACAATCCACTTCCAAAAATTACTCAAATCAACAGACATTAACGACATGCTAAATTCAAATATGTTCATACCATTTAGCAAAGCGAGCGCCCTGTTCGTAGTAGGCAGCAGAGCGGGAAGCAAGTCCATCAAGCCCTTGGCACCACGACTCGTCGTTGGAACCAGCAAGTGGCACCAAACCCTGTTGTTTTTTTCTCATCGTAAATAATCATCCCCATAAAAAACCCCTTAATTGTAACATCAACACTAGCTACTTCACTGAAATGTGAATTAGTGATGATGTTAATGTTACCTTGTCAACTTTGATACCGGGGACGATGCCTTGCTCCTTAAGAACGTCGACGATCTTCTTGCCGTCAACGGTGGACTGGTAGAGAGTTTCCTCGAACAGAATGGCGCCGGAGATGTAGTTCCCCAGCCCAGGAGCCGAGACCAGAAGGGTTCTGTAGGCCTGGCGGTTGGCCTCTGTGTTCTCCAGCCCAATCGACGCCAGACGCTTCCCGCAGGTCGCGTTCGACTCGTCCATCGCCAGAATCCCCCGCCCTGGTGACGCCACAGTTTTCTGCAACCACCAAAACCCATATGATTCAACAAAAACAACTCCATTCCAGTTCTACAATATGTCTCTGGCTATCACACCACTATAGCTTCATCGGTTTGATTCGAACTTGGGAACTCCAGATTCAAGACTATGGTTTAACTGGTCGAAAGGGTGTGTTTACAAACATTACAACTACAGGAGAAAAAAGTGCAGCATGCATGGCGAAATTAACTAAGAGCGAGAGGGAGACATACCGCAGTCTTGACAAGCTCGTCAGCGTATGAGCTGGCGCGGATGGAAAGAGCCGAAGGCGCGGCGGCGGCAGCGGTGGAGGAGTTGCAGCGGAGGATGGAGACAGAGGGCTGGCGGATGCTCTGACCCTTCACCCATTCAGACTTGTCGAGAACAGGGGATGACTTCAACAGTGAGGTAGACGCCATTTTCTCACTTGACTCCTCTGTTTCCTGGCTCTGATGAGAGGCTGTGAGCGGCTTCAAGAATGGCACAACGCCGAAGTTCAGTCTCGCAGTCTCTCTATATACAAAGGGAGAAATCTTATCTTTTGCTGTAAAGCCTTCTAAGCCTCACACAGGCATCTCCCATCCCCTATTTATATTTGCACTTTTGTCGATACATGTTCATGGTTTCATCAATGGTGGGGGATGTCACGTTTGAGGCTGTTGTGCCCCAGCCAATCCGGGTCCGCCAACTGGATGATAGAATTGTGCTGACGTGTCGTGTCTTGTTGGTGGTTAAAACGGATGGGTTTTTGCCCACCTTGGAAAAAAAATTTCTGTTTGGCAGCTATCCGTTGCTTGCGTCCAAAAAGATGGAGATGTTTTTCCTCTTTACTTCTGTGGTTTTGGTTTCGTCTCTGCTTTTTCATGGTTAACAAATGGTTCTGGTTTAGTTCTGCAGATTGTGGTGAATGATGAACTGACGATCAGTTTGCTTCTGGTTATGGCCGTCGCGCGCGTCGACGGACGGTGTTCTGACACCTAGACTTGTGGGTTCCACTTCCACATTCCATCTCTTGCAGCAGGGACTAACATAGAATATAGGCATGCAGCATTCTGTGGCTCTGTTGTTAATTTTTCATTCTATCGTGTTGAAAGGATTCTACGTGCTCAAGTCTCGAGCTACATTGTTCGTTTTCGGCACAACAAACAAACTCTAACTTAAACTAGAAATGGCAGTGGAGAGCTATATACTAACAAACTCTAAACTAAACTAGAAATGGGAGTGGAGAGCTATATACTAACTCGTGTGAGGAATGCGTCTTTTCGACTGACAAAAGCTAGCCAGAATGCCGATGTATGGATAGGTCTCCAATGCCAGCGATCAAATAATCAAGTGCGCCTTCTTTCAAATCTCGCGTTGCCTCTGGATCATCAACTACCGGTGCAATCGACTGAATCGAACTATCAGCGAGCGCCCTGTTCAGTTTTAACTCGTCATCCTCCTCCTCTTCCTCGGAATGAATTCCCAAATCCCAGAGCTTAAAGATCTCACTACTTGTAACTCCGGCATCTTCTGCTGAACTGGCTGTATCAACTGGTAGTAAATCACTCTGATCAGTTTCTTTAGGGTTATCGCGCTCATAAGTCGACAGCAAGGTGCCCAACTGGAAACTTCCTGATGTATCACTGTCAACATGTTGCGGCTTCATTTTTGTTTCTTCATCGACTCGATTTACTCCAGCAGAAGGTTGTGCATCCTCAACATCACGAAGAAGTGTCATCATGCTACCACTCCCTTCAGGTCGCAATGAGAGTATTCGATCCACGTACTCCATCATAGAATTCCAATTGCCATTGAAAGTCTTAGGATCTTGACCCAGAAACTGCAGGGAGCACAAGACATCCATTTCCTCCTTTGATAGCATAGTGTCGATGTTCAGGTTTGGTTCATCACCAATTGTCACGCGATAATGATCATCACTGCTTGGAGAAGGCTGCTCAATTACCACAGCGTCATCAGGAGGAAGCATCTCAAAATCATCAGTTCCCCCAACACAACCATTATCGTTCATGGCTCCGGACAAGGAGCCCTGTGATTTGGGTGCGAGACTAAGCACTTGTAGTAATGCATCGTTGATAGAGCTCCAGTCACCAGCTGAAATATCGGGGTCTTTGACCAGGCATGAATCAGCCCAAGCAATGTCTTCAGTGGAAAAAGCATCACCGTTCTGGGTAGATACAAGAGACTCGAGACTAATGGAAGGTATAGAACCTTCTGCTGGATCCTCATTGACAGCCATTGCTGTAAGACACATGAGCATAATCTTAACAAAAAGCCATGAAAAGGAAATATATATGCTCAATTTGACCAGCAATGAAGAGAATTTATCAAGGAAACTAAGAACACAGAGTATTGATTGGATCGGGCACTCGGATAAACCTTGAGTCAATACTTGTGGGTTAACTACACCAAAATTAAGAGGTAAAAAAAAAAACTGTTGGATGGCTTGTTTGTTTTGTCCAACTGATACTAAAATACTGCAGATATTCTTGGAACATGGCTGCAAGGGGCACCTAGAAGTTGGGCCAGGAGTAAAAGTTTGAAGGATGTCTACGGATTATCAATTTTACAACGAAAAATACGAATCGTAATGCTCATCAATGTTTAACCCCCCTGCAACAAGCTTACAATCGGATAACACTCAATTACTCAAACACCTTGCATGCCAAAGTTGGGACACTATAAGATCAAACTTTATACACCTATTAACCCAGTCGGAGAAAATGATTCCAATGTTTAATCAAACAGCAAAACGGAAGGTATAACCATTGAATTGGCGACTGCTCAAGCTTTTCGCCTGATTAAAGGACGAAACAAGCCCGACAAATTGGTTCAGAAAACTACATACAAGCAATCGAATCTCAGACTTCTTCGAAATTAGCATATCAAGCTCGAACTGAAAGAGCAACTAAACGGAATGATCACACGGCGATTGGGACAATATGCAAATAGAGCGAGGAAGAGGTTGAAGAACGTTACCAAGTTTGGGCAGAGGAAACGCCAACCCTGGTGATTGTAATTGATCGCAGAAGCAAACACCAAAACCCTAAATTGGGAGAAGAAGATTTGGAGATTTCCTGAGACGAGGGTTTTGAATTTGGGGAAATGGAGGCGGGGAAAAAACAGCACGGGTTAGCCAAGTTATGGGTCCGTCTGAGGGACGGGACGAAATGACGTCGTTTATCCTTAATCGGAGCGATGGCGAGAAAAAGAAAATTTCCGTTGCCGGGACTTGAACCCGGGTCTTTCGGGTGAGAGCCGAATATCCTGACCAACTAGACTACAACGGATCTTGGTTGAGGGGATTGTAGTTAATATTTAATTACAAATGAATAGATTTTTTAATTATCGATACTATTATTTTCGTTTTATTCAAATCATACCCTCTTTATAACTGTGACATATTTAATCAGGTCGAAAAAAATCTTAGTAATAGTGTATAAAACTAACATACTAATGAGAGAATGCGTCCTAAATTAGAAATAATGAAATCGATAAATCACCATTGTAATATCAAGTTGTACTATGCAAGGCCAGATTGACAAGTTAGGTGACTCTCAATATCGCTCGTAGGCAGGAATTATTCCATGAATTATAAACGTAAAACTTGTGCCACATATTCGCGCGGATGAATGAATTCCGCATCCTATTTGTAAAGAGGGAACCAAAACTCTAAACTACAAGGCATCCATACACTATACAACTAAACTCGTACCTACTAGGCTACTATCTATGTAGCACATACATATTGGGCTCCAATATAGGCGATGGATTAACTTTGCAAATTAACTCTAAAATCCTCGAAAAATTATCTTGTCGATCTCTAATTGTGCCTCCAATTGTTACACGGGCTACTACCCGCCAAATCGAGTGAACAAAAAATCTTCTCTATTTAACCTAGAACATCTCATGTTGCAATGTTTATAATTTTTAACAATGCCGCATATATCCTAATCGAGCCTAACTTAGAATGATGACCATAAAATAATAATAATAATAATAATAATAATAATAATAATAATAATAATAATAATAATACAGAATACAACACACATTAGGTTTCTTGCTCTCTCTCACTTACCTTCCACACGAGCAACGAGCCAAACCTACTACAAATGTTTCCAACCATAATGAAAGCCGAGAAAGTACTCTTGTGTACTGTATTACCCGGGGAGCTTGTGACAGAGGAGGCCAATGAAAATGTTCGTGAATGATGCATGTTGGTGTTGGCGGACGGGCAGAGTAAATTGGGCGGCGGTTTAGCATCAATGAGAACAACAAAAGGGAAATAAAAGGAGGGTGGGGGGGACAACATTACTAAATTCAAGTTAGGTGATCCGTGCAATGCCTCATTGTTTTAGAAGTGAGTTTGTTGGGCACTTGGCTCATTACATTTGTTGTTTTCAATGCTCGAATTGAAAATATAGCACGTCGTTACAAGTTCTTACATCGAATATATGTTTATCCATATTATAAAAGATTGGAAATTCTTATTCTACTAAAGAGTTGAGATACATGCTACTTCATTTAAGTTTTGAGGCTAAAATAGAACCACCACCATTGCCAAAAATGCTCGCTTGGGCTCAAAACTGTGTCATATAGTGCGATGGACATTTTGTCATTGTTGGATGGACGCAAAGTCATTTCAATTACAAAATTTGTCATCACATTTATCCAACAAGGCAGCAATCGCAGAGCGCGTCCAATGCGCGATTCAATAACTCTGCACCGTGTGAGCTCATTCTTACCGGTGAATATGAATGAGGTATGAGTACCATGACTCAATTGGGAGATAGCAACACAAAAGAGGCATACTCATTTCATTTTGAAGCCAACAATGGGATATCAATGGCATCCAATTTCAATCTCCACCTCAAAAGAATTGGGACTCCTTATCCCAATTCTCCTTATCCTCAAATTTTTTCTCCCCTAATAAGAAAAGGAAAATCACAAGGAGATCTTGTGATACCTAGCCCAACAAACAAAAGACTCTTACCACTCTACCCTCTTTTTGCCTTTATGGCCCAAAGATGAGAGACACACAAATACACACACACCACCCTCATCTTCCCCTTCCCCTAAATCAAAATGCCAACCCATAAAAACATTGGCATTCATCTAACCCTTAATCAAGCCATTTCTGCTACTAATTTATCAACTAAAATCAGGATTAGCAGCAAAATAAGCCAGCACGCCGACAAACGGCGCATTGATATACGTGGTGGGCTCGGACTTCTTGAAATCGGCCCGGTCGTCCGGGTACTCGTCGTCCTCGCTCGGTCCGCCCACGATCGCACCGGTCAGCACGTTCGGGTTCGGACCGGTCGAGTTGAAGTAAACCGAACCTTCTTTACAAGCGATCGCCGCCGGGTGGTCCTTCACCGACGGCAAGGAGGAACCACGGTGGTGAATCCGTTGCGGGTAGTTGTCGCTGTACCCGACCATGTACGACAAGCCCTTCGGGTTGTCGCCGAGGATGTAGTCGACCTGCCTCTTGGCCTGGGAGCGGAGGGCGTAAGGGGAGACGTCGAGGTTCCCGCAGTTGACAGACTGAGAGGTCCGCTCGAGGTAGTTGGCGTAGGCTAGGAGGAGGAAGGAGATGGTGGTGGCGTGTTGCAGGTTGCTGCCGCCGGGGCGGTAGATTAGGCCGCCGGGAGTGTAGTCGATGTGGGAGGATGAGGATTGTGGGATTAATGTGCACATGAAGCTGTCTGCCGATGCTTTGTAGGATTGGAGTGTCACCATGCTACTTTCTAGCACTTCCTGTGTGGATTAGATTCAAGAAAATGGGAGATTTCTAGTCAGTTTTCTGTGAATTGTGGATCGATTCTTAGAATTGGTAGAGCAGAGTTGGAAGAAACAGAGGAAATGGGTAACTATGAATGAACATTCTTTTTTTGAATTTGAACAACTCAAAGTTATTGAGACGAGCGAGCGATTAGTACCTTAGAGACGAGAACGTTAAGGCCGGCATGCTTATTATCCCAGCCGAACTCGTTGATGTTATCTTCAGCTCCAAGTGTTTTGCCATTTTCTTGTAGGTAATTCAGGTATGTGTCATCCGATGATGCCCTTCTCAACCATGCTGCTCCCCACAACAATTCGTCCTTTCGAAGACGAAAAAAAAGGGATTCGATTCGAGTCAGATTAAATGTGGTAGAACAAGGGTACAAATTGAGACGTGAGAGAGGAGGGCTTACTTGGTAGCCATCAAAGTCGCAGTAAAACGGGCAGGCACCTTCTCTAATGATATCGTTGTCACTATAAGCTCCTCGATGCGTATCCGCGTATTCGAAAGCCTTGGCTGCGTTTCTCAGCAATGTCTCGGCGTAACCGGGGTCCGACGACCGAAACGCCATCGACGAGGCAGCCAGAGCTGCCGCGGTCTCCCCGGCGACGTCGGATGCCGGGTTGGGTGCGTCCACGGCGTAGACAGTCCTTGGGGTGTCCATATCTTCCGGTCTCTCCCAGCAATTGTGGTCTGCATTTGGATCCCCCACCTACAACAACACAAGGAAGCTTTAATTTGGTAACGACAAACAATGCACGTAGATGAATTAATGAGTCTATTCGGTGGTGCCATATTGCACAAAATACTGAACTCGTTGGCCCATGCTTGCCAATTGCCCATATTGGACAAAAAATGGCATCATCTCCTTTTGTTTGTTTTCCTCTTCTCTACGTGGAAGCATTTTACTGTGCTACTTTTACCTTTTACTAGTGAAAATGCTTGTAAAAGTCAACTGGGTAGTTGTCATTGGTAAGAAAGGATTCACCAATCGTTAAGAACAGTAACTTGGAACAGAATCTGCCAATCTGGGTTGCCCTAATGAGTTGGTAATTGGGATTTGTATAAACAAATGCAATTAACTGATGGGCCATGGATGGGAACAGTGTTGGATCCGTGAATTCATCACGGCATAAAGGACAAAAAGGGTTGGTTAACTTAAGCAATAGTCACCAGGCAAAATAACACAGAAAATGTAAACGCTAATATTACACTCACATAGAGACACACATTCGAGAGCATCCACAGGGGAATCTCACTTTGAAGTTGTCAGTCTGATTCATAGTTATTTTACTTAAATCAAACTGAACTTCTCGCTGGATTCCTTCTTGGATTCTGGATGTACAGTTGGAGATCATGAGTATTTTACTCCCAAATAGAAGCATGGATTCTAGATTTTGACTAACTCCATACTTTCGCTCATTTCAGACCTAATTATGTCAATTTAGTCTTACAACTCAGTAACATAGCTATAAACTCGTGCACAAATCTTTTCGGTCATCAAATATACTATGAGAACAATTGAGAAGTGTTTAGCACACCATTACAACGCAATCGTTCATTTTCTCTCGCATTTTACGTTGAATCGAACGATCGAGAAAGTACAAGTACAATATTCTATATAAGGTTGGGCAATTTCTAATCAGAAAATCATTTGTGTTGGAAATTTTCTTTTCCATCACTTCGTTTTCATTTCGTGTTGGCTTTTCCGAGAACAGTCTCGTAATGACTCGTGGCGGTGGGGGCTCAGAATACGAAAGGACGAGTAGCGAACTTACTGACTGAGTAACTGAACCAAAGAAACCAACCAACCGGAAAAATCGCTAGCAAGAAAGAAAAAACGAATTTCCTTTTCAAAAAGTACGAAATTACCCAAACGCGATGCAGAGTCGATTGAGAATCGCAAAAAGCTGGAAATTAAATTTCCCGAATGTTGAACCGACTGACCTGAACGAAGATCCGGTTGGGAAGCTGGGAGACGGACTTGAGGAGGTAATCGGAGGACCACCGCACGGCGACGAGCGAGTTCCTGAGCTCGGCCGGTGGCATGACGTCGGCGAACTCGATTATACTCCAGGCGAGCATCGTGGTGGTGAACGCGAGGGGGAACCCGAACTTGACGTTGTCGCCGGCGTCGTAGTATCCGCCGGTGAGGTCGGCGTTGTAGGTCCAGCCGTCGGAGAGGCCGGAGTTGGCGCGCCAGGGGAGGCGCTGGTCGGGCGGGAGGTAGCCGGAGCGCTGGCCTTCGAAGAAGAGGATCGACTTGGCGAGCGCGTCGGCGTAGTCGTGGTAGGCGGCGGAGGCGGACGGCGGCGGAGGGAGGAAGGAATTGGCGGAAATTAAGAGGAGGAAGAGGAAGAGAGGGGAGAGAGTCTTCATTGAAAATTGAGGAGGTGGTGGTGGAATTAGGCTGTAATGTGAGTGGCGGGAAATCGACGGCGGGAGGTGGTGGTGGTTTTATAGTGGGAGAGGAGAGAGAGAGTGGTCACGAGAAAGAGGGAGAAGTGGCGGAGCGCCGACAGGCAGGCGGAGGAGGAAGGAAGAGGGAGAGTGGGAGAGAGAGAGAGAGTGTGTGTGTTTGTCAGAGAAAGGGGTCACATGTTTGGGAAGAAGAAGGGTAACCGTAAGGAGAGAGAAAGTGAGAGAGAGTTGAGTTGAGTGAGTGTGTGAAAGTTGAGTGAGTTCAGTTGAGTCTGTGGGACGAATGGGATTCCAGATGTAAAAAAAAAATACGTTATTACTTTTTTTTTTGTTTTGTTTTAATTCTATCTTGTTATATGGGTTTGGATTTGGGCCCTCGTTTTCTTTTTGGGCTCCCAGGAACTGACGGATTTGAGTCCGAAAATGGTATTGGAGATTGTATAAAAGAAAGGCAAAATTCAATTGTATTGCCAAAACTTTGACGTTTGTGATAATAATAGCCACTTTTGGGGAAATACCAATAATAGCCAGAATTTTGAAAATTTGATGACAATAATAGCCAGTTCCGTTACAAACTTTAACGGTGTTAGAAACTCCGTCAGTTAGATTAACGTTAGGCTGACTAGGATGTCAAATCATCACACACGTCAGCGACAAATCATCAAAAAATACGTTTTTACTTTTGTTTTTTTTAATTCTATCTTGTTATATGGGTTTGGATTTGGGCCCTCGTTTTCTTTTTGGGCTCTCAGGAACTGACGGATTTGAGTCCGAAAATGGTATTGGAGGTTGTATAAAAGAAAGGTAGCGGTAGACTGTTTTGTATTGAATTGTGATTTAACGGTTTCATATTATTAAAAAATGGTTTATTAGTAATGTAAGATTATTGTTGAAACTGATGAATGGGAGGATTTGGGAGGCGAGATTAGTGTTGAAGTTAAGTGTAATTTAACAAGGGTCACGTTTTTCTAGATTTTAATGTAAGGTTATAATATGTGTATTTATATCGTGAGATAACATTATAAAGTGGCGCGGGATGCCCCTCATCTAACATTTAGATTCAATCATGGGAAACAGTTACAATTGCTCATTTTCAGTCCCGAGTGATGGTGTTTTGAAGTTTTGCATGTTAAATCATTACTTTGTAACAAATCAACACGGTATAGACACATGGATCAATATTATTTTTTTATGCACTTCGACATTACATTGTTTAGTTGTTGAGTTTTTAGTTTACGAATGATGTACATAATGTTAATTTATCAAAAAAATGCCGCATTAATTTACCCTACTTTTAACACAAACCAAAAGTTACAAAAGATATATATGAAAATAAGAAGGGTTTCTAAACCTAAAACCAGCAATCACCACAATCTAATAAATTCATTTCATGTTGTATAATACTTTTTTTTTAAGCAATGTGTGTATTGTCTTACAGTTTGACACTTCCAAACGTTGTATTTCCGACGATGAATGTATTCGGTGACTACAACCGTCAGAATTGCAACTTCCAAACCGTCTGTAATTTTTAGCTCCGCCAGACCGCCACCTGAGTATTATCACAATGTTCTGCATGTGTAAAGCCCTTAGACTTAGGTTATTGAGCCTGTGGATACCAGGGTTACTTTGCTCTTAATTGCGTGAGCTGTAAGGTAACTCTTCAAGTCACCGTACGTACAACTTGTTGCTGAGGTTACAAGCGATTCCCTCTTATCGCCAGAGCAGAACAGAGGACTGGGTCGCCGCCGGCCGACATCGAGGAGCGTGCCCCCAGGAATCAGGGAATTTCGCAAGAACCAAGATACAAGCAAAGCCAGGTTCAAAGGACACACACATTAAAATAGGGAGGGAAAAGTGGTGCAATTTAAAGCTGCGGTTTGCAAGTTGCTGACCGGTAATTGGTGGCAGCTTTGTGGGTTTCCCTTTTTCTTCTTCTGATGATGATGACGAATGTGGTTCCCTTTTTCTCTTTCTGGTGGTGTTTGCCATAACGGTATTGGCCGACGGTTGGGCGGCCGGGGAGAATGTGGATAGGGCTTATCGGCGAAGATATTAACAGCACTAACTGTTTCTGATTGGAGAGATCTGTAATGTGACTGTGGAATCTTTTAAATTTGATAAGACTCTTTTTGTTTGGATTGGCTATTAGGGGAGCTTTGCCTTTCTTACAAGGAAGAAATCATTTTTGTACCAATACCATAAGTGTGTTTTATGGATGAAGTTAGTTATGAATATGATCACTTCATTAGGGGCGAATATAGCAAGAACTTTGCATGATTAAACCTTTATCTTAAGGGATTAGATAAGATGAAAGTTCGATAATTTGGGCGAAAATAAATCCGTATTATTGCCAATGACCACTATAGTTATAGGTTTAGTTTGCTCCAGCAGCCTCCAGCAGTCGTCGACCTTCCTGGCGAGCTCCACGGACGATGCTCGTAGCAGCCTCCATATAAAGGGAAGAGAGGTAATAACATGACGGCACGGTAGGCACGCCATGTCGTCAGCAACATTGAATTAGAGCTTTCTAATTCGTGAATCAATTCAAAACACAACCCACTCTTACGTCTCTGCACTATCGGGGTTAAAACCGCCTTACCATGTGCTAAACTTCGAAATCAACTAATAATTTTTTATTATGTGTGTTTAATAGGATATCCATTATCGACGATACTAACTAACCCTTCACTTTGTATGATCGTGCGAAACTGTAATTGTATGATAACGGATTGAGCTCTATCCTCATGTGCATGATCGAACTCCTAACCTCACATGCCTGGTTTTCTTTCCACATCAAGTGACGGTGCAATAGGTATGTTGCAAATAGTGAGGTTGATTAGTCTCATAAATATGTCTATTAGCGAAGGACACATGCATTCATAATCAATAATTAAGTTCACGGGGGCCCTAAATCCTCCATTTTTTGTCTTTCCTTAACAACCTTATCTTTATATTCTCCTTTGGGAGATTACTTGGGCAAAACAAGAACCTTTATCCAATAATTAAGGTGGCCGCCAATCCGCTGATGTAAGCTGAGAAGTGGGAATCAGTCTGATTAATTAAAGGATAATTGTAATAAGACAAATTAAAATCAGAACTGAAGGACGTATGAAAAAAGGAATAATACCACACACTTCAAAGCAATTTTGGGTTCTTATCTCAACCCTCTCGTCAGCCGTCACCATTTATGTACAAAACGAGTACAAACAAGCAGCTTTTATAAATAATCATTTGGATTTTGTACCCTTCGCGTAAATTCGTAATTTTTGAAAGGTGAAAGGAATCCGAATATGTTCTACCGCTATTATTATTAGCTTTTAATTTGAAGGTCATGGATATCGAAATCTATAGTGTACGTCCTCTTTGACATCGTCCAATAACATATCAAATATTTCTTAATGACGATTATTTATGTTCTAACAATGGTTGACTATAGTATAATAAGATCGTAATAATATCAACTTCATATCCAACCACTAAAAACACACGAGCAACATGTATATCATCTTAATTTTGCTAACACGCTAACCAATAAATAAGAATTGGCGTCGACGCTTATCGACACAGTTAGATTGCGGAACTTGTCACTTGTTTTTTTTTTTACAGTAAAAATCATCCTTTATTCCACTTCAACTCGAGAACCAATTACATTGATCAAAGGAAATCAGAAATTAAGTCAAGAATATTAATACAGTTAACTGGGAGAGAAGATCTAGCGAGAGATCGAGCAACCCAATCCGCCCGAACATTAAACTTTCTTGTAACTGCTTTGACCTTCACTTGTGGGTTCGACCGAAGGATAGAGATCATTGAGCCAATACAAGCTGATCCCCTCCACGGCCAACTTCTAGGATCATGATCGAGAGCTTTGACCAACACCTGGGAGTCAGACTAGACAACACATTCAGTGCCATATTCTTGAGCTAATTTGAGACCTTCCAAAAGAGCTTTTGCTTCGGCTTCGAGCGGGGTGGAACAAAGGAGAGTATCAGCTCGCCCATCACAAACTTGTCCATGGTGGTTAGAAACCACAACACCATATGCCGCTGGCTGGGAGTCGCTTATGAACAACCCATCACAGTGAATCACCAAATTATGATTGCTTGGCGGTGGAGAAGTCAGTGAGTGGGCTCCCCTGAGCTGAGGAGGATGAGGAGGGGAGTCGGGAGGGGGGGACCTCGGGCAAGTTGTCCATTCAATGAAATCCTTGTAAGTGCGCAAAATCACGTTCGGATGCCAATGGATCCGATTCTTGAAAACACATTCATTTCTAGCTTTCCAAATATTCCAACAAAGGAATACAACATGAGTAAGGGCTCCCAGGTGGATAGTATCCTTGATGGAGAAAATCCAATCCAGGAAAGAGGTAGAGAGAGATGGCATAGGGAGGTTTGGGAAGATAACGTTCCAGGACTCCCCAGCGCGGGGGCACGAGAACAGGCAATGATAGAGGGACTCGATGGGACACAGGCACACTTGGCAAGTAGAGTTGGGGGAGCATTTCCTATGGAAGAGTCTCTCTTTTGTTGCAAGGCCGTTTTTAGCACATCTCCAAACAAAGAATTTAAGCTTTGGGAGGATGTCAAGATTCCACATCCATTTCCACTTCTCAATATTACCTATCTGCTGGGCCGCAGAAGCATAATGGTGAATCGCATGGTATGCCGTCTTGACGGAAAAACTCCCGTCCTCGTTTAAACTCCAAGCCTAGAAATCCTTTGATTCTTCCTTGTTAGATGTGCATGTTAACGCTAGTAGAATGCCAACAACTTGTGTTGTATGGCTGCAAAGCCTGGGCCTCTGCGATCTGCATCGGCACGTTCCCCCAATTGGTTCTCTCTTTTGCAAGCATCAGCATTTTCAGGCCGTTGCTCTTTTTAGCGCCGCAACTGTTTTGTAACTGAATATAAGAGCGTGCCCTTTTTGTAAGTTGGTTGGTTGTTGGATGCCCCTTTTTTCTAGCTTCATGGATTCCCTTTGCCGCAGTTGCAAGAAAGATATCAAGTTGATTGAGGACTGTGGATATCAGGATTTGGATACATAACAGACAGCACTAACTGCTTTTTACACATTCTGCAGTACGATGGCTGTGCTTAATTGTGCTAGCTTCTTCCTTTTTGGAAGGTGTAGCGGTGAAGCCAGTTTGGGGTAAAGCAGAGCCATGTACAGCAAACAGTTAACACAAACACCTTTTGCTTCCTTCTCGAATATGAGCATTTGGGATGAGTTGTTGTCGATGATAAAGAGTTTGTTTCGTATTAAGTTTTGACTTGTTGATCATGATGATAAGAGTTCGTCGAATTCGAACAATTTTTTTTTTTTTAAATTTGCATCATTTAATAGAGATGAGATCCCGTATATATTTATAGATATTTCAAGAAGAAACAGTTAAATACCAAAGATATACAAAACCTTTTTGTAGGGCGAATCACAAAACAAAAAAGAGAAATGTTAGTTGCTATTAAGGTTCCTTTGCTCTAAAAAGACCTCTAGTGAAAAGAACTATAGAAGTGATGTAGAATTTGGGGGCAGCACGGTACCGTTTTGCTACGGAGCTCTTGGATTAAACGGCGCCGTTTGGAGAAATTTAATTTCTTACATGAAAATCGAAAAATTTAAATCCAGTGAATGTCGAGCGAAAAGAGGGGCATTGCAGCTTGCGGAAAACCTCGGCTTCTAGGTTTGAGTTCGTTCAGCTCCGTTTCCTGTTTGCTTGCCCGCCGGCATTTCGCGATTGCTTCGCCGGAGGAACATATCCGCTCAGGGTGTATAGTTCAGGTTAGTTGCTTAACTGATTTGGTAGGTGCTTCGATCTGCGGGGTAAATGCATTTTTCGTGTCAGCGAGTCCAGGGGGTTAAAAAGCTCTGTTCATTATCTTATTTTCAAAATCTTCCTCTTGGGATTGTTCGCCAGAATAGGTCGCAGGAAAGGGGAGGGTTTACGATCCAATGTGCTAGCTTACCGGTAGGACGAATTTTTGGAGACCCCGGCCTTATGTTTTAGTTAGGGTTTCACTTTGGAATTTGTTGCTTTTTAGTGTTGGATTACGGGGTATTATTATTGCTTGAAATCAGCCTGGAGATTGTGTTTATCGCTTAGAAATGGCTCTGTACCAGGAATGTTGGAATATTTTAATAGTGAAGAGTTTTTTTGGAGGTGGGATGAAGCTTGTTACATGAGTGTTGAATATGTTATAATCCTTGATGGTCTGTTTTTTTTTTTACTGTTGTGGTCGAGTAATTATGTTGTTTGTTTCCACCTGGATTTTATTATAAGTGGGTTTATTTGTTCTCCCATTACCTTCGCTTACTGTTCATAGGGAGAATGAGAATATGATAAACTTTTGTTGAGAGCATTGGCTCATTTGTATGATGAAGAGACTCTGCAAGTAGCAGCCTTTACTGAAATGAATTCAAACTACCAATTTGTAAGATTTTAAGCTTAATATCTGTTTCCTTGCTGCTCATCAGTTTTATACGAATATTTTTGTTGAATAACCACAGAAATTTTACAGGCGGGCTCTTTCATTATGACTTCCATGTGTGCTTTAGTGGTAGAGCCTGACTGAATGGGTGGTTGGGAAGAAGGGAGGTTGTGTGAAGTAATTCATAGTTGTGTACGCATGATGATGTATGAAGATATTGATTGTCTGGCAGGAGGTGTAGTAGTTCTTAACTAAGGGTTTGTGGTGCTGAGTGCAGGGAGGTTGATGATATGCTATTGACCTTTGGGGTGGAGTGCTTGATACAAATTTTATGCTGTTTGGCGTTTGCTTATGGGGTCTGGTGTTTTTGTTAATTTGGAGGGCGAAGCGAGGGATGTGAGTTTGATGTACGCATGATGAGTATGAAGATATTGATTGTCTGGCAGGAGGGGTTCGATATTCACTAGGGATGTCGCAGTTGTTAACTATAAATGGTTTGTGGTGCTGAGTGCAGGGAGGTTGATGATATCTTATTGACCTTTAGGGTGGAGTGCTGATGAAAATTTTATGCTGTTTGGCGTTTGCTCATGGGGTTTGGTGTTTTTGTTGTTTTGGAGGGGAAAGTAAGGGATGTGGCTTTGAGCTCTTGATGGATGATCACGGGTAATGTGGTTGTGATGTGGACAGGGTGGAGGCGGAAGCTGTTGTGGGTTGGTGGTGTATGTGGTAGTTGATAAGAAGGGGGAATTCGAACATGAGTTCTGACAGCAGGAGCCCGATCAGAAGCAGGAGTAGAAGCAGGAGCCCAATAGACCGCAAGATCCGATCGGACCGCTTTTCATATCGTGGTGCCGGTGCACCTTACCGACGAGAGGCCCGACGGGGTTCAAGGTTTTTCCATATGACTCTTGAAATCCTCTTCTCCTTACTGTTTCACCTGAAGTTTCTTAGAGGGGCTATAGTTAATGTGCTAGAGGATTTTACCTTATTGTATTCGTTCCTTTCAAATTAACTGAAACCTCTTGAATATGTTAGTCATGAAAATCTTTGGCTGTGAAGCCGTTGAAGATTATCATATTTTAACGCTAGATTGTCTGGTTTGTATATTTAACTACCACCCCATAATAGATAGGATATGGCAGTTTCTTGTTTTCTTATATTGCATTGCACTTCTGCCAAAATCATTTGGTTTCATTTGTTGGACAGCGCGAGCTTCCTTCAGTTGCTAGTCAGAAAATTTGAAACTAGAAACTGTATGATTGCTGTTTAATTTTGGCTTTCTTAGTTTGTGTATTACTTTTTACCAGTCAGGGAAACCTATGCAAGAACTGCAAACGGCCAGGCCATTTTGCTAGGGAATGCCCAAATGTTGCCATCTGTCACAACTGTGGTCTTCCAGGGTACGTGATCTATGTACATGATGCTTTAAATGAATCAATCATCATTCGTCGGCTTGGAATTTGTTATCTCTTTGCTATATAAGTAAACTGATTTTGGATTTCTTGTAGGCACCTTGCGTCGGAGTGCACCACAAAATCACTGTGCTGGAACTGCAGAGAATCAGGTCACATGGCTAGCAACTGCCCGAACGAGGGAATCTGCCACACGTGCGGCAAGGCTGGGCATCGTGCTAGAGACTGCACAGCTCCTCAACTGCCACCGGGCGACCTGAGACTGTGCAACAACTGCTACAAGCAAGGCCACATTGCTGCAGATTGTACGAATGACAAAGCGTGCAACAACTGCAGGAAAACAGGCCACCTGGCACGCGAGTGTCCCAACGAGCCTGTCTGCAATACGTGCAATGTCTCGGGACACGTGGCCAGGCAGTGCCCGAAAGCCACCGCTGGTGTAGGTGACCACCGCGGCGGTGGTATGAGAGGGGGCAGTTTTCACGACGTGATGTGCAGGAACTGCCACCAGTATGGACACATGAGCAGGGACTGCATGGGCCCGCTGATGATCTGTCACAACTGTGGCGGACGTGGTCATCGTGCCATCGAGTGTCCTTCCGGAAGGATGGTCGACCGCTATCCTCCGAGGAGTAGGTATTACTGAATTTGTACGCCGGTCTGGCGCCGAGTTTCACTGCTGGAACTTACTTTGCTGAGTAGTGGATCTATCTATTTGATTATTGAACTTCAAATGTAGCGTGAAATCAGTTTTGTGATTCCGGATCATAGGGCGTTGAGCAGCTTTCTAGGGCTTGTTGTTTGAAATAAAGGATCTGATTCTGTAGCTTGATCGTGTTGTGTACTTTGATTGTTTCGATTGATACAGTTCGCAGTTTGTAAGTCTGGATTTTGGACCGACAATGTTGGTATGACTGTGGTTTTTTATCTTTTATCTCTAGGGCACAGGCGTCAGCATGCCTGCTTGCTTTCTTCGTCTTCAACAACATTTTTATGATGAAGTTGAACTCCTGGGAAGTGTTCTTAAATATCGACAGTACCGGTTTTACATTTGATCCAACAGTTCCTCGCCACTATTCTGGATCAATCGAAACCATCTGCATAAAAACCACTACGCAAAGAGGTTCCACCAAGTCAGCAACTCCAAAATACTTCACAACCATAGTAATCAATCCTTCATTTTTATCTGGCATCCATTATCCCAAAAGTCAGCATGAGAAAACTTCTATTGACACTGTTTAAAGGCTACAGCCAACTTAGGGCAAAGCAAACCTATATAGCAACCTATACAACTACAGTCGAGACCACTACTCCGAAAAGGGACCAGAACACTACTCAGAAAATGGCCTATGAGTTGAATCCATATCAGAATATACTGCAGAAGACTAAGATAAGAATGCACAATTCATCACATTATTCAGCCGCTCCTTCATGCTCACCATCATGCTTCAGAGTCCTACTCTTCCCCACTGTCAGTCTCTCCATCAATGCCGCCGAAGTAATCATCCACATCATCATCATCATCATCAACTTGAGCCTCGTCGTCAATGCAGATCTCCTGGTTGTTGGGAAGCAAAAGACGAGCTTCCCAGTGGCTCGGTCCTCTCGACTGTCTTCGCAGCGATACAAAATCTGTGCGGCCTGTTACTTCATGGTCACAACTATACAGGTGCATGTTCACCTTCTTCAGGACAGCTCCAGCTCTGAGCAAATACACTATCATCTTCCAATCACCTCCGAACTCTACAAGATCCTTGATCTCGATTACCTCCAGGCTAGATAACAAACACTTTGGCGTGCCAGCAGTAGTATCTAACCTTTTCCACCATATTGATCCACTGGTACTCCTCTGCTCCACCGGTACTCCTCTGCTCCACCGTACATATTCATTATGAGAAACAAATCAATGGAAGGAAGATTCCAGTTTAAGAGAATGAACATGGGGGCTCACCAAGTCAATGACAAGAGATTGTAGTATGGGGGCTGAGTCGAGCAAGGAGTGCAGAACCAAGCTGCGCCCTCCATTTCCGATCGTCAAGTGTGTCAAATTGGGGAAGACTGGGAACTGAACATGATCATTGCGACCTGATAGACGACTCTGAAACAAAGATTGAAGTGCGATCTTATATCAACCAAAATCAATCAATGGGAAAGAAAAGCATGGAGTTTATGGGGGTGAAAATTGGTTGCTTACAAGAAACGGCCGAGATAAGCGGATTTTCCTAGCATTGGAGATTGCAGTGAGGAGCCCAATCAGGTCAAGATACGATCTTGGATTCTCGTGGAGATCAACATCTGCTGAATGAAGGCATGGAAATCGACTACTGCCCTTAAACTCCCACTCAATACAAGGGTCCGTTTTCCTACCCAGATCTTCAATCTGGGTAGGAAAACGGGCCCTTGTATTGAATCCAGTACAAACCCTGAAAGCTTGGCAACTTTCAGATTCTCCAAAGTGTAGAAGCTCTCTGGAATTCCGAATTTCGACTTCCCCCTAATCGTAACGTCAATCTCCTCAACAACTAGGGTACCAAACACCAATTCCCTCATGGACAGTTTCTTTTCAAGAAGCTTCAAGAAACGATTCCCCGCCGAACAATGGAAGCGGAAGCGCCTCACAGATTTGAGATTCGTGTGCTTGCTCAGGACATTGTAGACGAAGAGTGGGAAATCGACGACGTGGGCCTGGCTGGACTCCATTCGTGGGCTCGAAACATAGACTGGGCCGAGGAATAAAACTGGCCGGACTCAAATCGTGGATGACGTCGTCGGGCAAAGAGCTTAGCCTGTCGTCGGCGTTGATTACCGGCTTTGGCGTCGCCATTTCAGCAATGTTCTTCGTCTCCAGCAGTCCAGCTACGCACTGGCTTCGTAAACTGAGAGTGAGACACGGGAAATATTGGGAAACGGGGGTGAAATTTGAACGACGTTGGAAAGGAAGGCGAAACGGTGGGGGAGTTAATATTTGTGGGCCTGGCTAGAGTGTAATCATGGGCCCAGTTCGGAGCATGTTTTGGGCCCTCTTTTTCTCCTTCATTTTCGATATGATCCAATATGAACTCTGGCCGGATTTGGGATCAAACTCAGCAATGTAAAACCCTGACATCAGGTTGGAATTTGATCCCTGAGAACGTACTCAAAGTCACAAGATCACCATTTCATAGTTCCCAGAAGACAAAACATTAGTAAACTTATGAAGTGACCTAGTTAAGAAGGTAGAAAAGTAAAACATCCTGTCCTGAACAAAATGATCCAACAATGTGTGAGCTATCATGTAATCAGAATAGATCATACAAGACACTTTACCCCAGTATTCACCAGGACAAGAAATTGCAGTTCATCACATTATTCAGCTACTCCTTCCTGCTGCCCACAAACAACATTGCTTCAGATTCCCCACTCTTAACAGTAGCCCTAGCTGTCTGACTGTCTGTCCCATCATCGATTCCCTCGAAGTAATCACGCACAACATCGACAATATGAGTACCATCGTACCTATCAATGCGGATTTCTCTGTTGATGTGAAGAAAAACACGAGCTTCACAACGACTCAATCCTCTCGGCAGTTTTAGCAGTGGCACAAAATTTTCATGATCTTCTATTCCAATATCATTGCTATCTATGTGCATATTCATCTTCTTTAGGAGAGTTCCAGCCTTGAGTAAATATGCTATCAATTTCCTCTGATCCTCAGTTCCTACAAGGCCATTGATCTTTATTTCCTCGAGACTCGACAACAAACACTCTGGCGTGCGATGATGCTCCGATATCTCCCACTCCATGTTCCAATAAGGGTTCCGAAGATTTTCCAATATCTCCCACTCCGCGTTCCACAAGGGGGTCCCCTGCTTCGTCGCACATGATTCGTTATGAGAAACTACGGAAGGAAGATCGTAATTGACAAATGAACGTGGGGACTCACCAAGTCAATGACAAGAGATTGTAGTTTGGAGGCTGAGTTGAGCAAAGAGTGCAGAATCCAGTTACTGCCTCCCTTTCCAATAGTCAAATGCGTCATGTTGGGAAAGACACGCAGCTGGACATTATCAGGAGCCGACGGCTGATTCTGAAACAAACATTTTGACAGTATTAGCGCTTCTTATCAAAGCAAATTGATCAATCTGGCCGAAAGTACACTTTGGGAATGGTCATTACCAGAGGCTTCCCAGATAAGAACACTTCCTTTGCATTGGAGACATAATTGAGCACCTCATCCAGTGCATGATACGAGATTGGACACTGACCCACATCAACATGTGCTATATTAAGGCATGATAATGGACTACTACCAATAAACTTCAACCCTGCAAACGAGTCAAGATGAAGCTCCTCAAGATTTGGTGTTTCGATAGCAATATGATACGTTAGGGAATCGTCAAAACTGATCATCCGATTCATCTCCAAGTTCTTCAGAGATGGTGAGGAAACGACGAGTACGTCTAGCTCATTCCAGAACAAGATATAGCAACAGTTCAGAAGAGCCGTCTCTAGCACAGGACAACCAGAAATGAGGCTACTAAATGACTCGCAGTCCGCAATCTTAACATCGCAAAGCTGTAAAATCTTCATACTAGGGAGAAGAACCGACCCTTTTGCTGCAGCACTCAGTGTGACCCCTTCAAGCTTCACAATTCTCAGATTCTTCAAAGTGTAGAAGCTCTGCGGAAGGCAGCTCATACAATGGGTAGCTTCGACTGCAATGTCCCCGTAAATTCCTATATCCAACTCCTCGATTAGAGGAACAAACACCCATTGGCTCTGAAACCAAAACCCAGGACTCCAGTTCAGCTCTGGAAGCCCTCTTAAGAAATGGAAGTGGTAGCGGAAGCGCAAACGCCTCACGGAATCGAGATTCTTGTGCTGGCTCAGAACCTTGTCGACGAAGCGGTGGAATTCCAAGACTCTCCTCTGAACTCTATCATTAGCATATTGCACCCATTCGTGCGGCGGCCTGTACATGAAGACGATGTCCTCGGGAACTCCCTCGGAAATCCAGGAGTTGTCGAAATCGAGATAGGAAACCCTAGTCCAGAGATCCTTCCAGCGTCGGCTGAGGACCGCGGTTCCGACGGCGTACTCGGTTTGCAGGAAAGAGAGAATGTGGGAGATCACGTCGTCCGGCAAAGAGCTGAGCCTGTCGTCGGCGTCCATTCCCGACTTTCGCCTCGCAATTTCTTTCAGCAGTGCGATTCGCCTCCTCGCACTGGCTAGGTCAACCGAGACGGAAGGAAATGGAAAGATTGGAAGTGGTTGGCAGGTGAACTGTGAAGAAGGCGAAACGGAGAAGGGGAATTTACTATACGGGCCTGGCTTGGAATCAACTGATGGGCCGGAACCCAGCTATTCCACAGGCCTTAATGGGGATCAGTAGAACAGTAGAAATGGACTAACAAAGTTACTGAGTTGGGGATATCTATTGGATATTAATGGATGGGCTAAATTATACGTTTGGTCACTCGAATTATACAAATCTTTCATGTTTGTCATTCGAATTATTTTTCTTTCTTATTAATCACTAACTTTACGAATCGTTTCACCGCTAGTCACCGGCCGTTACATTCCGTTAAATATGTCCTACGTAGCAGTCAACTATAAAATTTGACCGTTAACTAGATGACGTGGAAATTAAAAAAAAAAGTATGTGTCCACCTCATTATTCCACTTACTTTGTGTATATGATTTATCATATTGCTTATTTAATAAAATTAATTAAATTATAAAAATAAATAATATGATTGATGTCACTCCAAATGATGTCGTGATGCCTGCCGACGTCGGCGACGGCGACCACCACTTCATTCCAGATCGGAGTGAAGGCTCGAATGATGACAGGGTGGTAACAGGGGGGATTGAGCTCCAGGAATCGCTTCAGCTGCTCTTCCAGTCCGCTCCGGCTGTAAATCCCCTTCTCCACCACCATTTGCGTCATTGAATCCCTAAAATCCCCGTACTGATCGTCCGAATCCTTCACCACCGCGATGCTGCTCCCAATCGCCCACGAGCACCACAACGACTTCTTCGTCTTCCTGCTCCACCTCGTCTTACGCGAGCGGCGCTGCTGCGGATCGGAGGAGATCCTTGGGTTAATTGCAAGTTTGGTCAATGAGTTTACTAAAAACGTTCATGTTTAGTCACTCGAAATATTTAAATCAATTAGTGATCACTCGAATTAGTAAAACTGTTCAAGTTTAGTCACTCTCCGTTAATCTCCATCAACACTGTTAATCAATTGATGATGTGGCTTAAAGAACTGTTGACTCACCCAAATTTAACTCACCACGACCCACCATGTCACTCAGCCCACCCTCTCGGTTTCCCTAACCCAACCCATAAACCAACTGTTCACAATCGTAAATTCTATTGTGTAATATTCATATTGTCTAATGGTAGCCAAGTTTTACTTGTGTTTTAAAGCACACGGGTTCAATCCACTTTGACTACATACTTTTTTTTTAATTATTTTCGCCCCCGGTCTCGAAATCCTGGCTCTGCCCCTGGTATGATTAGATATCCTGGCTATGCTCCTGGTATGATTAGATATTGAACTCGATTCTTATACGGATATGGATAAACACCGAACTATTTTAATTATGTTTTATGCCATTCCTATTGATATTTCCTCTTACCATTTGGCAATTGGCATTAGCCAATTCCGAGTGGCTCCGATATCATAGTTGGTCAACACGCTAGGTATTTAACAATCAAAGATAATAGTTGATTGTCAACTAGAACAAATTTAGTAGAATCGGATAGCTATTATCCAACTATAAAACGGAGATTTAGGGTTCGTTTGGAAGTTGTGATTGTTAGAGTTGTGTTTGTTGAATACATATATTGTGCACAATACAATGTTTGGAAGTGCCAAAGTGTTAAACAATGCATGCATTATTTTAGGTATGTCCCACCAACAATCACAAAAAATTATGCATTATACAATCTCAACTAGAAGTTGAGGTTCCTGTGATTGTTGGTTTTATATCTGTGTCAACCTTTTCTTTTCATTTATACCCTCAATATTTTTTGTCTTATTCTAAAAGTTGAGGGTAAATGCGACATTTTCCCATAAAAGTAACTTTATGTAAATCAATGCATAAAGTAGAATCTCAACAATGTATTGTTAAAATGTATCCATTGTATCAATACATGCATTTATATTATGGTGATTCATTACAACGCAACGATTTAACATTCGCAACTTCCAAACGACCCATTAAAGTCAGAAACCAGTAAGTAAAGGAAAATTTTCAAAAGTGCCAAAATGTAAATTGAATTAAGAAATCGAGGGAATAACCATGAAATTCACCCTTTCAGGACAAGATATCAATACGGAAGAATTAGCATTGTTGTTCTCAATCAATACACCTTCACATACGGCTGGAATTTGCTCGCTAGGAACGTACTCAAAATCAGAAGACCACACAAACAGAGCCATCAAAATCCTTCATTTTCATCCAACTTTTAATAGCACGCCAAAGAAGACGAAGAAAAAAAACATGAGAGAGCTCATGAAGCAACATAGATCAAGAGGGCAAAAGTAAAACATACTTTCCTGAAACAAAAGATCGGGCAATGTCTACGTTGTCCCATCATCAATTCCCTCAAAGCAACCATCCACATCATCGTCATTCATCGACGTTACTCTCATCGTCCCTATCGATGCAGATCTCTTTGCTGTTGGGAAGTAGAAGACAAACTTCCAAATGGCTCGGTCCTATCGACTGTTTCAGCAGTGATGCAAGACGTCTGCAGCCCTCTGTTTCATCATCACAACTACATACGCTCATGTTCACCTTCTTCAGAACAACCGCGGCACTAATCAAATATTCCATCATTTTCCAATAATCTTCATGCACTACAAGACCCTTCATCTCTATTTCCTCCAGGCTAGTTAACAAACACTCTGGCGTGCGAGCAGTTTCTAGCCTATCCCACATTATTGATCCACGGCCGTTGCTCTACTTCATCGTACGTATTCATTGTGAGAAACTACGGAAGGAAACATTCCAGTTAAGAGAATGAGAATGGAGACTCACCATGTCAAAGACGAGCGATTGAAGTTTGGGGGCTGAGCTGAGAAAGGAGTGTATAACCAAGCTGCGCCCTCCAGTTCCAATCGTCAGATGTGTCAAGTTGGGAAAGACAAGCAATTGAACAGCATTGACATGTGACAAATACAGCTGAAACAAACATTTAACAAAGATTAGTATGTTGTTATCAACCAAATTAATCAATGAGAAAAGAAAAAAGAGTGGAGTTTATGGAGGGAAATATGGGTTGGTTACAAGATTCCCCGCGGATATGCGGATCTTCTTTGCTGTGGAGATTTGAGTGAGCAAGGCAAACTCGGCATGGTTCCAGGAGCTACAACACTCGAGAGCAACATCTGCTGAATGAAGGCATGACAATGGGCTACTGCCCTTAAACTTCAAATCTGCAAATCGCCCAAGATGAAGATGCTCGAGATTTGGTGCTTCGATCACAATGGGACAAATCGGATCATGACAAGCGCTTTCAGACATAATCTTCAAGTTCTTCAAGTATGGTGAGCAAGCCTCGATTGTATCCATTAATTTCATGTTAGGAGGGCTGCATCTCTCCAGATGAGCAGTCTCTAGAACAGTGCAACCAGATATGAGCCTGCCTAATGACTTAACGTCATTCATCAGCACATCCTTGAGCTGTAAGATCTTCAAGCTCGGAAGAGAAACGGGTTGTTCAATTGTACCCAGGACAACCCCTTGAAGCTTGGCAACTTTCAGATTCTTCAAAGTGTAGAAGCTCTCTGGAATGCAGCGCATGCATTGGGGAAATCCGAATTCGGTTTCCCCACAGATCAAAACATCAATCTCCTCAAGGAGAGGACCAAACACCAGTTCCGTCTCAAACAAAGAATCAGGACTGAGCCTACTTTCGCGATAATAAACTGAACAGCGAAAGCGGAAACGCCTAACAGAATCGAGATTCTTGTGCTGGCGGAGTACCTTGTCCGCGAAGCGGCAGAATTCCAATTCTCTCCTCCCAAGAATCTCTGCAAATAACTTTCTGCCCTGGAAACTCCGCTGCTCAACCGGCGGCAAGCTCCGGAGGAAGATCTGCATGTCCAGGGGCTTGTAAACCAAGGTGTTGTCGAGGTCGAGATTGGAAACCCTCGCCCAGAGATCCTTCCACCGTCGGCTGAGGACGGCGGTTCCCACGGCGTACTTGGTCTGCAGGAAGGAGAGAATGTGGGAGATGATTTCGTCCGGCAAAGAGCTGAGCCTGTCGTCGTCGGCATCGGTTCCCGGCTCTGTCCTCGCAATTTCAGTAGCGGTTGTCTCCATTCACGGAGTGGACTGGGAGACGGTGTTGGCAAGTGAACGGAGGAGAAGAAGGAATAACGGACCATGTGGGCCTGGCTGGAACCGGATCATGGGCCCAGCCCAGAGTATTTCACTGCCTGAATGGGCTGGGCATCAGTAGTCATCAGACTGAAACTGAATGAATCCTGATTATATTTTGTACAAACGCATCCTCTATTATCAGAACGAAACAAAAATACATTTCCGTACAAAGAAACACAACAAAACTTTTATTAATAATTTCATTTTATCAACATCTCAAAAAGTACTATCACTTTAGCAACTTTTCGTGCTTACAAAACAACAAAAGAGAATCGCTCATTATTTTTTATTAATATCTTATAATTGCCAAAACTATACACTAAACGACTATACTGGTCGATGTTTCTAGAAATGTCTATCATGACCAAAATTATTACCTATAAAAACTACTTGTCCCAAATCGAAAATTCACCGTTAAGTTAGATGATCAACACCGTTGAATGACGATTAACAAATCATGTGTCACTGCATATTCTCGTAGAACAAGTCAAACAATTAAGTTAAAACGAATGAGAGCAGAATTGTCATTCTAGTTTGATAATGTTATGTTTCTTTAAACCGAGTCATAATTTTTCGGGTAAATCTCTAGCCCAAAACGACTTAGAAATTCAAGTTAGGCAAGCAGAGGAAGCTAACGCGTGGGGTAGTTGTTGAGATACTTATCGTTTAGATTTCAATATATTTCGTGCTATATTTTAGGCCCCGTAATCTCCACTTTAATCCCGAAACCGTCATCAACAACTTCTACAAAGATCAGAAATCCACAACCAAATTTTTTTAAAAAACAAAAAACAGGGGAACCGAACAGCCATGACTGAATCCGAAAACGAACAAAGCCCCAAAGCAGCAGCAGCAGAAGAGGAAGGAGGACTCTTGCAAAAGCTAGATCACTTGGAAGATTACTGGGTCTCTCGCAAAGCGCAGTTAAAGGCAAGGAAACCAAACTTACGCCCAAAACAATCTCCCCCATCATCATCATCATCTTCTTCAGGGCGGAACAGAAACAGGGGAGCCTTGTCAATGGTGGAAAACTCCCCACCGAGTTTAACGGCTTCCCTCCAACTGGGCGTTGGCTCTGCTCCGGCTACCGGGAGATGGAAAGTCAGGACCAACGACTTGGCCGTTGAGGAAGTTCTGATGGAGCGGAGGGCCGCCATTGTCAATGGCCGTGTCAAGGGAAGGAGGCTGTTCCATGACGATCAACAGGAAACAGAGGATGATGATGTTGCCGATTTTGTCGACTGGTATGGTTCCCATCCTGATATTGGCGGTTATCAGGACGACCAAAAAGGACCGGAAGAAGAAGGGTTTTCTCCGGATTCGTCTTCGTCGTCGTCTTCGTTCGTGTGCGATGAGTGTCTGAAGAAGGCGGCGGTGGACGTCGTCGGGAGAGAAGACAGAGAGGATGCTACTGCTGCTGCTACTACTCTGGATTTGGTGCCTGCAAAACATGTAATTCCGGAGAAGAGACTGTCACCTCCGTCGTCGTTGATTGCTGTTTCTCAGGGAAGGAGATGGAAGGTTCTTCTGATGGTCTGCCTCGCAATTGGTTTCGTTGTTGTTGCTGAATTCTTCATTGACGGTTACAGCAACCGAGATCTTGTTCCGACTTGAATTTTATTTCCTACTGCAACGGGTGAGCTTTGAGTAAGTTAATAGGTTATCTTTGTGTTTTCCAATCTAAAGAAAAAAGAAAAGAGCACATAAGTATCCGTACCCTTATGAATTATTAGGATGTACAAAACTTAAAATGCAGTTCATCATGTTATCAGAGGCTCCTTCCATATTGTCCTCGTCCATCAGTTTCAAAGAGCCCACACTGCGTCGTCTGAAATGTAGGTCTCATCGTCGCTATCGGTGTAGATATCGTCGATGTTGGGAAACAAGAGACGAGCTTCACAAGCGCTTGATCGTCTTGAAAATTTCAGTAGTGAATCAAGCTCTTCGCGACCATTCAGTTCTAGATAACGACCATTTACGTGCATGTTCACCTGCTTCAGGACGGCTCCAGCATTGAGCAAATATGCTATCGTGTTCATCTCGTCTTGATATGCTACAAGATCCTTGATCTCGATTTCCTCCAGAGTTGACGACAAACACTCTGGCACGCTAGCAGTTTCCAAACTCTCCCACAGCATTGGTTCTCCAGAGTGCTTCTCCAGCTTCTGCAGATTTTCATTACAAAAATCAATGCCTGTGGATGGAAGCTACCAATGTAACAAATGAAAGTCTGTGGACTCACCATGTCAACGACAAGAGATCGGAGTTTGGAGGCGGATTTGAGCAAGGAGTGCAAAATCCAGCTACTGCCTCCGGTTCCGATTGTCAAATGTGTCAAATTGGGAAAGACAGGAAGTTTAACATCATCCACCTCCCACAGATTATTCTGAAATCACAGGATTATCGCGTATGAACGTAATTCAATAATGGGCATGGTGTGAAAGTATATATGTTGCTTACCAGAGTCATGCGGGATAAGCACATTTTCTTTGCATTGGAGATCTGATTGAGGAGCCTCATCAGAAAACCATTCGAGAATTCGCAGTAGCCCGTATCAACGCTCGCTGAATTGAGCCATGACAAAGGACTACTACCCTTAAACTGCAACCTTACAAACTGCTTAAGATAAAGATCCTCAAGATTCGGTGCTTCGATAACAAAGGGGCACAACATCACATCCCTTCTCATATCATCACCAATCTTCAGTTTCTTCAAGGATGGTAAGGAAACCTCGATTACGTGCTTCCTGGAATTGAAAGAACTGGGTTTGCAACTCTCCAGATGAGCAGTCTCAAGAACAGGGCAGCCAGAAAGGAGGCTGCCTAATGAATCGAAGTCAATCTCCACAGAACAAAGCTTCAAAATCTCCACATTAGGAAGAAAAACGGACTGGTTTGTTGCACCCAGTACAACCCCAGAAAGCTCGGCAACTCTCAGATTCTTCAAAGTGTAGAAGCTCTCTGGAATGCAGCTCAAGCGCAAGGGTTCTCCGAATCTCTGCTTTTTCGAAATCATAACATCGATCTCCTCCATTAGAGCACCAAACACCAATTTCCTGTCAAACCTAGCTTCAGAAAGCCTCTTTGAATGAGATAAATGGAAGCGGAAACGGCGGACAGAATTGAGACTCGCGTGCTGACCCAGTACTTTGTCGACGAAGCGGGTAAATAGCAAGTGCCGCCTGTTTAAAATGTTTGGAACACACTTCAGTTTCGGCGCTTCGTCCAGGGACCTCAAAATCAAGCTGTTGTCGAGATCGAGATTGGAAACCCTAGTCCAGCAATCCTTCCACCGTCGGCTTAGGACGGAGGTGCCGACGGCGTATTTGGTTTCCAAGAAGGAAAGAAGGTGGGAGGTTATTTCGTCCGGTAAGGAGCTCAGCCTGTCGTCATCGTCGCCGGATTCCCGCCCTGTTCTCGCGATTTTGCTATCGTTCTTCGTCTCCATTTTCGGTCTGGCCGAGAAGTGGAAAGATGGCTGAAAGAGTTGGTGGGAATAAAAGGCGAAACGGAGGGAATTAATTAACGAACGTTGGCTTCGCTGGACTCAAATCGTGGGCCCACGACTCAATGGGCCTTGAATGGTTATTTAACCTTGATCATGTCGAATTTATAGAATTACGTTAATTGAATTGATTGTTAATTCAATTTGATTTTGGTAACTTCTTTTTTACTTTATCAAATTGATTGTTAGTTCATTTTTTATCTAACAATCCATCTCCACAAAATATGGGCGAACTTGTGTTGACACTTCCTACAGTCAACTTAGAGAAACAAGGGATCATTTACACCCAACAAAAAAAAAAGAGAAACAAGGGAGCATAAAACAGCCTATAGGCACAGCACTCAGCATGATCTCCAGCCACTAGTCCAAAAACAGACAGCTCCAGCGTTTGCCATAGTGACTAGGATAACAAAATCAAAGGGTAGCTTCATCACCTAAGACAGGGGCTCCTTGCCCACAAACATGCTTCAAAGAGAATCATCTTCATGTCACTAGCCTCATTATTGTCGATCTCGTTAGCAATGTTGTCAGGGATCATTCATGTCATCGTCAGTGTCGCGCTCTCATCATCACTATCGCCGTAGATATCTTACTCTTCCTCGTAGGGGAAAAGCTCGACTTTGCAAGCGCTCGATCTTCTTGAAAGTTTCAGTAGTGACCCACGACTTTGGCGGCCGAGCATATTGAGATAATTTACATTTAAGTGCATCTTCACCTTCTTAAGGACAGCTCCCGTCTCGAGCAAATACGCAACAATGCTCATCTCGTCTTCACCTGCTACTAGATTCTCGATCACAATTTCCTCGAGGCTTGATAACAGACACTCAGGCCTAGAATCAGCTTGCCTCCAATCCCAGTTCATTAGATCATGGCAATCCTCCTGCTTCATGAACATATAAATTATGAAAAACTACGAAGGAAGATTACAGTCAACAAAAACGAACATCAACCTCACCAAGTCAATAACAAGAGAATGCAATTTGGTGGCTGAGTTGAGCAACGAGTGCAGAACCCAGATGTCGCAGTCAGTTCCCAATGTCAAATGAGTCAAGTTGGGGAAAACAGGCAATTGAACATCAGTGAGACGAGACAGATGACACTGAAACAAAGATTTAATGACATTAGGCGCTCTTATCACTCAAATTGATCTATGCGGAAGAAAAGAGTAGAACTTCGGAAGAAAGGCAGAAAAAAACGAAATATGAGTTGATTACCAGAGTCTCCCTAGTTAAGCTCATTTTCTTCGCATTGGAGATTAGAGTGAAAAACCCAATCAGGGAATGGTCCAAGCTTTTACCAACTTCAACATGTGCTGAATGAAGGCATGGCAATGGTGTGCTGCCCATGAACCGCAACTTTGCAGACACCTCAAAATAAAGATCCTCAAGATTTGGCGCTCGGATTACAACGGGACACGTCTCATTACCAGAAGAATAGTCTCTGTCGATAATCTTCAACTTCTTCAAGGATGGTAAGGAAACATCGAGTATGTCATTCTCATTTCTCTCGGAGGAAGAGCAATTCTCCATATGGGCAGTCTCTAGAGCAGGGCAACCTGAAATGAACCTGGTTAATGACTCGAAGTTCGTAACCCTCACATGAGTAAGCTGTAAAATCTTCAGATTGGGAAGCAAAACGGACTCCTCTGCTGCATTCATTATTATAACCCTTTCCAGCTTCGCCACAGTCAGATTCTTCAATGTATAGAAGCTCTGTGGAAGGCACCCCATATATTTCGGAATTCCAATTCCCGCCATCCCCAAAAGCTTAATCTCCATCTCCTCAAGCAGAGGACCAAGCACCGATTCCCTCTCAAACAAAAAATCAGGCCTCGCCTGATCTTTCTCACGCCACGGTACTTCGAAATGGAAGCGGAAACGCTTCAGAGAGCTGAGATTCTGGTGCCGGCTCAGAACCCAGTCGGCGAAGCGGCAGAAATCTAGTTCTTTCAGTCTACGAATCTCACGAAGTATGGATTCCAGCGCGCCTAAATGTCTTTCCTCTTCCATATACTTCCGCGGATCATACGGCGGCATGTTCCGATCAGCTAATTCCCGGTGCAGAGACTTGTAAACATAGTGGTTGTCGATATCGAGACTGGAAACCCTAGCCCAGACATCCTCCCACCGTCGGCTCAGGATCACCGTTCTGACAGCGTACTTGGTTTGCAGGAACGAGAGAATGTGGGCGAGGATTTCGTCCGGCAAAGAGCTGAGCCTGTCGTCGGCGTCGACTCCCGGCTCCGTTCTCGCGATTTTGGTAGGGTTCTTCGTCTCCATCGACGGACTGGCAAAAGAAACTGTGAGTCTGTGAGACGGATGGAAATGGGAAGTATGGGGAACGAAATTAGAAGACACAATAATGATGACATTTGAACGGCGTTGGGAGTCGTTGGCAAGAGCGGCAAGTGAATAGAGAAATGGGCCGGGCTGGACTTACATTATGGGCCTGGGCTGAGCAATTCTCGATCCAAAGAATCCAACAACGTTATATCCAATCGAAACCACTACTCAAGCGATTATCGAGAGAAATTCATAAAGCAAAAGAAAGCAAGAGAGAAATTCAGGATGCCTACATTGAGCTTCAAAGTTAAAATTCACAAGGCCTAATTCAAAAATACCCTACGAGTTGAAATCATACAACCCCATCGCAAGCTCCTGCTTGACTTGTCCACCACCATAATACCATATGCCTCAGAGTCTCACCTTCCTCGCCAACCTCGAACTTGGGATCGCGTCATCAATGTCGTTAGTCTGCATCCGTGTCGTCGAAGGTAGTCATCATCATCTATATCGCCGTTCAAAGTCAGCCTCGTTGTTACAAGGGAAGCGGATCTCTTCGTTGTTGGGAAGTAGAACACGAGATTCGCAACTGCTCGATCCCATCGGCAGCTTCAGCAGTGACAGCAAGATTTTTACCACCTCTTATGCGAAGATAAGAATGTTGTACATGCACATTCACCTTCTTCATGACAACTCCAGCCTCGAGCAAATATGCAATCAGTTTCATCTCATTCACATCAACGACAAGATCGGCATCTGCATAAATATTCTTGATCTCGATTTGCTCGAGACTTGACAACAAACATTTGGGCGTCCCAAGATGTTCCCACATATCCCACTCCAACAATCGTGTGCAATTAACCTGCTTCATGTCCACATACTCATTATGAAAACTAAGGAAGATTGCTGTTAACATATGAACATGGAACTCAGCATAACCCCATCAAGCTTCACAACTGTCAGATTCTTCATAGTATAGAAGCTCGGTGGAAGGCAGCGCAAACTTTGGGGAAATCCGAATTCGTTTGCCCCACATAGCTTCAAATCGATCTCCTCAACTAGAGGACCAAACGCGAATTCCCTCTGAAACCGAAAATCAGGGGAGGGCGTATTCGGTTTACGCATCGCAGCTGAAAAATGGAAGCGGGAACGCCTCAGAGAATCGAGATTCTGGTGCTGGCTCAGAACCCTGTCCGCGAAGCGGCAGAATTCCAAGTCTCTCTCAAACTGAATATCTGAAAGTATGGATTCCAGCGCCAGCAAAATCACTTCTCCCTCCCGATGTTTCTGCGCTAAATCCGGCGGTAAGTTCTGTGCAGCTGCATCCAGGTCCAGATGCTTGTACACCAAGCGGCTGTCTATATCGATATTGGAAACCCTAGCCCAGTGATGCTGCCACCGTCGGCTGAGGACGGCGGTTCCGACGGCGTACTTGGTTTCCATGAAAGAGAGGATGTAGGAGATGACTTCGTCCGGCAACGAGCTGAGCCTGTCGACATTGCCGATTTCCGGCGACGTCCTGGCGATTTTAGTAGTGCTCTTCGTCTCCATCTACGGGCTGGCAAAGGAGACTGAGAAGGAGAGGGAAACAAAAAGATCGGGAAATGAAATATGAAGAGAGGAGAGGTAGGAGTAGTTGGCATTTGGCAAGTGAATGGTCAAGAAGCTGAACCGACGGGAAGTAACAACGTGGGCCTGGCTGGACCAAGAATCATGGGCCGGGCAACTCCACAGGCCTGACAGGTACAATCGGACTCTAATGAGTAAGTATGTTTGCCGAGGTTCTGCTATTCATCGTGTTACTCAGCGGCTTCTTTCTACTCACCACCAGGCTTCTAGGAATCCTCTTAAACAATGTAGTCGTAGTCGTGATCGTCGATGTTCGTCCCATGGTCACTATCAATACGAAACTCCTTGTTGTTGGGAAGTACAAGACGAACCTCACAAGAGCTTGATCTTCTTGGCCGTTTAAGCAGTGAAGCAAGAGCTTTGCGGAAGTCTATGTCTTTATAATAATCACCAACAACCACAAGCTTCAACTTCTTCAGGACAGCTCCAAGCTCGAGCAAATATGCAACAAGTTCCACATCTTCTTCATTCTCTACAAAACCCTCAATCTCAATTTCCTCGAGGCTTGATAACAAACACTTGGGTGTCGTATCAGATTCAGACTTCCAATCCCAGTCCAGTTGTTCATTGCGACCCATCTGCATCATGTAGACATACATTATGAAAATTTATGGAAGGAAGATTACAGTTAACAAATGAACATGGAGCTCACCTCCCCAATTACAAGAGATTGTAATTTGGTGGCTGAGTTGAGCAAGGAGTGCAGAACCCATTTTCTGCACCTAGTTAACGTCGTCAAATGTGTCAAGCCGGGAAAGTCGGGCAATAGATCATCCTTGATAGCTAATATATGTTCCTGAAACAAAGATTTCACGAAATTAGCGCGCTCCTTATCAACAATGGTGGGGTGGGGGTGGGTGGATGAAGTGATTACCAGATTCTCCCCATAGGTAATTTCCTTTGCATAGGAGATTCGACTGAGAACTCCCATCGAGGAATGATACGACATCTCACAATTCCCAATATCAACATATGCTGAATGGAGGCAAGGAAATGGGCTACCGCCCATATCTAAATCTGTAGTTACATCAAAATGAAGATCTTCAAGCTTGGGTGCTTCGAGTACAATAGCGCACGCCGTACCATCATAATCATCAGGATCATCGTAAATCTTCAAGTTCTTCAAGCATGGTAAGGAAATTTCGAGAATATCATTCTCATTCCTGTTACAGGGGAAGCAAAACTCCAGATGAGCAGTCTCTAGAGCAGGGAAACCAGAAATGAGCCTGCCTAATGACTTAAAGTCCTGAATCTCCACCCAAGCAAGCTGTAAAACCTTGACACTGGGAAGAAAAAAGGACTCTTTTACTGCACCTAGTACAACGCCCCCAAGCTTGGCAACTTTCAGATTCTTCAAAGTATAGAAGCTCTCTGGAATGCAACGCAAACATTGTGGAATTCCGAGATCTGTCTCCCCCGATATCGAGACATCAATCTCTTCGAGGAGTGGACCAAACACCAATTCCCTCTCAAACCAAGAATCGGGCGAGGCCTGATTTCTTTTATGCGACACCGTCGAGAAGTGGAAACGGAAACGCCTCAGAGAATCGAGATTCTTGTGCTGGCTCAGCACCCTGTCCACGAAGCGGCAGAACTCCAAATCTCTCCTCCCAAGAATCTCTGCAACTGGATCCGGCGACGGGACCTTACCATACCGATATTTCAGCTGTTCATCCATCGGCAAGCTACGGAGGATGACGTACCTGTCCAGAGGCCTGTAAACCAGGCTGCTGTCGAGATCGAGACTGGAAACCTTAGCCCATAGATTCTTCCACCGCCGGCTCAGAACAGCGGTTCCGACAGCGTACTTGGTTTGCAGGAAAGAGAGAATGTGGGCGATGATTTCGTCCGGCAAAGAGCTCAGCCTGTCGCCGGCGCCGATTCCCGGCACTGGGCTCGCGATCAATGGAGTCTTCCTCGTCTCCGACTCCATCTACGCACTTGCCAAGGAAACCGAGACGGAGGGTAACGGAAGAGTGTGGGAGTGGTTGGCAAATGGCAAGTGGGCAAATGCCAACTGAACGGAGGGAAAAATGACAATGTGGGCCTACCTGGATTCCAGTTTTGGGCCCGGCAATTCAAAAAGCCCTTAAGGTTCTTATGTTTTCAATTCAGCCGGCCCATTCTGAAAATATATACAAAATATCCTTGTTACTACAATTCATCTATTTAGAACTTGTTGTCATCTCTAAAACTCCATTAGAAATCGAGAATTTTTTAAAAATCCAAGCAGTAGAAAGAACAAAAAAAAACTACGAGAATTTGACTGGTTTACTCTAAATAAATAAATGGTCTTTCTTTCCCTTCTCAAAAATTAGGTGATCGTTGTAATTTGACTAGTAATCTACTAATACTAAGGACATCTCAACAGAAGGAGCCGACACAGAGAGCAGAAGTGGTTCCATTCCTGCCTGCTAGTGGGTACCCAAGTTTTGGCGCTGAATTAAACTCCAAAATTCCAAGTTCAACCACTAAATAATCAATTACCGCCAAGATCATCCGAAACTCAAAACTAAGAAGAAACCCCAAAAGTGACTTTATGTAATCTTTAAGGGAAAAAATCAACAGCAGAAATGGGAATTCTGCAAGGGATTTTGCTTGAAAGATCCTTGCTTCACAACACCCTCTTACTCGCCCACCAAACAGACCAACAACGACATGTCTGCAGACTGCAGCAGCAGCAGCATTGTCATTGCCTCCATTGATTCCCTCCTTTATAAGGTTTGAGGTGGAGAGCAACCCATTCAGAGCAAAGCAAAGGAAAGCATCAAAGTGAAAAAGAACCAAAGCTAGGATCCACTTACCAAATCAATAGAGAAGCAGACAGCCACCCCAATGGCCTGTTCCTTTCTTCGTTTCCTTCTCGTTCTGGTCTGCTTCGTTCCTGCTTTCGTAGACTGTGCTGTTCGTCACTACAATTTCAATGTAAGCTTCATTTGACTACTCATTGCTTTCATTGACAATGTAAAAGCTCATAAGTTCAAGACACAGCAACTGATTTTGCTAATGTTACTTCTCAGGTTGTAATGAAAAACACTACAAGGCTATGTTCGAGCAAGCCGATTGTTACAGTGAATGGCAGATTCCCGGGGCAAACCCTCTACGCTAGGGAAGATGATACGGTGCTGGTGAGAGTCGTCAACCATGTCAAATACAATGTTTCCATTCACTGGTAAGTTGACAGAAACGCAATCATCCAAATCCTGAAAGCTAGTTTTTGAGGTTAAGGAAAAGGAAGGAAAAGGAAAAGGAAGCATTACCTTTTCAAAATATATCTATGCAGGCATGGGATCAGGCAGCTGAGGACTGGTTGGGCTGATGGACCAGCATACATCACACAATGCCCTATCCAGCCAGGGCAGAGCTACCTGTATAACTTCACCGTCACGGGGCAGAGAGGAACACTTCTTTGGCATGCACACATCCTCTGGTTAAGGGCTACCGTCCATGGTGGCATTGTCATCTTGCCGAAACGGGGCGTTCCTTATCCATTCCCAGCTCCCCACAAAGAAGTGGTTGTGGTATTAGGTACAACCTGAAGTTCCTCAAAAAAACAACAATGACCGAATGTCACTTTGAGCATAGCTTCTCAAGCAATAATGAAATGAGAATGTGCATTTGCAGGTGAATGGTGGAAATCAGACACAGAAGCTGTGATCAACGAAGCCACGAAATCAGGATTGGCACCAAATGTCTCTGATGCCCACACCATCAATGGTCATCCTGGACCTATTTCCAACTGCGCCTCGCAAGGTAATGTATCTTCCACACAACATTTAGCACAAAATTTCTAGAGTTCTAACCGTCAGATTCTGAAACTTAACACGCAATTCTCCATTTCCAGGAGGCTTCACATTGCCAGTCCAGGCAGGGAAAACATACATGCTAAGGCTAATTAACGCTGCACTCAATGAAGAGCTCTTCTTCAAAATTGCAGGGCACAAACTTACAGTGGTGGAGGTCGATGCTACCTATGTCAAACCATTCAAAACCGACACGGTCCTAATCGCTCCAGGACAAACCACAAACGTCCTGGTCGCAGCAGACCAAAGCTCAGGGAAATACCTGGTAGCCGCCTCGCCGTTCAATGACGCTCCAATCGCCGTCGACAATAAGACCGCCACGGCCACAGTCAGCTACGCCGGCACCCTCTCCACAGCCCAAACGACTCTGACGATCCCACCTCCGAAGAACGCCACCGCGGTGGCCAACGCTTTCACAAACTCACTCCGAAGCCTCAATTCCAAGAAATTCCCCGCCGCCGTCCCGAAAACCGTCGACCACAACCTCTTCTTCACGGTCGGGTTGGGAATCAACCCGTGCCCGAGTTGCAAAGCTGGGAACGGCAGCAGAGTGGTCGCGAGTATCAACAACGTTACGTTTGTGATGCCCACCACAGCTCTCCTTCAGGCGCATTTCTTCAAACAGAAGGGCGTATTCACCACCGATTTCCCCGCCAACCCGCCCCACGTCTTCAACTACACGGGAACCCCGCCGGCGAATCTGGCGACCACGAGAGGGACGAAGGTCTACAGATTGGCTTACAATTCGACGGTTCAGCTGGTGATGCAGGACACCGGGATCATCTCGCCGGAGAACCACCCGATCCATCTCCACGGATTCAATTTCTTCGCGGTGGGGAGGGGAATCGGGAACTACAACCCTAAATCGGACCCGAAGAAGTTCAATCTGGTCGACCCGGTTGAGAGGAACACCATCGGAGTCCCTTCGGGCGGGTGGGTCGCGATTCGGTTCCGGGCTGATAACCCGGGAGTTTGGTTTATGCATTGCCATCTGGAGATCCACACGACTTGGGGGTTGAAGATGGCGTTCTTGGTGGAGAATGGGAAAGGCGCCAATCAGTCGCTTTTGCCGCCGCCCGGCGATCTTCCCAAATGCTGAAGAAGCTGAACGGTGGCGTGGCCAAAGAGTTCGATCGAGTCAAAGAGTGAAGTGTATCGGGTTGCACTAAAAATTGTAGTGGTCTACTCTATTGTGAATTGTGATGGTATTAATAGAATTTGTTTCTGGCTTATGAATGATCGGAACGGATTAGTATTTGCTCTTGCAAATTACAGTAGCTACAACCCAAGCCTTTCGATATCCATATTCGGTGGAAATTGAGACGGTTCGGTTGCCATTTGACCTCAAAAAATTCCATATAAAATTTTGAAATTAAATAGCAAAGGCTATAATAGCACGATAATTGAAATAACGGTTACAAACGGTTTTAAAACGGATAGAAAAAATTATATAAAATCCTCTGTCAACTCCTCGTTTCATACACCATCTCGTATCGCATTCTCTATACTTTCTCCAAACACCTAAAGTCTCCACAAATTTTTTTCTCATCTTCTACTACTTCGTCATTAGGAGAAGAGGTGTCAATTGGTCTGAAGATGAAGACATACCTTATGTCAAGCTTGGTGCAGAATATCATGCGACGGAGACGTAGGCAATGATCAACAATATAAAAGGTTTTGGGAAGCGAATCGGTGATGCGTTCAAAGATTAAGTGATAGGTCTCTAAGGGGTATGACTAAAAAAAAGATGTGAACCATCATTTGAGGTGATTAACTAATTATTTTAACAATAAAAACGTATCTCGAAGTTGATCAAATTTTATCGGAACGTTCGTATTTAATTATTCCAGCTAGGTTGTGTTACTTTTGTCACATTTCAAGTCTTAGTATGGGGGGAAATTTAGTAGCGAGTTTCAGGACATTTGGAGGTCAAGACGAGTCAAAAAGTGAAATTTGTGCAAAGTTCACGAGGTTAGTGTAATTTTCACGGTTTCAGTGGGTGTAAATTGCAACAAAACCGTGAAGATTACCCAGTGCCAGCAGCAAGGAGGAATCTCACGATCTTGTGCAAAGTTCACGGTCTGGAGGTGAAATTTACACTAAAATTGTGAACTTTGCACTGTTACAGATTTAAATATTCATTTATCATTAACAATCTATTAATCACCGGTCTTCTATTAACTAACTAAATCTCTATCAATCCAAGGTTTTTTATACTAAAACGTAAATTTTTTGTGACGAATTTTAATATTTCGCCTTTAATATACAATCGAAACACTAAACATCGTAACAAATTCAATGCAATCACCATTATAAAAAAAAACAACGTATGGTGGACAAATTACTTTGCTCTTAAATAAATTTTCAATTAGTCACATACAATCTCTTATTCTCACTTGCTTGAGCTAAACTTTTGCTCAAGAAACAAATTAAAACTCAAATCTCAACCTCTGTGTTTTCACAATTTTTTCTCCGAATTCTTTCACTCTTCTTATACGGAGGAGAATTCTTCAAACCCTCCGACGTTCAGCATTTCGGGAGATCAACGGGAGGCGGCAGGAGTGACTGGTTCGGCCCTTTTCCGTTGTCCACCAAGAACGCCATCTTCAATCCCCAAGTCGTGTGGATTTCCAGATGGCAATGCATAAACCAAACTCCTGGGTTATCAGCCCGGAACCGGATGGCGACCCACCCGCCCGAAGGGACTCCGATGGTGTTCCTTTCAACCGGGTCGACCAGATTGAACTTCTTCGGGTCCGTTTTAGGGTTGTAGTTCCCAATTCCTCTCCCCACCGCGAAGAAATTGAATCCGTGGAGATGGATTGGGTGGTTCTCCGGCGAGATGATCCCGGTGTCCTGCATCACCAGCTGAACCGTCGAATTGTAAGCCAACCTGTAAACCTTCGTCCCTTTCGTGGTCGCCAGATTCGCCGGCGGGGTTCCCGTGTAGTTGAAGACGTGGGGCGGGTTGGCCGGGAAATCGGTGGTGAAGACGCCCTTCTGTTTGAAGAAATGCGCCTGAAGAAGAGCGGTGGTGGGCATCACAAACGTAACGTTGTTGATGCTGGCGACCACTCTGCTGCCGTTCCCGGCTTTGCAAGTCGGGCACGGGTTGATTCCCAAGCCGACCGTGAAGAAGAGGTTGTGATCGACGGTTTTCGGGACGGCGGCGGGGAATTTCTTGGAGTTGAGGCTTCGGAGGGAGTTTGTGAAAGCGTTGGCCACTGCGGTTGCGTTCTTCGGAGGTGGGATTGTCAGAGTCGTTTGGGTAGTGGAGAGGGTGCCGGCGTAGCTGACGGTGGCCGTGGCGGTTTTGTTGTCGACGGCAATTGGAGCGTCCATGAATGGCGAGGCAGCCACCAGGTATTTCCCTGAGCTTTGATCTGCTGAAACCAGTACGTTTGTGGTTTGTCCTGGAGCGATTAGGACAGTGTCGGTTTTGAATGGTTTGACATAGGTAGCATCGACCTCCACTACTGTAAGTTTGTGGCCTGCGATTTTGAAGAAGAGCTCTTCATTGAGTGCAGCGTTGATTAGCCTTAGCATGTATGTTTTCCCTGACTGGACTGGCAATGTGAAGCCTCCTGGAAAATTGAGAATGGAGTGTTAAGTTTCAGAACCTGACGATTAGAACTCTTTTCAAACTTGGTCAAGAATGTTTAGTAGAAGTTTACCCTGTGACGCGCAGTTAGAAACAGGACCAGGATGACCGTTGATGGTGTGGGCATCGGAGACATTCGGTGCCAATCCTGATTTCGTGGCTTCGTTGATCACAGCTTCTGTGTCTGATTTCCACCATTCCGCTGCAAATTCAGATTACCATTTCATTAGTTGCAAAGCTTCCTGAAAGCTCTGACATCATTCTGATGAACTGAAAGGTGTACCTAATACAACAACGACTTCCTTGTGGGGAGCTGGGAACGGATAAGGAACACCCCGTTTCGGCAAGATGACAATGCCTCCATGGACGGTAGCCCTCAGCCAGAGGATGTGTGCGTGCCACAGAAGTGTTCCTCTCTGCCCTGTGATGGTGAAGTTGTACACATAGCTCTGCCCTGGCTGGATAGGGCATTGGGTGATGTATGCTGGTCCATCGGCCCAACCAGTCCTGATCTGCCTAATGCCATGCCTGCACAACATAGAAAGAAAGGTGATGCTTCATGTTTTCAGGATTCAGGTTATTGTTTGTGGTATGGTCATTTTACCAGTGGATGGAAACATTGTATTTGACATGGTTGACAACTTTCACTAGCACCGTGTCATCTTCCCTAGCATACAGGGTTGGCCCTGGGAATTTGCCATTCACAGTCACAATCGGCTTGCTCGAACACAACCTCGTAGTATTTTTCATCACCACCTGAGGAGCATGATTGCGAAGGAAAAACATAATAAACGTCACTTCCATTATTCTCTGTTGTCACCCCGGAAATCAATGAGAGTAAACACTGAAATGACACTTACGTTGAACTTGTAATGACGAACCATGCAGTCAACGGAAGCTGGAAGGAGGCAGACCAGAAGGCAGAGGAATCCAAGACAGCAGAAGGAGGAGGAAGAGGCCATTGATCCAAAGCAGCTGTCTATTCCTCTTTTGGGTTAGTGTTTTTCTTCTCCTTTTCCTCCCTTTCAGTCTGGGTTTGGATTGAATGGCTGACTCTCCAACTCACCCCTATAAATAAAGGGAGGGAGCCATGAAACTGGTCAAGAAGTCTGCATCCCTGTCGTTTTTGCTTGGTTAGGTGTGTGTCTCTGTCTAGAAACAAGAATTCTAAGCAAAGCCCTTAATAAGATGGTTCCATTTTCTTTCCCGTGTTTTGCCTCAGCTTTGAGACTACGTAAAGTTGCTTTGTCTCTTCTGGTAGACTAATGCCTGTCAAGTTCATATAATTTTGAATTAGATTAATATTCAGTTGGATCGAGTTGGTTTAGGTTCAGGAATGGAATCAGATTGTAGGAATGGAATCGGTGCACCACCTTCTGCTGACCTGATTGTTGAAACATCTTAGTGGATTGTAAGGTAGATTAGCTTAGCAAGGTGGCCACCAGCTACACACAAATACCAACTACTGCAGAAAAAAACCGAACCATTTGCTCCAGTTCATTGCTTAAGGAGTGAGTAATGGTGGATTGGGTTGGAACAAGGATATTGGATAAAGTTGGTTGATGGGTTGTGGTCAAATTTGTTTTATTATTTTACATGATCATATAGTTAAAACCACATGAAAATCACTTGATTTGGAAAACATATATATATAGGAAGCTTTTAGCCCAAGCAAACATTCCTTTCGTTTTCTTGCTCCAAAGTCCAACTCCAAAGTACTGGAGAGTAAGGATGGCAATAGGTAGGGTTGGGTTTGGAAGAGCAAACTCAATCCAACCCAACGAGTATTCACGAGTGCATGGATACTCATCGGTTTACGAACATAACTATACATTATTACTCCGGGTATCCATAATGTAACAGTATGGGAAAAAAATTCCTACAAATATATTTTCATGAAGACTAAAAACATCCATAAATTACCCAAATTATTTAATTTACATAGAGACTAAAAACATCCATATATTTTCATGGAGACTAATAACTTTCTCGAATTATTCATATTATTCATATTTTCATGGAGACTAAAAACATCCAATTACGTTGTTTTGTCTCTTGGGTGCTGGTCAAATTTTGGCAAGACCCAAACCGAACCCAACTTGCCAATTTCAAAAATGAAAAATGATAATCACACCCGACCGAAAACTCTTCAACATTGAGGTTTACCCACTTTGATCGAATTGGGTTGGGTTGAATTGGCATCCCTGCTAGGAAGGGAGTGTCAAAATTCACAAAATTCTATGTATGAATACCAAAAAATAAGATACAATGTAGTTCATTACATTTTCATAGGATCCTTCCTTTCCCACCACCATGCTTTTTCAGTCTCCTCTTCATCTTCGATTGGTGTCACCTATTCTTAGAAGTCATCGTCGTCCATGTACTCGTTAGTGTTGGTCTCATGGTAGCTGTCGATGTCTATCTCTCTGTTGTCGGGAAGTAAGAGCCGTGCTTCACAAGAACTCGATCCTCTTGGTAGATTTAGAAGCGACACAAGGCCTTTGTGGCTTCTTGTGTTAACAAGACCTTCATATACGTGCATACTCACCTTCTTCAGAGCAACTCCCGCCTTGAGCAAATACGCTATCATTTCCATCCCACCTTCGTCTGCTACTAGATCCCTGATCTCGATTTCCTCGAGGCTTAACGACAAACACGAGGGCACGCAAACCGTGTCTAATCTCTCCCACTTCATTGCTCTAATGGGATGTCCCTGCTTCATGTACATATTCATTATGAAAAGATTTGGAAGGAAGCTTTCCAGTTAACAGAATGTGAAACATGAATGATGGAACTCACCATGTCAATGACAAGAGATCGTAATTTGGAGGCCGAGTGGAGCAAGGAGTGAAGAACCCAGCTTCGCCCTCCAGTTCCGATTGTCAAATGTGTCAAATTGGGGAAGATAGGCAATTGAACAGCAGTATCTGATGACAGAAGACTCTGCAACAAAGAAGCAAGCAAATTTATCAATGAGAAAGGAAACAGTGGAGATTAGGGGGGAAAAACAAAAGCACAAACAGGTTGATTACAAGAGTCTCCCCAGATAAGTGAAGCTTCTTTGCATTGGAGATTGCAGTGAGGAGCCCTATCAGGCAATAATCCGAGCTTCGATAGCTGCCAACATCGACATATGCTGAATGAAGGCATGGCAATGGTACACTATCCAGAAACATCAACCCTGGAAACTCCCGAAGATTACGATCCTCGAGGACGGCATACCCACAGATGATCTTGAGGTTCTTCAATGATGGTAACGAACGCATGAGCATACGTCCCTCATTCCTGGAGTAGCAATTCTCCAGATGAACAGTCTCTAGAACATGGGAACCAGAAACAAAATTGCTTAATGACTCGCAATCCTCAGTTTCTACTCCACGAAGCTGTAAAATCTTTAGTCCAGGAAGCGAAAAGGACCCTTTTGCTGCACTGAGTATAACCCCTTCAAGCTTCACCACTTTCAGATTCTTCGAAGTGCAGAACATAGACCGGGGAAGCTCGAATTCCGTTTCCCCAGAAATCATAACATCAATTTCCTCAACCAGAGAATCCGTGTTAAACGCAAAATCAGGCATTACCTTCCACTCTCGCGGCGCTGCTGAAAAATGGAAGCGGTTGAGCCCTAAACCAGGCATTATTTTCCAGTCTCGCGGCGCCGCTGAAAAATGGAAGCGGAAGCGGCTCAGAGAATCGAGATTCTCGTGCCGGCTGAGAACCCGGTCAACGAAGCGGCGGAATTCCATGTCTCGCTTCCTTAGAGTCTCTGAAACAGGTGCCGGCGCGGGTGAGGCGACGTTCCGGTCCAGAGGCTTGTATACCGAGCGGTTGTCGAAATCGAGACTGGAAACCCTAGTCCATAGATTCTTCCACCGTCGGCTCAGGACTGCGGTGACGACGGCGTACTTGGTTTGCAGGTAAGAGAGGATGTGGGTGATGATTTCGTCCGGCAGTGAGCTCAGCCTGTCGTCGTCAATTCCGGTCGCCGGGACCTTCCGTTGACGCGTCCTCCTTGCGATTTTACCACTCTTCGTCTTCATCGACAGACTGGCGTGGGAAAACTGAGACGGGAAAGTGATCGGCGAAGAAGTTGAGCCGGAGGGAACTTCACGTTTTTATTGGGCCTGGGCAAACAGTTTGAGCCCATTAAAGAAGAATTGTTTCGGCCCAACTTTAGAGTCCAATTTACTAAGAAAGATCACTTCTCTGGAAAAAGAAAAAAAATAATTCCACACCCTTTTTGTCTCTCTCACTGTAAAAGTGCGAGCTTCTTCTGGACTCTCTTCCCTCCGTCACACGCTCTTCGTGTCGTGAAACTGCCACCAAAAATTTCCCCCGTTCCCAAATCCCTCATAAACCCTAGTCCTAGTGGGTTTTTCCCCCTCTCTGATTCGGAATTTGTCCTCCGATGGAAGCCGAAGAGGAAAGGAATTCAATTCCCCCCAACCCCGTTTCTTCGGAAGGAGAGAACCATTCTGCTACCCCGGCAACGGCCACATCGACTACGGCGTGCGAGCCAGAGGATTGCGCCGCCGACGAGCCTGAGTGCCGGACGGAGACGGAACGGTTGTCGTCCGAGTCTCATGAACCGCCACCTGGCCGCGGCGGCGATGATAGTGAGGCACAACCGCCGGCGAGTAACAATGAGGTGGAAGAAACGAAGGTTGTTGATGAATTGGAAGAGCGAGTAGTGTCAGTTGCTGAGCGGAGTGAAGAAGAGCTCGCTGGAGAGCCAGGTGGCGAGGAGGAGTCTCGGTCAGTGGAGGGGGAGCCGCTGCCGGAAGTGACAGTTGATGAGCGGGAAAATCAGGGGGGCGATGTGATTGTTGAAAGCGGAACTTCTGGAGGCGAGAAAGGTTCAGAAGAGGAGGTTGCGGTTAAAGAAGAGGGCAATCCTGATTTGATTGGTGGAGAGGAAGAGAGCGGTGGATTGGCGGGCCATGTTGATTCACCGAGGAAAAATGACGTGGAGGTCGCTGTGAAGGAGGGAACTGAGATTGGGGCGGCAGAGACTCAGGAAATGGAGGAATTTGTGATGGTTGAGAAAGTTGAGGAGACAGAGAATAAAGATGATACAAAGGAGAAGCTGATGGATTTGGTTGAGGAGATGGCGAACAAGGACGAAACTGAAAACATGCAGAAGGAAGAGGCTGCTGGACCGCCCGAGGATGGAACTGAGAACACGCAGCAGGAAGATGCTGCTGGACCGCCAGAGGATGAAATTGAGAACATACCGAAGGAGGAGGGTGGTGGGCCGCCAGAGGCAGCTTTTAACAGAGTTAGTGTAGATGATGTAATGGAAGAGATGAAGGGTGATGAAGGAAAAGAAACAACTAGTGCTGGTAGGAGTACCGATGTAGTAGACGAGATGGAGGTGGATGATGCTCTTGAGGAGAAAGATAAGGTAGCGAAGGAAAGTATAGAACTTGATTCGAAAGAAGAAGCAGGCGAGAAGATGGATGATGTGGAAAAAGAGGCGGAGAAGGACGATGTGGCCTTATACAGGGATAACAAGTTGAATGAGGGGGCTGAAGGGGTGGATCCGAAGATGAGTGAAGTAGCAGAAGAGGTTCAGAAGTTGAGTGAAGCAGAAGAAGAGGTTGCGGGAGAAGAAAAGCATGAGGAAATGAACGAACCAGATGAACAGGCTGACAAGGTGCATGAAGCAGCAGAAGAAGAGAACGTGACTCAGCCCAAAGAAGAAGAAGTAGAAGATAAGGATGAGGAAATGACTGACGTGGTAGAAGAGGATGAGAAGGTGAGTGAAGCAAATAAAGAAGAAGAGGATGAGAAGGTGAGTGAAGCAGATAAAGAAGAAGATGATGATGAGAAGTTGAACGAAGCAGAAGAAGAAAAAGAAGATGAGGAGGGGAACGAAGTAGATGAGAAGGTAAATGTAGCAGATGAAGAAGTAGATGAGGAGGATAATGATAACGTGAATGAAGCAAATGAAGAAGTAGATGAGGAGGAAAATGAGAAGGTAAATGAAGCAGATGAAGAGGAGGAGGAAGAAGAAGAAGATGATGATGATGATGAGAAAATGAATGAAGTGGAGGAAGAAGGGAAGGAGGCAGCAGAAGAACACAATGCTGAGGAAGTGAGCAAAACTGGAAGCGGGAAGAGGAAACGAGGAAATAATGCCAAAGCTTTTGGTAAAGCACCATCAAGGAAGAAGGTGGAGGAGGATGTATGTTTCATTTGCTTCGATGGGGGAGAGCTTGTCCTATGTGATCGCAGGTAAGGCTTATCAAATAATAGTCTGCATATAATGCTTATGGCTTCGTACTTCTGGGGATTTTAATGTTCGGTTGACATGATAACTATAGGGGGTGTCCTAAGGTTTACCATCCCTCCTGCGTCAACCGGGATGAAGCATTTTTCAAATCGAAAGGAAAATGGAATTGTGGTAAGTTCATCTATTTGCTTACTAAGCCTTTCATTTCAAGTTTTCATTTTCTGCGGTATAGTAGGTAGTCAAATTTATGCTGGGTGATGCTTTATATGACCTGTCTGGTTCATTTTTCTTTTATCATCATGTTAAGATCAATTAGGAAATATCAGGTTTTATATGTCAATTTGCAATATTAGAAGAGAAGTTTATGTGATTTTAGTCATCATTTATCAGTGATTTTATATTGTCTGACTGCTGTGTGGAAATCACCTGCATTGTGTAGAAAAGGAATTGGATTGTATCACTGGATTTTTAGGTGTTCTTTTCCGGTGCTGCAAGGGGACCTGAAACTTAGTCACGAGGAGATCAAAGTGCTGTTGCCAATGGAACCTTAGCTGGTTGCATAATATATGGTTGTATGAGCAAGTCATTTTGTCAGACTCTTAACTACTTCCATCATTGCAGTTCCTTCTTTTCATGTTTCTGCTTGATTCCTATATTTCGTGTCCTTATTAGCAAGAAACTTTATATGCACATGGCTGCTTCGTTGCAGCAGTTGACTAATTTGAGTAGATAGAAAGTTCTTATCTAGTAGGTGTTTCTGCGTGCAAGCTTGCCAGGTGTTTGTGGTACCGTATGATTTTTTGTTGGGGTGTGTTTAATATGAATCTTCAACCTTGATACTATGGATGTTTATTGTCCAACATTGTGAAGTGGTATGTGACGCTGCGAGAATGATTAATTGAACTGGGGCGACAGAAGACTATGCCTTTGAACAACTTTTGGCAGACAGCTTGTGCTGTCACTTGTCAGTCTGTCACTTTTCGTACTTGTTTCTAGTAGCTAGTTGCTTTGCTTTGGCTGTTGGCAGTTCAGAGCAATGTCTGATTCTCCGGAAAGACTTTTGTGTATCAAGTATTTGAGAAGAACTACATTGGTGATTATATATGGTGTTATGGAAAATACAATGATCAACCTATAAAACTATCTTGCTGTATCAAATAGCCAATACCTGCCATTGTTTTGTTGCAAATAATAAGCATTATTCTCCTCTTGTTTGTTTTAATGGGTAGGCGTGCTTGTTGGTGCCGCTACTTGATCTAATAGCAAACTTCTTTATCAGATGCATTCTTTCAACTTCCAAATTTCTTCATCACTGGAACAGTTCAATGTCTCAAGTGATTATATGAAGCTGGAAAATTCTTGAACTTATTGCAGCATATGCAGAGCAAATTTGAATGGTTTAACTGATCTGTTCACTAATTGAAGTTATCTGGATTATTTTTCTTCTGAAAGAGTAAACGGCCAAAATATCTTTGACTATAGTTCTATAACTGTGGCAAATGCTCTTTGTTTAGCTTAGTCCTCTGAGTTGGTCTTTCTATGTACGTTTGATATGGATGCTAAATGTTTTTCTTGTTATGCTCAATTTATTTCTATTCTCCCTTCTTTTTTTAAACTTATAATTTCTGGTACAGCAGAGCTTAGTCATCCGATATTGGTGATTGAGAGATGGTAGAAAGGATAGTCATTCTTCTTTTGGTGTGTTTCCCAGGCAACCAACTCTTTCCAGATTAGTCATGATGTGCATATTCAGTGTTCAGAAATATATAAGAGATTTCTGCTTCATTTAAGCCTAATAAGAAATGGTCCTTTCTTGAATTAGGTTGGCATATATGCAGCAACTGTGAGAAGAATGCGTACTACATGTGCTATACATGCACATTTTCGTTGTGCAAGGGGTGTATCAAAGATGGTGTCATTTTCTGTGTTAGAGGCAACAAAGGATTCTGCGAGACATGTTTTAAAACTGTAAAAATGATTGAGATGAATGAACGTGGAGACAAGGAAACGGTACGTTGTGACCTCTTATCTTTTAGTTTCTTTGTTTTGGTTAATTACCCCATTTTCATTATTGATGCTTTCAGAACTGCATAAAGTGTTTTAGTGACTTATCAATAAATGTATGCTTGTAGATTATTATTAAGGCGATTTCTGTTTGTTAGTACAATTCATCTCTCTTAACGTTTGCTTATGTGTCTTTTGAGTTTGACTCTTGTTTCGAATGTTGCTTATGTACCTTCCTAGACTCAAGTGGATTTTGACGACAAAAGCAGTTGGGAGTATCTCTTCAAAGATTACTGGATGGATCTTAAGGGAAGGCTATCTATCACGTCAGATGAACTTACCACGGCCAAACATCCAAGGAAAGGACCTGATTTGGTTGCCGCAAAGCAGGAGTCAGGGGATGCATTGTATGATGCTCAGAATGATGGAGGGTCTGCTTCAGACAGCTCTGCTGGGAATGGTGAATTAAGGACCCCTAAGGGAAGAAAAGGCAAAAAACGGCTGAAATCTCGTGCCAAACAGAAGGACACACCCAGTAAGAAGACTGTGAACGGGGTTGGTGTTGAGTGGGCATCAAAAGAGCTTTTAGAATTCATTATGCACATGAAGAATGGTGATAGATCTGTTTGTTCTCAGTTTGATGTACAAGCTCTGCTGTTGGAGTACATAAAAAGGAATAAACTTCGGGATCCTCGTCGAAAAAGTCAAATACTTTGTGATTCAAGGCTTCAACATTTGTTTGGTAAACCTCGAGTGGGCCATTTTGAGATGCTAAAGCTTCTTGAGTCACACTTTCTACTGAAGGAGGACTCTCAGATGGATGATGTTCAAGGAAGTGTGGACAATGAAGCCAATCAGATGGAAGGTGATGGGGATGCTCTCGTTAAAGCTGGCAAGGATAAGAAGAGAAAGTCGCGTAAAAAGGGTGATGGGAGAGGACTGCAATCTAACGTCGATGATTTCGGTGCCATTGACATACACAACATTACTTTAATTTACTTGAAACGGAGTTTGGTTGAGGAACTTCTTGATGACACTGAAACATTCAATGAGAAAGTTGTTGGTTCCTTTGTGAGATTAAGAATATCTGGAAATTCTATGAAGCAAGATTTGTATAGGCTTGTCCAAGTTATAGGTACATGTTCAAACAGATTTATCTCTGTTTTTTGTCCATTCAGCAACTGTGCTTGGGACAGGACTTTCAGTGTGGCAATAAAATTTGTTGGTTTGTTGTCCACAGGCACCAAGAAAGCTGATAATCCATATAGAGTTGGGAAAAGGACTGCTAATTTCCTGCTGGAAATATTGAATCTAAACAAGACCGAGGTTATCTCAATTGATGCCATTTCAAATCAAGAATTCACAGAGGTGAACTGTAGCAAATATATATTGTATAACATTTCTGTGATAGTTTTGGTAATTTGGATTTCCCCATATAAGGATATTTTAGCGATAATTCTCCAGTAGTAGTTGTTTGGACACTGGAGAGAACTTTAGATGGCATATGACACTGTTTGGATAGTACAAAATGGTTGAAGTGACCTGTCATCATGGCTGCTAGGTCTGTTCCTGTTGCATGCTTCTATCTAAGTTGCTATCCTTTTGTCCTGATTAACAGCCATAGTTTGCAATCATCCTGCTATAGAGATTTGTCCTTATCTGCTCATCTTCATTTTAATGGCTGTTTATACTATGTTATTTTTTCTTGATTCCACAGGATGAATGCAAGCGTTTACGACAAAGCATAAAATGTGGCCTTCTCGATCGATTGACAGTGGTACCGTCGCATTACATTAGAAGTTCTTTCCCAAGGTGTTAGATTCCCTCCTCAAGATGTCATTTTTTTTGTTGTTATTTGCAGGGTGACATCCAGGAAAAGGCCATTGCATTGCAGGCAGTTCGAGTTCAAGATGTAAGTTTTGGGATGTGTTCTAATTTTTGTTATGTCCTCTCCTATCCGCCTAGATAATGTGTGTTGCCTTTAGACTGAAAAATAATGATCAGAAGTTAAAGCTGGTAACCGCTTGGTTGATTGGTTAAGTGAATCTCAGATCCTAGTGAATCACTAGTAGTGATCATACTTGCCACTGTCTTTTGCAAGACGTTTTCCTCTTAACCCTGCTCTGGGTAGGAGCCGGAGTTAATGCTATTAATACTTTCTCGCTAAGTTGCAAACTTTCAACTCCATCTTCAACTTTTTTGCTAGCATGTGTGTTGTCCTTGTGATTGAAGAGAGGTAACTTAGAATATAGGGCATGCTAAATATTTTTTGGTTGGCAAAAGATAACGTTTTGGCTGCCTTTTTTGTATAGTTTACTTCTGTTTTGTTTCGAGGTCTGGACCTCAGAGTCGTTGCATAAGTGAAAGTTATAGTTCCAGGGACTCATTCTTAGTGAAGTATTTATAGCGGAAAAAACCTTGTTTGATATCTTGCAGGCAGGTGATTCAACTATTTTCTTTTGTGTTCTTCATGGTTCTTAATTTTTCTATTTTAATAGAGTTGGAATCTTCTCAACATTTCCCTTGTTTGGTGTCCTTTTATATACTGCAGATACTGGACTCAGAGATAACCCGTCTCAGTCATCTTCGAGATCGAGCAAGTGACATGGGGAGGAGAAAGGAATATCCTTTTTTCCAGTTTAACTTTTGCAACTTGTTTATGTGTCTGCATCTTCTTGAGCATGGTCTTGTGTACATTGCTGATGCTATGTTGTCTGTAGCTGTATCTAACTGTACATCTTTCCTATCTTCTGTAGCTGTATCTAACTGTACATCTTTCCTATCTTCTGGAAGTTTGGGTCTTTTCTAGTCGTTCGGCAGTTTTGTGCTGTGTTGAAATCAATAATTTATTGTATTGAACTGGAGACGACTTCTTGATTTTCAATTTTCATATTGCTGTTCTAAGTGATCCTTGACTTTTGATTACGCTCAGAGAATGTGTAGAAAAACTGCAGCTTCTGAAGTCTCCTGATGAGCGCCAGCGAAGGTTAGAAGAAATTCCTGAAATTCATGTTGACCCAAAGATGGATCCAAGTTATGAGTCTGAAGAAGAAGAAGATGAAACTGCTGATAAGATACAAGGTATGTTTACTTGGTCTTAGTCATGGCTTAAATTTATCATTATAGTCATCTCATGCAACATTGTTCATTTTCAATTTTGTTGCAATAGATAACTATAGACCCAGAGGCAGTAGTGGTTTCAGTAGAAGGCCAAGAGAGCCAATTTCACCGAGGAAAGGAGCTACCAACCCAAATGAATCCTGGGGCGGAACTCGGAGTTTCTCAAGTATGAACCGTGAGTTGACAAGGAACTCGTCTAGTAAAGGTTTCTCTTACAAAGGGGATATCACAATTGGGACTAATGATAAAGCAAATGACAACTTGTGGGGTCGAGGAGGAGACCGGGAAATCCATGCACACCAAAGCTGGGAGAGCCCAAAACGTGCTTCAAATGTAGAATCACGTAGTAGTGTAAATACAGATTTGGCTCCTAGGGCTGCAGCTCAAGAGAGTTCTCCATTAGCTCCTCCCGCAGCAGGTTTGGCACAACAATCCGATTCTGCCAAAATCAACGAGACGCAGAAGATATGGCATTACAAAGACCCAGCTGGGAAAATTCAGGGACCCTTTTCCATGGTACAGCTTCGAAAATGGAAAAACACTGGATACTTCCCAAATAACTTGAGAATATGGCGAGCCACTGAGAAAGAAGAGGACTCCATGCTTCTCACTGATGCATTAGATGGAAATTTACAGGCTCCCCTGGTTCAGAGTAGTTCACGGCTTTCTGCTGCTCTTGCAAGAGATAATAATGATGTTAATAGCTCTTCTTCTGGACGATCTGTTCCAACTGCAGTTGAGATCCCCAGTTATGCTGCTGACAGGTGGAATTCCGAGACGAGTCTCCCTTCTCCAACTCCAGCTTCAACCGGGTCACGCGGAGGAACAAGACAAGCAAGGGAAAGCAGGTGGTCTACGACACCTGCTCCAGCTGCTGCTGCTTCTCAATCGAATGCCCTGACTAATCTTTCTCATTTTGCAAGCCCAGTCGCCAGGCAAGCTTCTGCAATTGCTCAACAGCTGCATTCTCTGACACAAGTTGAATCTCCCCGCATGGTACAGGCAAACTCCAATCACTTGCATCCATTCCCAAATTCCGGTGGTGCCCCACCTGTTGTTCCTGCAGCTATGGATACAGCAGCTCTCCAGAGTTTGGTTCAGACTATCAGCAATAATCCTCTTCTGGGTGGGGCACAAGGAAATGCTTCAAACATGAGAAGTGGAACTGGATCTCAAGCATGGGGTGGAAGTGGTTCAATGCAGCCCAATAATAGTTCAACGCCTGTGGCTTCACTCGGTAATAATGCTTATGCGAACTGGGGAAATCCACAAACGGTTCAGCAACCCTCTGCTCAATTAGGTGTGCAAGTGCAATGGGGAGGAATGGGTGCCCCAGTTGCAGACAACCCGGGAAACCAAACCATGGCGTGGAGTGGAAACCTGCCTTCTGCAAATACAAATCATGGTTGGGGGATTGCTCATGCTCCAACAAATCAAGGAATGATTCCTGCGAATGCAAATTCCAATTGGATGCAGGGACAGCAGGTGGTTAACACAAATGCTGGATGGTCTCCTGCTGTTCAAGTGCAAGGATGGGGACAGGCAACACCTGGGCAAGGCAGTGCAGCAGCACAGCCAATGAATACAACCCAGAACTCGGGATGGGTGGGACCTGGAAATGCGAGCAACCACCACCCCAGCTGGGAGAGAGGGTCTCAAGGAGGGGATTCTGGGTATGGAGGTGGTGGTCGCGGAGGCGACATTGGGGATAGACAATGGAATCGTCAATCGTCGTCGAGGGGGCCAGCCCCGGCATATAACAGAGGCCAAATGGTATGCAAGTTTTTCCAGGAGAATGGGCACTGCAGAAAAGGTGCATCTTGTGATTATTTGCATACATGAATAAGAAATGGGGTCGAGGTAGGGTTGGGGGAGTGAGTTTGTAGGAATTTTGAGAACAACCTGATATGTGTACAGCTTTTTAAATTCTAACTTGTGTTAACATAAAGAAGGCAATGTACATGTAGGTAACTTCTTTGAAGTTCAAGTGCAGTTTGTAATCTTCCCCCTCTACCTTCTCTCTCTCCCCTTTGATTCTTGTAGGAACTAGGAAGTAGGAAAGCATATGCTCATAGTTAGATGGCTGAGTTCTTCCCTTTCTGGAAGATGGTAATGCCTTGCATGATGAAGATGAGTGTACAAACCTTTTGAGACGAGTTTCGTTGATTTCGGGATTCATGGTTCGATGTGAATGGAATAGTGATGCGATATGGCTTCGAGAGGCTCCGTATCATCCTGTTAAAGCTCTTGTTAATCCACTCACAGGCCATTGATATAGTTTGAAGGTCAAAATCAGAAAATTTTGGTGCAATACTCTGGTTTGTGAAAAATCACGAAGTCTGGCTTCTCATTGACAATGATGCAAAATTGAGGGACTCTTTCAAGAAAAGTATCAAAGTTCATGGGCCAAATAAGAATTAACCCTTCTCAAAGATAACTCGAGAAATAAGCTCAAATTCCAAGACTGCAAATTGCAAAAGAAAGAAGAAAGAATAGCATAGCTGAGCAAATTTCCGTTTCCAGCAAGGAAAAAAGCGAAACGCACACCAACCCGAACCTCTCTGCGCGAATCCAGCAAAGCAAGCAGTTGCGTCTTCGTCGCTCTCGCCACTTTCTCCCTCTCCCAGATCTTCCCCGTTGGCATCGCCGGTGGCCGTCGTCTAGCCTGATTGTATTCCCTTCCTGTTCTTTCGGTCTCCAAGAATCGCGGTTCCGCCCGCCGCGTTTTGATTGAGTTCCTCGGAATCGGAGGGTGGAGACTCCGAAGCAGTTCCATGGCTCTGTGTCGGCGCTTTGTCCAATCGGGAGCTCACCTCGTCAAATTGCGTCTCCACGATGCTTCTTCGAGGTGTTCATCTCTCGCCGGAAAGTTGGAACATAATAGTAGACACATGTCGGACCTCGCGAGACCTAATGGCGCGAACCGTGCTTTCCTCGTTGATACATTAGCTCTGGTAAAAACCTCCTTGTGTTGCTCTCTTGCTTTCCTTCAGTGGTTTCGGTGGTTACTTGATCGTTTGATGCTTTGCGTTCTCTTTGGTTTGTGAAAAAGGTAAGGAGGTTGGAATCGCAGGACGTGCCTTCAAAGCAAGCCGAGGCAATCACTCACGCCATTATTGCAGTGTTAAACGTTAGTTTAGAGAGCTTGTCGCATTCCTGTGTCTCAAAGGAGGAAATGCAGAAGGTAATTGAAGTTGAAAAGTTCAACATACATTTGTTAATGGTAATGCTTGTCTATACTAATCCTTAATCTTCGTATTGCGTAGAGTGTAATGATTCAAGAGTCGAACCTATCGAAGTTCAAGGCTGAAGTCAACAGCGCTCAAGTAGCACGCGAAATGATTCAAGAATCCAACCTCTCGAAGTTCCAGAACGAAATACAGTCAGACTTGTCTAAGTTCCAAACCGACATAAAGGGCTCTCAGGTACCTCCTTTCGAATTCATCTTGAACGTAGCTCTAGATACTAGCTGGCTTCTGATTGTCCGTTTCCTAAATAGAGAATGATGACTTGTTTGGTTTTAGGGGCACAAGATTATAAACATACGACGTGTTGGCAGCTATGCGTTGCGAGTTCAGAACTGGTTTTGTTTACTTGATTTTCGTGTAACATTGGGGGCTTCTACTTTGGGTTAGTTCATTGATGATACAATAGGACATATTGCAGTGGATTCTATTACAGTGCATAAGTTTATCTGGCATAAGCCTTAGCATATACATGACTTGTCCTGTCAAGAATCTTGATAAACTGTCTGATTGTTTGCCTAAGCAATGAACTCCATCCTGTCGTTCCAATAAAAACAAATAACGAACTACTAGACCTTTATTTCTTAGGACTAGCAATCTCCTAAGTCTTGAAAAGGGGTACCTCAGAAGAGAACTAGTTTCCTTCTTCCAATGATTATATCTTGAGACAATATGGATGAGCTCTCTAGTGGTAAGGAAAGCCATGGTCACTGGTATTATATCGATACGCTCCTCAGCTGTAGAAGCATAAAAGAGAAAAGAAATTGTGGGTACACTTACAGAGTTACAGTAGCCTTATCTTAACCTCTATTCGTCACTTCTTCACTAGTGATCCTGATTCTGAAACATTGGGTTCCCATATATTATTCATCATCACATCCTACCGTTCCATTTATACCTCTTATTTTTGGAAGTTTGTATTTAAATCGGATGAGACTGACTTTGTGATGATTCATTATCTTCAACAAAGAGAGGTACTTCGTACATAAGTTTAATAGATGTGAATGTTACACTATAGGTTTTTTTTCATTTACTTCCCTTTATTTCTCTTTGTTTTGGATTTATTAATCTCATCTCAAGGCTTTGCAATCGTTTGTTGAGACAAGTAGCGTTGTGGATAAGCCCTTAGCAGGGTTATTAAGAATCTATTAGTAAAAAGGTTATGTACTGCAAACCTTGACCTTCTTACCTTCTGTACAGGACGATCATTATGCTACATTGCAACGCGAAATTGAGAAGCTTAAAACTCACATAGACAAAGGGCACAGTGAACTGAGGTTTATTATTTTGGAAGAACTTGTTTCCATATGCTGTTGTTTTCTGTAGCCCAAAATGTGATTTTACTTATTACTGTCTTACTTTTGCTATCCTAAAACAGGTATGAAATTGACAAGGCAAATGCTGGTCAGCGGCTGGATTTAAATCTCGAAAGAGGGTACAACATTCAAACCTTTTTGTGATGGAATCATTTTAACTTCTTGTCCCTTCACATTTTAACTTGCTAGATAGCATAATGGGTAGGTCAGGGAGGATAGGGGTGAGATTGTCAAATGTCAAGTAAGGTAGAAATGACCATGGTGAACACATAGTGTTAGATAAGATAAATTTTTGTAATTAGCTTAAGAGAAGGCCAACGTTACACATGCAGAAGTGGAAATACAGTAGACTAGGCAGAAGTGGCAAATAGGTTTGCAGGTTCATGTGTTCGCTAGGTAGGTTAGTATCGGTGCATAGGTCAAGAGCTGTGGTGATGGTATAAGTCTTGGCTGTTAAAAATAAGGGTGATTATTCAGTTGAATTTTGGCCGATTGGGAGCCTGGTCACTTACCTACTATGCAGTTCAGAGATATCTTAGTACGGGACTATGGGTTCATTTAATTGGGTCAAAACCCATTTTCAGTGAATTGAGTTGGATCGAGTTTCGTCACCTCTAGCGACCCTGTGTTAGGTTTTGGTGTGCTTGCCTGCGTTGCTATGTTAATCTGTAATAATGCTTAATGTCATTGCATTGCAGACGAATGCGGGATGAGCTAGCCAACCAAAAAGCAGAAACGACCAACCTGACTAACACGCTTGATCGGGTGAGAGCATAGTAGTATCTCTTTGATGCGCCTAATCGTCACTTTTCCTATCAGTTTCAACTCTGCTAACAATCTGTTGCCGCTGCTCTTCTGGTGTACAGGAAATTCATGCAGTACGTGCTCAAGTTGAAGCAGCAAAGTACGACATCGCCAAATACTGCATTGGTACCCTTGCATCAATGGCCGCCATGGGACTTGCAGTCATCCGCATAATGTTGTAGGCGTGGTAATCATCAGCTAATTGAATGTAAGAACTGAGAAGCGTATCTGAAGAACTTCCATTCTTTTGTTATGGCCTGCCATTATCCCGATGGTGAACCAAACTAAAGGCTCAAATTAGAGAATGCCGTTTTGATGATCGGCAGCACCCTTTTGAGGGAAGCTGCAATGTCTTTTAAGAGGAGATTAGTACACATTTTATTGCCTCCTGGCTTTTCCTTGTTTCCTTTAGCGAATTAGTGTTGTTGAAGAGCAAAACCCAGAAGAAGTTCGAGGAGTAGCTCTGCTTTCGTGTGGTTTTTATGGATAGTTATTTGAACGAGAGTTGCACTAAATTTTATAGCACGTTGATTGTAGAACAAGAACGCAGAAGATTTTTATGAGTGCGTCATGTCTGTCAATAAAGTATTGAAGTGAAAGGTTATGCAATGTAGTCGTTTCCAATGCTTCCAGCATATTGATTCAGCTTACTTTCTGGTGGAGTTTGTTTGTTAAACTGGCAATTCATAATGCATATTCGGGTCTTGTTCGATATTGTGTTACTAATCGAACATTTTCGGCACAACCTCAACTACACTTTCACAAACCACAGCAGGGGAAAATTCGTCTAAACTGCATTATTGAAAATTTTAGATGGGAAACTTGCATTTCCGATAGAGAAAGGCAAGAGAATGCACTGAGACAAAGCCAAACGTTTATCTGAAAACCAAACGCGGCTTAGCAGCAAGGTAGCGGCTTACAAGCATCACGCGATCTCGTCAAATAGGAACCCTAACACAGTCCCATCATCATTACATAACTAATAGTTTATGTACTTTATAATGATACAACAACCCAGTGAAACTGAATCCACAAATTCTACTGCTGTCTTATGATACTCCCAAGTAACAACAGGACTTAACTATGAGGGCATTGACTGTCTTGTTGAATAAATTATCAACCCCTCAGTGAGTACTTCTTCCCTGAGAATGGCTGGAACTTGGGTTCGTCTTTCTTCTCCGGTTGCTCTTGTTTCGGCTCTTTTCCAGCTTCCTGCAACATCAATCAAGGATATGAATAACCATCAGCAGCTAAAAGGAAAAGATAGTCTCTCAAACTATCGACTCAGGATCGTAGAAGCAACCCACCTTCTGAGTTCCCTTGCTAGGAGCACGGTTGGCGTTTGATCCAAACACGAGCTTTCCCTGGGCCTGGCGAGAAGCATTTTGTGAACTGGAACCAGCAGCTGCAGAAGCTGATGACTGTGTGCTACCATTGGCTGCAACAGGACTTTTGCCATTGGTTGATGAAGGTGCAGACACTGGAGCAGGCTGGTACGGCAATGGTTTACCATCTAAACGTCTCCCTGCTCCTGTGAATGGATTGAATTTTGGTATATTCTCCTCTGGAGCCTCTTCAACTGCTACAAAATAACAAAGGGAATCAGTTTCACAATATGCATAAACCTAAATGGTCCGACCATCAACCATTGAGGGCTTACATAAAAAAACAGTACAAGCAAGTACAAGAAGTAGAGAGAGAAAGGACACACCTTGAGATGGAGCCTTGCCTGAAACAGCAGATGCAGCAGGCTTTCTCTCAGGCTCCTTGTAATCGAGAGGAGGTGCGAAATCCACCTCACAATCAGTCTCGATGATAGTTATTGCATTTGACGGCTTTGTTTCTATGATATCTATGTAATACTTCTTGTTGTTATATGCCACCATGATACTGTCACCAGTTGTCAAGCAGGAATAGTTCCTCAAAGTTGTCTCAAGGCTGCAATGGTGAAATCAACTTCAGTCATATCAAGATTGAAATGGAGCATCATGCTGTAGGGCCAATATGGAAGTTGGTTCAACCATGTATTGTAAGCTTGAGCAAAAAGCAGGACATTCCAGGGAAATCTAGCTAATTCAATTGAATGGAAGCCATCAAGTTTGAAGACAAAACTCACATAGCTTTAGGGTTGGTAATATCCAGGAAGTCCTTTGTGTGAGGTTGCAACTTGACATATTTTCCCTTAGGAAGGGTCACATTCTTCACTCGCACTATATCTCCCTCTTGTAAGAGCAGATTCTCCATCATCTGGTAATCACAAAGTGCAAATTTTCATGATACGAGAGCAGGTGTCATAAATCATAACCAGAAATCTTTCTCGAGAGTAATTTTCAATTCACGATAAACAAGAGATTTTTGCCACTGCCTTCCTACCCAGTATGGCATGTAGATCATGCCTTCCTCTGCGATGAACTCAAGGACACCACAGTGAGACACTCTGTCAGCAGCATCATTTTGTAGCTCAAACAGCATTGGATAATCAATATGCAGGGATGCTGCAAGGATAGAGCTTTGTGATCAGAATCCATCTTCAAAGAATAGGGATAATTTGTTACAGAAAGAGCTGGTAAAAACTACTAACCAAGGCGATCGAGCGCTGAAGGAGGCATAATAACTGTAACAATGTAAGTAAAAAGCGAAGGTCAAAAACTATAAGAAAATTACAAAAAGGACATTCATAAATGCTACCACATTGTCATGGGAACCTACTTTTATCACCGCTTTCAATTTGAGGCTGCAAGAGAATCCAGAAAAGAACATGGATCAGACTTGGATGAATCATAATGTTTTAGTCCTTAAAATAACAACCAAAGACAGGTTATGTTCTGAATGAAGACGGAGAACAGAAACTAACCTTCTCAATGAAGGAGGCAGGGTAACACCGGTAAGTCTGCTCAAAGGATGTCCCATGATACCCATATCCATCAAAATACTACGCAGCAAGCAACAAAGAGACGATTAGAAACAGGGGGGGAAAAGTGAACTTAAATACCAAAAAATAAAAATTGATGATAATTGAAATACAATAGCATCTAGATAACTCCAACCAGATCTAAAAAGATCGGAGATTACAATGAATAACACAGAAGCTGTGAATACATGCTCACAGCATAACATTACAACAGGCACACAGTTCACTACCCTAGTTCTCAAGCTCAAAACTTTACGAACCAACAAATGTTTTCACTTCAATTAAATTCTCAATTTCAACTTTCCTCTTGTTGTCAGGGATGCAGAAAATACTTCCTATGTTACCTCACACTCTAGGAAAAACAGCAATGATCACCAAGCTAAACCGAAAATCACCCAAGCCCAATACAGAACGTACCATCTTGGATTGTACAGATAGCAGAAGTTGACTGATTGAACCACGAGTTCCTGCAAGATGGAAGGTCAAACGTTACGAGGGCCCCATTTGCCACCAATGAAAAGCAGTAACCCCTAAATGCGAAATATTAGAATCAAGTTCGAAACTTTACAGAAACCCAGAACCCAAAGGAGCATAAACCTCCACCATTAAGCAACCCTCATTCGTCCAAAGGGCCAAAGAGCCGAGCTTTGCCCACCATTCAACTTCTATCAAGCTAATCAAATTCACAGGTTATAATCCCCTCTCCCATACAAAAGTAACAACAATATCAACGAATCGCACTGCATCACGACTCCTCCCCCCCCCCCCCCCAGCCATACTTTCTCGGGCAACCAAACAGTCGAATTTTGGATTAGAGCGCAAGAAACATCAGGGGGGTTGTTGCCTGTTGGGATCTAAGGAATTAGGAGAAACGGTAATGAAGAGCTGTCGCGAAATACTTCAGAATATAACAGGGAATTTTCACCTGTGCGGGGACCGGCGATCGGGAGGGTTCAGACGATAATTCGCGGGAGTTGATCGGAGCTCGGAGGGAGACGGATGGACGATTGAGAAGACGACGGAGGTGAGGAAGTCACAGAAAGAATATAAAATGGGAAAATGAAAGCCATTGCATAATCGGATTCGGAAATAATGCGCTGAAGTTAAGGAAAATGACTAAGATGCGCTGCTGGTGCGTATTGTTCACGCCACGTCATTGTTCGCCTTCGTGCGGTTCGGAATCCTGGGCTGGGCTCTGTATTGGGCCTGCGCTAATCGTGAATGGATGGATGAAAGTTGTCCAGGTTTTTTCCCGATGGGCTATCTGGGCCTCCTAGCAAACTAAGCCCAGCTCGTGAAATCATCAAAACTAAGCCCAGCAATATGGACATATGGTTGAAATATTTTCCTTCTTGCACAAATCTTGGACACTGAACAATCTTGGACATTCTTGAAAGTGGCTAAAGAGAATAATTTTGGATATAACAGAATGCGAGCCTGTGGATTTCTGGAACGTTTGCAAGATGTTATTTTTTTTCTAAAGTTTGCGAGTCGACGAATTATGTTTGTTGTTGGGCGACGAAAAACGATTTTTTTTTTCTTTAAACATGTATGAAAATGTGCAAAAACAGTAGCATGCCCAAGTATTGTATCTGATTGGCTAGTCACCAAAACAGTGATTAGAACGTAATTCCAATGATCGTCATCCTTTTACAAACGACATGTCCGAACTTATCCCGAAATTTTAACTTGAAAAAAAAAAACAAAATCGAACACATGAAAATGAAGGGAAGTTGTCGTTAATGTCGCAATTAGAATCTGGAGAAATCCAAAATAATCCTCCACCGAAATCCCCTAATCATTCAAAAGAACCAAAGGAAAGCTTCTCATAGTCGTTTAAGCAAATGATTAACAAAGCAAAAGCTTTGGGACAGATTCCTGTCTAATGCAAGGGACACAAGGTGAAGCCAACAAACGACAGTCAAACTAAACAAAGAATTAAAGCCCCCCAAATCACGATTAGCAATGGCAATCAACCACAATAATTTAACCTGGAATTCAGGAATTAATTCAATTGCATATATAAACAGAGATATATAGATATGATATCGGTAGGGTAAGATTCATTCATACGATACCCAACAAAAGACCGGCCAGAGGCCAGATTACCCTTATCTCTATGGAATCTCATCAAACAAACGGCTAAGGCATTCAATTGAATTGAACTCAACCACCCTCCAATTATTGTAAAATCATTGAATGATATATGGTGATGATATGGTTCAGACAATTGCGTACAGGTTACAACAGGATATGCCAATGCCAATCAATCTACTTGCTAGGAAACAAACAATGGGTGTGTAAAATCAGGCCGTAAAATGTGCATAAACTAAGTCACAGTTGCGTATATGTTCATCAACCAGCCATCTAAATCGCGCTCATGGTAAAAGAACGCAACTTGATTTACTGTGGTTTGCGTCGTTCGGAGCGAACGACGATGATTCTAGGAGGCCTGGGGGGGCGCTCGAGTCTCTCTTACTTTCGTAATGAGCAGCTTTATCAACGACTACCAAAGGGTGAGATATATATGTATGTAGTACTTGATTGCCACCCAAAGACACTTGAGTACCCATGATTAGAAACAATTACGCACTAATCCTTAGGTTGTGCTAATAGTACAAAGCATTGATGGGAGCGTAGAAAGAGCGTAGAAAGAACGATAAGAGAAATGTGTTTAAACTCTACCATGATTGTTTTTTTTTTTATAATGGTGAAACTCTACCATGATTGTTGACATAGTAAAGTTTGAGGACAATTCTATTTCATAATATATAAAGCCAATCCACGAACATGTACATTATCAATATGTTTCTCTTCTTAAAAATCAATTCTCTCTTATTATCGTGATGATTACTCATATATTCTAACAAGAGATGATGGGTTTTCAATATTTTCAAGATATCTCTTCTCGTTCCACAAAAATCAATGCTTTAAAAACAGTTATTTTCAATCTAGACCATTGAATTTTTTATTTAACCAATCTTGTTAAACATATTTGGTATGTGTTCAAAGGACCACTTTAAGCACTTAAAATGCAAAAGGGGAATCACCAGCCTCTTGGTGTTAAGAAGTAGACTTATTGGAGAGATCTTTGGACATTGGATCCGAATATATGAATCAAACTCTCGAAAAGAAGACTACCCAAAAGAAACTAACTTTGCACCATATATGAAAAGGAAGTGTATCCCATTTTGTGATGCCATTTTTGCAACCTTACAATCAGTAGGTTTTATATAAAAAGGAAGAACCAAAGAAAGAAATATGGTTTCTTAATGTTGTAGTTGGAATTTGAATCTAATTTGGATCCATTGATTACCCTTCTAAGTATGTCAAAGCTACATAAAGCATGTGAAAGGTGGTGCTCTTTATTCTTAACCCATTTGTTTGTATTAACCTTTGGTGGAAGTTGACCCAAAATTTCTTAAACTAACTAATTCTTTTCGAAAGGGTTCGTTTTGGGTGTGTTTATATTCCCATTTGATGGATGAGAATCAAAAGTTTTTGTGATTGTAATGCTGAAAGTCGATTATCAAGTTCTACATGCAAATCACATGACGAGACCAAATTGGAAAATTTAACAACTCCCAAAACAAAATTGGTCACTCGAGAATTTCAGGATCATCATACTCTCGATTCATCGAATGTTGGGACACTGATGAGGAACGATGAATAGTCTAGATATAGTTTTGTGGTCTGCTGTGTTTGGGTCGACTAAGATTTTGATCGAAGTTTATGAGAATGTGCTTTAACCATCCTTTTTCTAATTCATATTTTTGTTTCTAATCTAATCCTCCAATTCTTCACAATGCTCTCCCAAAAATTTCTCAATTATCTAAAGAAAACCAAGGAACCTAATAGGCCAAGTTGCTTCGACATGACTACTAGAGGATAAAGATGAAACACAAACCAACCCAAAATTGCAGCTTGGAAGGTTTAACATGACCTCTAATTACCAACTTTGTGGCCTTTCCTTCTCTTGCCTTTCTTCTTTCTTGCCCTGTCTTTCAACAAAGGAAGAAGTTAGGCATAGAGTAAAAATGTGTTCACATAACAATACATCTTTTCCTAGTCTAATCCTATAACAGGAAAGGGAAAAGGTTATGGCCTTCAAGGAAACTAAAGTGCAAAAGATGGTGAATCGAATACTACTTGTCTTAACATGTTTTCCTTGATTAACTTAGAACAGCTGTCTTCTGCAAAAAGGCAATTGCCAAACGCTCCCCTGTGGACACAATCCCTTGTTTGTGCGTTTCAAAATTCTCCACCTCCACCCCACCCCGATCATTTCCTATCCTCTAAACGAGTGCGTCAATTATCGAAATCGTCACTAAACGTTGGTACCTAACAAATTGATCACTCGGCTTCGATTTCAACAATCATGGTTAGTAAATCCCTCCGATGCGACAATCAATTTGCCAATCTTCATCATGTTTTACGTCGTATTGTTAACATTGGCTTATCAACTCGATCAAGTTTAAACTAGAAGGACCGAGGTAAGCAACCGTTGTAGCCAATATGTAGCCGGTTCATTTCTAACCATATTCAATCGGAATCAAACCCATTACACAACCACAATCCAAACTAGAGTACTCAAAACCACTTCAGGCTCTACACCCCCTAACCCCCAGCATACTAGCTTGCTAGAGGCTCTACATGGCCACTTTCGTACCAATTTGCGTTAAGTCGACATGTTCATCTGGACAAAAGGTTCGACTAAACGCCTAATCATATTTGGATTCTTCCAAACTTCATGATCAGCCCGTGTCTAGAATAACAATATCTGGACAAAAAAAGTCTTGACGAAACGCATATCAAATTAGGTTATTCCATACTCTCTAATAATTTTATAGAGTATAGAGATTCAGTGACCGAATTGCTCATGATGCCAAAGTTCAGTGACGGTTTGCGCAATCAACCCATAAAGAAACTGGGACTATTTGAGTTCCCCTCCACCACAAGAAAAGGTTTTGAGGACCAAAGTTGCGCACGAAAGCCTGTGGTCAAAACTGAAACGCGCCTCCCGCAGAAGAAAATCAAAACTCAAAGCTGCTGTCACGGCAACTTGCCGGAGATGCCGGACATACAAATCAAACCATACACAAAGCGACACTTTACACTTCAACTGGTGCACCACAAGACAACACAACCGTTACAAAAAGGCTTTGATTTTGCAGAGAGAATCTTCATGTGCAGTAATATGAGGCCCTACAGAAGATCACAAACCCTAATTCGATTCCTCTAAACCCTCCCAAATTCAGGAGAAAGTAAAAAGGGATGACAACTCCTCCAATTGAGAGGAAACCAGATGACCCAGAATCTGCATTATCATCATCATCAACAACAACAGAGACCTTCCCAGATCCCTTCCACAAGAACACAGATATTGGATGTTGCAATCATGCTGATAGATAGAATGGGTATCAGCAGAGCCAATCAGGATATCACGACAACCATGCGATCTCGATCGTTAACGTACTACCACTCATGCATCTAACAGAGATCGTCATAATAAACTTATATCATCATTAATATTATTAATCAAGACTAAAAGCTCTTGATGGAGGTCTAATAAGGAAGACACAGCAGGAAGATGCATCCAGCAACAGTTTGCAAACATGGCTGCAAATGCATCTCCTGGCTCGCTTCGACTCGAACTATTCGATAACGAACACGAAAAATTTCAAGAAAGAAATAACCAGACAACCGATTGACAACAACTCCGTACAACCAACCAACCAACGAAACCATTAAAGATAAACATCATAAGGAAGCAGCAAAGATACTGATAATTGGGGGGTGGGCAGAATCTCAAGCGCAGATATAGCTCCACTGCTCATCCTCGGCTGAGGCCACAGCGGAATCACCAGCAGCATCATAACCATCCTCGCCGCTGCAGTAGTACAAACCACCACCGTTGTTCATAGCAGCAGTCAGCGAGCAGGACGAGGCACCAGCCAGGTACGGCATGTTGTGGAACGACCTTGCAAGGCAGCTGGCAACAGCTGCATTGCCCCTGTGGTGGTGATGATGATCCATGCTGCTATCCCCATCGTCACTGCTATCCTCATACATCATCTCTTCAGCACGGTGCTTCAGGGTCTCGAACATAAGCTCCGGCTCGTGATGCATCACGCGGAGTACATCACTACACGAAGGGCCTGGAGTGGCTCTTGTCACCGCGAAGCTGTGAGGCCCGTCGCTCTGTGACACCCTCACCACGCTCGGACCACCGAACAAGTTGTGCACTCCACCGAGCGCCTCCTCGTAAGCCCCTCCCAAGAACATCCCCAGGTAGTATGGGCCATTACCATTCCCAGCACCATTTCCTTCAATCTCGTGAAGGGGCAAGCTGTCCTCTCCACCAATGAACTTATTGATCTTGCCATCACTGTCACAGGTCAAGTCGGACAATATCCCTCTAGCTCCGGGCCTCTCATCGAGCCTATGTATCGGGATGATCGGGAAAAGCTGGCCGATCCCCCAGAAATCAGGGATCGAAGTGAACACCGAGAGATTCACATGATAAGTTTTCACCGGCTCAGCAACACCAATTGCTTTCCCCACGAATTCACACAAGGCATCAACAGCAGCTAAATGTTCCATTCCTATGGTGCCATCTCTAAACAAGTCCACACACCTCTGTTTCAACTGATCAGCATAGAGCAAGCAGGTCTCGTACTCACCTCTCATGGCGGCGGAAGTCATGTTGCGGTAATCGGCGCGAGCGTCGTCTGTCAGCCCGTCGACGAAGTACTGCAGGGCGAGCGGCGTCATGGTGGCGGCTTTCGACACGGTGGAGGAAACAGCTTCAAAGACGAGGATGGAGTGGTGGGAGACGATTGCCCGGCCGCTCTCGCTGCAGAGAACAGGGTGCTTGATGTTCTTCCTGTCGCAGACGAATTTCACGGCCTGGACGACGGCGAGAGCGTACTCTCCGAGACCGTAGGCGACGGAGAGATCCGAATCGCCGGATTTGGAGCCGTCGTAGTCGATTCCGAGCCCACCGCCGATGTCGAGGACTTGCATGTTGGCGCCGAGACGGACAAGTTCAGAATAGATCTGGGCAGCTTCGCCGACCCCATCGGCAAGCAAGCCGGTGGATGGGATCTGAGATCCGATGTGAAAATGCAGCAGCTGGAAGCAATCAAGCATTCCGACCTCCTCGAGCTTCTTCACAACGCTGAGAATCTGGGTCGTCGTCAAACCGAATTTCCCCTTCTCCCCCGACGTCGAACCGAAATGGCCGGAGTGCTTGGTCCTCAGCTTGGCGCGGACGCCGATTACAGGGCGAATTGAGAGCTTCTGGCTGAGAGCGATGACCAAATCGAGCTCCTCTTCCTGCTCAAGAACAATCACTGTGTTGAGAGCGAGCTTCCTCGCGAGGAGCGCGAGGGAGATGTACTCAGCATCCTTGAACCCATTGCAGACCAGGAAGGCATCTGGGTTTCCTTTGCAGAGGCAGCTCATGGCCAGAAGAAGCTCCGGCTTCGACCCGGCTTCCAACCCGAACCGAAACGGGGACCCGAATTTCACGATGTCTTCCACGACGAAGCGCTCCTGGTTACATTTCACCGGGTAGACTCCCTGGTAATGGGCGTCGTAGCCCTGAGATTGAATCGCGAAATCAAACGCCGACTGCAGAGACTCCAATCGGTTCTTCAGCACATCTGGGAGGCGGATGATTAACGGAAGCGGCAGCCCGAGCCCACCGACGGATTTCGGATCCGAAACCTTCTTCACAATCTTCAGCAGGTCGATTTCCTGGTGGGGGAGGGTGTCGCCGCCGTGGGGGCGGACGGAAATGTTGCCGGAGTCGTTGACGGCGAAGTAAGGAGCGCCCCAGCCGTCGACACAGTAGAGAGAGGCGGAGCGGTCGGGCGACCAGGCGGTGGTGATGGAGGCAGGAGGAGCGTTGTCGGCGGTGATAATCGCCGGAGGGACGCCGGCGAACGGAATGGAGCCATCCCCGGCGCCGAAAACGTAGCCAGGTGGGACAACAGCAGAATCAACGCAACACGCTAAGGCAGGCATCCTGTTCCGACGACCGATTTCCTCTTCTGGGTTTTTGTTTTTCTTTCTCTCTTCTGTTAGCAAACTATGTCAGGAAGGAAGGAAGATAAAAGTTCCAACCATGGACGGTGAGAAAAAAATCTTCTCTGTAACTAAAAAATTTTTGCGGTGATTTCGAATAGTTTGTGAAGTTGGGGGCTTTAGAACCCGCCGAGGCCGGAGCCCCGGCTACCCCCTCAAAAGAAGCAGAAGAAGGAACAATCACCGCCGGAGCAACACCCTCTCTTTACCAGACACTTCTCTCTAATCCCCACGCCGCACAGTCAGAAGAAAGGGATTGAAATTTCGAGAAACCCACAACGGAACCCAAATCGGGGAATTCAAACCGATTGGAAGCGGAACGACGGAGTGAATCTAGGAACCCAGAATCATGCAGATCTCAAGAAACCCCCAAGAAATTTTCCCGGAAAGCGGTAGAAACGGAGAGGAAAGGAAGGACCAAACAGCCAAAAGCCGGAAATCGGTGATTAATGAGGAAAGTGGGTGGGGGAAGAAAAAAAATCTTTTCTATTGTCTGAATGAAGATTTATCTTCTCAGGGAGAAAAATGGTGTCTAGGGTAGGAGTGAGCGAGGATTTCCTGAACGACGATGCGCCGTTTATATAGTGGAGTTGATGCCCTTTGTGGGCCCAAAGTTTTGGGCCTGGACTCAATAGTTTAGTTTTCCTTTTTCTCCTCGCTTCTCTCGCAACTTCTCATGTTTTCTTTCTTTCTTTTTTCCTCTAATTATGGATTTTTCTAATAGTATTTTCCCCCTTTTTTGTTGGATGAATCTGCTCTCAATCACTAGATGCAACTAACCTACTAGTATATGCTCTCCCATTATTATTAAAATTTTAAAATTAAAGTTGCCTTAAAATTAATGTTTCTCCCTTTTTGAATTACTATATTTTTCGTATTATATTTTGTTGACGAAATAGTCACAACCATATGTCATCTTAATCAAAATAAAACAACAGGAAAATGAAATTATAGGGGATTGGTTGGTGATTGAGAATCTTGGATATTCAAGGCAGTGGTCTTCCAAATTAAATGGCAACAAATTTTTTTATTTATTAAATCGCCAAGTTGATGATGGATGAGTGTGGTAAGAAAAAAAAGGCCAACTATATTTATGAAGTCTAATTTGAATTTCCCTGAAACAAATTTTTTTTTTTTTTTTTCGGGTGGCGAGAATTGAGTAGTTTAAGGAAAGGGAGGGGGCGGGAAGATGCCTTCACCAGGCCGGACATGCAGAGAGGCGTCGTCGGCCCATCAGCTACGGCGTCTGGTTGCCGCGTGGAAGGAAGGAGGGGCGGAGAAAACGTGGGGCCCAGATTGAGTGGCCAAAGTCCAAACCAAACCAACTCAGAGGAAGATTTGATGAGTTTCTCTCGGAGAGGACGAAGGAGATTATTGAGAGGTTGTTTGATGGGTACGTGGATAATGAATGCTGGAACAAGAGGGTGGTTTGGAATTAACGATTTGGGTAATTAATGTAAGTACTTCAAAAAAATTCGCCAATATTTTTTTTTTTATATATAATAAAGGTGATATAGGTTGCATTTTAGTCATTAAGGTACAACTTAAGAGATTCGAACTTGAGACCTTCAGGTTCTAGGTTAGTGGTATTACCACCACTGGGTCAAGCTCTTGTTCATTACGTGAGGTAAATTTCACCTGGAATATTGAACACCAAATCATATCGTGTCAATCTCATAACGTAATTGCAATTATCTTGCCCTCAACCCAAAGATATGTCAAAACCTGAATCAAAACGAAAAAGCAAACCCACACAAAACTCAAGATTTACGTGATTTTCTCAACGACAAAGCGCTGAGACTAGTCCACGGCACAAGGCGTTAGGGTTTTATTAAATGATGGAGTCAATATATTCGACTTAAGAAACTTAAGCACAAATTAAAAACCTGTTAAAACAAGCATCCAAACAAACGCTCCTATAAATTATTATTATTATTATTCAATCACCTTAACAAATTTCAGTTTCACACCATATAAAAAAATTAGAGGTGAACGAAATAACAAACGCCGCTTGATTAACTTGCATGTGTTCCCTTTCTATTGGGATTTGGGAGTACCAAACCGCCTTCTGGCATTTTTCATGGGGTGAATTGTTGACGGCGTATAATTGGGGTTCGGTTTTGCAAAAGTCCGGCGCAGGAAAGCACTAAGGAAGTTTCGCCTGTTTTGGGGGAACCACTCGACCGCCAGGATTTTTTTTTTCATCGGCGACAGATCATTTACAAGTGTCGGATAGTTAGTAGAATGGATTTGGATATTTTATTATGGGCTTTGGGCAACGAACAATGAAACGTGATCCAGTTTTGTGGGGGAGAGGGAGGTGTAAAAAGACGAAACGGTTTGTGTGGCAGCAACAGTCATCCATCAAAAGGCAACAATGAAATAAAGCTACAAAAATAAATGGCCTTGTGGGTCGTTTTGCCTGTTAGGTTTGATGCATTCAATTACCCACCTTCCTTCTATAAATGGAGAGTTTGGACAGTAACTCCAACGAAGATTAATGGTGAAAACTGAGAAGAGGCAAAGTTTGGTATTCTAATTCGATCATCACGATGGGCCTCCCGCTTTAAACGGTAGGAAAGGGGAACAACAAAAGAGGATTTTTTTTTTTATAGTTCTAAGATGACTGAGTTTTCGGATCCCGCGAGGATCATTGCAGAGTTCCCCGGCGTGTTATCTACGTCATCGCCGCATTCGAGAACAGCTTGGAGCTCGTCTGGCGTTACCCACTAATATACATTGGTTTGAACAAATTATGCACCTCAACATGCATTTATGTCAATAATAAGTTAAATCTCAATAACTCGAGTTGTTGAGAGATTACCATATAGGCACATACTAACAGTTAGATAATCAAAAGATTGTTGGAATATAGATAATTTATGATGGTCTATTTGAATCTCGCAAATTTTTATTTTTTCATTTAAGAATCATATCTATTGTGTTATGTTTTATGAATGCATTCCTCATTTATGGCTTGTAGTGTAGATTAATTAATCCGACCGAATTAAGAGGGTTTTTTTTTTAATATGAGATATGACAATAGAATACAAGAAAATTAGACTACCCTATAAGTCCCTTCCCACCCAAGAAACAAAATCAAATGAAAGCAACTCTAACTTTCAGCTTTCGGTACATCGATCATCACTGATACTTTACTACCATGGTCACACCGTTAACCACCTGCCAGTTGCGGGGTTTCGAGATCTAAACGAGGAGGAGCTAAAAGATATACATTCGAGTGGTTTGAATCATGGTCGTTGATGAGAGACTATAGTCCACCCTGAACTCAATGTGGCTCCGCCACTGCCTGCCAAGAAAAATTAATTATTACCCGATCTATTTGGAGTGGTGTGGTTAAATGTAGTCTAAAAGAAACGAACTTATATGTGAAGAAAATGAATTACCGCCTAACTATATGTAGTGGTGGAGCTACATGTAATGTGTAGTTTAGAAATTAGAAGGAACTCCAATCTACAACCCTTCAATTTTCGTCTATATAAAGTTATATGTGTACATTCGTATTCCGAGAGAACAGTAGAAAGTAACATAATGAGAGTCAATAGCTCTCCTCTTGCAAGATTTAGGTTCAAAACAAAAGTAAGTTGCCGCCTAACTCAAGTAACCCTATCCCCAAGAGAATCTCCCTAAGCTCTCATATTTGACGTGGTTTTCCATTCGGTTTATTTTGTTTTCGTTTTGGCAGAATGTGGACACAACCATTGATAGCAACGAGAGAAGATGGTGGGCAGAGCTCAGCTCAGCTCAGTCTATCACTGTTGACGCGCACCACACACGTTATTCATTAACAGTAAAACCTCAGGAAATTTTTAATTAGTACACAAAAACAAAAAAACGAAGAATTAGAAAGCAAAACGGATCCTAGGGGCCGGCGGGGGACATTCTTAATGCTTAAAAATTGAGAGATACTAATTAACGCTCTAACTTTTTAAAATTTATCGCCCTAACTTAGACAATTTGACACTTTTGCCCCCAAAATATTTCCAATCTCTAACGAAATTTCGCCCTAAGATTCTTCCACGTCTTTACCGCCGTTTGCCCTAGTACTCCCAGCCCGTCGCAGCCGCAACTGCCTTCCGCTGCAGTGAGGGCGAGAAATGGCGTTGATTAGCGCTTCCTTCGCCTTCTTCCTCTACCTTTTCCCAGTCTACTGTGTTTGATCCCACTCCTTCACTTTGGCCATGGAGAAGCACATATAAGCTGTTATTTATTTATTTATTATTTGATGAGTTTGCACCATCTGCAACTGTTCACTCCCATGGTTGAGTTAATCAACGTTGGTTCACTTAAAAGAAAAAATCTGGGGGGAGAAAGGGTGGTGGTGATTTTTGGGGAGAAAGAACGGCAGGGGCCGGAAGCGAAAGTAGAGGGAAGAGGAGGATTGGGTCTTCTCGTGGATTGTGATGCTGGAGGTAGGATTGAAAATGAAGGTAGACGAAGAGGTGGGCGACTGCAGATTCCGTCTTTCTTTTGGAGTTCACGGCGGCGGTAGTGGCCGGCGGGGCAGTGGGCGGAGAAAAGCAAAATTAGAGATTGAAGGCAGCTGCTGCCCTTTAGTGATTGGGGTAGTATCGTCCATTTGATAAGGTTAGGGCGTTAAATTTTAAAAAGTTAGGGCGTTAAATAGGAATTCAGTAAAAATTAGAGGGCAAGTAATTACTAATTAGTCGAGGGGGGTCGTTTTATTTTGTATTGATTGACTTCGTGGCACACTGCTATCTGCACAAGTGGCCTAATCTATGCCAATAATTATTCTTCTTAGTTCTTATGTAACTTAATACTATTCTTTGTCTAGCGTTATCGATGATTATAATAACAATAACAACATAAAATTGGCACCCCAATTTTGTCATGGGACAATCCAAATACCACGTCAGTTGTAAAAGGGAAGGGACCCTTGTATTTTAGTGTCCAACAAA